GTTCCAACTAATAGTGATGATGTCGAGGATTTACTAGGACTAGATAGTGATCATGAAACAGATGACTTGAAAGCAGACAATACATATCTGTTCAATCTAAAAAAGTCTAATAAAGCATCAACTGATTTGCCCCTGTACTCGTTTGATATCTTTACTAACGATGGTTCACGTAATTGCTACAAGACTATACAAGTACTTTTGGATACGGGTGCAAGCTCAAACTATATCAGTCCTACCCTGGTAAATCCTGCAACTATGAAAGTGACATCACTACAAACCAAGCACGAGGTGGAAACTGCTAACGGTCAAGTCTCAGTGATTAAAGATAAGGTTGAGTTCTCGGTGTCTGCAAATGGCGTTGGCCAACGGATTCAAGCTTATGTATTTGATACTAAGTTTGATCTTATCCTAGGTCAGCAATGGTTTCAGCAATACAAGCCTGTTCCCAACTGGTCTAATAGCTCTTGGTCTATCTCTGGTCCTTATGGTGTGGGTACAACTGTCTTATCCCCAGTTAACTTGGTGTCTAAATCTGAAAGTCTGGTGTACGTTATGAGCAAACGCCAAATGCAACGTTCATTACGCAAAAATAGCATAGACGAGTTATTCTTGGTACATGTGAAGGAATCTGGCTTGCACAACATGGTCGATACTGGCGATAATCTTGGCAAGGCTATCTCTAAGCTCTTAGCAGAGTATAAAGATGTTTTCACGGATAAGTTGCCTCCTGGTTTGCCTCCGGACCGTGGAATTGAACACGTAATCGAAACTGGTGATGCTGAACCAGTCTGCAAGCACCCTTTTAAGATGAGTCCTTTAGAACTAGACGAACTACAACGTCAACTAAAAGACTTATTAGACAAAGGGTTCATCCAGCCTAGTTCTTCGCCTTGGGGGGCTCCTGTTTTGTTTGTCCGCAAGAAGTCTGGTGAACTGCGAATGTGCATCGACTTCAGAATAATCAACTCTTTGTGCACCAAGAAGTTGAATACTCCATTACCTCGTATTGATGAGTGTTTAGAACGATTAGGTGGTGCAAGATACTTCTCTCAGTTCGATCTGACTAGTGGGTATCACCAAATTAGGCTCTCAGACTCGGATGTTCCCAAAACTTGTTTTGTAACTCGTTATGGTGCTTTTGAATGGCTTGTACTACCTTTCGGACTTCGGAACTCACCAGCAGTGTTTCAAAATATGATGAACAAATGTCTGTCTGGTTATGTTGACCGTTTCGTGCAGCTCTATTTGGACGATATTCTGGTCTACTCTAAAACAGCAAAGGAACATCTTGAACACATTCGTCTGGTCTTGGAGAGGTTCAGACAATTCAAGTTGTATGCAAACCCTAAGAAGTGCAAGTTCAATCAAAAAGAGGTTGAATTCTTGGGCATGAAAGTCTCGGCTGATGGTATTCTTCCTTCTGACACCAAGGTAAAAGCTATCAAAGACTGGCCTACACCTACCAATGTACAGGAAGTTCGTCAGTTTGTCGGTTTAGCGTCTCATTACCGAAGGTTTATCCGCCAGTTCTCCTCGGTGGCTGCTCCTCTGACGGAACTAACTAAAGGTACTGGTCCCAAACGTCGTGGTATTATTTGGAGTCAGGAATGTCAAAAAGCTTTCAAGCAATTGAAATTCTTATTGACACATGCTCCTTGTTTACAGCCTCCTGATGTCTCTAAACCGTACATTATTGAAACTGATAGCTCTGACTGTGGTTGTGGTGCTGTTCTCCTGCAAAAAGATGACTCTGGTGCTCTACATCCTCTGGCGTTTGAATCCAAAAAGTTTTCTATGGCTGAACGGAACTACCCTGCACAAGAGAGGGAGCTACTTGGTGTATTACATGCTCTTCGGGTTTGGCGTTGTTTCATCGATGGTGCTGACTATGTGGTATACACGGATCATAACCCTCTTCAGTATCTGAGATCACAAGCAAAACCTACCGCTCGCTTAGTGCGTTGGCTCTCAGAAATTGAAACTTATGATCCTAAGATACTCTACAAGCCTGGTAAAATGAACGAAGTCCCGGATGCGTTGTCACGTCGCGATGGAACTGACTGTATACCTGCAGAATCAAGTATGGAACCTCGCTACTTGTATTCTGTAGACTCTAATATCTTAGTTCACCCTACCGACTGGCCCACATTCTATCTGACAAAACCAGAACTAGTCCCTGACACAGTCAAATCTATCTTAGAGTCGAATCGTGATAAGTTTGTGATAAAGCAAGACAAGGTGTATCGTCTAGTGAAGGTCAATAATCAACAGCTTGAAGCAAGATTCTGTTCTTTCTCAAATCGCGCTACCCTGGTGAATAAGTTCCATGAAGGCTTTGGTCATGCCGGTCAGCTTACGGTATTTGAACTTATGCGCAAACGTGGTGGTGGCCTAACATGCGAACTGATATTCAAACCTGGTTATTAAACTGTAAAGAATGTCAGTTAGCATCTAGTCCTGGCAAAAACAAACATCATGCTCCTATGGTTCCCTTGGATATTCCTCCTGCTTTTGGTCGCTGGCATCTAGATTTTGTTGGTGAATTACCTCTAACAAATCAGGGTAATAAATGGCTCCTAACGGCGGTAGACTATACCACTAATTGGCCTATTGCTCGTGCTGTCCCAGAGGCTACTGCGGAAGCTGTTGCAGACTTTATTATGAGGAATCGTCATGAGTTCGGCTGCCCTCAAGAAATCCTGACTGATCGTGGTGCAAATTTCATGTCTACGGTGGTAAAGTTGTATATGAATCGTATAAAAACAAACCACAAGTTCACATCAGCTTTCCATCCGCGCACAAACGGAAAATGCGAACGACTTAATGGTATTCTCAAGGCTATGCTTAGGAAATACGTCAATGGTGCTATTCATATTTGGGACAAGTTTGTAGATACTGCTCTTTTTGCTGCTCGGGTCCGTCACCATCGTTCTACCGGTTATTCTCCCTTCTACTTGGTATATGGCCGTGAACCTTTGCTTCCTGGTGATTATACTCGTCCTTATTTCGATAAGTTGACTTCTAATGACCCAAGGACAATTGCTGAACACACTGCTCGAGAACTTGAGGATATTGGTCAAATCCGCGCCGCCGCTGCCCATCGAATGAAAATAGTATCTGAGTCTGACAAGAGACGTTGGGATGCTGCTATCGAAAAGCTGGAATTCGAGATTGGTGATCATGTCTTACTCAGAAATGAGCAAAAGTATGGTCTGGAATACAACTGGATAGGCCCTTTTGTCATTGTAGATCGAAACGAGACCAACCATGTTTACAAACTAGAAACTATTGGTGGTGAACCTTACACTTCTTGGGTACATATCGATCGATTAAAAGGTGTCAAGGCTGATTCGATCGATACTCCTTGGTACAATCCCACGGTTTCTCGTGCTGCTTGGCGCTCTGAAATGGGTCTTGACTCAAGGAATAAGGCTACTTCTGACTCGGTTGAACAAGTTGATCAGAGGCGATCAACATTCTCGGGGGGAATGATGTCGTACCCAAACTTAGGTTTAAGCCCAATGTGAAGAAAGCGGCCAGAAGACACCAGCAGGTGCTCGAAGGTTCTGGAAATTATTAGTCAGATGTTTATCTGATTATCATTACCATATCTGGCATTCCCCTTATATGGCTACGACTTCAAATACTAGAAGCTTCCACTTGAGTCACAACTCAGACATTATAGATAGTATAAATATAAGTTGCACTCAATGAAATAAACATCATCTTTCAACACAAATATTAAGTATTAGTTACACTCTATAGTAAGTTAAGCCCTACGACTTATTATACGTATCTCTGGTTATACTTTACAAGTTTTATTGGCTTTGCTACTTATTGGATCTATCCACAAAGACGACATCTTAACCTCGCGCGGTTGGTTAAAGTGAATATTAATTTTTTATTAGATATCAAGCTAATAATACTATTGTAAGACGATCCCATAAGTCGGGCAATAAAGATACAAATAGCAGATTTTAGGTAGTTAGTAGTTTGAGCAAGCAGAAGAAAAAGCGTGGAGGATTTGACTGGACAGAGGTACTGAAGTGGGTTTCCCAGGCCCAAGCGGATTCGATGTATTACGACAGCACGGGATTAACCAGCAAACGACTTGCATTAAAAAACTCGTGGTCTTGCTCAGAATCGAACTAGCGCCAGAAGCGCGACGTAGATATTTAGGCAGTGATTTAACCAAAGGGAAAAAGAGCACATGCCCGCGCGGTTGGTTAAGTGGTATAATCTTCGCCTGCCACGCGAAGGGCCGGGGTTCGATTCCCCGACCGCGCATTTTTTTTCAAAAAAGCAGGTGATTTAACATTGCAAGTTATATGCTCTAAGTGCTAGGTTTTGAATTCGTCAACTATAGTTTTAAGTAGGCAAACGATTTTATTTTTTTTTTTACATGACTTGTAAGACTGATCCCTATGGGGCAAATGTCTAGTCATAAGAGCAGTGAGAGTAAGGAAAACTAACACTAGAACAAAGAATACAAAAAAAAAAAAAAAAAAAAAAAAAAAAAAAAAAACAATTACAAAGGTATAAAAAAAAAAGGGTTGTAAAATAAGGAAAAGAAAAAAATAAAAAGTGAATCAAACTACACCCAGATAGGTGTAGAGAGAGGAGGCAACAGGAGGAGCAACCATTCCAGAAGAACAAGACCAGAGGTGACTTGGGAGCACGGACTGAACTCAGTGTCAGGAAGACAGATCATATCCATTTCCAACATATAGTTTTAAGTAGATGAATGGAAAATAGAAAGATATATTTCACAGCCGCACTCATAAATGTTTGGTGCTTTTGAATGATTTCCTAAACCAAAAAAAAAAAAAAAAAAAAAATTGCATGCTTTCCATCCTTGAATAAGTTCTTCAAAGCATAATAGAATAGCACTATAAATCCTGCAGAATAAAAACCCAGGTTGTTTGTCAAAACAATATAAAAAAAAGAGGAAGGATTCATATTTGGTAGCATTGCCTTTTGCTTGACATGCTTCCGACTAAATGTGCTGTATAACTTTTGTCAAACTACAGCTTTCCAACTCCTTGACTCGGCATCTGTATAGCCAGGCTCTCGAGCTAATATCTGTCACTCTTCTGTTCTCTGCTCTTTCCCATTACCTAATGTAAGCAACAATATAATTATCTTACACATGATCTACTTATTATTTGCTCTGCTTGGCTCAGAGTTTAATTTTTGTTCGTTTGATGTTCATGATCAGCTTTGATTATGCTTCATAACTTTATTGTAATCTGGTTCTTTGTTATTTTTCAAGACATATAAACACATCCTTAGTGTCCCTTTATTTCTTCATAAGTCTACCTGTAAAGTAGGTAATAATAAACCATAAATGATGATACTTATGAACGATAGATGTCTACAAATGACAAGGATGGCACTTTGGATTTTCTAGGCTGTATCATCAGTAGCTTTGAAGCCTTATTAAATGTTACAGAAAGGTGAGAGGAAAAGACGACGATAATTATTCATAAGAAACAGTCTTAACAAGAGTCCAATCATTGATTCTGGTGATCCTGGTGATGTTCATGAAGACGAGGATGATCCGTATAATGAGAAATACGATAATGAGGATTATGTTCCAAGTGAAGAGGAAGATGATGAAGAATATGAAGAGTATGAAGAATATGAAGATGAAGATGACTTGGCATAGAATCTATTGCATGATGAAGAAGTACATACATACTTGTGTCGCTGTTCTGTTTTGTAGTATGCCTAGCAATTGATGTCATTTGATCAGCCTATTTAAAAGCATATTATAAAGTCAAACCATATATATATTTAAATTTGACTTTGTCAGTTCAATGAAAGTGTCATATTAAGAAATCGCAGGAGTTTACAAATCCAAACTGATGCTCGTAGTAAAAAAAAATTTAGAATTTTGGCAATGATTGGGTTTATTTCGCCTTTAGCAGTCAGAGAATCCACCACTGGTGTTATTATACAAACGAATCTATACAGAAAGGAAGTTGCGTTTTTTATTGAGCAAAGTATACAAGTTGAAAAAGTTGGTTGATAAACCAACCGAAAGAAAATTGTATGGGTTTTTTTTAGTACATTGATTTTATGCTATTGTCAATGGACACATTCTCAGATGCAATTCCTGTGTAACTCTCTTTTAACTAAACTTTCCCCACACTGACTTTTTTTTTCAAGTTAGTCATCTTGCTCTTTTTTTTTATTGATTAACTGTCAGAATGGCTTCTCGAAGAATACTGCAACAAGCTCTTGCTCAAACTATTCACCTTGCGACAAAGAGCACAACACTGCCTCTTCTCAGAAGAGCAGGCCCTAACCTGTTGACAACAACGCGTCCTGTTTTGACTACTTTTAATGTTGTTACTAAGCGTCAATATAACTCTCGAGTTGAAGAAGGATTGCCTTTTAAAATCATTGATTTTGATGACATTCAATCCATTGTGAAGAAAGAAGGAAAGGTATTGATTGTCTTTTTTTAATTTTTTTTCTTAATTATGATAGGGATATCAATTAATTGATGTACGTGAACAAAAAGAAGTAGCAGACGGTGTTATTCCAACCGCTAAAAATGTTCCTCTTGTAAGTGATGCAATTGTTATTGTTTTTCGTTAAAATGGCCGTATAGAGTCAATTCAGTTCAGCCTGGAGTTTATCTGATAAGGAATTTCAAGACAAGTTTGGTTTTGAAAAGCCTCAAAAAGATGCAAGTATCATTCTTTATTGTTTGGGTGGCGTTCGTAGCACAAAAGCAGCATTTTACCTTTATGATTTAGGCTATGACAAGTAAGTAGAAGTAACAATGAATCGAAATCTAACTCGTATGATTTCAAGCCTTCAAAACTATGTCGGAAGTTGGGCTGATTATATTGAAAAAGTCAAGAAATAGGAAAGGAGAAAAGAAAGAAAACAAAGAAAAAATAACAAATAAAGAATAGTTCTCCTTTTATTCAAAAGAGGACCCCTTTATTTTGCGTATGTATTTGTGTTGTTCATGTGCCATCAATACGATGTTTTCCATGCAACTTTCATTTTTGTATAATATTTTCTCTCCTATTTTTGCTATTATTTTTATTATTCTTGTTTATTGTTCACTCTCTCTTCCCCCCTTCTTTCTTTTCTCTATTTCTTTATCTTCTTTAACAAACATGGGTGTATGCATATCAAATGAAGAAAAGAATGAAAAGCTTCATAGTTATCAAATCGATAAATCAATTGAACAAGACGATAAGAATAGAAAAAAAGAGTTTAAAATGTTACTCTTAGGTAAACACAAACTATTTATCCACTTCTTCTCATGTTCTTTTAGGCAGTGGCGAGTCAGGAAAATCAACCATCTTCAAACAGATGAAGATTATACATCAAAATGGATATACAACTGAAGAACTAAAGAGCTGGAGAGTCACTGTGTTTCGAAATATCATTCAGTCAGCACAGACAATCGTAAACGCTCTGCGCCAATTTGAGCACCAACTGCAATCAGAAAAACTTGATTATGAAGCGCAAAAAATCATGGACTATCGCTTGACAGACGATTGCATTGACCCGTTGTTTATTGATGCTGTCATTTCTATTTGGAATACATCTGCTGTTGCTACCTTGTTGGAAACAAATTCATCAGATTTTTATTTGATGGATTCAGCCTCATAGTAAAGTACAGACGAGTCTAGTAATGTTTGAACTGACAAAGATAGCTTTTTTGATAATTTGAATCGGATAGGTCAGACAGACTATGTTCCTACTGAACAAGATGTTGTGCATGCAAGATCAAAGACAACTGGTATTGTTGAAACAAGATTTACTATCAACAAGATAACTATTCATATGTTTGATGTGGGAGGACAGCGATCCGAAAGAAAGAAATGGATTCATTGCTTTGAAGCAGTAGATTCTATTGTCTTTTGTGTTTCTTTATCAGAATATGATCAAGTCTTGCTGGAAGAATCAAGACAGAATCGTATGATGGAAAGTCTTGTGTTGTTTGAATCAGTAGTCAATAGCCGTTGGTTTTCTGGAACAACAATCATTATGTTCTTGAACAAAGTTGATATATTTAAGGAAAAGATAAAGAAGATACCATTAGAAAGATACTTTCCTGATTATGGTGGAGGAAAGAAGGTCAATTTAGCAGCAAAATACATCTTGTGGCGATTCAATCAAACAAATCGAGCCAAACTAAAAATCTATCCACAGTAAGTCATTCTTTTTGATTCACTCAACTCATTCAAACATAGTTTAACACAAGCAACTTCGACAACCAATGTAAGTAAACATCATAATACATTCAATGTAACTTATTTCTATTAGATGGACCATACATTCCGAGGGATCAGACAAACACTTATCCAAAGTCAATTGAATGATTCTGGTATCTTATAAAGGAATATGTCTCCTCTTTTCATACTCCTTTTTTCTAAATATAACCTGTAATATACATATATATATAATAATCACTGCTTTTCATTTACTTTCAGGAAATAATAATAATAATAAAGATTGGTAAATTGAATTCCAATGCTTAGAAAAAAAAAAAGAATACTAGAATAAAGAAAGGTACATATTTATTCCCTTCAAAATAGTTGGTATGTGTGTGTGTATGTATGTGTGTGTGTGTACGTACATGAGTTTATTATTTGTAAAACAAGGTACAAAACAAAACTTAAGCAGAAGCAGTAACAACCTTCTTGGCTTGAGTACCTTCACGGAAACCGTTCTTGAAACGACGTTGGACATCCTTCAAGTGGGCCATACGACCAGTACCGGTAGTCTTTCTACGCTTACCCTTTTCAGACCAGTTGACTATAGTATGTTAGTGGGTCATCTCAATGACTCGAAACTACTTACAAGATCTGATCTTGGCAGCAGGATAACCACATTGAGCGCAAGTTTTCTTTTGCTTGTGGAAAGAGCGGTTGCCACAACGACGACACAAAGTGTGAGTTTTGGTGTGACGCTTACCGAATGAGCTGGTACCCTTGGTCTAATCAAGCATGTTAACAATCAAAGTTTCGACATGAGACGAGTTGGATTCCATCAAAAAGAGATCTTGATTTTTGTTGTCGAGTTTCTTTTTTTTCTTATAAATTTTATATTGTATTGACAGTGATTGTTATCGAACATGCTGCATGATGAGTCTAATCAATTTATATTTTATCCTAGCTCGTTTGTTACAAATATATCCAAATTCAAAAAAAAATCCATCCATCCATCCATCTGTTGCTCTAAGGTTCTTTGGTATCTCTTTCCGATGATGATCAACTCGTCCATCCTATCAAAGAACAAGGGAAAAAAAGTACATTACCATTCTTTATGTATTTTATTCAGAAGGAGGATTCAATTGCTCACTGCATTACAGCACCAGAATACATTTCAGAGGAGTTTTAATTTAAGAGTGGGATTTAAAGTTGCTCACTTTGACTGGCCTCTTCATTTTTCACTTTCTTTGTTGCAGGTTGTTGGCTATGATGATTTGATGATGCTCGTTTCTTTTTCATTTCCCTTCGAACAGAAGCAGCAACTGTAGCATCTGCTTTAGCAATCATTCGTAATTTATCAGCTGATTCAGCAGTTGCACGTCTTCTTGGGTATCTTGATACGGTTGCATTGGTGCTTGAGGCTGTGTCTTTTGATTGAGGATCCATGGCCTTTGTCTCGACTTTAGGCAAAATGTTCATTGGTTTTGATTGAGTATGCATTGCTTTTGGCTTGGAATTATCTTCAATAGTAGTGTCGCTATTTTGAATAAGTTTCTTAGTCATTGATGCAGTGTTCGTAGCCTTTCCATTTAAACTAGACTGATCTTCTTGCGTCTTTTCTTTCTCATTATCGACCATAGTAGGCTCGTTGTTTACCGAAAGTGAAGCTGTTCCAATAAGTTTGTGTTGGGATAATTCAGTTGTCTTCTTTTTCTTCTTTTGTGTATCCTCTTGTTGAGGTTTGCTTTGTTGCTTTGATTCAAGTCGCTCTTGACGTTTCTTTTCTCTTCTCGCTTGTTTTTTCTCGCTCTTTTTTTGGAGTTTAAGGCTCTCTTGGTACACAGCATGGTTTATCGATTGAGAAGCACCTGTCTTCTTTGTGGGTTCAGGGATAGAAGGCAAATCATCATCTGGGCTGAATAATGTATTCTCGTGACTCAATGGTCGACTAGATTGCTTCTTCTTTTTATTTGTGCTTAAACCTAAGTTCTGAAAAATATCAAATGGGTTAAAACTATCCTCATCGCTGTCGTCTTCCCCTTCTATTTCATGCTTGTGGTGTTCTGCATCATCATCATACAATTGCCATGGATCTTTTGGCTTCCTATAGATTACTTTATCAGTCATACTCTCTCTTTTGTGATTGATATCATACGCAGGCAAAGTTTGTTTGATTGACATGAATTCACCACTTTCACCTTGATCGTCCCATCCTTCTTGAGAAATGTAATTTCCCATGAGATGGATGGTACTATGGACTGATTAGCAAAAAAAAAAAAGCATTTATAAACACCCTCTATTGACTTTACTTGGGTCCTTTGGATCGAAAGACAACAGATTCACCTTCTAAACAAGTGATGTTCAACACTTGTTGTTCAATCTATACAGATCTTTTAATTTTTTTCAGATAAGATCACTTACCTTTCTCGGAGTAAGTGAACAAAGAAGAAATCGATGGTCTTGGAACTGCATATAGACCGATGTACGTTGCGATCCTTCAAACTGACCAATACTAGCCTACGTTTGTTGCTTAATACACTATCCCATTTACTTTTTTTTTTTTTTTTTTTTTTTTTTAATTCTACCATTGTGATCTTAAAAGAAGCCTGTACTTTTATGACATAGTCTTGCTCAGGAGTCAACTGGATTCCCCAAAGACCTCTTATAAGCATGTTTATTGTTAAAAAAAAAAAAAAAAAATTAAAAATGGTTTCGATTTTCAATTAAATTCCAGTGTTTAAACCACTGTCGATTGGCGTATAACTTAATATCACCTTCCATACCAAATGAAAAGGGTGCAAAGTAAACAAAGTTAACAATGACCAGACAAAACATAATACCATAAACAGCATAACGCTTTTGAACAGACATGGATTCTACAAAATGTTCAAGCAAGAAGGGAACCATAAACACACTGAAATACAAGGCAGGGAAATAGTGGTGAATATAAGTGATACGACCCATCATATAGAACGGAATATAGTGAAAGAACCAACCCAAAAAGAACAATTTGCCTACAGAGCAGAATTGATTCCATCGGCCTGGTGTCATATCAACCAAATGTCTTCTTTTGCGAATCATGTAGACACCTGTAGCCATCACAAAGGAGACAATGGCCAGTGTAGAAGACCACCAAACAACAGGGTTACCAATAAGATAGTATTTAATGGTCTTTTCATCCCAACCACACATGCGAAGGCCCACAGAGACCAAGGGCCATTCAGTAGGACCTGAAGCCAACAAATCATCTTTATCAGGATCAGGCACAAGTGCATTATTGCTATGCCACATCATTACATTCAAATGCCAGAAATCTTGCCAGAAATGAGAACGATACGCATTTTCTGGAGCAGGAGGCAATGCACTGTGATGATTGTCTTCAATGTTCCACCACGTATGAGGGTCCGAGGGCAAACTCTTTCGATCACATACCACTTCTTGTTGTCTAAACCCCCATTGAGGCAAAAGTACATTGTGAGAAGCCAATAGACAGTCTAGGAAGATATGGCGTAATCGGAACCGGGTAGAAAGAGCCTTCACCTGCTTTGTGTCCTTGTCAGACATGTCCTTGACGATTTCTACGCGCCAATTGTCTTGCACATCGCCTACTTCTTCACTACCATAGGCACTCACTTCCCAGTGCTTTGTGGAGACGGGTGCATAGATAGGATGGCTATGGAGGTTGCGATGGGTTGCCAAGTGGTAAAGACGAATGATATCGCCATCTTGAAGGAATTCAAGTGAGTCACTTTCATGTGTCTTTTGTTCTTGCGTAGAGTCATTCGTACGTGGGTATCGCACTTGCCAAAGATTGTTATCATCCTTAAATCCATAACCTGTGATTTGCTGTTGTTTAGAGCCATCAGGATACATATGAGGATGTGAGTGTAAGAGACCACCACCATAAGCAACGTTTTTAATGGTCACATTTGAACCAAAAACAATTTCTAAAGGGTTGTTCTTGAATGAGCTTCCGTTTAGTCTGGCTTGAAATAAGGAACTCATGTTGGCATCTCCAGGTCCACTGTTGCTCAAGAGATAGAAGTGAGCAGCAAAGCTTGCGACATAAATGACTGAGGGAATAGCAATCAGACACACACCACGTGCAAGCCAATGACAAAAATAAGTCTTTTTAGGCATCTGTAAATCACCCAACATGTCCCATAAATCTTCAAGTGTATAGGTACCAGCCAATGCAACAGCAAACAAACCCACCCATTTCACACTATGTGCTTATTTTCAGAACACTCCTAGATGAATCATAACCTACCTCAAGACACAGCCTAATGACATACCAAGCCCAAACATCCAAGCCCACCAAGCCAATGAAAATGGTCTAAACAATAAAGCATGAATAGCTATGCATAAATTAAAACAGGCTTACTCGTCTCTCTTGGATCGAAATCCAGCCAGACAGAAAAAAGTAGCACCTGTAAAGAACAAGAGCATGGAATCCAACAAGACAAAGCGACTGATAGTCAATAAGGCATTGTCCAATAAGACCATGGTGGCTGCTAAAATACATGATTTTATCGATAGACCAAGATAGCGGGCAGTACCATAGGCTAAAGGAACCAACATCACACCCCAAGCAGCATTAAAGACACGCATGGTGACGATATCTAAATCATCAGGATAAGCTTGACCTGATTCAAAGCTGAATGATCCATTGTAATTGGCCAAGACACCAGAAAAGCCAACCAACATTTTACCCAAAGGTGGATGTACATCAAAATAGAATTCGTTTTTTAAATAAAACGAACCAAACTATCCTTCATGTCAGTTTACATACAATACTAATTTTTTTCTTTTTCTTTTTACCTTGCCAAAATGTGCCTATGTCGAATGAGTTAGTTTGAGATAATAAAACAAGTACTACTTACCTCATCCCAAATGACTTTTCTTGCTTTACCAATCAATCGAAATCTTGTCCAGACAGAGATAAGTGTGAGTAGAGTAGCAGCAATCCAATGCTGATATTTTCGAATGAATTCTGTTGACTAAATCACAATGTTAGAATAAGAAATACACATACGCATATAAAGATGTTGCCTTTGTCTTTTGATTTGATTTAAATATCTTGGATTCTTTTTCACAATAAAAATCAACAGATTCAAATGTATCACTGTACTTTGGTGGTGGTGAATCTGGTGTAGGTGTGAAATGATGTCTTCTTTTTAGTGTATCCATCTTGTCTACAGATAGAAGAAGAAAAGTAAAAATAAAAGACATTCTTGTCATTTTATGGTTGTGTTTTGTTTACTTTCTTACATATTTAATTAAAGCACTTGTCAAAGAAAATTTAAGTTTTATCCGAGCTTAAAAAAAAAAAAGCCCCTCCTCCTTTTTTCATTATTTAAGGGGAAAAATGCTGCGACATGCTTGTAGACTTAAGCGACCTATAAGTGTAGCACCTATGGTAGATATTAGTACACCTGTAAGTTAGACTAGAAATCAATTTTGTTCTCATTGAAAAGTTAGCCATTCTTAGAACTACTACATATTATATCAGGACAAGATCGTTATGACTATTACACCGAGATGCATCATTGTCGAGCTATTATTCACCATGCAAATCACTTGGATCGGTTTGTAGGACCACCTCGATCCAACATGATTGTCCAATTAGGAGGATCGCATGTGGAAGATATGGCTACAGCAACCAAGATCCTTCAAGATCAAGGTTATGCAGAGGTCAATATCAACAATGGTTGCCCTAGCCCTAATGTACAACATGGTAGTTTTGGTGCTGTCTTGATGAAGACACCTCAGACTGTAGCTGATATATTGACTGCCATGGACAAGATGGGCGTAACCATGCCTGTCACTGTCAAGTGTAGAATAGGAGTAGATCATCAAGACACCATGGAGTTCTTGCATGACTATGTCCATACTCTATTGACAAAGACATCAAAACCACCTCCTCATTTGATTGTTCATGCAAGGAAATGTATTTTGAAAGGACTTTCACCTAAACAGAACAGAAGTATACCACCACTCAATTACGAAAGAGTGTATCAGTTAGTAGAGACATTCCCTGACTTGGTTGTCTCTATCAATGGTGGATTCAATACAGTAGAAAGTATTCAAAAAGCATTAGACAAAGTAGACGGCTGTATGATTGGACGCAAAGGTAGAGTAATTCTGTAAAATCCAATCACTCAACTTTCTTTAAAGTCATGGATGAACCCTTGTTTTTACAACAATTAGATTGTGCTCTTTATGACCAAACACCCAAATCTGTTGATCAGATTGTTCAAGATTACTTGGATTATGCAGATAGACTATACGCTACAAAGCCAAATGACGACTACCATCCTCCTCCTCCTACACTCATGATTCGACCTTTAATGGGCTTATACAAAGGTCGAGTGGGTCGAAACTTTCGTCGGGAAATCCAGCATACATTAAAAGCAGATACTCCTTTACATCTTTTTCATGCTATTGTCATGCGTGCAATTCATGAAAGCAATAGTATGTTATAAGGTTTAATGTACATGGTGTAAAATAAAAAAAAAGAGGAATGCTGATCTAATGAGACAAGTACTTTCTACCCTTCATACGACGTCTGTTAATCACACGACGACCATTTTTGGTGGCCAATCTAGCCAAAAATCCATGTCTTCTTTTACGTACAAGTTGAGAAGGTTGATAAGTGTTACCATAAGTGACAAAACGCATTTGTGTGGTAAAAGGATTACGGAAGGCACCCATACTATAACTGTTAGATTAGCTTAATAAATCCAGAATCTTACGTGGCAGATAGAATGGGAGACACAGCAGGTCTAGCTGCAGCAAGAGTAGCAGCTGAAGCAAAGCGTGTAGTGGTTGTTGACCATAACTGTTGAAGGAACATGGTGTAAAGGTAAAGAAGAAAAAAAATTATGGCAGTCCCCTTGGAGTATTGTCACCCCTTGTATGACTAACCAATGAGAAAACGATTTATATCGGAGAGTGAATATCCTTTAAAGGTAACTCGCTTAAAGCGGCTTATTTTGTGATCTGACAAGACAGTCGTTGTGGGTCTATTTAAATGAATATGTAGTTAAAATATAAAAGAAGCTAAGTTTTCTTCCAAATTTAGTGGAATATTGCCACTGTTTTTTCTTTTTATGCATAGTTCAACAAATGTATACTTTTACTGCGTACACAACATCAGCTGTTATGTAAATTGATACAGCACCCAATAAAAGTATGATCCAATATGAGTAATAAGGAATATTCATGCCAATTTATCCTTAAGACTCCGAACTCTTTTTTTTTTTCTCTCTCTCTTTCTTTTTACATTCTCTTTCTTTATTATTACAATGGCTAAAGACTCACTTGAGTCAGGAATTTCTTTACTTACTCGTTGTTATCCTTATGGAGCTCTACCTCCTGAAATTGATGACCAAGGCAATATAGAGTATAAAGTAATATGGCTTGTTTCATGACTGTAGTCTTAATTCGTTGCAATAGCTTAAACTTATCAATCCTTCACTTGAAAGACTAGAGCATTTAATTACTCAAATGAAATGGAGGTTGGCTTCTTTATGATACTGATTGAGTACTCAATAAACAATTAGATTATCAGAAGGAAATGGAGAAGCTGTTTATGAAATTGGTGTTGATGATGATGGCACGATTAAAGGTACATTCAAGTTGTACACACATAAAATTAAAAAAAAACACACAGGTTTAACACAAGAAGATATGTGTACATCCATACAAACACTACGTACAATGGCCACTGCTTTAGAAGCCGATATTTCTATCATGCGAGAATTTAAATTGGACACCATCATTGATTTAAAAGTAGCAGAAATACTTGTCAAAAAAAGACCGAGTGACGATGAAACCCAGCACTTTACTGACTTGCGCATTGTGCTTGTGGGAGGGCTAGGCGCAGGTAAATCAACATTGGTCAGCCATCTTGCTCATGGTGCCAGAGACAATGGCCGAGGAAGAGCTCGATTGAATCTACTGCGGCATCGTCATGAACTAGAGTCAGGTCGAAGTTCGTCTATTTCGCATGAAATCATTGGATATGATTCAGAGGGTCATTTAGTAAACTATGCCACCACTAATGTCAGTACTTGGGAGCAAATATGCGAATCCAGCAATAAGATTATCACCTTTCTAGACACATGTGGGTATCCCAAATACTTGAGGACAACGATCTCTGGTCTGATGGGCTACGCACCTGATTACGCTTGTCTGGTGGTTGCAGGAAATGCAGGCGCAGTGACAGACATGACTCGAGAACATTTATCAATTGCTGTCATGTTGGATGTACCTGTGTTTGTCGTGATTACCAAGGCTGATATTGCGACACCGGATCAATTGAGAAGTACATTGCACTCCTTGTTAAGTATGCTGAAATCACCTTGGATGAGTAAAGTGCCTGTGGTTGTCCAGACAGAAAACGATTTGGTGACATGTGCTTCTCATTTTGCTAGAAGGGGGCCAGAATTGCCTATTTTTATGGTCTCGAATGTGACTGGATCCAAGATACCTTTATTGCAACAATTCTTTCATTACCTCCCTAAACCAACTCGCTTAGATTATGATGCTTTATTAGAAGAACCCGTTGAATTTCAAATAGAGGAAGTGTATTCCTTGCCAGGTAAGCTATAAGAGGAGGAGGGGAGAGAGAGAGAGCTTAGTACATGGCTTATACCGTCTTAGATGTAGGCACTGTTGTGGGTGGTGTATTAAGCCAAGGTCGAGTCAACATCCAAGACCATCAAGATTATTATTTAGGACCTAATGCAAAAGGAGACTATGTCAAGGCTCATGTGATATCCATTCATCGGCATCGAGTTCCTGTTCATTTTGTGCATTGTGGTCAAACAGCTACTATGGCATTAGACTATCCATCCGACTGGAAGATTCATAAGGGCATGGTTTTGCTGGGCACAGATCAGCCTGAAAGTTATTTTGAATTTGAAGCTGAATTGGTAGTTTTGTTTCATGCAACAGGTGTGTTTCATGGTACGTGTGGTATGATTCATTCTGGTTCCATTCGTCAACATGCTCGAGTGATATCAGTCACAAACGAGAAAGAAGACCATGCCATTCATTCGGGTGGACAAGGCAAATGTACATTTCGATTTATGTATGAACCTTGTTATTTGCGTTTGGGAGCTCAAATATTATTTATGGAAGGCAAATCAAAGTGCTTGGGAAGAGTGACACACTTGAAGAAGTGATGCTCTATATATATATATATATATATTTTGCAGGAAAGTGCGAGAAAACTAAATTCAATGGCCGAATGTGACACTATAAAGCCTTGCCTTTTTTCTATTTTTTCTTTTTTCTTCTTTGATCATTACACTATGCAGATTTTGCCACTCCTTACACCCACGCATTACAATACAAAGAAACGACCAAGGTCATATACAGACGACTTTGAGTCCCATTATTTAAAAAAGAGGTTAATTTCTACTATGAAGCCTGACTTTAAACCTATGACTCCTCCTATTTCATCAAGGGGAAATGCAACCAGTATCAACACTACATCCACTCCTCGCATCCATATGCTCAATGTCAATGGAACAATGCTTCCCATGGAACAAAAACCGGGTCAATCGAAATACACAATTCCCGATTTTGTCTTGTCAGACAAACCTAAAAAGTAAGAACCTATATTATGCCTAAATGACCTCTTACTCATCTATACATTCTAGTTTGCTATCAGGTCCATTAGTATTATATCAAAAGAGCACACTGTGCCAATCACCTACAATCACAGAATTAAGCGACAGTGACAGTATTACGAGTGAAGAGTTCGATGAGGAATATGAGCCAATGGATCTCGACTAAATTTATTTATTTATGTATTGCATATTCAATTAACATTCTTTACGCTAAAAAAGTAAAGATAAAAATACCCAGTTTATTTATTTGAATAAAAAGGATGATGTCTCTCTCTCTCTCTCTCTCTCTTTTTTTTCTCTATTCTGTTTAGTATGAAAAGACTTGTAAAAATAATTGTATCAGTGATTTTGATCAGTGTTGCCTTGGTGGCATTAGTACACAAAACTTCTCCTGATGTCTCTTATGACTTGGATTTACTAAACAGGTTCTGTCAGTCAAAAGAAAGTAACAAAGTAAACTATCTATTTGAACACACAGAAAGTGATCGACATCTCAAGAGTAATGTATGGGATGGTGTGCCTGTCAAAGGTGCAATATATATGTTTGTCAGAAACGAGCAACTGCAAGATGCCCGTGCCACAATGCGCAGTATTGAGGATCGATTTAATAGTCAACAGGTCAATGGGAGTTATCCTTGGATCTTTTTAAATCACCAGAGATTTACGCCTGAATTTATCAAATATATTAGAAAAGTCGCCAATGATCCAGATCAAGTATATTTTGGGCGTGTTGATCTAGAAGCGTGGCATTATCCAGCCTGGATTGACTCACATCGAGCTGAAAATGCTGTGAAGCGAATGGTTGCTTTAGGCATCCAAAACTCATATAGTCTATATCATCGTCAACGTATGAGGTAAACTAGGATGTATACACAACCGGATTTTCTTATCTGTGATCGATATAGATATCAAACAGGCTTGTTTTTTCATCATTCATTGTTTGATACAGTGGAATATGTATGGCGTGTAGAGGCAGGCACTGTGTATGCATGTGATATGTTGTCTTCTGTGCATGACCCCTTTGTAGCCATGAAATTAGGGAATAGGAAATTAGGTAAGAAACGTATAAGTCAATGAAGTCTTATTAACAACCCTATGAGGATTTACTGTTACGATGAAGGAGAACCCTGGTTCTGTGTTTAGTCTATGGCCAGCTTCACTACAATACATTCGAGAGAATGCAAACATGATTGTGCCTATTGAAGACGGCATTATGCCTTGGCTTATGAACCGAAAACATGAATACAATTTCTGTTATATATGGCCAGACCAAGAGTTAGTCAGTATAGCGTATTTAAGATCCGAGGAATACAAGGCCTATTTTCATTATCTTGACCTTGTGGGTGGTTTCTTTTACGAAAGGTAAAGATGTTGTTCCATCACAACCCTATTCATGCTATTATAGATGGACAGATGGATCAGCAAAGACAATTGCAGCAGCCATGTTTTTAAAAAAGAAAGAAATCAAGTTCTTTAATAATATTGGATTTACAGATGCTGCTGCTACTCATTGTCCTTTTGGAAGTAAACTTATGGACCGATGTACATGTGATTACCAAGAGAATTATAGTAAGTTGAAAAATACCATAATTGTCCACTCACCCACAAATAGATTTCAAAAGAAACAGTTGTACTATTAATTTACTTCGATACATTGATCCACCCGCTATCGAAAATATGGTTTCTTTTGCCAAACAAAAATTGATACAAGAAGAGAAAAACTAAGGTTTAATCTTCCTCGTCTCATTTCCAACACAAAATAAAACTTTATGCTATATCCTCGCTTCTTTTCTTTTTTTTCTTTTTTTTTATGGCTTCATCAAGTAATGGACTTGCTGTTTCTTTTGAGACAAAATTAGATTTGTCAGATAGTGGTTCTTTGTAATGTAAGATGTCTTTTAGCAATTTCTGATACTTTTTATAGTCTTCCTTCCAGTCTATTTTTACCTCGAACCAGTTACTTCAATCAAAAGAATGCAGCCCAAATTCAGCAGCTACTCCTACGACGCAATAGGCTGGAGTCATTAAAAGCTTACGAAAAAGCATTGATGCAATTCAAACAACACTTGATAGAACTATCACTTCGAGAAAACAGCCTTGGGCAATTTCCACATGAAGTCTTGATGTTTGACCATTTGATTTCGCTCTCTTTAGCACATAATGCATTGACATGCATCGACATGGGTATTTTACCTCGATTACCTCATTTGCAATGGCTTAATTTAAGTCATAATCAACTGGAAACATTGCCCTCAGACCTTGTCTGTTGCCATCAATTAAGAGGATTAGACTTGGAAAATAACCATATTCAGAGTAAGATATATATATATATATATATATATATATATACAATTAACTAGGATTCTCATACAATCATAGCCTTTCCTCAAGTCATATTCTATCTTACACGCCTTGAGATCTTAATGATACAGAAGAACAAGATTAAATCTATGCCTCCTCATTATCGTCTTCCAGATTCACTCTCTACACTCAACTTAGCCTTCAACATGTTCACTCAAGTACCCAGCTTACTGACTGACTATCCACCTTGCTCCATCACACACCTTTATCTCTCTGGGAACCCACTAGGAAAACTTCCTTCTTCTTTCTTGTCGACAGGCTATACACACCTTGTCAGTCTTGATTTACATTCTTGCCAATTGGCCACACTAGATAACGTGATTTGCAAACGACTCTCGCACTGTAAAGACTTTCGACGCTTCAATCTGGCCATCAACCAATTAACAGAGATACCAACAGAGATAGGTCTACTAACACAACTCCAATGGCTCAACTTGAACGATAACCAGATCACTCATCTACCTCCTACCATGATCCATTTAATTTGTCTTGTTAAACTAGGCCTTGTTCAAAACCGAATTCAATCCATACCGCCTTTTCTGTTTGTCTACATGAGTCAGTTACAGAAACTAGATATTCGTCGTAACCAGATCAGACACATGCCGCCTTCAATACTTGCTTTGGCGCCTCAGCATGAAGTGCATGAACACATTGATTTGTCTGTGCCGCATACTATCTTTTGTAATCAACAGCATGGGTCTTTGAGAACACTGTTGTTGTATGAAAATCAAGCCATGGAGCATGTCGATGGTATTCTTTATGATTTAGGTGAATGTGACACTGTTCAGCTCATGTCGTTAAGAGAGGCCTATCGTATTTTACAAGTCGCCAGATCGTCCAAAGACGCAGAGGCATTGCTTCTCAAAGCATTTGTGTCACCTAAAAACCCACATACAGTCCATGGACTGTCTGAGATTGATAGTCACGAAGAAGAAGAAAAAGAAAGACACCATTTAGTCACTCAAGTCAGTTCTCTAAAAGAACTCTCCCTTCGGTCTCATCTAAACAGGTTCTGTCAAACCACACAAGACATAAGCCATCGACGGGACCAAGATAGGCATGCATTTGTAGACAAAGCATTGCCTGAGTCCATCGTACCTGATTTGATTTATGCTTCTGCTTACCGTTCTGCTAAACAATGTGATCTTTGTCATGGATGGTATACTGTCTCTCATTTTCAGATAGGTTATTTGGCTAGACTGTGTAACAACCGACTTCAGGTGCCTATTCGGTTCGCTATGTGTTCTTTTCACTGTGCTATTCAAGCCATGATCAAATTACATCAAGCTTCTTTAGATTGCCAGCCCATGCCGCCTAAACCAGTCAGCACAGGTAAGTATGAGACTATACACTCTGATGCGCTAAAAAAAACGATACGTAGAACCTACAAGAACGATCAGGGACAGAGTGACTCAATTGGCATCGACATTGTTAAGTGAAAGAAGAGATCCACCTGCCATCATGTCCATCACATCAAGAATTGTAGGAAGCATTCTTCATACAGAACAACCCACACTGCCTCTATCTACACCTACACCTCATCCTACTGCATTCCAACATCTTCCAAGAGATGCTATCCGCTTAGAAAGATTTTGATTCTTGCTTAAAATAAAGAAGAGTACATTGCTAAGGTTTTGACTGAAAACTGCTATTTTCGCTTTTAAGTGTCCAAATGTTTAGCAAAATATACATATATATATATAAGAAAGTTTCGATAAAACCAATTCTTTTTGCTATTCTGTAAAGCATTAATAGCAAGATGACACTAAAAAATAAAGGAAAAGAAAGAGTTTTTCAAAATTATCATGAACAAGAGAATAATTGAAAGGTTCAGTTATCTGTTAGTTATCGACATTTCTGGCTTAAGCCCAACAAACTTGCTTTATAACCATGTTATTGAATGAACTGTCAATATCTTTGATACTATCATACTAGTCTTGGCTTACGCCTCTTAATTCAAAATAGCTCTAATGATCTGAAAATCCTGACTTATTTTTTGAGTAGAAGTAGTCGTACTCTTTTTTTTTTCTGGAGTGTTTAGTTCGTTTAGCTTTTATCTTTCTTAAGTTTATACAATTGAAATCTATTTGATTGACCAACGCTCTACATAACATAGCTTTGCTTTTCTAAAGCAATGAATTATCGTAAGACCATGCAAGGTTTATTCTATATGGATGAAGGCTACACCCAGCCACTAAGACTAGCTTCCAATGCAGTACAACCACTATCGCCTGTTGTTCCCTCTACAAAAAGATCTGCTTCTGATATTCCTCTAGGCAAAATTTTTACGTCTCTTTAGAACTGTAGCACGAACAATATTAGCAAATAACATTTTCCGTGAGTTGAATACCAAGAAAAGACCAAACCTCAATGCACTGAAGGCCAAGTCTTTCAAGAGTAATATTCTAAGAGGTTTCTTTGCTGAAATAGACACATTAGGTAGTTTAGAACTATGAGGATTTGCAAGCCGATTGACACATGATAACAACCTGCCATTCACAGGAAATAAAGGGCGCCAAGACTATGTTAAACAAAATTTCGATGCCATTACTCAATCCATCAAAGATTGTACCTCTAAAGCTGCTCCATCTGCTGAAACCGATAAATCCTCTGAAAGATATTGAGCATTCTTAACTATCCAAAGACAGACAGCAGCTTTGAAAGTAAGACGACGTTTGAAGCATATCAAAAGAATTGCTATGAAGTTGTCGAATACCTCAACATCGTCTTGTGCACCTTCAAGTCCCAAACATGTTGACAAGAATGACGTTGGTGTTTTTCGTGTTGAAGAAATCAAGTTCAAAGAGTGGAATACAATCAAAAAGGATCTCTCTTTCTCTGGTATTGACAATGGTATCTACAATCTTTCCGTTACGACACCTTTTGATTTGGATTAATTGTCATTTCATCTAAGAAGATGCCGATATTGACGCTTCCATGTTAACATGGCCTCCACGTAGTATCTTAAAATCGAGTCAAGTAGACTCTTTCTGTGGACACGCTAAGGCAAGAAAAAAGTTGGAGAAAGATAAAAGACGTACAGAAGAAGGCAAGAAAGTAACAGCTGTTCAAGACATTCTTTTTGCAATGTCCTGCCAATGCTGCAAAGTTCAAACAAAGATACAAAGTTCGTTTAAGCCATAGAAAAAAGAATTACGTGATTTCTATACTCCTAGTAAAAGAACCAGTGCTATCAGAAGGAATGAACTGTAGAATACCCATACCCGCCTAGAAAGATCTGTAAGCAAGAAAAGAAGTCTGTACAAAAACAATGTAATAACTGCTCATGATAGCATATGATTAGTATTCATTGTGTCATTTTGAATAGGTCCTAAGAAGCCAAAGGCTTGTTTATTTGTTGGAGATCGAGACCTTGGTATTAGCTCAAAGATAAAAGAGTATAGGCGATATGAAAGCAGAAACTACTCGGGAGCACAAGTGTTATATGCATCACAAACGAGTATAATACATCCTAGACTTGTGTCTTTTGTTTCCAAAAATTAGTCCACCCAGTTAACAGAAGCGACAAGGGAACAAGAACATTGAAAGGTGCTTTTGATCGCTTGAATAAGGACTGTATTTTTTTGAAGAACAACAAGGCGGCTACGTCTCGTGACCGATTGTCAGCTCTCTGGCAATTGGTATTGTTGGTCTCTCTACAATGCTATTCCCCGCATTTTCCATAAAACTCAGTCAATATTACACTGAAAATGATTTCAAACAATTCCTAAATCGAAGAGTGCGTGAGGTTGATAATAGTTCTGCTACTATCAATATGGATGGTAAGTGGTAATATGTCTCTAAAATCAAACTTCTCTATAGTTGGTGGTACTCTCTGAGTGACTGCGGTTATTGTTTGAGTATCAATCGACATTCAATAAAGAAAACGCGTCTATGATAAATACGAGCCCTTTTTTTTTATTGTAAAAAAAAAACTCAATATGGCTACTCAGTCAAAAGAAAACACGCAGCTTGCTTCTCAAGATGTGGGTCTTATCTTTGTTCGTGAATACTATACCTTTTTGAACAAGAAGCCTCATCGACTTCATGCGTTTTATAACAGGGATTCTTTGTTTGTTCGAGGCGATGAAGGCACTATGACCATCACTGTCAAGGGACAAGAGGTAAACCGTGCTATGTTTATACAAGGTACTTATCGAATGTATAGGAGATTCGCAAAAAGATCGAAGAATGTCAATTTGAAGACTGCAAGGTCTTGGTCACTCAGGTCGACAGTCAAACATCAGCTAACAATGGCATCTTGATTCAAGTCTTGGGTGAAATGTGTAATCAAAATGGACCTTCTCAAAAGTTCAGTCAGACCTTCTTCTTGGCACCTCAACCCAATGGCTATTATGTATTGAACGATATCTTTCGATTCTTGAAGGACGAGGTTGAGATTGATTATTATACCTGTGAGCAACAAGAGGTAGCTGTTGAACCCAAGAAGGAATCTGTTCCTTCCTCTCCACCTCCTCTTCGAAAGATTGAAACTGTGATTGTTGAAGAACCTGTTTCTCCTGATATGGGGAAGAGAGAATTGCCCGTGAAAGCAGAGCTTGTTAAGGAAGAAGTGGAAGTACCTGTTCAAGAAGAACCTGTCAAGAAAGAAGAGCCCGCTAAAAAGGAAGAACCTGTCAAGAAAGAAGAGCCTGTTAAAAAGGAAGAGCCTGTTCAACCTTCAGAAGACAAAAAGAAGAAGTCAGAAGGTAAACAAACAAAATCCGAACCTAAACAACAACAACAGAAACAACAACAGCAAGCACAACAACAACAATCAAAGCAAAATGAAAAACAAAGTGAAAAGCCTGCTCCTTCTGTCCCCAAACCTTCTACTCCCAAGACATGGGCTAACTTGACTGCAGCAGCAGCAGCACCTAATGGTACTGCTAGTCCTGCTCTTTCCACTCCTGCTACCACTACTACTACCACTACCCCTACTACTACTACTGTTCCTGCTCCTTCTAACACATCTACTGACAAGTCTGTGCCTTCTCTTCCTACCACAAATAACAGTACTACAAATACATCAAACGAAAAACCTCAACAACAACAACAACAACAAAATAAAAGCCAAACAAACCGTAGAAGTAAGTAGATTGAACTCATGAATCTCTCTTTATACTCATCTTATAGTCATTGATCCTACACAAATCTTTGTTAAAATGGTAAATGAAACTGTTCATGAAGATCAATTAGTAGATGCATTCAGTAAATTCGGTACAGTCAAATCTTGTAACATTTCTCGTCATAGAAACTGTGCCTTTGTTGAATTTTCTACACCTGAAGCATGTCAAAAAGCATTGGCTCAACACAAAGTACAATTAAGCACAGGTCAACATGTGTTGGCAGAAGAACGTCGTTATAATGTCAATAGCCAACAAAGCCATCAAAGATACAACAATAACCAGAATAGAATACAAACATTTGATCAACGTCGATCCAACAACAGTAGCAGTCGTCGTCAACAACAACAACAACAACAACAAAATAAACAGCAACAACAAGGAAAAGGAAGAGGCACTAATAAATAAATAGATAGATATATATGTATATATGTATATTTCTTTAATAAACTATGCCTTGTCCATCTTTTCTGCCATCATGGCTACAATAGCAGCACCCACAATTCTAGAGTGTTGAACAATACCCACAGACAATTTAGAAGCTACTTGTTCAGGCACTATTTCTTTAATAGCCTCACATACTCTTGGATGAAAGGAGGGATAATCTTTATATACATCACCACTGATAGCTATAGTCATTATTCTTGTCAGTCTCAGTACAAGTCAACTTGAGCAACTTACCTATAGCAAATCCCTTGTCTTGGTCAATGCCTATGCCGTATTCTACCATGTATTTGACTACACTGGCGATACTAGCACCCAGTAATAAGGCAGCACGGTGTCCCACCCATTCACACACCTTTTTCACTATCTGTCGATCCTCTAGTGTAGTCTCACCCACACGACACATATCTTCTAATATTAAACGGGTATCTTCCAATTCACCTTGATCAGCCTCACACACATACATATAACTGGTATCAAACTGATAAGGCACCAGCAACAAACAACCTTCTTCTTCTTCGTCTTCTTCAGGTTCAAACGAAAGCACTTTGCGTTCCATCAAATATAGAATGACTTGACGAGTGATTTCGCCTAAATACATGCCTGTTGTCATCTTCTCAAAGTTGTGTATACTGGGATTGTTGGACTGCTGGTCAAGCAATTGATCAAATTCAGTAATAGGCAAATGGCGAGCACCAAAATTACACCACTCTGTATTGATAATCATGTCTTTTTGATCGGATGGACTGAATTGACCAATATTGGCCATTTTATCATAATAAGCACAATTTGTGCCTGCACTGTGAATCACACCAATACGTGTAGAAGGGTGCTGATAAGCATGGGCTAATAAGGTACATACACCATCTACGTAGATAAGTAACCTATAGCATACCATGTTGTGCTTACCGTTAGCAATAGCAACAATCTTGACTGCCAAGCCCTTGGCCTTAAATCGACTGTCAAACAAGTCCACAGCATCTCGACCAATGGCATTAGGAAATTCAAATCCATGCTCAAGGGCAATAATCTTGCCTTTGTTAAGACCTGTCTGGATAACAGCAAACCCAATGCTAATAGCCATACTATAGATCTGTTGTTTCTTTGGACTGACGCGTTCCTGGAAATCAGCAACACAGTCAGCCACATAATCAATCAGGATATCAATATCATTGCCTGCAGTCAAATCATCCGGAATCTTGTATTGGTATTGATTGATAGCTAATTTACCACCTTCGCCTTTTAATTTTACTTGACAGACATAGATATCAACACCACTGAATTCGAGTGCTAAATAAGTGCCTTGCTCATAGCCCGTAGGATAGCCTACATTCAGTCAATATAAAAGTTATACACATACACAAAAAAGAAGGTGATTACCAGTGACATAGGAAGGAATCATCTTGAGTTCACTGCTTTTCGTGGCTCGATTAGTAATGGCTAGCCCTGCTTTCATTTCCTCATTGAATCCTTGAACAAGATGATCAAGTTGTTCATTCGTCACTCGAAATGCGCTTTCTATTTGGGACAAGATGTCATGTGTGGTAGCCATAGTCATAAATAATACTGAAAAAAAATAAAAAAAGAAAAAGATTTTGTCAAACAAATGTTGTTTTCTATTGGATAAGGATGCTTGTACAAGTATTCTATATATACACACTACTTGTTTAAAGCTATACCTTAGAGGATCGCTTTCTTTTTCTTTTTATAGCAAAGACATGCTTTTTCTTTTTTGAAAGGAACAAAAAAGAGGTTAAGAACATTGATTTGTCTGTGTAGTGTTTACTGTAAGGGTCTCTTTATGCAAACAACTTCAACTTCCGCCCATATGTTTTATTTACAATTTAACGTAACTTGGCATAATCCAATGGAAGACCTATGGTACATTAGATAGATTATGGGTCATGAAATACTTACTGTTGCCTTTTGATTCACCACTAGGATAGATACGATGCTTTTTTATAAATCCAGCTCTTGGTGGTGGTAGATCTGAAGTAGGTCTGAATGTATATCGACCATTTCCTTCTGTTAAAGGCACTTGTTTTGATCCCATCATAGGAGATCGGTTGTTAAATCCATTTATAGCGGGTGACGATACATGGGAAGAAGGCGATCGAGGGATGGCAGGTGGTTTCATACCACTCATAGGAGGTACAGGTGGAGGTGGAGGTGTTGCCATAGAAGAACGATGGTTATTGGCTAGGGGTGGTGGGGGAGGAGGTAAAGGTGATCTAGGCGGTGTAGCCACAGGTGAATTTGCTCTTGGTTGATGCAATGATGAGGCAGGTGGACCTGCTAACTGACTACTGGGAAGAGGTGGTTTGGGTAATGGACTGTTTTGTGAAGAAGTCGAAGAAGAGCGAGGTCTTCCAGGTGGTAATGCTGGAGGCACAGCTAATCCGGGTTTCGAGCCGAATTTAGATCCACCAAAGCGAGACACGACTGAATTGACAGAAGGTGTGGTAGCAGGACTTTCGGGTGGTGAAGGAACGGTTCTTGGTGGAGGGGGAGGGACAGGACGCTGTGGTGAGCTGTTGGATCGAGAACGTCCTGGTAAAGAAGGAGGAATCAGTGATGCTTGGATTTTAGGTGATACACCCGAAGCAATGGGTGGTGCAGGTGGGGGAGGTGGGGGAGATCCTCCAGGTGTCATTAGAGGAGGTGGAGGAGGGGGTGGTGGTGGCGCACCCATGGATGCTGATGGTGGTAGTGGTGGAGCAGCAGGTGAAGAATGAAAAGAAGGAATAGGTGGTGCTCCTCTACCAGGAATAGGTGGAGGCGCCTTGAAATTTCTAGGCAATGTTTGCGTGCTGGATACAGGTGGTTTATTGAAAGCAGGAGATCGTCCTGGTGTGGGTGGAGGTGCTGGTGCAGAAGGACTTGCAGGTGCTATACACAAATCAATCCATGCTTTACTCCCCCCCTTTTTTCTCTCTAAAACTTACCTGTTCCTCTACCGGTATCGACAGCGGCTCCTCGTGTTTTTCGAAGTGTTGGCATACCATTGGCAAATAGTCCGCCTAGTTGAGGACCACTGGGCGGTGCTGGATTTGAAGAAGGTGGTGCTGAGGCTGTATGAGACATAGAAGGAGGTGCTCCCATACCAGGTACAGGCGGTCTTGCCATTCCACCTCCACTAGAAGCAGATGGTTTAGAAGCTACCAAGATGGCGAGATGAGAAAAAAAAAAAGAAGGTTTTCGCGCTAGGTTACTTACGAGCCAAGATGGGAGCTGATCGATCGTTTGTTACAGCTTTCTTTAAAGCCTTTCCTTTTTGAATCTGAGATAAGAGTGCAGAATCCATATTGATAAAGAAAAAGAAAGAAAGAAAGAAAGAAAATGCTTTTTTTTTTTATTTTGGCCAAGTTTAATTACTATTTAAAGCGGGATTTCGTGTGTTGTTTAACATGACGTTTATCTTCCTCGGGAAATGATTTAAACACTGTGAGATGTAATTCGTATTTTTTCTTTATGCTGATAAAATAGGCTCATCATACCTTTTAGCCAAGTAGAAATTCTTGGCAATTCTAAAGTTTCTCTTGAAAATTAAAAATAGTTTTTAGGCAGTAAAAAGATCAATTAGTCCATATTCAGCAAAGTGAGCTTATATCACATTCTTGAAAGAACATTGACTTGTTGTAGATCATATATATATATATATATATCTACACAACATGGAACAAGCAGGATAAGACATTAAAGAATGGCATAAAAGATGAGCTGCATCCTTGACTTGAAGCAGTTAAATTCAATAGAAAGCTAACTGAGAATTGAAATATCTTAAGAATACAAGTGATTGAGAGGTCCAAAAGGAATTAAACTACACAGAAAGCAAGACATGCTAAGTAGTATCACATGAAATTCATGCATGAAAATAAAGTAGAGATGTGCGACTTTTTTACATATGTGACATCTGGAGACATGATGAGACTCTAGTTTAGGTCAAAGTATCAGTATAAAAACTCTTGTTGCACTTGACACTGCATATTCATAACTGTATGTTTCTAAACATGCACTTCGGACTTTGAATTAAATAGTCTTCTTTTTTGACAGATTTTGATATTCAAAAAAAATGATGGACTAAAAGTACACAAAAATGAAGTGTCACCAAAAAGTATCATTAACAGAGCTAGTGTGTAATACCATAACGCATTGATAGACGCAAAGAGCATGATATAGCTACTGAGATATCCTTCGAAAGCCTGTCCTTCGTTTCTGGACCCTAGTGTACGTTTTTTTATAGTACTTTTGCAAAACTAACGCCTAAGGCCAAAATGACAATTTTTTGACTTTTTCAAAACTTGCTGTATTTTTTGCATCAACATGCTCTTTTATGCCTACTTTAACACAGGACACGTAAAAAAAAAGCGAAACAGGAATGAATTTACTAGATTTGAACATAATAGTAACCCTTAATTGAGTAGTGAGTGCTAATTGTCTTCCAGACATTTGAAAGGTACAACGACCAGATTAGCTGTAACTTGGCCAGCACTTGTTTTCATCATGGTTTACATTTCTAGAAGTCATTTTATCATTTTTATTTATTTATAAAGATTTCTTGTCATTGACATCTTCTACTGGTAATGGCTTGGCAAACATAGCTTCTTTAAAAGTAGCATAATGCTTCAGGACTGCAGGAGGTATTTTAGGGTGTGCAGTAGGTGGTGTCAACATGCTATCTACTTTGGTTCCTAATTCAGTTAATACTTGACGAGCGCGAGGAGACATATGATAGCGCATACGTAAGAATTGACCATACAATAAGATGGAAAGAATACTAGAACGGAATCTTGAATAAAAAAAAAATTCAGTACAGTTCAATCAACAGACATATAAACATACACAAAGAACCCAAGCACAAGACGTCCCATCACACCATAGACTTCCAATTGAGCACCCAATACCATGGCTTGTTCAAAACGCTCTGTAATGATCTTTTGGATAGATTTCTGAATGTTGGACTGGTGAGGAGCCAAATTTGGAATCAAGTCAGAGTCAACATATGTCAATACGTGAAATATGGAATAAATAAAGAACGGCAATAAAGAAACTGCGTGTTATTGTGTAACATGTTAGCATCGTGTATTCAACACTAAATTCTTACTTGAGACTCTTGACGAGATCAAAAAGTATAATGCAATCCCTAAATATTGAGCATTTTCATCCAATAAGACACGCTTGATATTTGACTCCTCACTGGTAAGTAAGGGCTAATACATCGTTAATTTATCTCCCTTTTTTTATGCTTCTCCTATTACCTTGTATGAATTATAAATGACGATACCATAAGATACTACAATACCAAGGTATGCTGATCTATAGAACAAGCTGAGTGGATGAAAAAACAAGCTTGAAAGAAGAAAGACAGTCGTGTTTAATACCACCCAGACATGGCCAGCAAACCATCCAAAATGAAGGCTCTGTGAAAGTTGAATGGATTGTTTGTTTCCCTCTAGACTATTTTACCTTAAATTCAAGTTTTGCCTTTGATTTTTCTTCTGTTTGGGTAGGGTTTTGGTTGTTTTCTAATGACATAAAGAAAAAAGAAAAGAAAAGAAAAGGAAAAGGGATTGCCGTCCATCCGATTGATTTCAATGACTTAATATAGTATCTGCTTTTACACTTCAAACTCAGACGATGCTAGTTTTTTTCTGGACGAATCAAAATTAATTTCCAGATGTTTTTTCTGCAGAAAAGGAATTAGCTTTTTATCTGTAAAGGGAAATCAATTGTTAGAGAAGCAATATCAAAATGACTGGTTATTGTGGTGTTTTTGGACTTTTTAAATAAAAAGATTGAATATAGAAATTATAAAAAAATAAAGAGACGTGTAGAAAGTACTTTGAGACCGTTTATAAATATTCATTAAGGTAAAAGTTTGAGAGAGATTCTTTATATTCTAGGTTTATATATGATTTGGATAATGTCCTTAGATGTAACCTGGGATAGGACTTGATGAGCTGAAGGTTATATTAGATGGAATAAGAGTATTGACTTTTTCAATAAAATATACTTTGCGAACCATCTTTACAGTTATTTATCATTCAAGATGAGATCTGTTTACTGGTCCCTGAATTATATGACTCTATTCCGTAGGAGTGTAAATGCTGATTCAGCTATATCATTGTTTAGAATGGACTCAGTTCTATTGCTATCAAACTATGACTAGCTGACATAATAATGAGAAAAGATTTGTTTGTGATGATATGTTTTTTTTTATTTAAAGTTATTTATACCAGATCACCAACAATAGTTAGATTGACTTGTCTGTTATAATGTTTTTTTAACGAGGTTCATCTTATTTAAAGAAAAATTAAGTTTTCCATCTGCTATTAGAGGAGCTAGCCAGTGCATCGCTGAGGCCTGCAAGGAGCTGGCAACCGCCTACGAGAATGCAGTTATAGAAAGACTGAGAAGATTTTTGCAATATCAAATTCAAATTATGTTTGTTGTAAGAGCTAATAATCACATCCATTTACCCTAATTACTTAAATATTATGTATATAGCCCATGGCTCCGAAGGACGTCGATGATATTGTTATAAAATATGGATATCAGTATGTATGCCAAGGTGAAGCGGTGTGGCCTGAACAGAAATCACTTGAAGACCCTATGATCAAACGAAGAATCGATGAACTATGCCCGCCACTTAAAAACAAACTCGATGCTAGAGTTAGTATGAAATCATTAGCTGATAACCCTGGCTTTTTTGTTCCTCTATTGTTTCATATACTGGCTGTCTTTGAAAGGGAACATCAGTCCCATAAAGCGTTTGACGTTAGAAGACTTCCTTTACCAAGGCTGTTCAATATATTCGCTTCACCATCATGCCATTGGCGATCAGTGATAATTTCGGTCAATGCATTAGCAGCATTTCTTCCTGGTGAACCACTCCCCAGAGGGTATAATGATCAGCTGCATTTATTTTACAAGGTGTTTGATTTTAAACCGCTTAGAATCAAATCGTAAGTACATAGTTGTAAAAAATGTTTTTATATAATAGTCATTTAAAATATGTTTATTATTAGGATTGAATCTTTATTACCCACTGGAACAAATAAGAGGCTCTTTAGTAACCTGATCAGATCAGACGGTTTTTCTGTTGATTTTTTTTTAACAAACGAACAATCAGAAAAAAACGTTTAACCGAGCAAATCAATCAAGTTGATCTGATTCTGGATGATTTTGAGCAGCTGAAGTTGACAGCCACTATTTACCAATAGCCGTAGATCTAGGAAGAAAAAGGGTTTTCACTGCATTTGCTGGTTCAAGTGGTAATATTAACGACTTCAGACAATGTTCCATCAAGGAATATTACTACTTGACAGGCTCTACAAAATTCTCAGCAGAGCAAGAAAAGAAAAAGAAAGCATGCGGTATTAAGACGATTGAAACAAATATACCTACCAATAAGACTGCCAATGAATCACTGTATATATGCTCGAAAACATTGGTCGTATTTTCAGTTTTTACAATCAAGAAACTGCAAAAGAAACCTTTTTCTTATACCAGGGTCGCCAACAAGCACCGGAGTAAATGGTAAAAATGTTTTTAGATGGTATCAAGAAATACAACAAGAAGTCAAGAAACAAACGAAAAAGAGCAAAGAACAAAGGGAAGCGGAAGAAGAAGGGGAATAAGTCCGGAAAGAAGGAAAGAGAAAAATGGCACCGAAAACAACAATAATTTTTACTCATAAGTTTATGGTACCTAGAGAAAGCAATTTCTTTCAATACAAACAAAAGGTACCACTGATAGTATTCGGTAATGGCATGTCTGGGAAGGACCATGTGAAGATGAAAACAGTCCGGACTGGTGTCACTGGTCTTCTATACAGAACGTTGAAAAGAAGAGAATATTTGACGTCCCAAATATGTTCCAAATGTGAAAGTAGGACTTTGGGTGGTTTAAGTGGTGCCCGCGGTAATAGTGTTCTCGTTTGCAAGACGTGCAGAACATTATGGCAGCGTGACATCAACGCTAGTTTGAATATGATGAACATTGCTAAGTCAATTTGGAAGGGTGAAGGCCGTCCAGAACGATTCAAGAGAAACTAAAAAAAAAGCAATAATCACCGTAATGAACACGGTATTTCTTTTGGGAATTAAGATTGTTATAGGTAAAATCATCTAACATACTATTGTACCTTCTCTAATAATTCTTCTCTTTCTGTTTAATTTCCATTTTTATTTCGTCCAAAATAGGTAAGAAGAGTATCTGGAAATTAATTTTGATTCGTCCAGAAAAAAACTAACATCGTCTGAATTCAAAGTAGAAATACTGTATAGTAGCTGTATGATTTAGACCCAGCTCAAGATGCTAGACCAATCAATAAGCATGCATGTCTTGGTACTACCAAGAAAAAAAAGCTTGATTTACGCTTGTTGTAAACCAAATCTTGTTTAACGTAATAGACACATAATTTACAAGAATTCATATATAGTATTGGAAAAAGACCGAAATGATGGCATAAATGACAACAACTTCATGTGATAATTTCAATACGAATTCTGTACGAAATATCCCAGTTTCTGTAAAACGATTGAATACATGTTTGTACTGTCACAAGCAATGTCTTGCATTTTTATTGTGTTGCATATTTGACTACAACCCTACAGGTCAAATGATCTACGTTGTAAAGTGAATAACTATAAATTACGATTCTATTATTATTATTATTATTTTTCTTCTTTTCTTTTCTTCTGTTTTCTAACTCTGAAAAAATGACAAACACAAAAGAAGACATCAGCAGTGATTCATTAACAGAGTCCATTAAAGAGACATTAGATCCAATACCGTATTCTGTCTTCTCTAAGAGACAGAAAATAACGATTGTTGCTATTGCTTCCATGTCTGCATTTTTTAGTCCATTCTCATCTAATATCTATTACCCCTCTATAAAGATTCTTCAACAAGTACGTTTTTTGTCTTTTTTTTTTTCTATGCCTCATTGAGTTATAGGAAATGCAAGTATCAAGCAGCATGATTAACTTGACAATCACTCTCTACATGGTATTCCAAGGAATTTCACCTTCCTTTTGGGGAACTGTGGCAGATAGCGTGGGAAGAAGGCCTGTTTTTCTCGCGACATTTTTGATCTATATAGCAGCTTGTGTGGGACTTGCGAGCGCCAATAATTTTGCTACTTTAGTTACATTGCGTATGTTACAGTCATTTGGCTCAAGTTCAGCGATTGCTGTAGGTGCAGGCACCATTGGTTTGTGTAGCCTCGTTTTTATGTATCATGTATATTCAACGTCATGTTAGGGGATATTTCTACACCCTCTGAAAGAGGGGGCAATATGGGTATATTGTCCATGGGTATCATGCTTGGACCACTGATTGGACCTTTTTTAGTTAAGTAGACTATATATATACGCACAAATGATAAATAACGCTCTGATAATAGGTGGTATAGTAACCTATGAATTAGGATGGAGGTAAATAGAGATACATTTTTCTTTTACGAAAATTAACTTTTTTTTACAGATGGATCTTTTGGTTATTGGTGATTATGGCATCAACAGTATGGCTTTTACAACTCTTTTTTCTTCCAGAAACACTACGAAAACTGGTGGGCAATGGTTCTGTTTGTGCTAATCCAACACCTTATCAATACTGGAAAAACAAGAAACTAGACAAACAACTTGAGCCTGTGATAGAAAAAGATCCAAGTAATGTGCCAATTCTACTTGCTGTTGTTATTCATGATGCATTAGATGAACCCAAACTGATCTATAGAATGTTTCAATCGTTTATTTATTTCAAGGAAAAAGATGTTTTGGTGGTTCTTCTCTATAGCTCATTAGAATTTGCATGCTTACAATGTATTTTGTCAAGTCTTACACCCTTGTTTGTGGATGCTTACCAGATTGATGAATTTAAAGTGGGATTGACTTTTTTGGCACCTGGATTTGGCTCACTTTTAGGTTCTTATGGATCAGGCAAACTCATGAATTGGCGGTTCAAGAAAATAGCTGATTCTCTTCATATGGACAAGAATAAAAGAGAAAGGTAAGAAAAAAAAAAGGCAGTAAAAGCACAGATGGTAATATCCAACAGACATAATCTAGACCCCGAGTTTCCCATTGAAAAGGCTAGAATGGGCAATGTTTGGATCTATGGCATCTTGTTCAATATAGGCATGATTGCTTATGGTTGGACTCTACATTACAGAGTCAATCTTGCCGTTCCTATCATTCTTAATTTTGTCAGTAAGTGATCATGTTTCTATCGATTCGTGTTTATAAAATCATTTATAGCCTCTTGTACTTCAGCAGCAACATTTAATGTGACAAACACATTATTAGTAGACTTATTTCCCAAGAATTCTTCAACCATTGTTGCTACGAATAACTTAGCAAGATGCCTTATTTCTGCAGTTGCTATTTTAGTTGTGCAACCAGGCGTAGGCAAGATTGGTACTGGATGGACATTTACGGCAATCTCTTTAGCATTACTTGCCTCTCGAGCATTCTTATTTGTTGAATTAGCGTATGGTCCGAGATGGCGACACAAAAGAAATGGGGTACAATAAAAAAAAATTTGAAGCTCTTTTTTCTCTCTCTCGTATTTTTTTTTCTGTTCTAACACAATGAGTGAAGCTAAATCGCAGTTACTTGTTGTGCTTCGAGAAGCTACTTCTCAAGACTATCAACGTATGAGACAAGCAGAAGAAATGCTTAAACAATGGGAAAATGAGCCTAGTTTTTTTGCTACTTTACAAGTAATACAACTAAACGCGTTTGTACAAACACTAAATAGAGTTTCTCTTACAGGATATTTTCTACGATCGCACAATAGAACATGATATTCGTTTCTTGAGTGGTATTTACCTCAAAAATGGTATTGATCGATTCTGGAGACGAACAGCTAAAAAGTAAAACATGACTTGTCAAACTCATTGTTGACATCCTTTTCTTTAGTCCTATCAGTCAAGAAGAGAAAATCACTATTCGTCAACGATTGCTTCAGTTTTTAAACGAACCTAGTAAAAAGGTAAATTCCAAATCCATGAACTCATCATTCAACGCATTGAACTTTTATTAGCTCACAGCCCAAAATGCTGTCATTGTAGCTCGCATTGCTCGTCTTGATTATCCTCGAGATTGGCCCGACTTACTTTCAACACTTGTCCAATCCATGCAAACAACACCAACAAACCAAGATCATGCACGACTTGTTCATCACAGAGCACTTCAAACACTTGGAGAAGTCTTGTCTGAATTGAGTACACGTTTGTTGTCTGCAGGACGTAAACAGTTTGCAGAAATTGCGCCCGAGATTTTCCAAGCAGTAGCTCAAGTCTATATGACCTATGTTGATCGAACCATCATCAGTCTTGGTCAATCAAGCGGTGTAGATGGTGAAGCCTTGTTACTCGAGTTAGACATTGTAGCCACTTGTGTAAAATGTTTGCGTCTTTTGATGGTCCATGGTATCAAGGATGTTCATAAATACAATGAAACAAAAGTAAGCATGTATAGGTTACAAAACATTATTGACTTACATCTTTAGACTTTTATTGAATTGAGTCGCAAACACCTTGAGCAATACATGCAATGCCGTATGCCTTTGTTATTTGTTTGATATATCACTCATTTGTTTTTTTAGGATTCGGCTTGATTCAAGTCAATTACAATGGCAAGATCAAATGTGATTTAGAGGCAACAATTGAAGAATATGGCGCACTTTATATTGGATTACAAAAAGCACATCCAGTTTCATCCACACTTTGTCCAGCATGGCTTGATATTATTCGATACTATTGGCAAAACATCATGCTGGCAGGATCTCGTATTGTTGAACAATGTAAATCAGGCCAAGAAGACACAACCAATATAGTCTTTGAACCATTTTTGCTACAGGGCATGTTACTCGTCAAAGACACAGTCAAGAATGCATCTTACAATGCAAGCCAATTAGACAACGATTTACTGTCCGTGACAGAGGAGGAAAAGCAATTGGCTGTAGAAGCAAGCCGTCTTGTTCATGAACAGTTCTTGACACTTCAATTTGTGAATGTGTGTGCAGAGACGTTGGTGAGCCAGTACATGTTATTGACACCCAGTGATTTTCGTAAATGGGAAGAAGATCCCGAGGGTTGGGCAATTGCTCTCGGTTCTGAAAATTGGGAATTTGAATTGCGTCCTTGTGCTGAAATGACTTTTATGAACTTGTTAAGTCATTATCGAGATCAATTGGTTCCTATTCTTCTTGACTTGGTAGAACGTGTGGCTACAGTGACAGATCAACAAGGTTTATTGTTTAAAGACGCTGTTTATGGAGCTGTTGGATTAGGCGTAAATTCATTGTATGGTAAATTGGATTTTGAGCCCTTTGTGATGAATCGATTGGTATTGGAACTCGGTAACAAAGACTCTCATTTCAAAGTCCTGAGACGTCGTATTGGTGTCTTGTTGGGCAAATGGGTGACGGAAGGCATTAGTTCAGACTGCAGAAAGGTAATTTATGAAATCTTGTTGCAGTTGATGGATAAAGAGGAAGACTTGGTGGTTCGATTGACAGCTGCTAGTGCATTAAAGCAGGCCATTGATGATTGGGATTTTGATATCAGTATTGTGCTGCCTTATTTAGGTTCTGCCATGACATTACTACTTAACCTGTTAAACCAAGTTGAAGAATCAGATACTATCATGAAATTGATATCATACCTGAATGCTATTATGGATAGAACGAGTTCACATGTAAGTAGATGCACAAAGACAAATCAGTGTTTAATTGGATATAGATGATACCTTTTGCAGGACAGATCATTCAATTACTCACTCCTCTATGGAGCCCAACCACAGAGCCATTGCTTCAATCATCCCTTGTGGTGACATTTACCAAGATTACCAGTGTAAGTATACATGCTTTTTATACTATCAAGTAACCATTTATTTAGATTTTAAATGATCAAGCTGTTCAATTACAAGATTTGATTGTGTCTATTGTAAGATACTGTACTGACCACAACAATGTAAGCGTATGAATACTAGTGATATGACTCACAAAAGAAACAGGAAGCACATATTTATTTGCTAGAAGACTCTTTGGATCTTTGGTGGACTATCGTACAAACAGCACCCTCAAGTACACCTCATTTAATGTCCTTGTTCCCAACAGCACTTGAATTATTAGACCATGATACAGAGAACTTGAGAAAAGTGCTCAAGATCATTGACAGTTACATTTTGCTCGATCCTCAATCCACTTTACAACCTCAATATGCACTTGTTTTATTTACCAAGTTGGCCTCTAAAGTGACTTATTCAAGAGAACAGGCTGCTTCTTATATTGCTCATACACTTGATTTGGCCTTTTCAAGTGTTCCTTTGCAAGTGTATGGTGAATCCCTTGTTCAGTCTCGACTGATGCCTAATGTGTTGGGTGTATTAATTCAAGACAAAGTAAGTAACATGGTGGTTATGTCTGTTCTGACACACAATGCAATAGATGTATGGTTATGCTCTCATGAACTACATGAACCTATTTGCTCGTCTTTCTATCTATGATGCAAATTTTGTGATCAATGTCATTCAGCTGACAGGTCAGGAGCAGCAATTACCAGGCGACTTTTTTAGTGATATTCTTGAGAAATGGTTTGATAAGGTCAGTTATATCAAGAGATGAGAAAAACTGATGATTCATGCGTATGTATAGTTTGATAATGTCAGCCAAGCAAGAGCCAGAAAATTAGCATGCTTGGGTTATACAAATCTGATGTTGACCGGTAATGCATCGGTGGTAAATAAACTACCCAATCTGATGGCTATTTGGAGCGACGTGGGACCAGAAGTAAAAGAGAGTGATGGATCAGAGTAAGTAGAGATAACTGAATCATATAGTCTAATGCCACATATAGTGTACTTTACAGTGAAGTAGATATGGAAGGCGATATCTATGAAATTGATGGTAGTGCAGAAAGCACCAGAAAGAATGAGGTATGCAACCATGTATTTGTTATATCTGTATTCACATAGTTGTGGTTAGATTTCATACCGTGATCCAATATATACCATTGATTTAGTCAGCCTTATTCGTCAAACTGTCCATGAACCCTTTATTGCACCTCTTTTAAGCCAAGTAGACAATACTCTTTTAGAACAAGTTAAGCAGCTCCTACAGTGATTGCTAAACAAAGAACAAATAACGTGACCAAAATAAAATAGAAACGTTTTGTTACTTGATTTGCCATGTTTACACCATTTCCGGAAACAGATTGCACACTGAGAGAAAAAGATTGCATATATAAAAAATTTTCAAATTGCACCAACAAAAAATAAAGACTGCACATCATTTGAAAATCATTTGCACAATTGCGCAATCTTAAAGAAGTTCTTTATTGTGTATTTAAATATTAGAACACTCATATAAGACATATCATTGGCTTAATCCAGATCATAAAAGAAGATATCAGTAACATCATCAATACTGGATTCTTTATTACCTGACGAATACTCTTCCTGAGATCTCGAATCTTTTTCCCTGGAAGTTGAGCAGTCATTTATCTGGTATCCAATAAGAAGCCTAGGTGTTCTAGAACCTGTTTGGGGCGAAGAGATGACTTCTTGTAGTTGACTAACCAACCGAGGGAGATCAATTTCTGAAGAACTTGCCTCGTATGTTGTGCTGATTCTTGATGGCTGTCTGCAATCACTAACCAGTCGTCTAGGTAAGTACTGAGCCGTATACCCTGTGATCGAGCCCACTCCAGTATCGGGCGAGTGATTTTGGTGAAAAGCCATGGCACCAAGGATAGGCCAAAAGATGTTGTACAAAACTGGTATGACTCGCCCTCCCAGAGGAAGCGCAGATGCTTGCGAGAAGAGTGATGAACTGGAATGTGCAGGAAAGCATCAGAAAGATCATAGATGTTAGCCAGTTGGATTTCTGGATCATTCGAGTCACCTGTTATATCGTTTCCATTTTGAAATGGGGTGCATGAAGATATTAATTCAGTTGCTTGAGGGTGAAAACAGGTCGATGCCCGCCGTTCCGCTTGGGAATGACGAACATGTTACTGTAGTAACCTGGTGTTTGGGGAGCAATTTCGATAGCCCCCTTGTAAAGTAGAGCCGAGATTTTTTGTTGAAGAAGCATTCGTTGTTGGATTGATTTTGGGTGTAAGGTGAGAGGAGGAGGTTGGAGAAAGTGGATGCGAAGGCCTTGTTGGATTACTCGGAGTAGCCGACCGCTGACGATAAGTTGGGTCCACTCTGAACAAAACTTTATGAGACGACCGCCCACAGTGTAGTTGGAATTTTCTATTAGATCTCTATTTAAATAACACAGCTGCTAATAAGAAACATTATTAGTATTATTGTACTTGTAAAAAATAAAAGGATTCTTCTTGCTCATAAAGCTACTATTATTGTCGCAATACTTGTCGCTTCATAACTTTTATTGTTGATAAAACGAACAACTTTGTTCCCCACAAACAAGAAAATCAATGATTTTGAATGATATGACTTGCTTTTACTTTTTCTTGTTTGTTTTGCGAACAATATTAGTAAAGTCAAACGACTAATCCGCCATAGTGTTAATCAAGACTAAAAAGAGCAAGAAAACAGAAGACACTAAGTCTGAAACTGAACCCGAAATGTCATCAACAACTTCCAATAGTAAAAAGAGACTTCAGCCATATCAAGATCGAAGACTTCCAAACTGACTTCTATCGTTCTTCTGACCAATGGCTCGTGGGAGATAAGAACATCCTTGGTGATTTCAAGAAATTCCAGGATGAGTCTTTAGAAATGACCAAAAGATGCAAGGGTACTATGCTACTCAAGAACGATATTGCCGTGTTGTTGTCGCTTTCTGGAATCTTGATTCTTAGCAAAGATATTCAGCATCCTGTGCTTAATAACTGCTTCAACACAATCAAATATTCTACTCTTGTAGATTTGTGCTGCCAAGAGTTCTTGTATCACTTGCCTCTCTTCCCTTTGCAGTCTTATGTCGCATATTCAGCTGTTGTGCAAAAGTTACTAAACGATGGCTATGACTACCGCGAAGAATTTCAAGAAGAAATGATGATGATGAAGAAGAAGGAGGGTGGACCTCAAAAAAAAATCCTTGATGCTCTCATTCATATTGCTCCTGAGGTAGTGAAGCCCTTGAAGAAGAAAGTTAGTGAGCTAGATCTGTGTGCATCCTTCGTGCAACCCTTTGTCGGCCGCCTGTTACAAGAAAAGAACAACGATCCTCATCAGTCTGATCGTGTTGTTGATGAGCTGGAAGAGATAGATGAAAAGTGCCGTCCAGATATCAAATGCTTAGTCTATGAAGGTGAAAACTACATCTTCACCAATGCTTATGGTGAGGTGAAGCCATCAAATATATATGATAAGCACCTCTTGAACTTTGATCTCTACAAGCTTGCACTATATGGAAAAGAGATGTTACAGAAGAGCAATGCCAAGAACATCCTTTGCTTCCAGATCTGGGGTGGTGCTGGAAAAGCCTACATAATGAAGTTAGCATGCAACAATGTATGTACAATCACTCACTTTTGCGACTTCCGAATTCCAGTAAAACTCAAGGACATGGACATGTCATTAAATGATATGAACAACCTCATGAGATTTGTCTATGTGTACAAAAAGTATTGCTTTGAAAAGCAAAGTTCAACAGAAAAATTCTTGATGCTACCTTCCCTCTCACTCCCATTAGCAACGTTGTTTGATATTATCTCTTCTGAAGCCAGCAATAAGAAAAGAAAGCTCAATGAATAAAAGCACTTGCTGTTTGTCTCTTTTGTGCTCAGTTTGAGTCCCCTATTTATCTTTTAAAGAAATCTTCTAAGATCAATCTATGGGTAATGATTTTATTTGAGAGTGTTGTGAACATATATGAATTCATATGCATAGATCAATAAATGATGCTCATGGCAAAAGACCAGATCACATCTATGGCAATTGCAATGAATCTATAGTCACTGACATTCACTCATTCTACTAGAAGTACTACATCATCCTCATAGTCAGAGATTATGAACCTAGTGACTCTGTTATTATCAATGATACTCATAAAGTGACAGTTAGAGCTGACAAATACATTAGCATTGGCATTTGACAAATATGTAATAGTTTATTCAAGTTCAGGTCAGATCATATACTATTGGCTGAGCTGACAACTTCCTCTAAAGGCATTTCTCTTTATTACTCCTGATCTAACAAATCAATCCGTAGTCAAGAAGCTAACCCCAAAACAATATTTTGACCGAGAAGAAAAAATATAAATACCTCGACATTTTATAGCAATTGAAAGATAACATTTCTTGGAGAAATAAAAACCTATACAAGTTCTAACGGACTTTCTCTGTGTTCTTACCTTTTCTCTTACTTTACATCTATTCCCTCTTCATCTCACAACACCAAATATTTTATACAAAGCATGCATGCTTTTAACATTCCTTCTGCGCTAATTAATAGCCTTACTACCCGCCTTTTCAACACACATATTCACTTCAATGTGAATGGTCATATTACAACAAACACAGTACAACAACGACGGGGACTTCGACAAGAGGATTCTTTGAGTCCTCTATTGTTCAACATTGCATTCGATCCCCTTCTTCGGTCTATTCAACGAGACAAGCAATTGGTTGGTTTTGATTTCTTAGATGAAACCAACACACCCACCTCACCAGAGCCAATAGATCTTCTCACCTCTCAGCTACGATCGCTCAACGTTAAACACTCTTCAACTCGCTCTCCTCCACTTTCTCCTATCCTACCACCACCAATCAAACCTGTCAAAATTTTAGCTTATGCAGATGATGTACTGATTTTCCTTTGTAACCATTTTGATTTTGTACGACTACAAACATTAATCGATCATTATATGTCAGCTTCTAACGCACTGCTCAACTACAACAAAACTCAAGCTTTCTCCTTATCCGGCACACCTCTTCCACATTGGCCACTCTTTCTTCACAAACACAACATTACTACCTGACATGACTCTAATTCCTCCTCTCCTTTAATTTATCTAGGATACCCTATCTGCTCTAGTACTCAACAACGTAATCAATCTGCCAACACTCTTATCAACAAAGTTCAACTCTTATGCAACATTCACCTTCAACGTAACTTATCTGTTTGTGGACGTGCCATCGTCCTTAATACTCTTGTTTTTTCAACCCTTTGGCACGTTATGCGCCTTTTCCACTTCATGAAAGAACAATTCGCCAGACATCAGCAAATTGGATTATCCTTCCTCAATAATCGCCGTTACAACAAACTTCCTTTCTCCACTCTGACTCTCCCCAGAGAGAAAGGTGGCCTTGCCGTTTTAGATGCCTTTGTTCAACAGAACGCCTTTCAATGGCGTTGGCTTCACCCTCTCCTACACTCCAATACATTCCATTCCTTAACCCAACCTTCTCTTTCATTCCTTCATTTCAGTTTACATTATTTTTTCACATCTATCACTCACCCCACATACCATTGGTCTCTCCTTTTCCCTTCTTGTCGTTTATACCTTCATACCCTAATTCACAATTACTTTGCTAACATATTTCAAGCCGTCGATGCATTACCACACAATTTCGATTCCTGTCAAGTCCCTCTTCAAGTCTGTCTCAGTCTTCCTGTCTCTGAACTTTTCATTCATCACCCACAACCCTCTGGTCCATCTTCTCTCCTTTCCTTTATATTGCCTGATTCTCTTTTCCGCAAACCCTCTGATTTCTGCCGCCTCATTGGTCACGATCTATTCATTCACGATACTCAATCTCTATCCATAAAATACCGCGCACGCAATACATTGACTCAACACCGTCGTATTTCCCTTCAAATTTTGAAACATGTTCACAAGCAAAAACTATTTCTCAAACCATTTGTCCTCGCTCATCTTGAATCTACTATGATCACACCTCCCTTTAACACCTGAAATATCCTACATCCTTCTTGCCTGCAGTCCTTTGTCACCACACTTACATACTTTCAATCTGTCTCCTCGCCATTAGTTTTCAAACCTGCACCTCCCACTATTTCTGGTTATAAAGCCTTACTTCCCCAACACATTCCTACACCCTCCTCACCTTTTGACATTGTCCCTAATTGGAAAGCCTTTTGGTCACTTCAAATCACACATCGCTCCCACAACATCTGGTTCCGCTTCCTACACAAAGCCATCAACACTCGCTTCTACCTACACCAAAAATTACCGAAGCTCATCACTAGCCCTCAATGCATTTACTGTCTGTTGTATACACAGCATTATTCATCCCTTCTTACACTAGTTATGCCTTAAAAGAGCAAGTATTAATATCATGTATAAATATATCTTTCAATCACAGTTTTATCCGCAGCTTCGATGGATGTCTTCTATCTTAGTTTAAACATGTTAAAGATCAGACCATCACATAATCACAAATTGACATCTGCATCAATACCAATGGTAGACGAGGTCTGTGCCCTGATCATGTTCCCAGTTCTTGTGTACCTTAATCCATTCAACCGATTAGCTAGTGTATACACACTCAGTCCCAAATTAAGGATAATCAATTATCATACAAACAGTATAAATACAATACAAAATATAACCTTTAATAAAGCAGACTTCTTTTGGCCGTTTTGGTTCTAATCGACTTATTGATTTGACCATTTTATTAGTGATTATATCACACTGTCTTTACTTCCGTCGCAACACCATTGACATACTTGACCATTCCAACTTTCTTTGTCCAGTCAAATACAGAATTTGGTGTCACATCCTCTCCACATATATCGATCCTTCTCTTACCGCTCCTTCAATTCACCTCTTACGACAACTCCTCAATCTTCGTACCGTCATCAGTCGCTCCAGTCATTCTGCATTCCCAACCCTATCCACACAACAAATCTGCGATAGCGCATTGGAGGGTCTATGGTCCAGCCATTGGCGTTCGGTTTTTGATTCTACACCCTTCACCTTTCCTGCTGTATTCTCCATAATCAAACGCTTGCTGACTAATCAATCCGATGAACAAGAACCAATACTTTTTGACTGAAATCATTTTCCTTACTAGTTAAACTTGTGCATATTTCCTCTCTCTTTCTTATTGCACATCATACCCCTCCAGTGTTAATTATCACTCATTATGACATCTTTAGGACTTTGAATAAAACAGAAACATAGTTTCCCTACAGAAAAAAAAAGTACCTTCCACCCTACTCGCCGGAATTAAATCCAATCGAACAATTCTGGTCCATCATAAAAGCTAAAGTAAGACGAGCCAAGCTTAGTGATATAGAAACCCTTACTATTAGAATAATCGAGGCTAGTGAAGCTGTACCAATTGTTCATCTTGAAAACATTATTCAGCATTCAGTAAATCAGTTTGAAAAGTGTCAAAATAAAATACCCTTATAAACTTCTAAAAAATGACCAAATAAAAGTTTACAAAAATGACCAAATGATTCTAAAAAAATGATCAAAAAAATGACCAATTGGTTTTTAACTTCCGATCAATGATTCTATTGTGACTTCTATTAAAAATAGAATTTCATGAAACTCCGATTTATCTGCCTTGTTGTGAAATAAAGAGAGAATACAGCGACTCCACCCCCAAAGTTCGTTTTCCTATTTTATAAATTCGCTTTTGTCGCCGACTGAAATTCGCTTTTTGATTGGTCAAAGTTCGTTTTTGTAAATCATCCAAGTTCGCTTTGGCATCACCCAAAGTGTTACGTCATAAATTTGAAAAGTCACAGGTTTCGCTCAGGTTTCGTTCAAGTTTCAATTTAAAATGAGTTTATTCGCTCTTCCCAAGTTGTTGCGTCCTGGAACAGATTTAATGTCAAAAGCCATCATTCACGATCCTAAAACCACCAACATTATTACAACTACTCTGTCAAAAACACAAAATGATTACCTCTGTAATTCATGATTTACAAAATCAACGAAGCAAAAAAAAAAAAGTCCAGCAAATTTGAACGAAACCTGAGCGAAACCTGTGACTTTTCAAATTTATGACGTAACACTTTGGGTGATGCCAAAGCGAACTTGGATGATTTACAAAAACGAACTTTGACCAATCAAAAAGCGAATTTCAGTCGGCGACAAAAGCGAATTTATAAAATAGGAAAACGAACTTTGGGGGTGGAGTCGCTGTATTCTCTCTTTATTTCACAACAAGGCAGATAAATCGGAGTTTCATGAAATTCTATTTTTAATAGAAGTCACAATAGAATCATTGATCGGAAGTTAAAAACCAATTGGTCATTTTTTTGATCATTTTTTTAGAATCATTTGGTCATTTTTGTAAACTTTTATTTGGTCATTTTTTAGAAGTTTATAAGGGTATTTTATTTTGACACTTTTCAAACTGATTTACTGAATGCTGAATAATGTTTTCAAGATGAACAATTGGTACAGCTTCACTAGCCTCGATTATTCTAATAGTAAGGGTTTCTATATCACTAAGCTTGGCTCGTCTTACTTTAGCTTTTATGATGGACCAGAATTGTTCGATTGGATTTAATTCCGGCGAGTAGGGTGGAAGGTACTTTTTTTTTCTGTAGGGAAACTATGTTTCTGTTTTATTCAAAGTCCTAAAGATGTCATAATGAGTGATAATTAACACTGGAGGGGTATGATGTGCAATAAGAAAGAGAGAGGAAATATGCACAAGTTTAACTAGTAAGGAAAATGATTTCAGTCAAAAAGTATTGGTTCTTGTTCATCGGATTGATTAGTCAGTGTGATGTTTTGATAATAGAGTTATATAATAAGATGATATAGAGACAAAGGTAGATACTTTGAGACTGTTCTATACAATTTTATTTGTTATTCTTTTTGATTATAAATTATTCTAGCATATTTATACATGAAGAGATGTCGGAGTAAGTAGTAGTAGAGTTCATGCAAATGACTGAGTCTCTATTATCATAGACTACTTTAAATTAATTAAATAATATAAATTATGGATTTCGGTTATAAGTCTTGATCTATTAAAAGATCCATTGTCTTATTCAGTACAAGAGGTTCTTTTATGTCTATTTCTGATGTAAATTGATTATGATGTATTTTAGTATGTAAATGAAGACTTATTTAATGTCAGATCATCACAGTCAGCAAGCGTTTGATTATGGAGAATACAGCAGGAAAGGTGAAGGGTGTAGAATCAAAAACCGAACGCCAATGGCTGGACCATAGACCCTCCAATGCGCTATCGCAGATTTGTTGTGTGGATAGGGTTGGGAATGCAGAATGACTGGAGCGACTGATGACGGTACGAAGATTGAGGAGTTGTCGTAAGAGGTGAATTGAAGGAGCGGTAAGAGAAGGATCGATATATGTGGAGAGGATGTGACACCAAATTCTGTATTTGACTGGACAAAGAAAGTTGGAATGGTCAAGTATGTCAATGGTGTTGCGACGGAAGTAAAGACAGTAAATGCATTGAGGGCTAGTGATGAGCTTCGGTAATTTTTGGTGTAGGTAGAAGCGAGTGTTGATGGCTTTGTGTAGGAAGCGGAACCAGATGTTGTGGGAGCGATGTGTGATTTGAAGTGACCAAAAGGCTTTCCAATTAGGGACAATGTCAAAAGGTGAGGAGGGTGTAGGAATGTGTTGGGGAAGTAAGGCTTTATAACCAGAAATAGTGGGAGGTGCAGGTTTGAAAACTAATGGCGAGGAGACAGATTGAAAGTATGTAAGTGTGGTGACAAAGGACTGCAGGCAAGAAGGATGTAGGATATTTCAGGTGTTAAAGGGAGGTGTGATCATAGTAGATTCAAGATGAGCGAGGACAAATGGTTTGAGAAATAGTTTTTGCTTGTGAACATGTTTCAAAATTTGAAGGGAAATACGACGGTGTTGAGTCAATGTATTGCGTGCGCGGTATTTTATGGATAGAGATTGAGTATCGTGAATGAATAGATCGTGACCAATGAGGCGGCAGAAATCAGAGGGTTTGCGGAAAAGAGAATCAGGCAATATAAAGGAAAGGAGAGAAGATGGACCAGAGGGTTGTGGGTGATGAATGAAAAGTTCAGAGACAGGAAGACTGAGACAGACTTGAAGAGGGACTTGTGATGATCTGACATTAAATAAGTCTTCATTTACATACTAAAATATATCATAATCAATTTACATCAGAAATAGACATAAAAGAACCTCTTGTACTAAATAAGACAATGGATCTTTTAATAGATCAAGACTTATAACCGAAATCCATAATTTATATTATTTAATTAATTTAAAGTAGTCTATGATAATAGAGACTCAGTCATTTGCATGAACTCTACTACTACTTACTCCGACATCTCTTCATGTTGTTGTATACACAGCATTATTCATCCCTTCTTACACTAGTTATGTCTTAAAAGGCCAAGTACTAATGCCATGTATAAATATATCTTTCAATCACAGTTTTATCCGCAGCTTCGATGGATGTCTTCTATCTTAGTTTAAACATGTTAAAGATCAGACCATCACATAATCACAAATTGACATCTGCATCAATACCAATGGTAGACGAGGTCTGTGCCCTGATCATGTACCCAGTTCTTGTGTACCTTAATCCACTCAACCGATTAGCTAGTGTATACACACTCAGTCCCAAATCAAGGATAATCAATTATCATACAAACAGTATAAATACAATACAAAATATAACCTTTAATAAAGAAGATTTCTTTTGGCCGTTTTGGTTCTAATCAACTTATTGATTTGACCATTTTATTAGTGATTCTATCACACAGCATAGAGTTCCCTCCGTTTAATGCTCATGGCGGCTTCTTGATGGTTCCAGTGTCCAAATACTGCCTTTGCCTGGCCGTTCGGCAGCTGCAGGCTCCAAACCCAACCCGTATTGCTTGCGTCGATATGAATTACTTGTTGTGGTGTCTGTGGAAAAAAGCTCTTGCCGTTCCATTGATGGAGGTTGTTCATCCACCATTGTAGCTCCTGGAGGCAATGAATGTTTAATTGTCGTGGTGTGTCCCAGTCTGACGATGAGCGGACTGCTTGATTCTTCATTCGTAACAGATGTTGTGTATACAGTCTTGCCGGAACTAGTTCAAAAGTAGCTGCCTGTATCCGCATAGTTAGGTTGTGTATCACTCGAGGTGATTGTACTGGATTTTTTATTACCTGACGAATACTCTTCCTGAGATCTCGAATCTTTTTCTCTGGAAGTTGAGCCGTCATTGATCTGGTATCCAATAAGAAGCCTAGATGTTCTAGAACCTGTTTGGGGCGAAGAGATGACTTCTTGTAGTTGACTAACCAACCGAGGGAGATCAATTTCTGAAGAACTTGTCTCGTATGTTGTGCTGACCCTTGATGGCTGTCTGCAATCACTATCCAGTCGTCTAGGTAAGTACTGAGCCGTATACCCTGTGATCGAGCCCACTCCAGTATCGGGCGAGTGATTTTGGTGAAAAGCCATGACACCAAGGATAGGCCAAAAGATGTTGTACAAAACTGGTATGACTCGCCCTCCCAGAGGAAGCGCAGATGCTTGCGAGAAGAGTGATGAACTGGAATGTGCAGGAAGGCATCAGAAAGATCATAGATGTTAGCCAGTTGGATTTCTAGATCATTCGAGTCACCTGTTACAGTGGTTACATTAAGTGTCCCATAAAACTCATTTATAAGCATAAATTAATATATTTTCGTCGTATTGACCTTGTATTAGCATCAGAAAAAGCGCATTTTTCTGCTGGCTACTTCAATTTCTCTATTTAGTAAGAAATACCATTTTTGGACAACTTAGATAAAAAATGACGTAGCGTTTTCAAAAAAATTTCCTGCAAAACTTGAATACCTTATTTTCTTTGGCGAATAAGCATTCTCAATCGTGCGTTTTCCACATTCTTCGGCAAATTCTAGCACAAACTACCCGACTACATATAAATACGGCAAGCTTTTCAGAAAAAAATTCTCTTTTCTTCATTCTATATACATACCTTTTCTCCTTATTATCATGCCTTACAGCCTCCCATACGATAAACGAAACAATGTCAAATCTGCACTTTTATCTGGCAAATCGATTCGTCAGGTCTCAAAACTAACAGGTGTTACCAAATCAACAGTTTCTCGTATTAGAAAGGAGTTGCCAGAAATGAAAACTTGCACTGGTACCGGTAGACCATCAAGAGTAGGTCATCTTACGGCTTGTTTGCTACGAATGAAAGTCCGAACTGGAGCATTGAAGAATGTCAAAGAAGTCCAAACTTGATTGTCTGGACAGGGTATTGCTTTGACGTATAGTGGAACAGTCTCTCTGATGAAAAGGGTAGGATTATACTCAAAGCTTAAGCAGAAGAAAGTTTTTTTGAGAGTTTCTCACCTTTCGAAGAGATACAAATGGGCCTTAACATATCGTAACTGGTCCGCAAATGAGTGGAAGAGTGTCGTTTTTACCGACGAGACGAAGATCAATCTTTGGGGATCAGATGGTGCAACATACACTTGGTTACAGCAAGGGTTTAAAGCGAGGCCCCATAACTACAAGCTATTGCTCAAGCATGGAGGTGGCTCTCTGATGATGTGGGGGTGCATGACATCTTCCGGAGTAGGATATGCCTCTCGAGTGCTTCAAAAGACAATGGATACCGATTGCTATTTGGAGATTCTAGGGTCGTCATACCTAGATACATTGGAGTATTATAGTATGGATCCACAAAAAAATTTTTTTTTTGTAAGGGAGACTTGCTCCAATTTTATTTTAAGTCCTTTAGACGTCAAAAGAGTGGAAGAAAAGACTGTGGTATTATTAGAACTAGACTAAGGAATGGGAAATGAGCCTGTGGTAGAAGAAATTGAGAAAAGAATAAGAGTTTAAGAGAGCTTGATAGATACTTGAAATGGAGAGAACATCATGAGTAGTGAGAGAGGAACTAGAAAGGAAAGCGGAGGAGAGAATTTACGGTTCATAATCAAGGCGGGATTCATCATGCAGCTTATTTGCTAAGCGGAAAACTGTCTTGGTTATAGTTTTGGAGAGGAATGGGTTTTCAGAAAAAACAGACTGCCAGTGAGCTTGCCAGAGGGCTAGAGCAGTGCATGCAAAGATTTGGAAGGTACTTAAGGAAGGAAAATGGAGGAGAGAAACACGAGGGATAACAACCCGAAGGAGGAGGACTTGACGTAGGAGATTGACCGAAGGTGCACGGATGTTGGGATTGATGTACTTGGAGAAGACATGAGACCAAACATCATACTTGGTAGGGCAGAGGAAATAAAAGTGATCAAGGGTATCAATGGAAGTAATGAGATTTGAAGGACAGTGGATACAAAAGTTATTAGGAACTGTATGGGGCATAAGACGATGTAGGTGAAAACGGTTGTTGACTTTGTTGTGAAGCATCCTGTAGAGGACATTGCGAGCAGGGAGAGGGATCTTGAGAGACCAAAAGCGTTTCCAGTTAGGCGATAGGCGGGGATCAGGCGGTATAGGAGGGGAGGAGCTATGGCATAATTTACGATAAGAATGGGTGGAAGATGTAATGGGGAATTGAGAGTATGTAAGGGTTGAAATGAATGTCTGTAAATCAGTGGGACTAATGTGAGAGGTTGAAGGAAGAATAGAAAAGGAAGAAACACGAGGAGCAGGAGAAAAGAGTGACAGGACAAAGGGATTGAGGAAGAGCTTTTTTTGACGAAAGTGTAGTAAAGCGCGGTAGGTGGCCGATTCAAAACGAGGAACTTCTTGCCGAGAGCGAAACCGAAGGCATTCACTAGAAGAATCAAAAACAAAAATGTGATTACCTGTTAAGGCTAGCATACTGGGATTGTGTTTGAAGTATTCATTTTTAGAAATAGGAGGGTTGGATGGAGGTGGAGAAGGATAGATAGAATGTAGAAGTTCAGGAAGTGGAAGGCGAAGGCAAACGTGAAGGGGAACATGACAATTGGAGAAGTTGTGGGGTAGATAATCTATAGCTAAGAAAATACGGTTGAAGTAAGGAATGTCAATAGAAAGTTTTTTCCGTATAAAGGGGAATAACAAAGGCCAGTGGTAAGTAGGGTATTGTGGGGAACAAAGGAAGAAAGAGAGGGTAAACTGGAGATAAGGAAGTGAAGGTAAAGAAACAGCAAAAGAGTGAGGAACTAATAAAGGGTAGACCCATCGCCATTGAAGAGCTCTCTGTTGTAGATGAGGATCAATGACGCTAAGTCCACCTTGAGAACGAGGTAAAATGAGTGTTGAGAAAGGAATGGTACCAAAGCGGCGACTGTTGATGAAGGAACTGATGAGGCGTTGCAATGTGTTTTGTTGTGTTTTGTTGAGAGGAAGCAGGCGAAGTACATGCCATAGTCGTGATAGAATGAGTGAATTGAGGACAGTAGCTCTGCCTCTAACAGATAAATTTCTGGTGCTGTGTATGAGACATGCTTGCTGGATGGTTCGGAATAATTTATCGATATGTGAGTTTCGTTGATGGGGACTGGAGTAAATTGGATAACCAAGATAAATAACTGCTTCAGGCGAGGTGTTGTCATGCCAAGTTGTAATGTTCTGTGAAGCTAAAAAGTACTTCCATCTTGGATTAGGTTTACCTGACAGCGAAATGGCTGTAGTCTTGTTGAAGTTGAGTTTAGCATTGGAGGCTAGCATGTAATTGTGAATTAATTGCTGAAGGCATAGAAGGTCTTGGCGATTATGAAGTAAAACGAGTGTATCATCGGCATAGGCGAGAACTTTGACAGGTGGTGCTGAGAAGGATGGAGATGAGGGATTGTCTAGTTGTAGTTGTTGAAAGGAAAGTGAGAGGTCATTTGGTGATACGGAGGATGGCGGATGATGGTTTTTGGTTTCTAGTTGAAAGTCAAAACCTTGAATATTAGGATTTTGTTGAATAGAACGAAGGAATGGGTCGAAAGCAATGTTGAATAATAAAGGACTGAGTGGATCTCCTTGTCGGAGACCTCTATGTTGTTGGACTGTTGTGGAAGAGATATGACCATTGATATTGAAACTAATGTCAGTAGAGAAGAAAAGAGATGTGATGGATTCAATGAAAGTATGGGGTATGTTAAATGCATGCATAACTTGAGTCAGATAAGTAGGATGGACCCTATCATAAGCTTTCTCTTGGTCGAGAAGAAGGGCAATAGAGTTGGAATTAACATGGTGTGCAATAGCTTGTATCGATTGTAGGATCTGACCATTTTCTGCGATGAATCTACCAGGCATAAATCCGAGTTGGTGTGATGAAATATATTTGTTGAGGTAAGGCATAAGTCGAGCATTGATTAATCGAGTAAAAGTTTTGGCATCTGCGTTAATGAGTGAAATGGGTCGCCAGTTTGTTAGCGAAGAGAGATTGCCCTTTTTTGGTAGTAGAATCATACAAGTTTGTAACCAGGACTTTGGAAATCTAGAGGAGGTGAGTGCATCATTGTATACCTTTACGGCCAAAGCGCCAGTAAGTGGATGCTGCAATAAAATGGAAAGTAGTTCGTACGGTAACCCATCTATACCAGGACTGCTTTGACTTGGGGTTCTAGCCGCACCTTCTTGAAGGTCTTGTAGGGTGATGGGAGCACATAATCGATTATGCATTACATCTGGAATGCTGTCACTAGAAGGAATTGTGCTAGTGAGATCTGCAATATGTTTCATACTTACCTGGTCAGGGCAGTAAAGCTGACCGTAAAAAGTTGAGACTGCATCTTCCATTTCTTCGGTCGATTGACAGAGGTTGCCGATGATGGGATGAATGAGTGGCGGCATGGATTTCTTAGCTGATTTGGATTCAATAGTTCTCTTGAGGTAACCTGCTGAAGTTTCACCATTTTCTCTCCAGTGTCGACCAGCACGAAGAGCAAGATTGTTGACATAGTCCTCTTGTACCATTGCGATTTTCTTTTCAACGTTTGAAAGGAGTGGATGAGGAATGCGAGCTGTACCGTATTCTTTGAAATACTTGTTGCGCTTGCGTTGAAGACGCTTCATCAGACGAACTCGCCATGCTGCTTGTTGTCTGCCAATCTTTTTTGCAATAGTTTTTGTGATCTGTTTGATCACATCCCATTGTTGTTGTGTTGTGGGGCATGACTCTTCGAAAAGGTTTCTATCAGTGAATGATAATCATCCAATGCAGAATTCAAGGCTTTGATGAAGTAAGAGTTCTTGGCCAGACTAGGGTGAGCACGCCACAGACCTCGACCTTGTTTGTTTTGTGCAAAGCGGAAAGTAGCTGAGAGAAGAGCATGATCGGTCCATCTTGGAGAGAGAAACTCAATGTCATGAGAAAGAATGTTGTCAGCAAAGAAAGGTGAAGCAAATATGTAGTCAATGGTGGATGTATCCGACTCTCCACGACGAAAGGTGGGAATTCGTTGATCGTGTTGAAGCGCATGAGTGCATTCTGTAAAGTAGGTAGATAGCAAATAGTGCCATTTCCATTGAGAAAGAATGCTGGATGAATTGATAGGAGACTCTTTGTCAGGAAGGTTGCGGTAGAATATGAGTGAAAGTCGTAGTTGAAGTCGCCTACAATGATGAGGGAAGGTGTGGATGTATCGTCATCCTCTGATGGTAAAGGACTGGAGAGGGGATCAAAGAAATCTGAAAATGGTTGCATAGTCATCAGATCGTTGTAAAAGAACTGTCTTAGGCGTTTTGTCGCTGGAGCATAAATGTTGGCTAGAAGGAATGGAGGAAAAAGGTTAGAAGTGTGTGTAATATTACATATGATGACCCTTTGGTCTATGGTAATCAAGTATGGTGTGATTTGTATATTAGGATTGTTGCTAATTATCCACAGTGCTGAGTCCATATTGAGAAAGTCGGTTTGAAAAGGAAGTCGAGTTGTTGTTGCATAGTAATGTTGCTGGCATGTGTTTCTTGGAAGCATAGGATGTCTAGTTGTTTAGTTTTCAAGTATCGAATAAAGCTGCTGCTAACTTCTGGTTGTGATGGTTTTGTTAAACTTCGGCAATTAAGGGAACATATAGAAAGGTCAGTAAATGAATGTGAGGGGAACTTACGAGATTGGGTTGTGCTTGAAGTCGACATATTTATTGTTGTGAATTCGCTTCACCTTCAGCGAGAGGTTCAGAACTACTTGTTTGATCAATTTGCATTTCTGAGTCGTCAGTTATCTTCTCAGGTGTTGGGCGAGAGAAAATAAATGCTGGAGCATCATTGTCTGTTTGGTCTTGTTCATGTAATGCAGACTTTGGCTGGGTCTGAGGGAGAAAGGCACGGAGTTGTTCTTCGGTAATCCAATTCTTTTTAGCAAAGGATCTAGCAACCGCTACATTGACAGGTGTTCGGATGTACTGCAGCGTGGATAGAGCTCTGGTAGAGTTGATACGACATGCTTCTTGTCTGCGCTCTTCCTCAGAAGCCTCAGCAAAAGCTGGGTTTCGGACTACTGTTGGATCGAGTGGATCAAAGTCATGGAGAGGCTTAATATTATGCTTGTCAAAGACAGCAGAGGCAGCGGAGGCGTACTCGTTGTGTACGAGGATGGCGACGACATTTCGATCAGGATAGTGAATATCCAAGACTCTTCCACGATCAAGTCCGAGGCGAGCAAATTGTTGACGCATGTCTCTGATAGGGAGCTTTCGTCTGCATGGGAGATAAAGGTATTGGAACCCTTGATCAGTAGACACAGGTATGAATTGTCTGGCCACGCTAGCCACTTGACGAGGAGAGAGGCGTTTTGAAGGACGAGTGGGCGCACGTCTTGCTATTGTAGCAAAAGTGACATGCTCCCCAGAAGGTTTGTAAGCATGGGCATATTGAGATGCTTCAATTCCCTTAGCCAAGGGAGGGAAATCAGTAGGAATTGCCATATCATGATCTGTATTTTGAATTGCCTCTGGTTGAGTCAGAGGCAAGTCTGACTGACTGTTGGCGGCGGACTGTAAGGCGGCAATTTGTTGATAAGCTTCTGCCAAAGCCTTTTGCGTCTCCGCTAAAGCAGAGCGAGTGTCTTGGAGCTCTTGACGAAGCCCTTCGTTGTCTTGGCTAAATGCCGCCAGTTGAGCTTGGAACGAGAGCATCTGGTCTTGCAAGCTGGTGGGTATAGCAGCCTTAGCAGCTGCTTCCGCAATGAGGGCGGCGGTTTGTTGTCTAGTAGCCTTGGAAGGACTACCAGTGGTTGATAGTTTGCTGTAAGGTTCAACACGCTTCGCACGTGGGGTGGTCTTCTTGATAGTAGGAGTATTCATAACGAAGTTATATTCGTGGTCTAATGAATTTGATCGAAGTCGTTTCCTTGGGGGAGGTAGAGTTGGACTGAATGAAATAGTTACAGGTGCGTCAGATGTTACGTCTACGAGTGGTGGTGAAACTGAAGGCGATGTCGGTTGCAGTGGTACAGAAGAAGGTTCTACTGGAGGTCTGTCGACTATGTCGTTTATGTTGAAGTTGTTGTTGTTGTTGTGTTTTGTTAGTTGAAGGTGCTGTTTCGGGGCTTAGGTACCCAAAACAGAAAATTCGAAGAAAAGGTGGATCCACAAAAAAACCATCTTTCAACAAGACAACGACCCAAAACACAAAGCAAAGGCTACCATTTCTTGGCTTAAAGCCCACAAAGCCCACTTTATTGCTGACTGGCCACCTAACAGGCCCGACTTGAACCCAATAGAACATCTTTGGAAACAGTTAAAGTGTAGACTAGCCGGATGTGATACAAAACCAAAAAATCTGGACGAATTTTGGTTAAGGGTTGAAAAAGAATGGTGCAAATTTCGCAAAGGTGACATGGAGGCATACTATAACAGCATGCCTCAACGTATAGAAGCAGTCGTCAAAGCAAAGGGCGGTTATACTAAATTTTGAGCATTTGAAATAAAGAATAAATTATGGTGAAACACAAGTTTTCTCTCTTTTAAAAATGAAGCACTGTTATTGGATGCATTTAGGAGTAATTAGCAGTGTGATTCTTATTGTCAATGCCTAATTAATCTATGTGCCAAGTTTCAGAAGGATCGACGGAGTTTTTGTAGAGAAGGGTAAAAAACAGGTTTTATGGGACACTTATTGTAACCACTGTATTAACTCGCATATCATTCATCTGACTATGGCCTTAACACCTCTGGCGTTAAAATTATTTAAGGTTGAATGTGAACAGCCTTTTCACTTGTTCTTTTGTAAAAATAAAAATCTCAGTATGCACAATTCACCTCTCTCTCTCGCTTTGAAATACGTTAAATCTCATGATAAGCCAACACTCTCTGACTTCTTAAAACGCGAAAAAGAACATATTGCTTCGATTTCCCATACAACAAACTATAAAAAACTGAGATACGTGTGGCAAGCAGCCATGGTTTCAGCTTTGAAACAATTAAAGCCTGAGTTAAATGATGATGCTAGCTGTTTAGAAACCAACCCTGAAGAATGGATGCCTATGCTGAACTTAATCAAGACTAAAAAGAGCAAGAAAACAGAAGACACTAAGTCTGAAATGTCATCAACAACTGCTACCAGTACCACCTTTTCTGGCTTAAAAAGAGACTTCAGCCATATCAAGATTGAAGAATTCCAAACTGACTTCTATCGTTCTTCTGACCAATGGCTCGTGGGAGATAAGAACATCCTTGGTGATTTCAAGAAATTCCAGGATGAGTCTTTAGAAATGACCAAAAGATGCAAGGGTACTATGCTACTCAAGAACGATATTGCCGTGTTGTTGTCGCTTTCTGGAATCTTGATTCTTAGCAAAGATATTCAGCATCCTGTGCTTAATAACTGCTTCAACACAATCAAATATTCTACTCTTGTAGATTTGTGCTGCCAAGAGTTCTTGTATCACTTGCCTCTCTTCCCTTTGCAGTCTTATGTCGCATATTCAGCTGTTGTGCAAAAGTTACTAAACGATGGCTATGACTACCGCGAAGAATTTCAAGAAGAAATGATGATGATGAAGAAGAAGGAGGGTGGACCTCAAAAAAAAATCCTTGATGCTCTCATTCATATTGCTCCTGAGGTAGTGAAGCCCTTGAAGAAGAAAGTTAGTGAGCTAGATCTGTGTGCATCCTTCGTGCAACCCTTTGTCGGCCGCCTGTTACAAGAAAAGAACAACGATCCTCATCAGTCTGATCGTGTTGTTGATGAGCTGGAAGAGATAGATGAAAAGTGCCGTCCAGATATCAAATGCTTAGTCTATGAAGGTGAAAACTACATCTTCACCAATGCTTATGGTGAGGTGAAGCCATCAAATATATATGATAAGCACCTCTTGAACTTTGATCTCTACAAGCTTGCACTATATGGAAAAGAGATGTTACAGAAGAGCAATGCCAAGAACATCCTTTGCTTCCAGATCTGGGGTGGTGCTGGAAAAGCCTACATAATGAAGTTAGCATGCAACAATGTATGTACAATCACTCACTTTTGCGACTTCCGAATTCCAGTAAAACTCAAGGACATGGACATGTCATTAAATGATATGAACAACCTCATGAGATTTGTCTATGTGTACAAAAAGTATTGCTTTGAAAAGCAAAGTTCAACAGAAAAATTCTTGATGCTACCTTCCCTCTCACTCCCATTAGCAACGTTGTTTGATATTATCTCTTCTGAAGCCAGCAATAAGAAAAGAAAGTTCAATGAATAAAAGCACTTGCTGTTTGTCTCTTCTGTGCTCAGTTTGAGTCCCCTATTTATCTTTTAAAGAAATCTTCTAAGATCAATCTATGGGTAATGATTTTATTTGAGAGAACAGAAAAGGAAAGAAAAAATATACGACTGGGAATTATCAAAATTGTAGAGATGAGAGTACTTGACGAGATGACGTTTGACCTATCAACGAGTTTGGTGGAGGATTGCGATAGGACTAAAGGCGTACCGTTGAAAATGAAGGTCCAATGAGCATACCATACCTCAAAGAGGGCGATGACCAGAAGGTAGCTCACTTCTACTCTGTTCAAATGTAGACAACGAATGGTAAAGAAGTTCAGTGAGATTGCGAATTAGATTCAGACATAGGGAGAACTCTGAACATTTTTTTTTTAAAATGTGTTTATTGATTGAGCCGCGTACACTAAGAGTAATAGTTAAAGTGAAGAGGCGGGTGCAATTAAAATGAAAGTTAATAAAATAAAACGAAATATACTAGACAAAATAAACTAAACTAAAATAAAATATATAGAAAGGAAAAAAATTTACATGATTGAATGGCATTGATCCTCTTCAATAGTCTGACGAACATTGAATCGGATGCTTGCTAATATGGCCGTGGGTACAATGGAGGACTTGTCAAAGATAAATCTCATATGAGCAAGCCAGATTTGCGAAAGAGTAATTATGAGGATTCTGTATGGTTTGATTCCTTTCCATTGGCAGAACCAGATGTACGAGGAGTCCAGGGACAGAAGAGCCTCTTTGATATCAGATATTGGGGTGGTAGGCCAAAGAAACTCAAAGATGATTTCCTGCCATACCTTCTCTTTAGTTGGACAATGAAAGAGCATATGGCTAATAGAGTCAGTGGTAGTTAAGCACACCGGGCAGAAGGGAGAGTCAAACACATGAGGCATAATAAAATGTAAGAATCGATGATGAGGAATAGACCCCAAGATATACCGGTATGTTACATTATGTTGAATGGTGGTAAGAGACAGAGACCAAAAGAATTTCCATTTCACTTCTGTAATATTTCTCAAAGCCAAAGGAGGAGCCATAGACGAGAGAACTGACTGACGAAATGTCTTAGCCGATGCCTTGACACTACAAGTACCTTGATTATCTTGAAACCGAAATTGGTTGATCAAAGGCGCAAATGAGATTGTTAAGTCTTCAAGTGGAGCAGGACTACATACAGAGCTAAAAAAAATGGCTGAAGTTTCAAACTCCCAGATGCAAGACCTTTGAAGAATGTGGAGGGAGTACGCTTCCAATGAAGTAATAAAGGATCACGAGTATTTTCCCAGTGAAGAAAGTTGAGTCTAGCATCAACTTGAAAGACATCTGACACCATCATTTTCTTGAAACGTAGGGGGACAACGAAGGACGAAGAAGGGGGAACGTAAAGCACAGCTTGCAAAGATAGGACCATAGCGGTAGCAGTATTAAGGATAGCATTAGCAAATAATCGAGGAAGACAATCAATGGCACGATATAGCATATTAGTAGTGCCAGTTCTTTGTTTTTTCAGCCCTTGTGTACGAGAAGAAGGAAACAACAATGAAATCTGATGATATTTGCACTCATTGATATTTCGAATATGAAGGCTAAGTAAGTACGTGACCGGATGAGCATCAATAGTATCTTGATTATACGCCAACAAAGGATGCAGCCAGCGAAAACATAAAGCCGAGGCCTGAACCTGAATATCAATTACTCCAAGTCCACCTTTTTCTTTTGGCAGCGTCCATACTTTCCAAGGAATAACAGGAAATATATTCTTACGCAAGAATCGAATGGCCAAAGATTTCAATTGTTTGAAATCAGCAAGTGTCAACGGAGTAACCCGCAAGATATACCATATTTTAGACAATATCAGTGAATTCAAGACAGTGGCTCGGCCCACCACAGATAATGAACGTGTAGAGTGGATTTGTATAGCAGTCTTAATCTTTGTTATCATAGAACCCATAAAATTGACTCTTTAAATACGGCTTTGTATCAATGGAAAACCCAAATAAATTAAGGGTTCATCATCTTTGACAGAGTGCAGATGCTTCATACCCATTTGAGAGAGTGGAGCTTCCCAATAAGTCCATGTATCTCTGCCAGACACCGAGAAGGCTTCCACCTTTTCATGGCTGAGCTTTGCATTCGAGGCTTCGCAATATCGAGTCATATGCAGTTGTAGCCGAGCAAGATCAGTGGAATTATGTACAAAGACCAGAGCATCGTCAGCGTAACATAGAAGCTTCGTTCGTTCAGTACCCATTATGTAGCCTTGAAATTGACGATCATGGAGAATGGAGAGCAAGAAAGGTTCAAAAGCCAAATTATACAGAATAGGCGAGAGAGGATCACCCTGTTTCAATCCGCGTAATTTAGCAACTTCGGAGGAGAGATGACCATTGATGTTGATTCGGATAAGATTATCGCCCATTAGCTTGTAAATGCATTTGATCAGTGGAGAAGGGAAGCCAAACTTTTTCATCACTTTCTTCAGGTAGTGTAAATTCACTCTGTCGTAAGCCTTTTCTTGATCCAAGAGAAGACCAATATCAGCATTCAAGGTACTAAAATCAGGAACATTATCCAGTTGTTCAGCGATCGACCATTTCCTTTGAGCGTCTTCCATTAGCAATTGACAGATTATACCATTTTTAGCGATAAACCGTCCAGGAATAAACCCCAATTGATGACGGCTAATAAGACGAGAAGATACCTCCATGATTCGACGATTGACGATACGTGTGAACAGTTTGTAATCCGTATTTGCTAAGGACAAAGGACGATAGTTCTTCATATCCGCAGGATCACCTTTCTTGTACAGCAGACACATGACTGATTCATTCCATGACTGGAGAAACTTACTCTTCTGCAAAGCGTCATTATAGACAGTCGATATCAGATCATGATATAGAGGGAATTTTATAACCAAATACAAAATCTCATATGGCAGTCCATCTGGTCCTGGACTACTCTTACGAGGGGTGCGTTTGCTCTCGTTGAGTATGTCATCAACATCAATAGGCTGCATAAGTTTCTCCTGTTGTTCTGATGAAATCTTCAAGTGACTAGGAATAGATCGAGTCATAGCCCTAAGAGCTACAGTGTCAGTGGGAGAAGGAGTAAATAGCGAGGTATAAAATCCAGTTGCTATACGAGAAATATCATGTTGCTCTTGACAAAGCTCTTCAGTCACTGGATCTCTCAATTCAATGAGGGTTCGCTGATTTTGTCGAGATACTTGAGTCCGCTTCAAAAAGTCTGCAGATTTCTCTCCATGTTCTCTCCAAAACTTGCCAGACTTCAAAATCTCGATCTCTGCTATCGACTGTTGCAAAGACTAGATTAGGGAATTGATATGATCCAAACCTTGAAATATCAGTCCTCCATGCTTCTGATGCCGCATTGCTTTGTTCCTCTTAGATTGCAATTTATGCAATTGCTTTTTCCTCCAGTTCAGATCTTCCTTCTGATAGGATTTCACAAAAAGCTTTACCTCTCCTTTAATCCAATCCCATTGCTGTTGCGGTTTAGCACATTGTTTGATTTCTGTAAAACGTTCCATGCATGATTCTAAATGAAGTGCTAATGCTTGCCTGAACTCTTTGTTTCGAGCTAAGAATGGATTCGCTTTCCAAGAACCAGATCCACGATCAGATGAGTCTTGATACTTGAATGAGAACCCTAAGAGGTCGTGGTCTGTCCACTCTGGTGACAAAAATTGTTGATTGATACTAGTGATCTGATGATGAGCACTTGAACTACAAAAAATATAATCCAAGATTCCTGAGTTGCTGCCACTATGCCAAGTAATCTGCTTTTCATTCCCAAAGATATCAATGTAATAGTCATCCAGTAAATCTGTCTATTCAGGAGGCGCACACAGTAAAGTACCATCTAAACGGCGATCTTTATATTGATAGTTGAAATCTCCCGTAATGAATATTGTGTTATGTGTATTGATAATCGTGTCCTTGACAATTGGGATATCCAGGAGCTCAGTATAGAGTGCTGACCGATTAGAATGAAGCGCTGAACGACCATAGATATTTAAAATTGTTGCTATAGGTGCCATAGTAGAAGAATGTTCCAAATCTCGAATTAAATGAATATCAGCCAATCTATATCGACCATTGTCAATTCCTTCCGAGACAGGTGTAATTGTAAAGTGATGAGAGTGATATGATGCCGCAATGTCGAGTCCAAATGCTCGACTTGCAGTTAGAATGGGTGTTAAGTAAATCTATAATAGTAGTATCTGAAGCATGAGTTTCTTGTAGCACCAGGATGTCATATCCTAAAGTTCTGAGGTATCTAATGGGTCTGGCGATTTTAACTGTATGATGTCTAATATTCATAATTAATGTTGAGGTTGAGGTGATTGTTGGCCCATCAAATCAGGCTGAAGCACGTTTGTCTTTACATTATTTATATCATTCTTTCCATTTTGTTGTGATGCTGCTGAAGCTGCAGCTTGTTGTCGAGCAGCACTTATATCATCAGTTCCATTGAACTTACCCATCTTTTTGACATTATCATGAGTCTCCAAATCTGTAAATCGAGATGGAGAAGAGATCACAGTATCCTCCATTACTATGTCTTTTGAGATAGTCTTTAACGCATCAGAACCATTTACCAGATTAAGGTTGCTTTCATTCATAGTGGTGTCCTCTTCAACACCGTTTTTACCATTGAGAGCAACCGTTGCATCTCTTTCATTATTCTTGTAGCCTTGAGGAACTGGGGAGCTAGCAGGGGAATTTTCTTGTGTCATTGGTTTCTTAGGAGCAGCCTTGGGTGAGGCAGTAGAATCTTTGTTTGTCCCTTTTCTAGATTTTGGCTGACTTGAGGATCTCTCCACTGCACGGACCTTGCTGGGAGCAGAGTCAATTGATCCATTACGACTGCAGTTACGCATAACATGGCCAGTCTCATTGCAATGATAGCAGCGTACCCATTTCTTGTAGTCGGGACAATCAGCTCGACAATGGTCTGAGCTCTGACAGTTACGACAGAAGTCAGGCATCTTATCCCATTGTAGGAGTACTTTTCTCTGTTCATTATCCCATGGATCCCAAATGATGACGCGAGATAAGGGCTCCAAGTGTCTACGCCCGGAACACTCCGATCCATCTGCGTGGGACTCCATACATTCATTTTCAGGCGTAGCCGACAAAGTTAGATTCAAGGTAGCATACCCTTCACCATGAAAGATGCCATCAGTTCTCGAGATGCCATGATCTAGAACTTCTCCAGAGCACGAAAGACGAGCAGCCATTTCCTCTTTCAACTGGATGGCTGGGAGGAATGGAAGATTTTCAAGAGTTTAGCGGACAATAGTAGCTTCTGCTGGGTAGGATGGAAAACCTTTCACAAAGGTACCATCCTCCAAGGTAATTCCTTCTTCAATAAGTGTCTTGCGACCAACACTGTTATAAAGCCACATAGTCTCCAAGAAGTCATGTCCCAGATAGCTGCGTGTTTGCTTTCGATAACCAAGAAAATCTTCGTAGTAGCCTGTGTTTTCAGCATCTTCATTAAACTTGGGTAGAGCTTTGTTTAACAAAGATCGATCCTTGATTGAGGTAAGATTATTAAAGACTGAGTCTTGTTCCATTCCTTTAATGAATGGACGAATTACTGCAATGGGAGCTAGAGGGCTGGAGCCATTAAGAGCATTTTGAGATGACTCTTCTTCTGTAACAGGACAATTAACCAAAGTAAGGTTAAACGAAACAATAGATTGATTCTTTTTGTTGTTATTGCCTTTCCTCTTTGATTTAACAACATGAGTCCAACGCAATGGGTTCTCGTTGTTATAGTTAGAGTTTGGGTCAGTTTGCTGTTTATGCCGATTTTCTAACATAAAAAAAGGTGACATGAAAACATTGATGTGGACAACAATGAACTACTTGAACATATTGAATGGACGAACTGTTCTCAACTTGATCCAAATTAATGTGTTTATCTATCATTGGCGCTGTTTCATTTTCACTCGCAGGATTTTCTTTAACATCACTCTCTGCTTCCTTATCGTTTTCTTTTGTTGACTTGTAGGTCATTGTAAACTCTGGCAGCTCTTCTTTTCTTGTTTCTTCAGGAAGATTGTCTGATAAAGCGTCGATTGTATTAACTTCACATATGGGACAAATCCATCCAATTGACCTAATACAATAAGTTACTATTAAAAAGAAGGAGATTCTTTTGCTTACTTTTTTGCAAGTATCTTTCTTCTTTTGTATAGTCTAATACACCCACAGCGCCTTTCGCTTCAGTAGGAAAGAAACCAATGACATCAAGTAATACTGTACGAATTACAAAGAGTAAGTATAAACTAATAAACAAACTGCAATACATACTTCCCCAGGCAGGCTGCCAAAATTCAGGATGAAAACCAGTAATACTAAGACAGATCTTTGTATTCAGTTCAAAACGACCATTAGGCTACGATATCAGATATAAATAAAGTTTCTTATATTTCAAAAATGCTCTTACTGTCAAGAAAATAATCTCAGGAGGTTTAAAAGGATACTCATTTGGCAAGAGAATGCGACCATGATACCTATTTAAAATGAGTCCGTGTTTACTTATACCAGTGATTACCTTCCACCATCAAAATCTGTATCTTTGGGTCCAAGAACTGTAAAATGCCATTCAAAGATATTGTCCTAAAAGGCTTGAGTCTTTATTGCTATCCAAAAGTATTTACCTCAAGTGGATGAGCATCGTAATCGTAATTGCTTTCTTTAGCAAGCTCTTTTGCCTCTTGCATAATACGCTTTATTCCTGTATCATATATTCTTTTTTAGCAAAAAGTCTTACCTGGATTCTTTAGGTTATAGTTGATGCTCATAGTATCAAGTTGGAGAGAAAAAGTAATGCTTGTTAGCATGTGACTGGGATTAAAATTAAACGATTACTGCTGCATGAGTGTCCAATCAAATTTATTTAGGTTTCAGTCAAATGAGCAAAGAAAAATGGGTTTTATTTTGATGAGGGAGAAGCTTGCATAATAAAAACAAACATTGAGACTTGAGATAGTTTAATTATATCAAATAAAAGGCTATACACTTATTCAGTAAATTACTGCATGGGCTACTCTTTGGAGCATGAGTGTTAATTGTATGAGGATTAAAAGAGTGATGTAACAAGTCATACCTGTTATTCGAAATCTTAGAAATTGTTGTTCTAAAACGCTTATTGATGTGTTTGTTTGAAAAAATCGACTTAGATGAGCTTGTACTAGTTGCCACAATAAGTTTATTATAAATATGATGATGGGTAGACAATGGGCAGGCAATAGACGGCCAAACAGGTAAAGAATAGACCCATAAAAAACATTTGGTCTGCAGTATATACGCCTGTCCTTTTTGTTTGTTCCTATACTCACAGTCGACCTCTGAAGCTGAAATTCTCAACCCATTTTGGCGGTACCGATAGAGTTAATTTGATAGCCAAATAGTGCCTCATATGGCTCGTATTTAATTCGCCCTCTTCCATATTTGTCTTTCATGTATATTCCCTTGCACCAATCTGTTCTTATCTCGAGCCCAACGATCAATGGCCTCTTGTCCTGATCTCTCCATAGATTAAATAATTTGTTCATACTTTTTTTTTCATTGCGCTGCTACGGCGATGACTCTTATTAAAGCTTCCAACCAACCTCTACGCTTCTGAAGTCATGTTTTATAGTTATCATATTAATTAAGCTTTTGTAAGAGGTTTCCTACACTTAGTGTGTGGCCATTGCATTATAAAAAGCGCTTCGTTCTCTAAATTTTCTATCGACATAGTTTCGATTTAAGATCCTGCGTGAGCCATTCAATTAAGTGGTCAAAGAGCTATCAAATTGAACTATGCTGATAGATTTTAATTTGAGTTGTATATTAAACATAGATCACCTACTATATACAGTATACATACTTTTCATGCCGATAAATAGTATTTGAGCTTTGATTTCTCAATCAATACTGATCTAAATTTATTTATATTGACAGAACTTCTAAAACGAGGTCGTCAAATACAGTGTTATCAGTATTTATGCTTTTGACTGGAGTAAAAGATTCTGTTATTTGGGGAAATAAATCATTTCGACATCTCAAAAGCTATGGGTTTAATCTTTAGAATGACAATCGTACATTGTAAGTTTGATGCAAAACCCGCATGCCACCATAAGGTATAATGTGCTTCATTTTTAATAGCCCAGACAGGTCTTTTAATGTTTGCTGATACTACAAGACATAAATTGTGGACTAGTGCTAGCTTGATTCTTTCAAAAATGAATTTTATAGACTTATATCTCTAATTACGCCGGTAACGTATGGTGATGTCTTGACTTTATAGCAACTATTGATTATGTTGATTGAGATTTATTGAAAATGTTTACAAGGCGATTATTTCTAGTATGCTGTGAACTGTGAATAGGTTTATTAACTTGTTGCATTAAGAGACTTGGTTCAGTAAAGTAACAATAGTAGTTTTGTGGTAATAGTTATGCTTTTGATATCAAATATCAGTTGATATACAGTAGACAGTAGACAGTAGACAGTAGACAGTAGACAGTAGACAGTAGACAGTAGACAGTAAGCAGTAGACAGTAAGCAGTAAGCAGTAAGCAGTAAGCAGTAAGCAGTAAGCAGTAAGCAGTAAAGAGAGCAATTCGTATATAGCGCAAGCAACTTTGTGGTAGAATTCAGAGGATAAGCCTTATTGCTAAAGCTTAGTTCTGTTGGCTCTTTCCTCACAACAAACCTATCAGTGTTGACAAAGGGAAGCACAGATAATGTTTGTGAACCCTTCTACCAATAATCCCTACAGGTCTACTATGTATCCTTCAAGACAATGCATAGTGCGTTTCCCTCTTTCGGTACTTTGCCTATCAGGAGTAGACGTTCGCGGAAGTTGGCCAACAACAGATACCCTTGTTTTACGCGATTCAATAAGCGGCATCAGTCTTCCTTCTACCAGCCAGTTACTCACAGAGATAAGATCAGAGAGAAGGTTCTTGTCAATAAGGACGTTCTTTTTTTTCTTTTTTGCTTGTGTGTTCTTGTAGAGTACCCAGAAGACAGATAGACAAAAGAGAATTAGATGAATCAAGTATTGAAATGTATGCTAAATAGTCTCAGCCTTTTGATTTGTAAAGAAGAGACACCATAGTATTGCTTGACTTGAAGAGACGTGGAGACAGAGACTAACAATATTAGCTACATAAATTTAATGCTACATAATACCTTTTTTTTTTGTTTTGCATTTAAGTCTTGAGAATGAGAAATAAGATGAAAGAAAGACAAAAAAAAAAGGTTTTTTCTAGACTCGCTTTTTATCATTTACACTTGCTTTGTTCCTATGCTTTAGAGATGAGATCTTTTTGTTTATATTGGCTTCATTATGATGAAAAGAACTTTCGATGGCATAAACAACTTTGTTGATTTGTGTAACTTTCAAAGATCAATTTGCTCACAAGTATGTAAAAACTATACAAGTCTATATACTTATTGACAATGTATTATGACACACAGACAAGATAGAATCTATCATTTATCACTATCTGAAAATATTGTTCTAAAGAGAACATAGCGGATACTTTGTTCTTACTTGTATCACAAAGTAAATCGTTTGTTTACATTATGTTAATTACTAAACTGATAGTCGAAAGTAACGCCTGGGACCAGTCTATGATCTGTTTACATCAATGAATACGAGTTTTGTTACAAAAGAAAGTTTTTAGGGAAAAGCTACTAATTGTCATGCAATAAGCGCATGGATTTATGGTAATACTTTTCAAGCTCATGCTAAACGTAAAAGAGAGACGAAAAGAGATATTTAATCATCAAAAATCAATAATAATCAATTATGATTTGTGTGAGAAATAAGCCTCCTTTTTGTGCTCTTTTCATTGTTGGCGTTATTTTATCTTCACATGAAAGAAAAAAGCGGAGAATGATTATAGTTTAAAGTCCTCTGTCCCAGAATGAATTCTGCATCAATTGATATCATGGACGAGTTTTTTTATTATTATTATTATTATCAAACATAAAGAGAGAAGCATTTAGTTCAATCATAGATGATCAGCTCATGTTATAAAAGAGAAAGGAGAGAAAAAGGGATATTTTTACGTTTAAAAAACTGAAAAGTGCAGTGTCAATTGCATTGTTTATGCAAACAAACAGCTTTTGTTGTAGTATAGAATCAGATGCTCTTTCTTTCCTCTCACCATAAACTGATCCTTATCAAGAAAAAGCAGATGGCATATAAGATTATAAAACACTTTTTTTTTTTTTTTTTTTTTTTTTTTTTTTTTTTTTGCTTTCAACTGCTTCTTCATAATCTTAGTTGAGTGGCTAGCTTGTTAATATTGTTCTCTTGTTTCTTTGGTGGTGGCCCTGTATTGTTGTGTTCTGATGCCGTGTTCTAACTTGATGCTTTTGAGGTAAGTTTTCCCTTTATATATATAAGTGTATGCACTGGATCCTGTGTGCTTGTTACAATTAAAGACTACGCTTTTTTGTCAGATGTTATGGCATTTCGATGAGGAGTTGTATAGATGTTGTCGCCAGTTAGCAATGAAAATGACTGTTCGTTTTTGTAACGGGAGTGTCTCTGGAGATCTGACAAAACTGTTAAATTGCAGAAGTCTGATAGGGTATAGAAGTGCAATTCGACTGCTTTCACACAACTATTCCTGCGAATAACTTCTAAATGAAGTGAAATCAAAGATCGGCACTATTTATTTTTTAGAATGAATACAACGGTACTCTCTTTTTTAAATAAATATCGTATTTAATATTAACAATATGCAGAACGAAATAACGAGAAACTGCTGTAAATATATGCATATGCTAGGATAGATGAGTTGAATAAATATTATAACTATAAACTCAAACTCTGTGTGGTTAGATATGCCCTAAATGGACTACATAATCTCACGATAAAAGACATCCACAGACAGTGATGCTTAAAGATACCCTCTTTGGCCTCAGAAGTATTATGTACTATTGTGAATCTTACTCGTGCACATTTTGTGCATCAAATAATGTAAGAAGAGGTACCATTTTACTAGTCGATATTCACTGAAAAGGCCGTTTTTCTACCAATTACAGTGTGCAACGAACTTTGAATGTAGATTTGTAAATTGATTTCAAACTGCACTTAAATTCAGCTGAGCAAAGCTGCTGATGAAGATGTATATTTTGGGTATCAATGTTCGTTTATTTCTCTCAAAAGATGTATTTCCGAATAACAAGAGTAACAACAAACGAAAGCAACCCAGCAATCAAAGCATCTAGCCACAAAGGAGGAGCAATAGTTCTACTGGTTCCCATGCTCGTGTCCATGGCTATTGGTTCAGGTACGATTTGGGCTCCTTGTACTTGAACATATTTTTTTTTTTTAAAATGTGTTTATTGATTGAGCCGCGTACACTAAGAGTAATAGTTAAAGTGAAGAGGCGGGTGCAATTAAAATGAAAGTTAATAAAATAAAACGAAATATACTAGACAAAATAAACTAAACTAAAATAAAATATATAGAAAGGAAAAAAATTTACATGATTGAATGGCATTGATCCTCTTCAATAGTCTGACGAACATTGAATCGGATGCTTGCTAATATGGCCGTGGGTACAATGGAGGACTTGTCAAAGATAAATCTCATATGAGCAAGCCAGATTTGCGAAAGAGTAATTATGAGGATTCTGTATGGTTTGATTCCTTTCCATTGGCAGAACCAGATGTACGAGAAGTCCAGGGACAGAAGAGCCTCTTTGATATCAGATATTGGGGTGGTAGGCCAAAGGAACTCAAAAAGAACTCTTTGAACATGATTTTCGAAATTAAAAATACTTGTTTTTTTTTACCTGATGTCATTTGCTGACCGGGGTTTCCTGATTGCATAGGGAGATTACAATTATTCACGAAGAATAGTGTCTTGGTTATAGGAATTCCTTGTCGTCGAAAAGCAAGTAAGTTGCTACTAAAAGAAGTCATTTCCATGCCTTGCCAGGCAACGGTGTATAAACGCGTCAAGCTGCAAGCAAGGCATGACAGACAAAACTTATATTCATACCTTGCCAGGCAACGGTGTATAAACGCGTCAAGCTGCAAGCAAGGCATGACAGACAAAACTTATATTCATGCCTTGCCAGGCAACGGTGTATAAACGCGTCAAGCTGCAAGCAAGGCATGAGAGAAAAAACATATTCATGCCTTGCCAGGCAACGGTGTATAAACGCGTCAAGCTGCAAGCAAGGCATGAGAGAAAAAAAACATGAGAGAAAGTTTAGAGAAAGAGGGAGGGAGGGAGGGAGGGAGAGGGAGGGCAGATAAATTGGAGTTTCACTCTAAATGGAAGTCACAAGAGAACACATAAGAGAGTTTTGGTGTTGAAACTCGATACAGTGCTTCCATTGCCATTTGGACACTTTTTTGAAATCATTGGTCATTTTTTAAAAGTTTATAAGGGTATTTTATTTTGACACTTTTCAAACTGATTTACTGAATGCTGAATAATGTTTTCAAGATGAACAATTGGTACAGCTTCACTAGCCTCGATTATTCTAATAGTAAGGGTTTCTATATCACTAAGCTTGGCTCGTCTTACTTTAGCTTTTATGATGGACCAGAATTGTTCGATTGGATTTAATTCCGGCGAGTAGGGTGGAAGGTACTTTTTTTTTCTGTAGGGAAACTATGTTTCTGTTTTATTCAAAGTCCTAAAGATGTCATAATGAGTGATAATTAACACTGGAGGGGTATGATGTGCAATAAGAAAGAGAGAGGAAATATGCACAAGTTTAACTAGTAAGGAAAATGATTTCAGTCAAAAAGTATTGGTTCTTGTTCATCGGATTGATTAGTCAGCAAGCGTTTGATTATGGAGAATACAGCAGGAAAGGTGAAGGGTGTAGAATCAAAAACCGAACGCCAATGGCTGGACCATAGACCCTCCAATGCGCTATCGCAGATTTGTTGTGTGGATAGGGTTGGGAATGCAGAATGACTGGAGCGACTGATGACGGTACGAAGATTGAGGAGTTGTCGTAAGAGGTGAATTGAAGGAGCGGTAAGAGAAGGATCGATATATGTGGAGAGGATGTGACACCAAATTCTGTATTTGACTGGACAAAGAAAGTTGGAATGGTCAAGTATGTCAATGGTGTTGCGACGGAAGTAAAGACAGTAAATGCATTGAGGGCTAGTGATGAGCTTCGGTAATTTTTGGTGTAGGTAGAAGCGAGTGTTGATGGCTTTGTGTAGGAAGCGGAACCAGATGTTGTGGGAGCGATGTGTGATTTGAAGTGACCAAAAGGCTTTCCAATTAGGGACAATGTCAAAAGGTGAGGAGGGTGTAGGAATGTGTTGGGGAAGTAAGGCTTTATAACCAGAAATAGTGGGAGGTGCAGGTTTGAAAACTAATGGCGAGGAGACAGATTGAAAGTATGTAAGTGTGGTGACAAAGGACTGCAGGCAAGAAGGATGTAGGATATTTCAGGTGTTAAAGGGAGGTGTGATCATAGTAGATTCAAGATGAGCGAGGACAAATGGTTTGAGAAATAGTTTTTGCTTGTGAACATGTTTCAAAATTTGAAGGGAAATACGACGGTGTTGAGTCAATGTATTGCGTGCGCGGTATTTTATGGATAGAGATTGAGTATCGTGAATGAATAGATCGTGACCAATGAGGCGGCAGAAATCAGAGGGTTTGCGGAAAAGAGAATCAGGCAATATAAAGGAAAGGAGAGAAGATGGACCAGAGGGTTGTGGGTGATGAATGAAAAGTTCAGAGACAGGAAGACTGAGACAGACTTGAAGAGGGACTTGACAGGAATCGAAATTGTGTGGTAATGCATCGACGGCTTGAAATATGTTAGCAAAGTAATTGTGAATTAGGGTATGAAGGTATAAACGACAAGAAGGGAAAAGGAGAGACCAATGGTATGTGGGGTGAGTGATAGATGTGAAAAAATAATGTAAACTGAAATGAAGGAATGAAAGAGAAGGTTGGGTTAAGGAATGGAATGTATTGGAGTGTAGGAGAGGGTGAAGCCAACGCCATTGAAAGGCGTTCTGTTGAACAAAGGCATCTAAAACGGCGAGGCCACCTTTCTCTCTGGGGAGAGTCAGAGTGGAGAAAGGAAGTTTGTTGTAACGGCGATTATTGAGGAAGGATAATCCAATTTGCTGATGTCTGGCGAATTGTTCTTTCATGAAGTGGAAAAGGCGCATAACGTGCCAAAGGGTTGAAAAAACAAGAGTATTAAGGACGATGGCACGTCCACAAACAGATAAGTTACGTTGAAGGTGAATGTTGCATAAGAGTTGAACTTTGTTGATAAGAGTGTTGGCAGATTGATTACGTTGTTGAGTACTAGAGCAGATAGGGTATCCTAGATAAATTAAAGGAGAGGAGGAATTAGAGTCATGTCAGGTAGTAATGTTGTGTTTGTGAAGAAAGAGTGGCCAATGTGGAAGAGGTGTGCCGGATAAGGAGAAAGCTTGAGTTTTGTTGTAGTTGAGCAGTGCGTTAGAAGCTGACATATAATGATCGATTAATGTTTGTAGTCGTACAAAATCAAAATGGTTACAAAGGAAAATCAGTACATCATCTGCATAAGCTAAAATTTTGACAGGTTTGATTGGTGGTGGTAGGATAGGAGAAAGTGGAGGAGAGCGAGTTGAAGAGTGTTTAACGTTGAGCGATCGTAGCTGAGAGGTGAGAAGATCTATTGGCTCTGGTGAGGTGGGTGTGTTGGTTTCATCTAAGAAATCAAAACCAACCAATTGCTTGTCTCGTTGAATAGACCGAAGAAGGGGATCGAATGCAATGTTGAACAATAGAGGACTCAAAGAATCCTCTTGTCGAAGTCCCCGTCGTTGTTGTACTGTGTTTGTTGTAATATGACCATTCACATTGAAGTGAATATGTGTGTTGAAAAGGCGGGTAGTAAGGCTATTAATTAGCGCAGAAGGAATGTTAAAAGCATGCATGCTTTGTATAAAATATTTGGTGTTGTGAGATGAAGAGGGAATAGATGTAAAGTAAGAGAAAAGGTAAGAACACAGAGAAAGTCCGTTAGAACTTGTATAGGTTTTTATTTCTCCAAGAAATGTTATCTTTCAATTGCTATAAAATGTCGAGGTATTTATACTTTTTCTCGGTCAAAATATTGTTTTGGGGTTTGCTTCTTGACTACGGATTGATTTGTTAGATCAGGAGCAATTAAGAGAAATGCCTTTAGGGGAAGTTGTCAGCTCAGCTAATAGTACATGATCTGACCTGAACTTGAATAAACTATTACATATTTGTCAAATGCCAATGCTAATGTATTTGTCAGCTCCAACTGTCACTTTATGAGTGCCATTAATAATAACAGAGTCACTAGGTTCATAATCTCTGACTATGAGGATGATGTAGTACTTCTAGTAGAATGAGTGAATGTCAGTGACTATAGATTCATTGCAATTGCCATAGATGTGATCTGGTCTTTTGCCATGAGCATCATTTATTGATCTATGCATATGAATTCATATATGTTCACAACACTCTCAAATAAAATCATTACCCATAGATTGATCTTAGAAGATTTCTTTAAAAGATAAATAGGGGACTCAAACTGAGCACAAAAGAGACAAACAGCAAGTGCTTTTATTCATTGAGCTTTCTTTTCTTATTGCTGGCTTCAGAAGAGATAATATCAAACAACGTTGCTAATGGGAGTGAGAGGGAAGGTAGCATCAAGAATTTTTCTGTTGAACTTTGCTTTTCAAAGCAATACTTTTTGTACACATAGACAAATTTCATGAGGTTGTTCATATCATTTAATGACATGTCCATGTCCTTGAGTTTTACTGGAATTCGGAAGTCGCAAAAGTGAGTGATTGTACATACATTGTTGCATGCTAACTTCATTATATAAGCTTTTCCAGCACCACCCCAGATCTGGAAGCAAAGGATGTTCTTGGCATCGCTCTTCTGTAACATCTCTTTTCCATATAGTGCAAGCTTGTAGAGCTCAAAGTTTAAGAGGTGCTTATCATATATATTTGATGGCTTCACCTCACCATAAGCATTGGTGAAGATATAATTTTCACCTTCATAGACTAAACATTTGATATTTGGACGGCACTTTGCATCTACCTCTTCCAGCTCATCAACAACACGATCAGACTGATGAGGATCATTGTTTCTTTCTTGTAACAAGCGGCCGACAAAGGGTTGCACGAAGGATGCACACAGATCCAGCTCACTAACTTTCTTCTTCAAGGGCTTCACTACCTCAGGAGCAATATGAATGAGAGCATCAAGGATTTTTTTTTGAGGTCCATCCTCCTTCTTCTTCATCATCATCATTTCTTCTTGAAATTCTTCGCGGTAGTCATAGCCATCGTTTAGTAACTTTTGCACAACAGCTGAATATGCGACATAAGACTGCAAAGGGAAGAGAGGCAAGTGATATAAGAATTCTTGGCAGCACAAATCTACAAGAGTAGAATATTTGATTGTGTTGAAGCAGTTATTAAGCACAGGATGCTGAATATCTTTGCTAAGAATCAAGATTCCAGAAAGCGACAACAACACGGCAATATCATTCTTGAGTAGCATAGTACCCTTGCATCTTTTAGCCATTTCTAAAGATTCATCCTGGAATTTCTTGAAATCACCAAGGATGTTCTTATCTCCCACGAGCCATTGGTCAGAAGAACGATAGAAGTCAGTTTGGAATTCTTCAATCTTGATATGGCTGAAGTCTCTTTTTAAGCCAGAAAAGGTGGTACTGGTAGCAGTTGTTGATGACATTTCAGACTTAGTGTCTTCTGTTTTCTTGCTCTTTTTAGTCTTGATTAAGTTCAGCATAGGCATCCATTCTTCAGGGTTGGTTTCTAAACAGCTAGCATCATCATTTAACTCAGGCTTTAATTGTTTCAAAGCTGAAACCATGGCTGCTTGCCACACGTATCTCAGTTTTTTATAGTTTGTTGTATGGGAAATCGAAGCAATATGTTCTTTTTCGCGTTTTAAGAAGTCAGAGAGTGTTGGCTTATCATGAGATTTAACGTATTTCAAAGCGAGAGAGAGAGGTGAATTGTGCATACTGAGATTTTTATTTTTACAAAAGAACAAGTGAAAAGGCTGTTCACATTCAACCTCAAATAATTTTAACGCCAGAGGTGTTAAGGCCATGAAATCAATTTCATAGTCAGATGAATGATATGCGAGTTAACCTCGCTTATCAGGCCATTAATTTTGCCTTTTCTTCCCCTACTTCTAATAGTTCAACTAACTATAAAATATCTCCAACAGACTTTCAGGCAGGTCTATCCAAACAAATTGCAATCAATCAGGCAGCTCAGAATGCTAGAAGATTTCGCCATAGACGAAAAAATTCTCAACACAACACTAATCACCAACAATCTACCTTTTAGACTCCGCACCAGCAGTTTCTTCGATCGGGTCCGTCCTCTCAGCAGGGCGGTTACAACATCAGCAACAGCAACAGCAACAACTTTCACCAACCTCAGCAGCATTCTCACCGACAATTCAACAAAAAGCAATCCAACACTAACCCTTTCCGAAAAAATTAACAATAGAAAATTCCAACTACACTGTGGGCGGTCGTCTCATAAAGTTTTGTTCAGAGTGGACCCAACTTATCGTCAGCGGTCGGCTACTCCGAGTAATCCAACAAGGCCTTCGCATCCACTTTCTCCAACCTCCTCCTCTCACCTTACACCCAAAATCAATCCAACCTCACAACCAACAACAACGAATGCTTCTTCAACAAGAAATCTCAGCTCTACTTTACAAGGGGGCTATCGAAATTGCTCCCCAAACACCAGGTTACTACAGTAACATGTTCGTCATTCCCAAGCGGAACGGCGGGCATCGACCTGTTTTCACCCTCAAGCAACTGAATTAATATCTTCATGCACCCCATTTCAAAATGGAAACGATATAACAGGTGACTCGAATGATCCAGAAATCCAACTGGCTAACATCTATGATCTTTCTGATGCTTTCCTGCACATTCCAGTTCATCACTCTTCTCGCAAGCATCTGCGCTTCCTCTGGGAGGGCGAGTCATACCAGTTTTGTACAACATCTTTTGGCCTATCCTTGGTGTCATGGCTTTTCACCAAAATCACTCGCCCGATACTGGAGTGGGCTCGATCACAGGGTATACGGCTCATTACTTACCTAGACGACTGGTTAGTGATTGCAGACAGCCATCAAGAATCAGCACAACATACGAGACAAGTTCTTCAGAAATTGATCTCCCTCGGTTGGTTAGTCAACTACAAGAAGTCATCTCTTCGCCCCAAACAGGTTCTAGAACACCTAGGCTTCTTATTGGATACCAGATAAATGACTGCTCAACTTCCAGGGAAAAAGATTCGAGATCTCAGGAAGAGTATTCGTCAGGTAATAAAGAATCCAGTATTGATGATGTTACTGATATCTTCTTTTATGATCTGGATTAAGCCAATGATATGTCTTATATGAGTGTTCTAATATTTAAATACACAATAAAGAACCTCTTTAAGATTGCGCAATTGTGCAAATGATGTGCAATCTTTATTTTTTGTCAGTGCAGTCTGAGTTTTTTTAAAGCGCAATTTTAAATTTCTCTATGTGCAATCTCTTTCCAGAAATGGTGTATTTGTACATTTTTTTCTCTTTCTCTTTTTTCTTTTCTCCTTTATTATCAATGAATATTTCTTCTGTTTTTCACCCTACAGTCATCACAACAAGCCTGGTATCGATTGCATTATTTGGGTCATGGTTTACATTTTGGCTCAAGACAAATTTAGCTCGTACAGAACGAGAGCGAGCTTATGTATGCACATTAATGAGCAGTTCAGTTACCAGTATAAGCTCATTACCACTCGTGTTTACGCTGATATCAAATGGTGGTAATATGACCGAAATACTCGCTTACCGTACATGGACAGTTGTGATCACTACTTTTTTTATGACCTTTTTAGTGATGGATCTCTGTATTGGTGTCATGTTCTATCGCAACAAAATTGAATTACTTACAGGATGGATTCATCACATTACTTATTTGGGTACATTGACATGGGCTATTTATCAGCAATACACAAGTGTGTTTGTGATGATGTGCTGCCTTGAGTTGCCTACGTTTATCCTGGCTTTAGGTTCAGTTCGTTCTCAATTGCGCCGTGATTATTTGTTTGCTTTGTCTTTCTTGTGTACTCGTATTGTGTTTCATTTGTTTAGTATTTATTGTGCTTGGAAAATGAAACCATTGGGACCAGTGATGTTGGCATTATCTGCGTTTTTCCCTGTTCATTGTTTCTGGTTTTACGGTAGGTTGCATTGACGTATAGTATAGACATTGATTCTGTCAATAGGTTTTATCAAACAGCAAATTAGACTGAGAAGCAAGAATGCAATGACATCTACCCACACGCCTATTGTGACAATGAAGCAGATACCCATTAAACCAGTTGTTCAGACAGCTTCAGTGAAATCTGTCAAAACTTCTATTAGAAAGAAGGTGCATTCATCGAAATACTTGTCTCCTTCATTTCATCAATCACCTCCTGTATCAGTACATTAATAAATACCAAGAATGCGCTTATGCATAACTATAATTTGTCAAATAAAGACTAGGACAAATCAAGGTGCATAAAAAAGATGTATCGTTCCATCAGTGCCTTTCCCCCTCACTAACACTCTAAACAGAAGCTTTACATCACCCAAGTAATGGTCAATAGGAATATTTTAGCTGGGTTCAGTTTCAACTGAGTAAAACGGCCCTGAACTACGTAATAAAGTTTAGTTCAGGAGAATATGGACCTTTTTTTTTTGTCTCCTTCGCTTTGTTAATTTATTATATAATATTATCCTTAGATCTGTGAATAGGAGTATTACAATTGTTTCTGTCTATTTTATCCAGAATCTTGGATATAAATCTTGTGTAATGATCAGCGGCATATTCTTATTAGTCTTTCTGAGCTTTAAATGGCTTTTTTTTATCTCAACATCCAGGAAGAAAAGACTATGCAATTATTCAAAATGAAACATCTTTTTCTGTTTAGCAAACAATGTTTGTGTTGTTAGCAAGAATGATAAAAGTTGATAAAACAGGCTTGATGAATCAATCATGCTTCGCCCTTATCTGGATAGTCATTGTCTTTTCTGTCCATTCATTTTTATGCTTCTTGTCAATGAATGAACTAGAAGAACAGCAAATAAATAGTACCTGATTGGTTCATAATGAAGCCTTTATAATAAAAGTTGATTATATGCGTTCAATTAAGAAACAGTAGTGATTCAATATAAACAAACAAGCAAAGTTTTGTTTTCCATTTGTGATGTTTTGATAATAGAGTTATATAATAAGATGATATAGAGACCAAGGTAGATATTTTGAGACTGTTCTATACAATTTTATTTGTTATTCTTTTTGATTATAAATTATTCTAGCATATTTATACATGAAGAGATGTCGGAGTAAGTAGTAGTAGAGTTCATGCAAATGACTGAGTCTCTATTATCATAGACTACTTTAAATTAATTAAATAATATAAATTATGGGTTTCGGTTATAAGTCTTGATCTATTAAAAGATCCATTGTCTTATTCAGTACAAGAGGTTCTTTTATGTCTATTTCTGATGTAAATTGATTATGATGTATTTTAGTATGTAAATGAAGACTTATTTAATGTCAGATCATCACACCATTGTAACAAACTACCTGGCTTTCATGTTGATAATGTTTTTAGAGCCCATAGCTCTTCTCCAACGAATAATTATAGACATAAAAAGTATTAAACAACATAAAAAGAAAAAGTAAATATTGATAAAACTTTCATTTGGACACTGTTGATCGAGTGTTACAAAACTGCTGTCTAGCATAAGCAGCATTATAAAAAGTCAGTTTGATTCTAATTTGTGGGGTAATTTTTTATTGTAAATATAAACAAAAACCAACTATGAAGTTGTGAGCATGTGTTACATAAAAACTATAATAAATCATACCTATTGAATTGTGTAAAGAGAGAAAGAGAGGAGGATGGAGATATGGTCTTTTAAGTAAAAAAAAAAAAAAAAAAAAAAAAAAAAACAAAGGATTCAAAGTCAGTGACAATTTACTATAATGTGTTTGACATGTTTCGGTCAATAAAAAAAAAAATAGTGATACTAAAACAGCTACGTTTCAATTCTTTCGCTTTTTTTCCATTTTTTTCTCTATTCCTTTTTATCACAGCAACAAAATGCATGCTCCTTTACTTCATATTGAACAAGAAAACAAAGTCGTCTTAAGAGATTTACCTGTCAATACCTCAAAAAGAATTGATCTAAAGTTCAATCTCTATGAACAAAACAGATCGAAAAAACAAGGTAATAAAAAAATAAAAATAAACGATATATGCACGCTTCATTTATAACACAATAAAGTAGGAACGGAAAAGATTCCTGGGTTTTCGCTCAGAGAATTTCTTTCCAAAAACTGCGAACATAACGTAAATCCGAACTTTTATGTTAAAAACCCTCTTGTCTTTGACAGACTAAAAAAGCACTTTCTCCCAAAAGATGATAGTGCCACCAGTAATAACAATACCCTGGATATTGCAAAAAAATTACTTGCAGCGGCGTGTATCGACATTTGCGCAATAGTAAAGAACAATGATCACAGGGAATTACAGCGACAGTCCACACGCGAATTGATCGTGATTCCTGGATCGCTGCTTTTCATTGCTGTTGAGCTATTGAAAAAGCTATCCAAAGAAACAATACATCCTGTTTTGCAATGGCGCTATGAAAGAGCAGCCACACAATCAGAAGATGATATTGTCTACAACACAACAACGGAATGCCTTGATGCATTTGAAAACGTATTGTTAATGCATCATCTGGACATTCATAAGTATTGGCTTATCTTTCTGCCTGGTTGTCTAACACCTCCACAAAAGAAATGGCTAAGCCAATACTGTGAAGTCAACAAGTGTATCAACTGGCATCAGGTCAAAGATGCCATGATTGAAAAATATGACACTTTTACCTATTCCACTAAAGTAACTTGCCTAGAAAGATTCTGCAATTTACATATGTCAAACAAAGAATCAATAGACGATTTTATCATCAGATTCGAATATCTTCGTCATGTTGCTCAGATCACTGATGAAGCTACGCTATGCCAGGTGTTTCAAAAAGCTTTATTTGCTAAACTTCGTGAATGCTTTAAGATTTATTTAACGCATATTTGTGACACAGACAAGATGGATCTTTCCAAAGCAGGCGTGTCGATTGACTTTTTGGTGGACTTGACTAAAAAAACCTATGACATCTTTTTCACGCATGGCAAAGGTGCTGACGAAATTATTGCAGGCACTAAGAGAGCAAGAGAAAACGAAACTTTCTGTATATTTCATCCTCACACACGAGCCATTCATTCTACAAGCGAATGTAGGCTTTTAAAAAAGTACAAAGAATAAACAAAAACAAGACACATCATGAAAATACTCCGTTTCTTCATTTGACTTTATATGCAAGTAATGAAAGACCAGCAGTAGGCATATATCATAACCTGTCGTTTATCATATGCATGACATTTATTGTCCTCCTCCCCCCTTCACGTTGATAAAGTTACGGGAAACTGTTGTGTTCTTTTTCGTTTATTTGACGACAGATAGTACTGTGTGCTTGTTATCACCAATTATAGTAAATCTTGCTACTTGGTACGACTTGGGTAAAAAAAGGTATTGAATTAAGTGTAACTTCTCATTAGTGTTTCTATTGGCTCTGTGAGCAATTGTTGGCCTTTCTTTTCTAGTGATATGATTTAGTTTAGTCAAGGATGACACACACACACACACTCTCTCTCTTCTCGGAGTATCACTCTTTCCATTTTCTTTTTCTCTTTTCTCTTTATTGAAAAATAAACCAATTGTAATGAGTACTTTGCTTGCCCCTTCTTCTCTTCTGACGTCTCCTCCACAACCCCTTTCTTCCTCTTCTTCAGCTCCTGTAGGTGATAGAAAAGAAAATTCTGAGATTTTTACATTTTCTTCTCCTATTCACATACCTTCTCTCATCCACTCCTCCTCATCCGTACTAGAAAACTCTCTTGATCCCAATTCGATGACACCAACATCAACACAAGATCTCTCCGATATGTCAGCACATAACAAACTCGGAGAGAGTAATTCTACTGACCAAGTGTGGCCCAACTCGATCGTAAAGAATTCGAGCGTACATGAATTATCACTTTTTCCACTCGAGAAAACACAATCATGTCCTACAAGACAACGTACATCCTCTACTCGTTCAGACTACATGAAATTCAACCCAGGTCAGTCTACTCGGCGTCATACGATCACACCTGATTTAGGTGACTTGGATTCAGAAGAACAAGCAGCATTGGAGGCTGAAATCACAGCGAGAAGACAAGCACGTCGTGCTTCAAGAAGACAAATGAGTTTTTCAGAAGAAGAAGACGAGGATAGAGTCATTATTGGTATTCGAGTAGCAGAAGGTCATCGCAATTACCAACTGATGTAAGTCAATTTAAGGTTGTCATAGCATAAAAATGTAATGTAATGTATATATATATATGTTGATGACAACAGGTACGATATGTTGACTGGAATTCGGATTGCTGTAAGTTGACAGATAGATTAAAGAGGAGTTTAATTCATGCAACACAGGTTGGCCGAGTTTCCGCTAAAATACGCAAAGATTTGGTAGACGATGATTTTACTGCAGCGCACAAGTTGGTGTTTGATGTGTAAGTGACAGAAATCAATTGTTGAGCCTTAATCATACTTTATTAGCACAGGAAATGAACTTACACCTGGTGTAAAATATGACTTCAAGTTCAAAGACTATGCTCCTTGGGTGTTTCGTTATTTAAGAGAGCAATTCCGTATTGATGCTGCTGATTATATGGTAAAATTGCATAACTGTTTTGAATGCACATGGCTTATGCTTTAAAGATGTCGCTTACAAACAAGTACATCTTATCAGAACTAGGTTCACCTGGTAAAAGTGGTAGTTTTTTTTACTATTCAAAAGACTATCGATTTATTATCAAGACCATTCATCATACGGAACATAAATTCATGAGAAAAGTATTAAAGCAATATTATGAGGTAAGTTCCAGAAAAAAGAACACACCGTGCGATGTTGATGATGGAATAGCATGTGTGTACCAACCCACATACATTACTATGTCGATTCTATGGATTACACCGTATCAAATTACCACACGGCAGAAAGATTCATTTTGTGGTGATGGGCAATGTCTTCCCCAGTAACAAAGATGTACATGAAACATACGATTTGAAAGGATCCACATTTGGCCGAGTCACACAAGAGGAGGAGATTGCCAAGAATCCTCATGCTGTACTCAAAGATCTAAACTGGGTAGACAGAGGCAGAAAATTAGAGTTTGGTGCTTACAAGAGAAATTTGCTGATTGGACAATTACAAAAGGATGTTCAAGTAAGTTTTTCTTGGTTCAGGGCGTTTGTGATTTATGATTCTCTTAGTTGCTGGCCAAATTGAACATCATGGACTATAGTTTATTGATCGGTATTCATGACTATATCAGAGGAAATAAAGAAGGCATTCGTGATAATCGACTGCAAGTTGTTTCAGTAAGTATACATAGGCACATGATGGTAGACTCACCATTTTAGCCACATACAAAAGGAATCGAAAGATCTCTTTCTACAAGAGGAAGGAGAGAAAGCAAAGCAGACATTGTTAGAAAAGCAATCAAATTCACAAGTCCTGTCCAATTGGATTCTTCTCAATTACCTGAACAAACTTCAGACGAGTAAGTTGATTTCCTGGTAAACCCAAAGACTCACATTCTGAAAAAGACGCAAATATTGTGTGTTTTATTCTGAAGATGGTGGATTTCGATCTACTGACGAATTAGATCATCCTACAGACAAAGTATACTTTCTAGGTCTGATTGATATCTTGACACCCTATAATTTCTTGAAAAAGACAGAAAATTTCTTTAAAAGTTTTACACAGAGCAAGGTATGTTAGTAGGTTCATAAACAAGCCTTCTCAATGGTGATTTAGGATACCATCTCAGCTATTAACCCACAAGCGTATGGCAAACGGTTTATTCGATTTATGGAAGACACTGTTACCATCAACTACAAGAAAAATCAATAATGCCAAGCCTACGTGTCTATATACCCTAATTTTAATTGAATCTTTTTTGGTTTATGTAACAAAGATAAAGCGCCACAACTTTGAACATTCTTTTTTTTCTATTGGTCGTTGTTATTAGGTACATTTTGTGTATAAATACTACTTTTTATCTCGATTTCTTGTCTTTTTTTCTCTTTCTCTTGTCATTTTACCTTTATTTATCATGAGTCGATCTCAATTTCCTTGTCATTGGTCTATTTGTGAACATTCGTTTGACACACCCGAAGAACTATTTAATCACTTGTCAGACGAACATGTCGGTAGAAAAGCAACTAATAATCTTTGTCTGAAATGTCAATGGAATAATTGTGGTACTATTGCAGCTAAACGGGATCATCTTGCAAGTCATTTAAGAGTACATTTGCCTCTAAAACGTAAGTAATTCTCATACTATGTTCAAGTAATAGACTGACAAGTTTCATAGCTCATCAATGCTCTGTAAGCAAAATTAGGTGTATTTTAATCCAATGCTCATTTAAATAGGTCTGTAACAAAGGTTTCAAAAGGCCTCAAGATTTAAAAAAGCATGAAAGGATTCATACAGTAGAACATCAAGGTAAAGAAACAATAGTACATAAAACTTGATCTGACCCATTCGTATAAATAAAGCTACCTTGCTTAGCAATCAACCAGGATACAAGCCTATTCGAAGAAGAAAAAAGCAACAACCTACAAAGACAGAGACGAAAAATTATAAAAGAATGACATTGCCATCTCCTAAAGGTAAACTATTTTTTTTCTTTAAACAAAATCGTTTGGTACATCTTGGTGCGAGTGACACTGTATTCGGCACTCAATTCCCTTCGGCACTCATACATCGGTATTTGAATTACTAACATTCTTTTTATGGAAGGTTCTTCTGAGCATCTGTCGGACTTGTCTTCTTCTTGCAGTCCAAGTTTCTCCTTTAAGGATCCAGCACGATTTGCTGAAAATTACTTCTATGATCCTTTTTTAGAAACAAAAGACAATTACTATCCGTCTGGATTTTTGCAAGACCCTATTCAAGACCTTATTGATGATGTATTGCATAATCGATTTTTGCCTAACTATGATTCAGGTAGTTTAAAAACCTCTGGCCTTGGCAAAATAAGATTCATTTTTTTTTTTGTGTAGATATGATGGAACGCTTAAATGCTATTGCTCCTCTGATTGAGCATGATGAAGCAAGTCATTTGAAGCTACCTTGTGAGCTTGATGCTATTCCTGCTTTACAGAATTGGCTTGAACAATTATCTGCCAATATCCTAGAAGACAATGTCGTATATCCCACTATGTTATCCTCCATTCCTTCTGCATTATCCACACCTTCATTTCAACAACAACAACAATCTGACAGTACAAGATTTATGCCTGATGAAGAATACAACCTGTATCCTACACTAAGTGAAAACAATCTATCTCCTTTACCTCCTCATAAGCCTTATTATAATTCAACTATTTTTTCAACAAGTAGTCATCAGCCAGAAACATCTGCTAGTGAATCTTCCATGGCCAACACGCCACCTTCTTATGAAGGATTCAGGCTTGAGACTCCCAAAAACATGAAGCCTCAATTGTGGTCTCCAGGCTATATTTTATCTCCGCTCACTTCTATACCTTCTGCCTCTCAAAGATCTTTTGAAAAAAGACCTCATTACTACACACCTTCTCAGCCAATGGACGTTACACATAGTCCTCAACAGAATCCAGAATTAAACACTTTAGGCCCACACACTGTGTCCAATCCAAAAATCGAACCTGCCAGTACAACTTCATTTATAGACAAAAAAGAACTTGTGCAAATGATGAATGTATTTTCATCATCACAAAGCGACATTGAATACAAGAAAAAAAACCAGTCAAGTCCTAAAAAAAGTCCTGAAAGAACGCCACCTGCATCGCCATTAAGTACCAAGAGTTTACCTTCTGTGAGCTCGTTCCAGAGTAATACAAGTGATGCAGAATTTATGTGTCCATCATCAAATACAGAAGAAAACAAAACAATTCAGTCTCCTTATGCCAGCCTTGTCGATTTAGTGCAGAATATGAAGGTAGAAGATGAAAAGCTAGCCAAAAGACGTCATGCGATGGTGGTGAATCAACTTTGGAAAGCCATTTCTCAATATGCTTATTAAATCCTTGTTAATAAATCTATATGAATGTTATTTCAATGAATTAAATTTTGCTCATCTGTGACACATGAATACTAAAACAGTGATTTGAATTTAACTTTCAAGATTTATAAATTTGTTGTTTAGGTAATTCCCTATTTTCCGAACAATGCTTAGCTTGCATTCGGCTATTGTTCGTGTATCTTGAGTGTTCTAAAATGACGTCTACGCTAACGTATCATTCGAGAATGAAAAGCACAACTGCCTAACGTTTGAATATATATATGTTTTTTTTGTAGTTCAATGCACGGATTTCTAAACACAGTATATGACGATATCATTCAACAAATAGGACAAAAAGACATTTTCTTTTCTTTTATGGTATAGTTTTATGCAAGATTTCGTTTAGTGACCATGTTTTTGATCATAATAGTTGGAAGCAGCAGAAGTTGTCATATTGGTAATCCATTCAATCTTTTGATCATTGTCCTTGATTTCTCTTTGACTATCTCTTTCCTGAAGTAATTTGACAAGCTAAAGAATAATGTGAGTTATCAATAATGATTCAAACAACTTACTTCTTTAGCGGCAAATGAAGCTACCAGCTTTTTAGCAGTACCATGATGTACTTCGCCTCCTTCTTCTTCTTGCTTCTTCTCCCAAAGATTGACAGCTTCATAAGCAACAGCAGCAGCAATCAATTCATAACTAGCTGTATGTTTCTTTTCCTGATACACTTTCTTGTTAGCTTCCTCTAAATCAGTCTCAGACAAGACTTCTCTTTTTTTGAATGACCCCAGCCAGTCCAATTACCGAACCAAGCCTTGAACCGTTCACGCTTGCCGTCATCTTCTTCTTCGTCATCAGGATCAATTTTACGAGGAGGATCTGCAGGTTCAATTGTCCATAATTGATTCAGGGCTTCTTCTGCTGGTTTCTTCTTATAGACCATAACACGAGCATCTTCATTAGGGTCTTCATGACGAATGTCAATCACTATGTCGGGGTTACTGAGTGCATAGATATAGCCATGCTCGGAGTCATATCCGAAACGCTGGTCTTCAGCCTATATAGATAATGAGTTTTTTTTTTTTTTTTTTTTTTTTTTTTTTTTGGATATCCTATCTTCCGATTACTTACAGCATTAGTCTCTTTCATTTGGTCCAAATACAATCGATTTTCTCGGGTAAAAATGGCTATATCATAAGTATCTTGACACTTTTGAGATACATACCAATGAAACTTTCGGCTTGATTGATGTCCAGCACAAGACCTGTTGCTTTGTTTGTCAAGAATCCATCTTGATGAATCCAGAGTTGAGTGTCTCTTTCAGGAGAAACAGGTTTCTTAGGTTCCATGACGATTTTTGTATGCACCTTATCTTATGTGTTAAGAGTGAACAGTTCAAATCAATACTTACAGTGGCATGTTGAGAGTCACGTAAATCCAAGACAAGATCGTTCATCTTGGAAACAATGTAGAAATAACCAAGAGGGAATGAATCTTCAGGCACAGTCATGTAGATAAGTAAAGAAAAGAAAAAAGAAAAAAGAATAAGAGAGCGATATTATTTTATAGACAAGTAGGTAGTACAGAATTGAATATTTTTACAATCTTAGTGATTACAGAGGTTTCTATCCTACCTAACAAAGTAAAATAGTCCAAGACTACATAAACTTTGTCTATTCTATCATTTGAGAAAACTACCTCAGATTACTGGTAAAGTTTTACATTCATCCACTGACTCAGGCACTTCCATACTATCAAGTAAATGTCATTGCACTTGTTCTATTACTTCAAGCTCATTATTTTTTTCTATCGTCTATTTATACCCTTAGACATGCATTATCACCTTCTCAATGCAGAAAGCAGAGACAAAAAGCTTTCCCCGCTTATCCATGTGACTTTCTGCAAATAAAGAGAAAAATCAAAAAGCGCGTAATACGCGTCTTGATATTATTTTTTCCCCTCTCTCCTACTTTAAGAAGAGACCCACCAATGTATATCAAACAGGTATACTTTTGTTCATAAAAAAAAGAAAGCGCTAAAAAGAACTCTATAGATTATCATTCAAGGGTTCAAGTCTTATAAAGACCAGTTAACTATTGATCCTTTCAGTCCTAAGCACAATGTCATTGGTAAGGAACTCTGCTTGTTGCCTTCTTTTTACTAACACAATTATACATAGTGGGTCGAAATGGTTCAGGAAAGAGTAACTTTTTTGCAGGTAAAAAGAAACAAAGAAATAATTGACGCGTCTTTGGAGTATAATACTTTATAGCTATTCGTTTTGTTTTGGGAGATGCATACCAAAGCTTAAGCAAAGAAGAAAGACAAGCTTTGCTTCATGTAGGTCAGATTATATCCTATCTACTTGACTTATATTTTTCTCTTTCTTTCTTTAGGAAGGTGTTGGTGCTGCCACCATTTCTGCTTTTGTTGAAATCATTTTTGATAATTCAGACAATCGTTTTCCTGTAAGTAGTCTATAGGTTATATCTATACTAATAAACAATCAGACTGGCAAAGACCAAGTCGTTTTACGTAGAAGTATCGGTTTGACCTTGGACGAATACTCGCTTGACAAAAAAGCCATCACGTAAAGTATACAAGGCAATACAACATAGACTCATGTAGATCAATAGTAAATCTGAAGTGATGAGTTTATTGGAAAGCGCTGGTTTCTCTCGCGCTAATCCTTACTACATTGTTCCTCAAGGTCGTATTACTTCATTAACAACAGCCAAAGATGAAGATCGTCTTAAGCTCTTGAAAGAAATTGCTGGTACTCGTGTCTATGAACAAAAGCGCACTGAATCCAACAAACTCATGCAAGAAACTCGTAAGTAGAACCAATCTAACTCATTAAACTAAATGCTGTCTAGAATCCAAGCGAGCCAAGATTCAAGAAATTCTGACTTATATTGAGGATCGTCTGCATGAATTGGAAGCTGAAAAAGCAGAATTATCAGAATTTCAAAATTTGGATAAGGAACGTCGTTCTATTGAATATACCATTTATGCTCGTGAACAATCCAGTGCCAATCAAAGATTAGATAATCTTGAAGAAGAACGTAGAAAACATATCAGCACAAGTGAAAGTCTTCGTGAAAACCATATCAAGAATGAAGAGACCGTCCAGGTAAAGAAAAAAAATGTGTTTGGTCAACAGAACTTGATTGAACATGGTATGATAGGCACATAAAAACAAACTTCGTGAGATTCAACAAACCGTTCAACTTCATGAGGCTGAAAGAAAAGATTTGCAAGATGAGCGTGAGCAATTGATGAAGACCAGAGCTCGACTTGAACTCTTGGTCAGCGACCTTGAAGGTTCTCAAATGTCTGAGGAACAATACAAAGTATGTATGTATACATTAAAGGACTTTTTTGTCTGACTTTATGTTAGGCCACAGTGGACAAACAATTGGAAGAACTCAATCAGCAAATCTCAATTCAACAAGCTGAAATGGATCAAATCAAACCTCAATACACTCAACTTGTGGAAACTATGCGTGGATTAAGAACAGAATTAAGAACACTTCAAGCTGAACAACAACACATTTATGCCAAACAAGCAAGAGCTTCTAAATTCACTAGCAAGTCGGAGCGTGATACTTGGCTTCAAACGCAAATTGCTGATTTAACCAACAATTTACAAGTACGCCAATCTCAACTTGAAAACCTGGAGCAGGAGAAGCGTACAGCCCACGAAGCCATTTTGATCAAGACACGCACGATTGATGAACTAAAGGAAAAACACCGCAATCGTTATGAAGAACGCGAGACATTAGCTGCTGAAGAAATCAAGTATCGCACAGAACGTGATGAAGCCACTGAAGAACGTAAGACATTGTGGCGCGAAGAGGCACGTATGGAAGCTACCTTGAGAAACTGTCAAGATGAAATTCGCAAGGCCGAGAGAACACTTGCTGGTTCAATGGATAAGGTAAGCAAAACGCACCTGGTAGTATGACTGATCCATGTTTAGAACACCAGTATGGGTTTGGCTGCTGTCAATCGTATTGTGAATGAACATGGGATAGAGGGTGTGTATGGCCCTGTATTTGAATTGTTTGAAGTTGCACCTGAACTTGAGACTGCTGTTGAAGTCGCTGTGGGTGCTAGTTTGTTCCATGTCGTTGTGGATACTGAAGAAACAGCTTCCAATGTACTGGAGATCATGAACAAAGAAAAAGCGGGTCGTATCACATTTATTCCTCTGAACCGTGTTAAAGCACGTCAGACAGAATACCCTCAAAAGGACGATGCTGTTCCTCTGTTGAGTCTGTTGCAATACGATAGTCGTTACCAAAAGGCCTTTGAACAGGTCTTTGGTGGTGTTGTTCTCTGCCGTACGTTGGAAGTCGCTTCTTCTTATGCCAAGACTTACAAAGTCACTGTGGTCACTGCTGAAGGTAACCGCGTCGATGGTCGTGGTGCTATGACAGGTGGTTACATTGATACCAGAAGATCACGTCTCAGTGCTGCTAAAAAGTTAAGGACATGGCAATCCAAACTGGAAGAAGAACAGGTCCGTGGTCGTCAGATCAAGAATCAAATTGTCCAATTGGATCAAAAGGTCACTCGTTTGGTGAGTGCTTTACAGACCTTGGCAGCCAAAAAGAAGAAGCTTGAATTCTTGGATGACTCACAAAACTTGGAAACCAAATTAAGAAAAGAAGAAGATTTGCTCAAGAGTACACTTGCTCAAAAAGAGAGAATGTTGGACAATATTCGAGTACACGGTCAATTACTTGAGAAGCAATTGTTGGGTTATCAACATGAATTGACGACTGAACTCTCACAAGTGCTTTTAGAGGAAGAACAACGGATTTTACAACGCAACACTAGCTCTATGGAGCAAATCAGCCAAAAACTTGCTGAGATCAATGCTGAAAAGAGTCAGGTAAACAAAAAAAAATGTAGACTGTATGTCGCTTATCCAACATAGATTGAAAGTCGTATAAAAGCCTTAAAAGAAAGCCTAGAGAATGATATGTTACGCAGAAAAGATGATTTAGTGAGTAAGCGTGATCGTGTCTTGACCCATGGTAGCCTAGAAGACTTGAACAGAAGAAAGCAAGAACTCAAGATGGTCACCAAAAAGTTAGTTAGAGTAACGAAGCGTATTGGTGATCTTGATAATGACATTGATGAGCTACAAGAAGACGATGTTAAGATCAGTGATGTTTTGGAGAAAGCTACTGTAAGTGAACTCCCGCTTCCCTCCCATTCTCCATTCAACAGAGTTGTTAATTATTTTATAGGAAGTGCAAATGAAGATCTCACAAAGCATCAGTTATGAAGAAAAGAAGTTGGAAGAGAATGTGTTGAAACGCTCTTTATTAGTACAAAAGAAAGAAGAATGTAATGCTAATATTCGAGACTTGGGTGTTTTGCCTGATGAAGCATTTGAGAAATACAACAGTTATCGTATTGACAAGTTACTAAGAAGACTTCATCGTGCTAATGAAAGGTTGAAAAAGTATAGCCATGTCAACAAGAAGGCCTCTGAACAATACACTCGATTCATTAAGCAAAGAGATCAGCTTCTTATTCGTAAAGAAGAATTAGACAGATCAGCGCAGGTAAGCAAGTTAAACGAGTGAGCCCATAAACCAATATTGTGTTGTCTTAGTCCATTCATGAATTGATTGAATCCTTGGATCAACGTAAAAATGAAGCTATTGAGCGTACTTTTCATGATGTTGCTGGTAACTTCAGTAAGATCTTTGAACTCCTTGTACCAGCTGGTAAAGGTGAATTAGTCATGAAGTCAGATGTAAGTAATTCTACAAGAAGTTTAAGCTTATTTTGTCTGTTTAGGCCCAAGATACGATGGACATTGATGATAGCCATGTCAGTGTAGATCGCTATAGCGGAGTATCAATCAAGGTACCTGAAAATTAAATTTATTGCCAAAAGCTAATCCATGATAACACAAGGTGTCATTTAATAGCAAATCGGATGAAGGTATGATCATGCAGCAGCTATCGGGGGGTCAAAAATCGCTTGTTGCATTGGCCTTGATATTTGCTATTCAACGCTGCGATCCTGCTCCTTTCTATCTGTTTGATGAAATTGATGCCAACCTAGATGCACAATACAGAACAGCCGTTGCAGGTAAAAAAAAAAAAAAAAAAAAAAAGACAATCAAATTGACATACAGCCTATGCTCACTCTTTATAGACATGATTCATAAAATGTCAGATAACGCACAATTCATCACAACTACATTCCGACCTGAATTATTGGCGAATGCAAACAAATTCTATGGTGTCACTTTCCAAGGCAAAGTGTCTCGTATTCACGCTATTACAAAAGAAAATGCACTTGGATTTGTTGAACAGGTAATATTTGTATTTATCTCATTTCTTGCTCACGTGTATCATGTACAAAATAATAGGAACAAACACATTAATTTTTTCTTTATTCCATAAATTGATATGAGAAATTTATAAAACAAACAGTGCTCCTTTTGTTTGTTGTTGATCTTTTTCATGGGACATATATTTAAAAGGAAGAGCGACCACTAGACAGTTTTTTTTATCATCATTTTCATTTGGTTTTTCTTGTTCTTGTTCCATATCTTCGTCCTCTACAAGTTCATCAAAGCAGGCATCTAACCATACTTGTTCTTCTTGAATAGATTGGCTGGTAATAATAAGATTGGATGAGACGAGAAGTAAGTTACGAACAAAGAGTTGTCGTCTTAAAGTAGGTTCTGTATGAGGATTTTGTGATGATTGATTTAGTTTGTAGAAAGAGAGTTCTGCCAAGTGATGAAGGAAAAATGTATCATTAAGTTCTTGTTCATTCATGATATGTCAGTGTTTGTTTGTCATCCTTTCTTGCTGTTGTAATATACGTTGAATGTTTCTATGAAACGATTGCTTGTATATATACAGAAAAAAAGAAAGATAAAAAGAAAAGAAGAAAGAGAAATGTTCTCCTTATAATAAGCAAGGATTGTGACTCTCCTGACTTATCGCCATTTTGTTTGATTGTCATTGGATTTAGCACAACCTCGTCACTTATGTGTTAATGCAACAGAGTTAAAAGTCAGATTAATAATGTTTTTTTTTTATACTTAAATCGGGCAAGTCGCTCAGAATTAAATTGATAGTTTCTTGAAACATCATATACAGTGTCATTGACAATGGCAAAGACAGAAGCAATGGTTAAGGGTCTATTACAGAGTGAATCAATTCAACAAAAGATGATAAAATGAAGCTTGAATTCATTGTATATATCCCGTGTGTTTATCATATGAGACATATTATTCTGTAGTTGTTATCATGGGGGAAAATCAAATTCTCATGATAAGTATCATTTCATCATATTACTTATAGCCTTATTTTTATTCTACACAGCAGGAGTTGCTTATTGAACTATATTAATGCATGATGTCTGTTTAGAATTTGAGAAATATGTTTCTTTCTTGAAATCAAGACATATTGTTAGCTTTCTTTAGAATGTTAACGTTGATTATAAAATACAATAAAATCTGTTTCTTTTGTGATCTATAGAGTTTGGTGTATCGCAAGATAAAAGAATAGCTTCTAAAAAAAAAACTTTTTTGTCCTGTGTTAAACAGCATGTTGATGCAAAAATATAGCAAGTTTTGAAAAAGTCAAAAAATTGTCATTTTGGCCTTAGGATCCCTTTTGGTCAATCTTCATTTTTCACTCTTCTGCGATTTATGAGCGATAGAGACATGATAGATATAGCATGCCTTGGCAAAAATTGTTTCTCTAGGTCTATTAAACACACTCAAAGCCTTATTTTTGCAAAAGTACCATAAAAAAACGTACACTAGGGTCCAGAAACGAAGGACAGGTTTTTGAAGGATATATCAGTAGCTATAGTATGCTTCTTGCACCTATCAATGCGTTATGGTATTATGCACTAGCTCTGTTAATGATACTTTTTGGTAACACTTCATTTTTGAGTACTTTTCTCTTTAATTTCGGATTGTTGCATTATTCTAATTTTAAGCATAATAACCATTCAAACTCAGACTTTTTTTCTTTTTTTTTTTTAAGGAGACTACCCGCCAATGCAAGATTCAGAGTAGGTCAACTTTATCATGTTCTTTTTTGATAGAGATGTAAAGTATTAATTGTTATTTTTAGACTCATATATCATATGACATTTATTTTAGGCAAAGAAAAAGTAAAGAAAAAATGCCTGTTTTGATAGCAAATAATTGAAACCAGCAATAGCAACAAAAGAGACAAAGAAAGGATAGTCATGGGACTCTCTCTTGTTGTAAATTGCGCCTCGTTTTCTGCCACAAGTAGTTGATTTGCTTCTCTTAAAATAAACTCCATCTTTTTCTGCCTTGATGCTGTCTCAAACTCTTGTCTCAACTTCTTTTCCTGAATCAAGAGTTCCTTTTCCATACTATGGCGTCTATCGGAAACATATTGAGATATTCGAATCTTGTTCTTTTCCTGTAGACTATGGTTTGAACAAGAAGAAGAACAAGTAGAGGAGGAGACGGATAAACTTATAAGAGAAGCCTGTTGTCTTTTCCAGACAATAAATTTCTGCAGTGTTGCTTCTCTTAAGAGATGTTGATGCTGTTGCAACAAGTGCTGCCTTAGGGATAGCACCCCGTGAAATGAGCGGGAAGTACTTGACCAGTCCAAAACAAACAATTTCTTAAAATGCTTGATATGGTTTGTTTCTAGATAATCAAGTACTTGTGTTTGTTGTTTTGTCATCTGTTCAGGGCGTAAGGTGAGATCAGTTTGGATGATCACAGGCACAATATTCACTACATCATGAATCGTACGCATATATTCTATATCTACTGGCTTAAGTCGACCCATGATAAGGTAAAGGCAAATATCGACATGCGTAAAGCAATGGCTTGCTGCTTGTAGTACAGACATCAAACGATCTTCTTCTTTGACCACTGGGTTCAATAACTGGTTTGTCTTTTCAAATTGTGCTTCAATGTATGATTTGACATGATGGAACACAACTTCAGCCTGGTGATTGAACGATGACGAGGAGGGCACGATTAATTTACACTGTTGTTATTATTATATGAATTTTTACTCTTAACATGGCACCATATCCACATGTGTCAATCACGCATAAATTATTGGCATAAGTCTCAATGGGTTCAAGTGATATATTGCCACCTATTTCAGTAGATGTCAATGCTTGAACAAGTGCTGATTTACCAATGCCTATGTAAAGTGAGTATGTCTATCTGTATTTTAGGATAGTACCAGAATCACCGCAAATAATGATTCGAAACACAGGTTGATGTTTAGTTGTTTGCATCATACTATCTTCCATACTTAAGATACTTTGATCGTCCATCATAATGTATATATATAAATTGAGGGTATAGTGTGTATATATATGTATATATAAAAACAAGAGAGAGAGAGAAAAAGGGGAAGAAAGGAATAATAAAAAAAAAAAAGAAATACATCGACTCGAAGTAGTGTCGGACAAGCAGCATGTCCCGGAAAATTATGCATGATTTAGAATGTCAAGGTTTCAGTGTGGTTTGATAATAAAACTATTGTCTTTGGAGGAAATAGTATATTTGAAAAAAAAAAAAAAAAAAGACAATGAGTCAAAGAAAGAGAAGGATTTTGTTTACACATAATTCAAGGCATATAAACTCGTGACATTTTATCTATCAGCTAAAATCCTTTATTTGTTTGTAATGTCTTTTAAGCTTGGAAGGATTTGTTCATCCCATACTTTTTTGGCTTTGGAGCCAATATCCATCTTTACTAAAGAGTGTGCTGCATTCTTGATTTGTGTGTTCCAAGAATCCTTGACTATAGATTTATGAGTACAGAAATATCAACCGAATGACATTACCTGAAGGAACAAGGCGATCAGAAACGTATTTTTGTGAGTCTGTCAAGTAAGAAGATGGTTTGTTGTATGAAGTTTGTTCGGCTACTGCTCTTTCCAAGTTTGTCTTTGCATTTTCTAAACGATGCTTAATAGTGTTTTGATCTTGTATAAGATGATCACGTAATTTATATGTGACAGCTGTAGTAACAGCCAAACCAGTAACAACAGAAATAAAACGAGGCATAATCAGAAAGAAAAAGAAAGAAAGAAAGAAAAGAAAAAAAAATGGGCCAGGGCAAAGAACAAGAAAAAAACAAGAACTGAGATTTAATTAAAATTACATGGCGATTGTCGTAATCAATTGAGGTAGACTTGGTTGATGAACAAAGACTTCAGCATCATCCTTATCTTCTGTACGCACAGTTAGTTTCCAGCGATTAATGTCATAAACACCAGGTAATTGGAAAGTAGCAAGTGCTTCAATCTGCGTTGATTCTTCTGGTTTTAAAACACCTGAAAAGACAGTAGAGCCTGTCCAATGAAATGGAAAGATATTGAAGGTATTAGAAGTCTTTGCGTTATTTCTGGGTTTAGGATCAGTAGACCAAGGCAGCAATTCTAAGGTGTACTTGCTTGTTCTATTCCAAGAACAATTGCGAAGTTGTACCGAAATGGGTACTTTTAAGAGTCTATTCAAATGAATTCAATGAGATGACTTATTAGATATCTCTCTCTCTTTTTACCCTTCTTTTTCAAAATCATGCACTTGTCTGTCAGGAGAGGAAATCATGAGTTTGATAGGACTTTCATCCTTTAAATGTCGATTACGAGTTAAGCTGTTCACAAGCAGTGTTCTTTCTTTTGCTGTCGCTTCAAACATGGTACGGTTGGTTGTCTTGGCTGTCAAATCAGCATGGGTGCCTTGGAAAGGATTCTGCTGTACACCTAAATTGACACCAATAATGTAATGATGACCATGACGCTTCATCTTGGGAATATCCCAATACAGAGCCAGATCAATATCGCCTGAATTATACAGCGTAAATAGACGACCATAACGCTCTTGTGAGATATTGGGGAATTGAGATTCCAAGTTGCCTTGTCGCCAATGCATACGAGAATTCAGTGCAAATGTCTTCAATGGTATTGCCGTGTATGGAATATCGCTGCCTTTCTATTGAATCAATCAGTTTATGATCATGTAATGTTACTACTTACAAAAGACAGTTTACTCAGGTTAAGAGAAACAGGAGATGGTTTTTGAGCTTTGGTATCTGAATTGACTAACAAGGCGCCAAGTGCATTGGATGTCCATGCTTCTGGTCGAGATGTATCTACTGTCTCTGATCGGCTAATTTTATAATAGGCAAATGTTGTCTGTCTTGGGGGTATCACTGTCTTTGCCGCCACATCTTCATGTGAGCTAAGGTCAATCGAGAGGGGTGTAATACGCCACATAGGACTGGTTGCTGTTAACTGTGTCAAGTCAAATTGAGCCACAGTCTGCAAATTCTCTATTTCGATACCCAAGATATACTCATTGACAGCTGTTGTGCTTTGTCGAGTGAATGCATTGATCTTCAACGAAGGAAGCACTTGGACATGAAGTGTAGAGCGAAGTGTACGGTGAGCAATCATTGCATTGTCTTCTTCAGATTGATACGAAAACAAGAGTTTGAATGTATGTTTGCCGATACGATCACCACGGATCCAAAGTGGCACCAGCGTTGTTTCCCCAGGCACAACAACACCATGAGGATGAGAACTTTCTTCTTCTTCTTCTTTTGAGCCCTTGGCAGGTAAAGGAATAGAGATCACACTAGTATCAAACAGTTCATTGTTGAGTTCAAGGCGACTTTCTTCCTCGAAAGATCCTATAGTGTAGAGTGAGTTGAATGAATCAAAAGGTATCTAATTACCATAAACATCTTTGTCCATGTCTTCAGGATTGCCTACACAGATAAAACTAGGATGACTTGTCTTGAGTCGAAGTGCAGTCAGACCCTTATTGCCTTTATTGTTGATCTCAAGCACAGTTTGAATTACTTCACCAGACATGATAGTCTCAGGTACATGATGGAATGCCAGGTCAAGCAAAGGCATAGGTGAAGTGACCAGAATATCAAGCGAACGATCAGGTGCATAAGTGACTGACATCATATCAGCCTTGGTCTTGTTGAGTCTTTTACCCTTTTTATGGAATGGTCTAAACGTATGAACCAGTTCATTCAAAGTGTAATGTAAACCAGTGACTTGAAGACTACCTTCATGACAAGGAACGATAGCTAAATTAATCTAGACAAGTATGAGTAAGGGCCTCCTTCTTGTCTTTTTCTTACCGTCTTTTTCTCTAAAGGTTCCAATGTGATTTCATTGATCTTTTCTAATTTATAATGTTCAAAACCAAACATGCCATTCTCCAATGGTTTGCAGTCAGGCATGACTTGGTAAGCATCTACAGTAGCCGTCTTTTCATTGGCATTGGTATAGTATTCACAGCCCAACAGCAAATGACTGAGAGAAATAGGCACTTGTAAAGGATTATAGAGTTCTACATGCACTGTAGCAGGTTCACCTACTGCACAAACCACACGATGATCATCCTGCTGTTGTCTAGCCATTGCTCGTTTTGAACTCGAGATATACCCCTTTGTGATATTGTCTTCCAAAAGCTCCAGTTCCATAACTGCCCATTCTTCTCGCTGGAGGTTAGATTGTTGGTTAGATAACGTAACTTGAATATCACGATCTTCAATCACAGGCAAAGCTAAATGAGGTAAGGATTCCTTGAGTGGATCCATACCTACAGCTGCCATGTACTGTTTATAGATAAACAGGAATTCACGAATATGGGCTATTTGTTGCTGAGGGGTCTGTTTAGAATCTGTCAGGACATTTGAGAAATAAGTCACTGCATCTTCCAATCGACCCAAATGAAACGCTTGACGTCCCAATGCAAATTGAATATGCGATTTAGCAATCAACCACGTATTGTTCTCGAGCACAAACGAAGCCATCTTATAGGCACGATAGGCCAGTAACCGCTGCGAGGATTTACCATACCGATGCCCAGCCATCACAAGATGGAATCCATATTTACGTACCATGGCTTTATTCGCACGTAAGAAACAATGCGCTGCTTGTTCAAGAAACAAGGCAGATCTCAAGTCTGAATCTTCACCTGTCATACGCACAAGTGCTGTAGGTATCTCTTTCCACATCTTGCGTGCCTTCAACAGTTCATAGTAAATGACTGTGGTTCGAGTTGCATGGAAGGGAGATCGACACCGTCCGACGTATTGCTGAACAGCGAGTTCAAAATGTCGATCAACATCTGTCTTGTTCTGCAACGCGGGTGTCATCAGTAAGCAGATACCCATCATTTCCTGTGTACCCGCATGATATTTATATGTCTTTTCTGTAGCATAGTCACGACGCACTGTATCATAAATAGTATGAGCAAACTTGTAGTCTCGCAACATGAAAGCGTAGTCTGCTAATTTACGCATTTGCGCTTCAGGTGCACTGTAGGGATAGATGGTGAGTGTGTTCATGCCTGTGGGTACATTGAGTCCTTGTGCAGGAATGGTCTGAACAGATTGAGGCGTAGGAGATCGTGTGCTGGTGCCAAAGAATCTTCGTGAGGCACCAAATAAACGACCTGTCAATCCTCGACGTGCTGAAGCCACTTGTTCATTCCAATGCTGAATGTTGCGTTCCATAAAGGGAATTAAGCTCTGCACAATAAATTCACGCATCATAGCCTTGACGCCATGAACATCGTCGTGTGTCATGCATCGCCCATAAGCAATGTTTGTAGGTAATGGTGTTGGCTGCGTTTCTTCATAAGTGGGTATGTTGGTATCGATCAAATCAATAGGCATGGACTGAATCGAACTACCATGAATGACTGTCGAAGTAACATTGTGATTGCTGCTTAGATTAGATGAGATAGAAGCAGAGCGAGAGTGTGTGGTGGATGAAGCAGGCGACATAGGTGATTGAAAAGAAGACGTGTTGCTGGATTCAACAAAGGACTGCAATTCAGACTGAATGCGATAGTTGTCTGTGATGCTCTGTTCCCAAATATCACGAATATTGTCTTCCACTGTCTCTTGTATGCTTTCATCGTCTAATGGATCTCGAGGGTTTGAATTGACTGTCAATAGATAACAATGCAAACCCACTGTACGTTTGAGTTTATCAAACACAGAGAGAGAGCTAATACTGTGTCAGCGAATGAGTTTATAGACAATGATGCTTACTGTTCATAAGTGGTTTTGTTGGGATCATGAAGCACAATATAGTATCGAAGAATGTTGGTATCTACATAAGGTTTATCCACCGTAAAGGAAGGCACATTAGGATTATAGAGTTGCATAATTGTACTGACAGGGTCTGGGTTAGTTGAAGAAATGACAATCATGGTAGCTACAGGGTGATCAAATGTTTCGTATTCTGTAATGCCCCTCTGTGTTAATATGGTATTTTTGAAACTAGCATACCAAGGTGTCAATTCATCCAGAGGAGCTTCATAGAATATGAGTAACAAGCTTATGGACTGTCTACTTACTGTTTAAATAGTCTTCTGTCACATCATGGCGCGTTCTTATTTCCTTTATCAAGTCTTGAGGTACTTGGTCTCCTTCTGATTTTACATTGTCTTGAACTAGCTTCATGATGGCAAGGTGATTGGGCTCGTCTAGTTTATCGATGGGTCGAAAACGTATATTAAAATTATCAATAGGAAGAGGCATGCCTTGCCAGTCGCGTGGAGTCACTTTATACATTATGAACAGCTTATTTCAATACAACAAGTTACCTCGACTTTCAATCATATCGCCAAAGGGTTTAATAAAGTCAGCAAACGAAGGAATATGATTGACTCGACACAGTTCTTCTGCATCTTCGCTTGCTGCTACAGCAACGAGAGGAGCGAGTGTTCTTGCAATGAAATCTCGAGTGGATTCCATCTAGTGTTAAAGAAAAGAAGAAAGGTGTATCAGATTGTATCACCATGCTCTTTCCTATTTTTTTCTTTTTTTACTATGCTCACTCCTATTCACACCCTACTTGTTCATAAGCAAATAACTCAATGGATGTAATCTTGAAAGTTAGCATAAAAAACACACACGTCTATACATATTCTCTTTTAATACACGTTAAGGAGCCTCAACAAATACCTGAAACTGCTTTGTATTTCCCCTTTTTTGAGTTTCCCATACTTAAGTAAAGCTTGGTTCACCAGACCTACCGGCAACAATGGATCAAGTGTGCTTAAACAAGACATTGTAGTTAAATAAATAGCTTATTAGTGCACTATTTATTTGCATAAGAGAGATATTAAGCAAATGAACACTTCAACAGTGAAAAAAGACTATATTTCATGCAAATCATCGCCTTCTCCTTTGCCATGTAGAGATAGCATAAAGCCTGTTTATGCACGCAAAATTACTTTAAATACCCTTCAACAATGTTTACTAGTATCCATGGTGCTTTTAGAGCTAATTTGAAGCAAAAAGAAGCAACTTGCAAAAGATGGCTATTTTTTTTTTTTTTTGTAAGGGAGACTTGCTCCAATTTTATTTAAAGTCCTTTGGACGTCAAAAGAGTGGAAGAAAAGACTGTGGTATTATAAGAACTAGACTAAGGAATGGGAAATGAGCCTGTGGTAGAAGAAATTGAGAAAAGAATAAGAGTTTAAGAGAGCTTGATAGATACTTGAAATGGAGAGAACATCATGAGTAGTGAGAGAGGAACTGGAAAGGAAAGCGGAGGAGAGAATTTACGGTTCATAATCAAGGCGGGATTCATCATGCAGCTTATTTGCTAAGCGGGAAACCGTCTTGGTTATAGTTTTGGAGAGGAATGGGTTTTTAGAAAAAACAGATTGCCAGTGAGCTTGCCAGAGGGCTAGAGCAGTGCATGCAAAGATTTGGAAGTTACTTAAGGAAGGAAAATGGAGGAGAGAAACACGAGGGATAACAACCCGAAGGAGGAGGACTTGACGTAGGAGATTGACCGAAGGTGCACGGATGTTGGGATTGATGTACTTGGAGAAGACATGAGACCAAACATCATACTTGGTAGGGCAGAGGAAATAAAAGTGATCAAGGGTATCAATGGAAGTAATGAGATTTGAAGGACAGTGGATACAAAAGCTATTAGGAACTGTATGGGGCATAAGACGATGTAGGTGAAAACGGTTGTTGACTTTGTTGTGAAGTATCCTGTAGAGGACATTGCGAGCAGGGAGAGGGATCTTGAGAGACCAAAAGCGTTTCCAGTTAGGCGATAGGCGGGGATCAGGCGGTATAGGAGGGGAGGAGCTATGGCATAATTTACGATAAGAATGAGTGGAAGATGTAATGGGGGATTGAGAGTATGTAAGGGTTGAAATGAATGTCTGTAAATCAGTAGAACTAATGTGAGAGATTGAAGGAAGAATAGAAAAGGAAGAAATACGAGGAGCAGGAGAAAAGAGTGACAGGACAAAGGGATTGAGGAAGAGCTTTTTTTGACGAAAGTGTAGTAAAGCGCGGTAGGTGGCCGATTCAAAACGAGGGACTTCTTGCCGAGAGCGAAACCGAATGCATTCACTAGAAGAATCAAAAACAAAAATGTGATTACCTGTTAAGGCTAGCATGTTGGGATTGTGTTTGAAGTATTCATTTTTACAAATAGGAGGGTTGGATGGAGGTGGAGAAGGATAGATAGAATGTAGAAGTTCAGGAAGTGGAAGGCGAAGGCAAACATGAAGGGGACATGACAATTGGAGAAGTTGTGGGGTAGATAATCTATAGCTAAGAAAATACGGTTGAAGTAAGGAATGTCAATAGAAAGCTTTTTTCGTATAAAGGGGAATAACAAAGGCCAGTGGTAAGTAGGGTATTGTGGGGAGCGAAGGAAGAAAGAGAGGGTAAATTGGAGATAAGGAAGCGAAGGTAAAGAAATAGCAAAAGAGTGAGGATCTAATAAAGGGAAGACCCATCGCCATTGAAGAGCTCTCTGTTGTAGATGAGGATCAATGACGCTAAGTCCACCTTGAGAACGAGGTAAAATGAGTGTTGAGAAAGGAATGGTACCAAAGCGACGACTGTTGATGAAGGAAGTGATGAGGCGTTGCAATGTGTTTTGTTGTGTTTTTTTGAGAGGAAGCAGGCGAAGTACATGCCATAGTCGTGATAGAATGAGTGAATTGAGGACAGTAGCTCTGCCTCTAACAGATAAATTTCTAGTGCTGTGTATGAGACATGCTTGCTGGATGGTTCGGAATAATTTATCGATATGTGAGTTTCGTTGATGGGGACTGGAGTAAATTGGATAACCAAGATAAATAACTGCTTCAGGCGAGGTGTTGTCATGCCAAGTTGTAATGTTCTGTGAAGCTAAAAAGTACTTCCATCTTGGATTAGGTTTACCTGACAGCGAAATGGCTGTAGTTTTGTTGAAGTTGAGTTTAGCATTGGAGGCTAGCATGTAATTGTGAATTAATTGTTGAAGGCATAGAAGGTCTTGGTGATTATGAAGTAAAACGAGTGTATCATCGGCATAGGCGAGAACTTTGACAGGTGGTGCTGAGAATGATGGAGATGAGGGATTGTCTAGTTGTAGTTGTTGAAAGGAAAGTGAGAGGTCATTTGGTGATATGGAGGATGGAGGATGATGGTTTTTGGTTTCTAGTTGAAAGTTGAAACCTTGAATATTAGGATTTTGTTGAATAGAACGAAGAAATGGGCCGAAAGCAATGTTGAATAATAAAGGACTGAGTGGATCTCCTTGTCGGAGACCTCTATGTTGTTGGACTGTTGTGGAAGAGATATGACCATTGATATTGAAACTAATGTCAGTAGAGAAGAAAAGAGATGTGATGGATTCAATGAAAGTATGGGGTATGTTAAATGCATGCATAACTTGAGTCAGATAAGTAGGATGGACCCTATCATAAGCTTTCTCTTGGTCGAGAAGAAGGGCAATAGAGTTGGAATTAACATGGTGTGCAATAGCTTGTATCGATTGTAGGATCTGACCATTTTCTGCGATGAATCTACCAGGCATAAATCCGAGTTGGTGTGATGAAATATATTTGTTGAGGTAAGGTATAAGTCGAGCATTGATTAATCGAGTGAAAGTTTTGGCATCTACGTTAATGAGTGAAATGGGTCGCCAGTTTGTTAGCGAAGAGAGATTGCCCTTTTTTGGTAGTAGAATCATACAAGTTTGTAACCAAGACTTTGGAAATCTAGAGGAGGTGAGTGCATCATTGTATACCTTTACGGCCAAAGCGCCAGTAAGTGGATGCTGCAATAAAATGGAAAGTAGTTCGTACGGTAACCCATCTATACCAGGACTGCTTTGACTTGGGGTTCTAGCCGCACCTTTTTTGAAGTTCTTGTAGGGTGATGGGAGCACATAATCGATTATGCATTACATCTGGAATGCTGTCACTAGAAGGAATTGTGCTAGTGAGATCTGCAATATGTTTCATATTTACCTGGTCAGGGCAGTAAAGCTGACCGTAAAAAGTTGAGACCGCATCTTCCATTTCTTCGGTCGATTGACAGAGGTTGCCGATGATGGGATGAATGAGTGGCGGCATGGATTTCTTAGCTGATTTGGATTCAATAGTTCTCTTGAGGTAACCTGCTGAAGTTTCACCATTTTCTCTCCAGTGTCGACCAGCACGAAGAGCAAGATTGTTGACATAGTCCTCTTGTACCATTGCAATTTCCTTTTCAACGTTTGAAAGGAGTGGATGAGGAATGCGAGCTGTACCGTATTCTTTGAAATACTTGTTGCGCTTGCGTTGAAGATGCTTCATCAGACGAACTCTCAATGCTGCTTGTTGCCTGCCAATCTTTTTTGCAATAGTTTTTGTGATTTGTTTGATAACATCCCATTGTTGTTGTGTTGTGGGGCATGACTCTTCAGAAAAGGTTTTTATCATTGAATGATAATCATCCAATGCAGAATTCAAGGCTTTGATGAAGTAAGAGTTCTTGGCCAGACTAGGGTGAGCACGCCACAGACCTCGACCTTGTTTGTTTTGTGCAAAGCGGAAAGTAGCTGAGAGAAGAGCATGATCGGTCCATCTTGGAGAGAGAAACTCAATGTCATGAGAAAGAATGTTGTCAGCAAAGGAAGGTGAAGCAAATATGTAGTCAATGGTGGATGTATCCGACTCTCCACGACGAAAGGTGGGAATTCGTTGATCGTGTTGAAGCGCATGAGTGCATTCTGTAAAGTAGGTGGATAGCAAATAGTGCCATTTCCATTGAGAAAGAATGCTGGATGAATTGACAGGAGACTCTTTGTCAGGAAGGTTGCGGGTAGAACATGAGTGAAAGTCCTAGTTGAAGTCGCCTACAATGATGAGGGAAGGTGTGGATGTATCGTCATCCTCTGATGGTAAAGGACTGGAGAGGGGATCAAAGAAATCTGAAAATGGTTGCATAGTCATCAGATCGTTGTAAAAGAACTGTCTTAGGCGTTTTGTCGCTGGAGCATAAATGTTGGCTAAAAGGAATGGAGGGAAAAAGTTAGAAGCGTGTGTAATATTACATATGATGACCCTTTGGTCTATGGTAATCAAGTATGGTGTGATTTGGATATTAGGATTGTTGCTAATTACCCCACAGTGCTGAGTCCATATTGAGAAAGTCGGTTTGAAAAGGAAGTCGAGTTGTTGTTGCATAGTAATGTTGCTGGCATGTGTTTTTTGGAAGCATAGGATGTGTTGTGATGTAAGAGAGAAGATAAAAACAAAGAAGTCGATTAAAACTTGTATAGGTTTATTATCCAAAAATATATGTCTCTCTCTTTTCTAGCTCTTCATTCTCTAGGTATTTATATATGAAGAGATGTCGGAGTAAGTAGTAGTAGAGTTCATGCAAATGACTGAGTCTCTATTATCATAGACTACTTTAAATTAACTAAATAATGTAAATTATGGACTTCGATTATAAGTCTTGATCTATTAAAAGATACATTGTCTTATTTAGTACAAGAGGTTTTTTTATGTCTATTTCTGATGTAAATTGATTATGATATATTTTAGTATGTAAATGAAGACTTATTTAATGTCAGATCATCATATGCATATAGATTCTATATGTTCACAACAGGATGTCTAGTTGTTTAGTTTTCAAGTATCGAATAAAGCTGCTGCTAACTTCTGGTTGTGATGGTTTTGTTAAACTTCGGCAATTAAGGGAACATATAAAAAGGTCAGTAAATGAATGTGAGGGGAACTTACGAGATTGGGTTGTGCTTGAAGTCGACATATTTATTGTTGCGAATTCGCTTCACCTTCAGCGAGAGGTTCAGAACTACTTGTTTGATCAATTTGCATTTCTGAGTCGTCAGTTATCTTCTCAGGTGTTGGGCGAGAGAAAATAAATGCTGGAGCATCATTGTCTGTTTGGTCTTGTTCATGTAATGCAGACTTTGGCTGGATCTGAGGGAGAAAGGCACGGAGTTGTTCTTCGGTAATCCAATTCTTTTTAGCAAAGGATCTAGCAACCGCTACATTGACAGGTGTTCGGATGTACTGCAGCGTGGATAGAGCTCTGGTAGAGTTGATACGACATGCTTCTTGTCTGAGCTCTTCCTCAGAAGCCTCAGCAAAAGCTGGGTTTCGGACTACTGTTGGATCGAGTGGATCAAAGTCATGGAGAGGCTTAATATTATGCTTTTCAAAGACAGCAGAGGCAGCGGAGGCGTACTCGTTGTGTACGAGGATGGCGACGACATTTCGATCAGGATAGTGAATATCCAAGACTCTTCCACGATCAAGTCCGAGGTGGGCAAATTGTTGGCGCATGTCTCTGATAGGGAGCTTTCGTCTGCATGGGAGATAAAGGTATTGAAACCCTTGATCAGTGGACACAGGTATGAATTGTCTGGCCACGCTAGCCACTTGACGAGGAGAGAGGCGTTTTGAAGGACGAGTGGGCGCACGTCTTGCTATTGTAGCAAAAGCGACACGCTCCCCAGAAGGTTTGTAAGCATGGGAATATTGAGATGCTTCAATTCCCTTAGCCAAGGGAGGGAAATCAGTAGGCATTGCCATATCATGATCTGTATTTTGAATTGCCTCTGGTTGAGTCAGAGGCAATTCTGACTGACTGTTGGCGGCGGACTGCAAGGCGGCAATTTGTTGATAAGCTTCTGCCAAAGCCTTTTGCGTCTCCGCTAAAGCAGAGCGAGTGTCTTGGAGCTCTTGACGAAGCCCTTCGTTGTCTTGGCTAAATGCCGCCAGTTGAGCTTGGAACGAGAGCATCTGGTCTTGCAAGCTGGTGGGTATAGCAGCCTTAGCAGCTGCTTCCGCAATGAGGGCGGCGGTTTGTTGTCTAGTAGCCTTGGATGGACTACCAGTGGTTGGCAGTTTGCTGTAAGGTTCAACACGCTTCGCACGTGGGGTGGTCTTCTTGATAGTAGGGGTATTCATAACGAAGTTATATTCGTGGTCTAATGAATTTGATCGGAGTCGTTTCCTTGGGGGAGGTAGAGTTGGACTGAATGAAATAGTTACAGGTGCGTCAGATGTTACGTCTACGAGTGGTGGCGAAACTGAAGGCGATGTCGGTTGTAGTGGTACAGAAGAAGGTTCTACTGGAGGTCTGTCGACTATGTCGTTTATGTTGAAGTTGTTGTTGTTGTTGTGTTTTGTTAGTTGAAGGTGCTGTTTCGGGGCTTAGGTACCCAAAACAGAAAATTCGAAAAAAAAAAGAAAAAAAAAGAAAAAAAAAAGAAAAAAAAAAAAAAAAAAAAAAAAAAAAAAAAAAAAGAAAAAAAAAAGAAAAAAAAAAGAAAAAAAAAAGAAAAAAAAAAGAAAAAAAAAAAGAAAAAAAAAGTCCGTTAACATTCATACCGAATTACAAGTATGCCACTTATGTATTTAAAAAAATAAATACCACTACTTTAAAGTAAAGCAAAAAAAATTTTTTGTAGTAATGAAAAGTAAAAAAAGTAGGTAGTTTTAATTTTTCTGTTTTAAATTAACAAAAAAAGCCAACTTTTCAATTTTTCTGCCTTAAATAAATAAACGAGTCTACCGGATGATGGCTTTACTGTTTAGTTTAAAAGAAGGGATTAATGGTCGGTAGACTTGTTTTTTATTTTAAAACCGAAAAATTGAAAAACAAGCTTTTTTTTTAATTTTAAGTAAAAAACTTAGAAATCTACTATTTTTTTTTTTACTTTTGGTCATTTCAGAATTTATTCTGATTTTATTTTAGAGTAGTGGTCCTACTTTAAAAAAGTGGTTTTTATTATTTTTCAAAAAATATTTTTTTGAGTACGCAAATGGCATACGTGTAATTTCGGCATACCTGGTAATATTTTTATAATTTTGAAAATGTCTTTTTTTTTTTTTTTTTTTTTTTTTTTTTTTTTTTTGCAAGCCCATCACACTGATCCCAAAAACTTGAGGTGTAAGAGTCTTTCAATAATTTTTTCTATCGCTCTAGCTACTTTTTTGTAGAATAATCACTACAGCGTAAGCAATGGAAGAAAAATGTAATTGCCTACACTGTGGCGTATGGTTGCTATGGTGACTATTATGGTTGTTATGGCTTTCTATGGTTGCTATAGCTGCTATGACTGCCGTAATCACTCTGCTGCGACAGGGAACCTGGTCAAAAAATTGATGATCAAGAGCATTAAAGAAAGAGCCCGAATTACTGGAGCTGTCATTTGGGAAGTAAAGACGTTGTCGACTGGTGACAGTTGCTTTACAAATAGGATTATTAACTGCCGCTTGATTGATCAGAGTGTACTAAAATTTATCGAAGGGAAGGTTACAGTTGACTTCTCAGCCCAATTTCAAAGAGAATTAAGGGATAACAGCTCGGAGAGCAGCGCTACCCGCTGGCTGCTTTAGTTTAGATGTTAAACCATCAAAATTCTCTTAAATGACAATAAACTGCCACTGCTTCATGTATAATTATCCTTGAGTTGGAGACACAAATAAGATAGGATTTTGCAAGGTGAAAAATTGAACGTTGCCACCTGAATTCCTTTTTTTGGATTTCATAGCGTCGCCAGTTTTCTGATTCTGAGCAAAGATTTTCACCAGTCGCAAAGTACAAAGAAAAAAAATAACCGTTTTTTGGTCGAACATCACCACCTCACTTCCAAAATACAATAGATTAAAATGCTTTTTTTCCCTTTCTTAAATCTATAGGAAAATAGAAATTATCTCTAAAAGTATCTCTTTTAAGCAGATGATCCATAGATTTGACTTTTTTTTTTTTTGTTTAAAGCATAGCAATTATGCATTTACATCATAAAATATCTGAACCTGTTACTTTTTATTGACTGACAAATGTCTATTCCAAAAGGATTTTATTCTATCATCTTTTTTCAATGCATGTATAGCTTGGAAATGAAGAATATTGATTACTGACCAAGTAGTCTTAATTGTGCGCTTAAGGGCCAAGGTGATCTAATAACTCCTGTTGACAAAATGAAGAAGTAAAGAGAGAGAGAGAGAGAGAGAGTTCGTACCCATCTTATATACATCAGGTTTGAATCTGTTCACGACAGGAAGAAAGGTTACTGAATTTCTATTGTTATCATAGACAGCAACAAGTATTCCAAAAGTACAGACTGAAACTTGGGTATATTAAGGAGCCATAAATCACTATTCTTGAGTAACATTGGTGCTTATATTAATGGAGTTTTTTTTTGCTACCAAAATTTTCTTCAATTCCAAAGCAAATACAATCCTTGCAGCTTTTTATATCTCTTACTTCTCCAGAAACCTTGAATCACATGTCATAATTTGACAGCAGTTGCTCATGTATAGCAAACTTCACTTCCAAGAAGAAAGTTTTATCCTCAAAGGTCTGAGCTGCTAAGGCGCGGAAGCCATGAAAATTATCGTATTTTACGTCAATAATGCTTGTAAAGGCATTCGTAGAGATCTCCTTACTTATTTTACTCAATATACGATTTTCTTTATTTTGTTCAGTTATTACTTGTAGAAAAAATTAATTTAGCTTCTGATATTTAGATTTTTTTTTGTCTAATCATATCCTCTCTTTCAGCCTTTTCTTTTTCGAGATTCTCAATCATATTGATGAAGGAATTGGCTTTGCTTGCAGTGGCGATCTTTTATCTCTTTTAGATTAAGAGGCCTTTGTCTCAGCTACGTCTTTTTAAGCTTGAGTTGCTTTCGTCAAATAAAACTTTTTTTTTTTTTACCTTTCTTTGCGTCTCTGATGTTCTTTTTGTGATTTATCGCTTTCCAAAGGGGTCTGATCCTCGTTTTTCTCAAGCTTATACATAAAACATAGCAATGCAAAGTGATTAGTAATGAATGCATTGGTACTGTTCAAAAGTTTTTACCCTTCTAGTTGTTACTTTGGATTGTATCTGTTCTGCTCTTGTTTTCTTCTGACTTTTTTTTCTCTTCCAAAGACTGCAGTAAGATCCTTTTGCAGAATTTTTAGTTTTGCTTATACACCTGCTTTCTAGTATTTTAATAGGTTCATCAGCTACTTCAACTGGATGGTTTTTTTCTGACTGCTGTATTTCTTGAAATCTTGGATAGCATTTTCTACAAGATCTTGAAGATAATTGATCTTTTGGTAACCATTTCTACTTTAACGAAGCTGTATTTCTAGCTTGACAAGAAGTTGATATCATTTATCTTATTATGGAAGTATTTCGTAAGATCCAAATCTATTGTTTGTCAACTTTGGAGTGAGACTTCAATCTTTTGCTCCAGAGATACTAAGCTCTTCCAATTGCCAGTGCTTGTTGATACTGTTCAGTTTGAGAGGACCCTCTCCCATTGGCAGCATAGTGTGCACACAGGGCAGAAGAAAGTTCGTCTTGGCATAACAGCAACATGTAGCTTCTATTATCCCCAATTCCTCTTCCAACAAGTCGCCAGAACCAACTTCCAAACATGCGGAATGAGTAGCAACAAATGCAGCCCTTAAGACTTTGTTTTGTATGTGGCCTAATCTCTTGTTGCTTTTCACCAAGTCATCTCGTTTTTGTTGCTCTTTTTGCTTAAGAACGTCAAGCTTTTTTCTTTTGCAATTATACCTTATATTTATCAATATAATCAAACGCATTAGTCAAACACATTTGTCTACATATTCCATTTTTTTAGTGACCGAGAACCGCTCTCAGCCCTTTGTGCACCGAGGCAATTGAAATGAGCTAACTTCTTGGTCAAATAAGCTGCTCATTCTTTCTTGATTGGTGTCCAATCGTCATACAAATAGTAGCGTGCTTTGTTGAAACCACGAACAAATCCATCTTCTTCTGCCTCAACCTCAAAGAAATCGGTTACATTGTCTGGGCTGTAAGTTTCCTTAAATTCATCCTCATCTTTTGCATGTATCATTTTTTCTACTAAACGTATGCACTTTTTTTTTTTACTTCCTCGTTGACAAAACAGCTAGCTTCATTAAGCCTCTTTTTAATTTTTTTCTTTTTTTTTTTTTGCATCATATGCCAGATGCATAGCAACTTCTCTGATTCTGGGAAAACATTTTCAACGCTTTCATCAATTGAAAGCATTTACCAGTTACAATCAATGGTGCATTTTCAGGCGAATATCCGATAAATGACTTCAATTGTTTCAGAAAACACTGATATATCGTTTCTTCTTCATTAAATACAAAATCGAAGGCGACAAGGAAAGTTCTTAGCTACTCATCAACAAGGCTGCATTCGACATAAACACTGATCAGAGGCATTTGCATGTAAGTTGTATCAATCACCAAAGCTTGACCTAATTTTTTGGCATTGTACGTCATATTTTTATGTCCAAAGAAAATGTCTTTCAATACGATAGGCGTACCGTTCTCTTCTTGATATACTTGATACTGAGCCCAATATCCAGCATTTTCCGTTTGAGCAATAAGAACTTTCGCGTTATTTATTTTAATGTTTGCTTTTTCAGTCTCTTTAGTTTCATTGGGGATAATTAGCAATATCTTGGTAGCTATAGAATGGTACTCCATTGAAAGTAGTGGTGTTCTTTCTTACTTCGGCAATGCCGAAGTTGCTTTGAAGCATTTCAGACATCACAGAAAAGCCAGAAGTCAGGAGCTTTGTTTTTCCTTGAGATGTGGTTCTGTTATAGCCTTCAGTACACTCATAATTGTAGACTGTGCGGGGCTTTTTAGCAAACCAGCACTCTTCTAATGAATTGTAGGCAACTCGAATCATGAAGTGACATCCAGTCTTGAAGCTAGTTCCTTGCCTTTTTCTATCAGGATTACATCTGATTTTCTTACTGCCATCGCTATACTTGCAAGTCCATGTCAATCTCTCTTTTTTTTTCATTCTTGAGCGGATCAGGAATGTGTTTTCTTTGTTGGTTCAGCTGTCAAGTCTATCTGTCAGATTTTTGAGATTTTTAAACCTCATTTTCCAGGTGAAAGACAAAGATATTGGTCCTTATAGTCGCTAAAGTTTTTCCCGTTTTATTTGAGTTTGTAATGAAAACATTGCATCTCTTGCGCAAAACCACAGAAACAGGCGGCTGAAAATTGCCATCACTTATAATTCAGTTTGTTTGAGCTCATTTTTCTTAAGTTTTGTTAGAATAAAAAAGAAGAACATCAGATTGAATAAAAAGAGTTCAAAAAGCCGAATATATTCTTCTAAAGAGTTTTCATAAGGTAACTAAAATCATAATATAAATACCAATATTCAATCGCAAACCAATAGATCACTTATATCTGTAGAATCTGAATAAAGGATTATAACAGTTGCTGCTCATTATATGCATTCTCTAATTGTAGCATTGCAGAAACTAAAGCGCTCAACCCTTTAATGGTGTTGTTCAATAGTCAAGTAAAAGTGAAGTAACATTTTTTCTTAAAAAGCCTATTTTGAACGTGAAGTAGCGATTTTCAACTAAAAAAAACGGTTATTTTTTTTTCTTTGTACTTTGCGACTGATGAAAATCTTTGCTCAGAATCAGAAAACTGGCGACGCTATGAAATCCAAAAAAAGGAATTCAGGTGGCAACGTTTAATGGCTCTCTTTCTTTTTGCAATAGCTGTAATCATTATCAAACTCTCAATAAACTTAACCCATATCTGGAAATGATAGATTGATTTCGATTAACTGGCCATATTGCTTGTTGAAAGCATTGTACATGCATACTATAGATTATGGACAATTACAAATAGAAAATCAAGTTGCTTTTTTCTTAAAAAAGACATAAGGTTACATTAGGCCCTGAAAAAAAAACAAAGCCGATTACTGTCTTTTAAGTACGCTAAAAAGATTATGCCGCATCGGAAAGCTGTACCCCTTGAACAATATTCTCCAAGAGTGTACTTTTTCTCGAAAAAAAGTGAATCTAGGCTACTTCGGTCTCTTTTTCTCTTTTTTCCCACCCCGTGGATTTTTATTGGCTCAGAATAAAGAAACAATTGTGTTTCTTCGAGGCTCATGAAAAAAAACTCTATTCGTTTTATTCTTGTTATGTAATTTATTTCAAAGGCCAGTAAACCTAAAAGTCAAGCTTGTAAGCCTTACAACAAGTAGTCTATTAAATCAAATGTTTTTTAAATCCCTCAAGAATGTCAATTTGAAAAAGACATGCTCTTTTTTTATTAACAACAGCTGGTTGAGAATCCAACTTTCATTCTACTTAAAAAAAGCGTGTATATTCTATGCATTCCGGTCTGAAATAGATATATGTTTCTCTAAAGAGTTTGTTCAACGTATAAAGAAATTGAATAAAATTATGTTTAGCCAGAACAACAAACTCTATATAGTCATATATGACTGAAATAATATACATTGTACATGTTGAGTTAGCATTTTGCATAATTTCAAGAGATAGTGACACTGTCAAGTCAAGTGACTCAACAATCTTCTTTTTCTCTATCGGAAATTCAAACAGTAATTCTTTCCCTCTTTTCTCTCTTTTCCTCTCTTACACACTTTAAAAATATGGGTGCTAACACGTCAAAAAACACAACAAAAAACTCCAGTAACCGTGTTCACCAACAGAAAATTGAAGACCTTGTTGACTTGGGCTCTGTTCTTCCAAACGGTCTTTACCCAGCAACTGAACAAGATTACGACCCACGTATTGTCCGAAGCTTAATAATAGCCAGAAAGATAGCGCCTTTTTATAAAGGTATTAATAATAATTAAGATATTTATAGATAATAACTCTTAGAAAAGGCCTTCCTGATGCTCCAGAACCTGTTCAACCTACATTGTCACAAACACTGTCTCCTTTACCGCAATCCTCTTCTTCCTTATCAACGATATCTATAGAGAGTAATTTATCAGCATCAAAACCTTCAGCTAGACCAAGAAGCGCATCTTCTAGCAGTAGAACACCAGGCTATGATCCTTTCCTTGAAAGAAAAAAAGCCTATATAGAAAAAATGAAACAAAGAGAAAAAATGCTTTACAATGATGCTGTTGAATGTCCTATTTGTTTTTTAGTAAGTTATATGTCAAGTAAAATCATTATTCATGCTTTTTTTTCTTTTTTGGTAGTATTATCCTGCCAATATCAATTATTCTCGCTGCTGTGATCAACCTATTTGTACAGAATGCTTTATTCAAATACATCGTCCCATTGAAACACCATCTGTGCCAGCTACTTGTCCATTCTGTATGGAGGAGAACTATGGTATTATATACGAGATACCTTTATGGAGTGAAAAGTTTCAAGTAAACAGTTTCGTAGCATATATAGGATTATTGACTATTTAATTAGGCTCGTTCAAGAAGTGGATCACATAGCACAGTGTCAGGCACTCGGCATACAACTTCTGGTGTTGGTGAATCTGATGGACCAAGACGTGAAAGTGTGAGTCATAAAAACCCTGATGTTGTTCTTGTCGGTAAGAATAAAACAAAATGAAATGAAAAGAGAAATAACAAGGATTAGATCATATAAGACCCAACTGGAATACCGCGGCACAGCCCGTTCGATCTGTCTCAAGAAGAAACTCTGCATCAGCAGGGTCGCGCAATGGCCATAGTAATGGGTTACTAAGAGCCGCTGGAGGTGGCGTCAGTTCACTCTTGACCCGACCTGGTCGATCTGCATCTTCTGCTGCTGCTACGGAATACAATCACTTTTTGAATAATATGCGTGATATGGATTTAGAGGATTGGATGGTAATGGAAGCAGTCCGGTTATCACTTGCAGAACAAGAAGAACACCAAAGAAAACAACAGTTGGCAGCAAAAAATAACCAACATCCAGAAGAACAAACTACCAATGCATCATCTTCTTCTCATTGATCATATTCCCCTTCTCTTTTTTTTTTTTTTTTTTTTTTTTTTACATATGAAAATAAAGTTCGTCTTTTTTTTGGCATCGTACTTTTCTTTTACAGTGTCAATTAGATTACTGCTATCGCTTTTAATCAACTCTTTTTTTGAAACGAATAAGAAATAAAAGATCTGCATATAGAAAACAAACATAGATAGTATGTTAAACAAACAATGATAACGGCTTTTTTTCTTTTTGTTTGTTTTTTAATAAAAATAGGAGGTGGGAAACGTAAGAATTTTGTCGGTTAATGCCATAGATACAGGAAGTTTTTGCTGAATTGTTTGTATGTTGAGTCATCAAGCTATAGCTTGATTATAGGTGTTTATGAGCTCATTATTTGTTTATTATTTCATGGGAGCGAATAAAGTAAGGTATTTGTCAAGCCAAAATGTTTTTTAAGCTAATGAAGTATATTGCACGCATCTCTATTCGATTGAGTTCCAATAAAAGATTTATTGCAGCACACTTTTGCGGTGTGCTAAATGTAAGGCAAAAGAGAAGGCAATGGGAGAAAATACACGCATCAAGTGATAAGATGTCACTACAAGAATTAAATTCAATCAATGTGGTCTTTTTTTCTGGCTTTTTCTTGTACGCGTCTTTAAAAGAAACTTGATGCTTAATTACAAGTAAATTTAACTTCAAATTCAGTCATCCAATCAAAGTGTGCTTCGAAGCAAACTTAATGTATTCGAAATTAAATCTGCATTTTATTTTCTTCTCCTCTTCCTTTTCTCTTTCTTTTACATAATAAAAGAAAAAACGTGTTCTTTAGCTATGAAGGTGTATAGCGTTCTTTTTATATCTTCTCTTTTACTTCAGTCTTGTTCAGCTGGTCTCTGGGGTAATAAAAAAGAAGACCCTATTCAAGCAGAATATAAGTTGGCTGATAATCCTGCTTCAAAATTCGACTATAAGTTATCATTCAAAAAGAATTATTATTATAACAATACAATTCCCTTTTGGTCTACTGGTGGAGGTAAAGGCACTTATTGCTTGTTGGTATATATCTCATGCTGTGGAAATAGATATTTTCAAGTCTGAAGACTTTATTCGTCTCTCACCTTCTATACCCAACACCAAAGGTTGGATTTGGTCAGATATCCCTAATCCTTATCCAGAATGGGAAGTGGAAATCGGTTTTAGAGTCAGAGGAAACAATTTGCACGGTGGACGTGGTTTAGCCTTTTGGTACGCTAAAGATCCTAAAGAAACAGGCCCCGTGTTTGGTTCAAAAGATAAATGGGATGGTCTCAGTGTCTGGCTTGATTCTGCTAACCCTGTGGTAAGTGGTTGTAAGAAAAAAAAATGAATGTTGATTTGGGTCATAGACACATAAACAAAGCACGATGGTGTTATTGAATGACGGCACATTGGCTTTTGCAGCTGGCGATGATCCCATCAAGCATATGCTGGGACAATGCTCTATCAGTTATCGAAACGCTGAAAATCCTGCTTATTTGAAAGTGACTTATAAGGATCAGATTATTACTGTAAGTTGATTCAAATCAATGCTGTTTTTTACTGATATATTTATAAGGTTGCATTGGATAATGGATCAGGTGCAAAAGACTATCGTTTATGTGCTCAACAGGGTGGTATTAAATTGCCTGTAGGTTATCACTTTGGTATTTCTGTAAGTCACTCCATTCTTGACACGTACATGTTTCTAAGTTTATTTCTCATTTAGGCTTCGTCACACACACCTGCAGGTAAGTGGAATAAATCAAAGTTTCTTATTCATTAAAATGTACATGTAGATGATCACGATGTTATTTCTTTTGAGACAAGACAATTAAATCCCCCTAAAAAAATGGAGGTAAGGGAATACATGTCAGGGCATTTTGACAAATAAAATGTAGCACCCAAAACGCCCATTAGAAGAAGAAAAGAAGAAGAAGGGTCAAGAATTCAAGGGCATAGATGAAGAACAGAAGAAAAAGATTCAAGAAGCAGAATTCCAAATGAAAAAATTAAGAGAGACAGCTGAAGCAGACGATTATCAAGGGGAAACAGCTGTGACTATGGTAATATATCTATTTTTTCAAGACACACAAACTCATGTTATATGTAGGCTGCTATCTATGATACCCAACGTAGAGCAATTGAACATTTACAGATTGTACAGTTGCAGATTGAAGCCTTGGGCGCACCTAATCCAAATGATGCTCTTAGTGGCAATTATGAAAAAGCGGATCGCGTTTATGCTCGAGATAAACACAACAACGAAATGTATAACAAAAGCGACAACAACAACAATAATGCGTAAGTATAAACTAAAAAAAAAAAAAAAAAAAAAAAAAAAAAAAAAAAAAAAAAGAGTGGTATCTAACTAGACTCTAGTGAGGAAATCAAGCGCATTGCAGATCAAATGCATACTGAGTCACAAAAGACTGAAAACCAAATTCAGGAACAAGGCCGTAAAATGAAGGATATTCAAGCATCATTGAGTCGATTGGAAGATACACTTGCTGCTTTAGACGTAAGTTAAGCATATAAAAATAATATATGACTCATTTTTTTTTATAGAGACGCATCTCTTCGCAAGCCAACATGATTCAATCTGAAATGAACAAGGTCAATTTACATTCAGCCGAAACAAAAGGCACCATGTCTACTCTTTTGAAGTATATCTTTTATGCTTTTGTAGCCCAATTCTTGTTTGGTATTGCTGGTTATCTTTATTGGAAATTACGTGTTGAGCGTAACGACAAAAAGTTTGTTTAAATAAAAAGCTTGCTTGTCTCTAGCCATTCAATAGACACATCTTCTACATGTTCATCAAAGTCATGAATACGGTGATAAGCAGAAGCACTGAAAAGTCCACGCACTTTAGTGTATGTTTCTTTATCTGTCAAACTAAAGTCGTTATCACTAGCTGTGAAAGGATCCTTTTGCTTTTTCCATTGATTCTCTGTATTTACATAAGGCTATAGGCTTATAAATACACGCCATGTTTGTTTTTTTTCTCTAAACTTACTGTGATAGCAGATACATCTTGTTCCAAATTAGAGAATTGTTTATTGTTGATCTATGTTATTCTGTCAATACTTTTTTTTTGCTATCAACAAACTAACTAACTTGCCATAAACAAAACAGCCTTATTGCTCGCACTGTTTTTCTTGATTGTTTCTGCTACTTTGACAGCTCTTTCAGGCAAACTTGTATCTTCGAGACGTGCGTTGCCATGGTACCAACCTACGATCACTAAATCATTTTCCTTTGCATAAATCTCGGTCTAATCAAGTTAATACGCGTCATCTACTCGAGGTGTTACTTACTTGTCTTAAAGCAACCTCAAGCATAGGTGTAACTGTAGTCCAGTGATGAAAGAAAGGTACGGCTGTCTTGACCATTAGTTCTTTCTCGTTTTTACCCAAGAGTACACCACACACATCAGAAGAAGGATACTTTGCTGCATGTAATAGGGGTATAGTATATGCGTTCAAGTCGATTTTGTTCATAGCTAAAAAAAATAGAAAATAATAAATAAGAAAAATGATGATATTAACTTGTTTAAGGTTCCGCCAATGCGATCATTTTGATCCAAACTTACAACTTAAAACTTACCCGCCCTTTTATTACATTCCAGTATGAAACGCAGGATTAAAATCACACCTAGACTTTATTCAGATGTAATTCTGATACAGCAACCTTCTTTTTTAAAATCTGACGTATATACGCATTCCATGTGACGACAACCCTATTGTTAAAGGGGATGGCGTCAACAAAATAGAAGGCGCTCCTTCTCCTTTAAGAATCTGGTCTGTATCAAAATCAATTGGAATTTGAGGGGCGTATATATAAAAAAGAAAGTTATCCAAAAATAGACAACAACAAAGCATATATAAACAACGTTTTTTGTCTCTCTCTCTCTCTCTTTTTCTACATCTTTTCGTTTTTTTTCTGCTTCACAATGACTGTTTCTCTTTTCAATGCACTTCCTTCTATACAACGCAATAAAAAGACAATAGAGAACAAGCCGCAATTTAAGCGTCAACCACTTCAATTCAAATTATCTCGCAACCATGGCAGAACTACATCTGTGCCTGCTGTATTGCCTAGCCATCGAAACATGAACGTCTTATTAGATGCCATTGATCTCGACCAACAAATGCGTCAGTTTTTTAAAGCTCAAGTCATGAAATCAAAAGCATGTACTGCTACATTTATGCCTACAGCCACTCCTCCTTCTATCATGATGGCCAGACGTCGAAGCAAATCAGCTCCAGGTGCTCCACCTTCTTATCACCAACAACGTGCCTTCAATGCTCGTTGGACTGCACCTCATTGTAACACCACTGTCACTAGTGCATCTGAAGCAGAAAAGGTTGCTCAATTCATTGTACAACAACATTTTGAATCTGTCAAAAAGAGATAAACTTTTTCTTTCTATCTTATCCACTCATTTTCCATTCATTATATATTATTCATTCATTATCCCTTTCCTGTATTTCTTATCCATGCCTTATTGTAGTAGTTTTTTAACCTCCCTTTTTTTATTCTATATTTATTCAATAAAAAACAAAAAAGAAAGAGAGAGAGAGAGAAAGAAAATATCTTAGCTCCTTCATTCCTTTGAATCAAATATCCCTGTTTTTTATGTACATTCCAATCTCTTTAATTTGTATCTATTGATGTACCTTGACAGCTTCAGCCATAATTCGATCCAATTCCTAAGAAGAAATCAGTCTAAATACACTTTGATTATCTACTTACTTTTTCTAATTGCTCTAATCTGGTTTGAGAATCTTTAAAGACATCACTGATTTCGCTTCGAATGGTATAATATTTGTTGCTGGGTGCTTCTATCTTTTGAGCAGCACCACGAATAATGACCATCATATCATTCATACCAAAATCATTACAGAATAACATAGATTCAGCAGCTTCATGACGAGATCGCTTTTGATCAGTAGTGGGTGTAAGGGTATCAATGGCTTCATCAAGTTGAGACATAATATCAGGCTCAGAATCAGGGGAACTAGAGAGTACAGGCTTGGTGAGCATATCTGGGCTTTCTGCAATGTCCCTTGATGGTATAGGAGGTTCTTGAAATCCGCCTGTAGGTGTAGCTTCTCGGACAGGCATAGGCGTATCTTGGCGTACAAGACGATGATGTGGACGAGCATCTAAACAAAGAAAAATGAATCAAATAAGGATACTAAAAAAAGGGGAGAACAACATACCATGGTATTGAATATTTTCTTCTAGTTCTTGTTGAATAACAGCAATAGGTTTTGGTTTTTCAACACATTTCAAAATAAAATAAACTTCACCTTTATCAGGTGGGTTGATATTGGCTGTAATAGATGTTCTGTCAGGGTTACTATTGCGTCTATAATGAATAGGAGGTACTTGATCTCCAAACACATTAAGCAATTTATCATTTAGATCCAACAATTGCTCTTGACCATCTCTGTTTACAGCCAAGCTATACTTGACCACATCATCATCACCGTCTAGGCGTAAAGAATTGATGTCCATACCATTCACAATACCATTCAAAATATGGAATTTTTCGAGCAACAAGGGCACAGCATCCTTGACCAATACATGGGAGGCAATCTTGACTAATTTGTCGGTTCTCTCTTCTTCAAACAAGGACACCTTGATTTGAATTTCACCATCATCTGTGCGTTTGGTTTTTGAATAGAGATAGAATTGGACTTCTTCGTCTGTAGTAGGAGCATGGCTAGAGGGTCCTCCAATATGTGTGTTATCACTGCCCATCAGCGCGGAAATACGTCTGGCTTTCTTGAGTGAGGGCATAGGGGTATTTAAATGAGCTGTTAACGAATGAAAAATCTCGAGTGGTTTGTCAGAAGGAACCAAGGTGAATTCATCACCACCCAAGGTACGAACAATCAAATGGTAGTCATGATAAGCTTCCTCTTCTTCAGGCTCTTGATTAGGATCCTGTTGAATGACTTGTTGAATCAGTTCATTTGCTGTAGTAGAAGGATAGACATAAGCATGTTTATAAGGCAGGTCGCCAAAATCAGTGATATTGCCTGCATTGATCTTTAATCGACTAGGCTGTTGCATATTCATGTTGTCAGAGTCTACGCTGTCAACACGATCACGTTCGATAGACATCATGCCAGTAGATTGGGAACTGATAGAAGCTGTCTCAGCAGATATTTGTCTTTCGAGTGTATTGTTGTCTTGGTTCTTTTGAGCATTTTTCTTGCTCTTTTTGCTTTCTTTGCTACTGCCGCTAGAATTGGATCTTGAAAAGAATTTGCGAATACTTGACTTTTCTTTCTTTTCTTTGGAGTTTCTGCGTTCTTGTTGAGGCTCAGGTGAAGTAGCATTGAGTAGTTTCTCAAGCTTAGCAGCCTTCTTGAGTTTGTTTTGAATGCTACTGTCGGAACTGCGACGACTTTCTTCATAGCCACGGGCGATAGAAGGTGTAAGTGAAATCTTGATTGTTTCGTCTTCCACGGGTGGTTCCAGAGCATCATTAATGATGTCTGAATCAGCTTCAATAGGAGTAGCATCTGATAAGGTATTTTGGTATGGGTGAATATCATTCTGGACAGCAAGAGGATTACTGTTCATTTGGCTGTAATTAGCAGTGTACATGTCAATAGGCTGATCCAAATCTTGTTCTCCATAATAACGATAAGGATCATCGCTTTCATCTTCAGATATCATATCGTCTGTATCAGATTCATCAGAACGCATACGTTCATCCCATTGCTCAAATTCGGCTTCAAAATAATCATCTTCATCATCACTTGAACCATAAATGATTTGAGATTGAAATTGAACCCCTTTGGCAAGTGTTACACGCTTCGTCTTTTTTGGACTGTTAGAAGGTGGTGCAGGAAAAGCATCTTGAATGTCTTTTCTGGTAAGCTTCATGTACAAATTAGGTTAATTCAATGTGTGTCAATACAAAAAAAAACTTACTTCTATATTGCGATGTGAGTTTAAACGAGCTAGTCTTTCATGAGGTGTCTAGGTAGGTTGAGTGGATAGATCAAGTAACACTATCTTACCTCAATATTTTCAGCTGGAATATAGCCTACTTCAGCTGTCTTGAGTACCTTAATAAGCCACCAATAAGAATTACTGTCATCCAATAAAGTCAATGCATCACCACGCACAACAGAAGCTTGGCCTTCTACCGTGGCAGCAAACGTATGAAGTGCATAAACCATATCGAAATTAATCTCTGAATCAGGAATACTGAGCTCAGACCCGGTGTCATCTTGATCATCTTGCACATGAGTGTCATCATCATCGAGATCTTCATCGTATTCTTCATAGGTGTCGTCATCTCCTGTTGTATGGTAGTGCTGGTAATCGTCCATATCATCGTCATAAAGTGATTGTTGATAGTCTGTATTGCCTCGGTATCCTGTGAGGCGTCTATTATCTTTAGTGGAAGTAGGCATGATTAAATGAGGAGGGGGATAAAGAATGGAATGGGTGTTAACTAGAACAAGACTTGTCTCTTAAATAATATAGAGAAAGAAAGGAAACATGGACGCGAGCATCAAGTCGGACCAATTTATTTTGAAAGAGTAGTACAAACTTGATTATATCTTGTGTGGATAAAGAAAACAATTCAAATCAAAGAAATCAAGTTATGCTGATTTTGAGAAGAAATTTGATATGCAATATAAAGAATCAAAGTACTGTCTTAAATTGAGAATTGCAGGTTTAACTGTGTAAAGATGCCTGTAATTTGCAGAAATAAACCTAAAAATATTCTTTATGAATGAGCTTTTAATAGCAGTCGAGGTCATCAAGGAGTGTCTTTTCATGCTTAAATTATATACGAGCAATGCTTGATAGGGCTAGTGGTATTTTGGATCAAAAAAATCAAAGTTTTCGAAATGACCTAAGCTTGCCTTTCTTCCAAAGGGTTTATTTAGGACATACATTTAAAACCCCGTCATCAGAGCCTTTGTTCAACTTTATGAGCTCAGAAGTGAAGCTATAGGGATGCTTCAATACTCAAAATATGCGCCAAAAGCTACGATTTCTTGCAAATGTTTTTGTCTGACTAATTTATTACTGATTTGATGTACTATGATCAAAAAACTTAGAACCATATATCTTGAGGCAACTTGAAGTGTTATGAGTATACTTTGTGATCTTCTTCTACCATTCAATTCACAATGCGAAGATATACAGAATTTACTAACACACCAAAAGAATCCAAGATCATATTTTGTTGCATTTACAAACAGGTCGTTTCTCCACATTGAAATTGATTCTACTTTTTTAAAACTCAGAAATGGGCTTTGGAATGATGATCTATTCTCAAGAACAACTTGATTTCTAAAATTTGCTGTATTTGTGTAGAAAGTCACTAGGAAAGGCGAAATCTCTACATTCAACATCAAAAATGACAACCAAGTGTGACAATAGGATTCTTTTCTTCAAATAAATCATATAAGACAATATACAATTAGCAACTAAAGACTAAAGACATTTAGAGAATGCCATCTGTTTTCTCTCTTCTTAGCACGGCTACGATAAAAAGCAAGGAAGACCATATTCTCGGTTAGAACAAAACTGAGTACAGAAAGTGCATCTTAAGTTTATCAAGATGTGGTATCATACATAAAAAGTCACAATTTTTTTCTGGTTACATTTTCCTTCCTTCTTTCTTTTTGTGTGTTGAATATGGAAAACGAAGAAGCAAAAACAAAAGCACCACTTTCTAGACACTATTTCTACAGAAAGGCAACTCAACCTGACCAGCCTTCCAATACTGTCTTTTTAAAAGGACTAGACAGCTCTAACGATTTTGAAGACCGAGTCCGCAAGTTTGTTCAGAACGAGTCTTTTTTGCGGTCTGTTAGACAAGTAAAGAAAGAAGCCGCACACGACTTGAATCGCCGTAAAGCAGAGAGAAAGGCGAGAAAAGAACAAGAACAGGGCACTACAAGTACTATAGAAAAAATAGAAAGCAAGCCCGAGAGTACGGGAAAGAAAAAGTTGTTTGAGAAACCTACTATTCTATCTGCAGCAGAACAGCAAGCTTGGTTAGCTAATATCCATGACGATGCTATGTTGATGAATCCTCATCAATGGTTGAAGCTTGCCAGCTTGTTTAATGTCAATTCAAAGGCTTTAAGACAGCAAACTTTATTAGATTTTACTAGTTCAGAGGACGTGCTTCAAGACAGATTGATTGAAAAAGATGATCTACAGCCCTTGGAGAATTATATGGAGCTACGAGACATCCAGAATAGAAACTATGCAAGAGATGCGTAAGTCATGCAACGATCTTGTTTCTTTTAATAATGTATCTCTAGAGTTGCTGAAGGTGTCAAATTCACAAAACAGAATAGGATCAAGGAAGCCATGGAGTTTTACAAGAGATCATTAGATATGGATCCTAAATACCCTGAAGGATGGTTTCATTTAGCTGAAAGGTAAGAAGCTGTTTACCGACTGATTTAATAACAACCACAGCCTTGTTCAACAACGAAAATTACCAGAAGCAGCAGAGCATTTAGAGCGTGTTCTCAAGCTTGATCCATCGCATGAAGGTGCGATTGCACTTTTAGCCAGCATCCGTCATACTACACAACCCAAGAAGCCAGAGAATGAATGGGACTTTGTGGATGAACATGGTCAAAATATGACTAAGAAAGAAGCAGAAAACAACCAAAGTGAGGAAGAAGAAGAGGAGAGAAAGCGAAAGAAAAAGAAGCGTTCTCGCTCAAGAGAAAGACGTCGTCGTTCACGATCACCTACTGATAAAAGAAAAAGACAACGAGATGAAAGTAAAACTCGTCGCAGTGTAGATTCCCGCAAAAGAGAAGATTCCCGCAGTAGTCGATATCATCACCATGAAAAGAAAAGAGAAAGATCTGTCGAAAAATACAGTAGTAGTAGACGTAGATCAAGATCGCCTTCTGAAAGAAGAAAAAAACGCTCACGATCACCTGCAAGACATTCTTCTAGAAAAAGAGATTATAAGCGAAAACGATCCGCTTCTCCCAAGAGACATGAAGACAAACGAAGATCTGTTTCTCCTAGAAAAAAAGACGAAAAAAGAAGATCTGTTTCTCCCAGAAGACATGAGGATAGACGAAGATCCGCTTCTACAAGAAGGCATGAGAACAAAAGAAGATCTGTTTCTCCTAGAAAACATGACGAAAGAAAAAGATCTGTTTCCCCAAAAAGACGTGATGAAAAGAAACGATCTACAAGAGACGATGACAAAAGACGCTCAATCACTTCTAGAGATAACCATCATGAAAGAAGACGTTCTTCTGCACATGAGGATAAGAAACCCAGATACTCTAAAGAAAAAGAAGCTGTTCGACATGAAGGCAAAAGACATTCAAAGCGAGAAGATAGAGATAAAGAAGATCAAAGACATTTAAAACGAGAAGATAAAGACAAAGAAAATCAAAAACATCAAAAACGAGAAGGTAAAGAAAAGGACGACCAAAAAGAAAAACAATCCTCTTCAGTGGAGGAACCTAAAAAGCAAATGTTGCCCAAAGATGATCATAGACAGAATGAAAGTGAAAATAAGCAGTCCTTTGTGCACGAACAAACCTCCCATGATAAAGAAAAGGAACATTTAGTCAAAAACCCAGATAAACCAAATAAGGAGGATGAAAAGCAAACAGCAACTCTTGTTGATAGTAAAAACCAAGAATCCACTGACAACACAAAATCCTCTAAACGTCTATCCATAGACAAAAAGGAAGAAATCAAGAAACATATCCAGAATGGAAAAGAATCGGTTAGAAACGACAAGTCAAGTTCAGCATTAACATCTGATAGATCCTTTCTATCAAGAGATGGTGAAAAGATAAAAGACATTGTCAAGAAACTAGTTTTACCTCGTAGTAAATAGCGTAACAAAGAATAAGACTAGATTAATAAAAATGGATTTTATTGATGATGATAATGATGATAATGATTAGATTGTAACGAAGAAATGATCAATGAGTGGGATAATGTAATAACAATGATAATAGAGTAAAAGAGCAAGATCCCTTAAGCTTCTTCACCATCATCAACACCTTCAACAGTTTCTTTGGTGTCAATGTCACCCTTACTACCCTCTGATTGACGTTCCTTGAGGTGCTCCTTGCCTGTAGCGTAAGCATTGGCCATATCGAGAGAGCGAACATGGTGTCTTTGACGAGAGATTCTGTTACCTCTGGTGGAACCACTGGAGCCTCTGTTAGATGAAGTAACTTCGAAAGTGAAGCTTCTGCTGCAGTCATCGTCGTCACTAAAGTCATCTTCATCATCGCTGTCTTCAGAACAGACCTCTAAAAAGTAACGGCCATTACTTAAGTTTCTGTCGACAACCCATTCAAGAGAACAATCATCGCCATGAGAGTATTGAATATTGAACTTGCGAACCGATTGAACTCGTCTAACCAAAAAAAAATAAGCCAATGCTCTGTGTGTATAAACTCACCTTCCGTTAGAGCGGTAGAGATCAGCATAAAGTCTTTCATGATCATCACATTCAAAGACAAATTGGACTGTTTCACCTTTGGCAAAACAAGTGTTACTACCGGGAGACATCATAAAATCAACATCAGCAACAGCAGTAGAGGCCATCAATACAGCGGCACCAATGAAAGAAGAGGCAAAGGTAATGAACTAAAGAAAATCAATACGATGCTATACAATAATCATTGTACCTTCATGTTTGTAATAAGATAAATGAGAATTGAATTGAGAGATATAGTTTGAATGAACTGTCAAATTCGACTTATTTATATATCTTTTTAATTCAAACAAAAAAAAGGGATTTGGACCCTAATCCCCATAAAGAAGGGGAAGGGTTAAAGATATGCTCAATGATTCCCCTTCCCCAATTTCCTTTTGACTACTATTAGGAATTGAGCTCCTGAACATCTTGGATGATCTTTTTCTTTAGAAAAACAAGAAATTCTGCATATGATTGACACAAATTAAAGTATATTGTTACTACCATTGCTTTACTGCATTCTTGTTACTGATATTACATGAATAGAGCAATTAATGTATAGATTGCATATAAACAAATTTATTGAATAGATAGCTATACTACAGTTAAAATACATGAATGATTATTAAATATATATATTAAAGATAGTCTCTATTATAAGCACCAACAACAGTTTGGCGCGTATTTAGACCATTTGTCAGCTGTTGTTGCTGTCTATCTTGCTTGCTTTGTAATGAAACTGGTGAATAAGGAGAGTTTACTTTTTTCATTGTGTTATCTTGTTGATTTTGTGGTAAAGGTTGGTTTCTGTAAGGTGCAACTGGTTTACTTGACACAAATTGTGAAAAACGATTGATAAGAGAACTAGTCCGTGGAAGGCTTGCGTTAGATGAGTTTGATGCAATGGAGTTATTTCTAGAGTGATACTGGGTATGATAGTTTTCTGCAGCATTTAATTGATTAGCCAGTAACCAATCTTGATGTATCTGTTCTTCAATGTTTTGTCTCTCTGAGTGAGCAGAACGCAAAGAGGAAGTACGCTTCATTTTAGCAGCCAAGCTGTTGGCAAAACCAAGTCGTTGAGATAAACTACGTGACATATCTCCTGTTGAGGCACGCTTGCGATCCAATTCTTCACTTGTGCCACGTGTGATGGATAGTCCGCGCTTAAACAAGTCGTCCAAGGATTCCTTGGAGCCCCTTCGGAGTGAGTCAAGACTGGCGCGAGCCATATCAGTCGTGTCTCTAAGCTTTTTTAACCGACTGCCAGAGCCAGTAGATGAAATAGAGGATGCATCACTATAATCCACACTAAACAATCCACTGCTTCTTCGATCATTGACGCCAGGGATAATTCTGCCCGATGCAATTGCTTGCAATCGTGCTTCCCGTATAGAGTATGCTGAATTCATTACTACTTGCATATCATCAATGGGATAGTTCTATTTAGGCATTAGATACATTTACTAGATACAAGAAATAATACTTACTTGTAATATACGCATATTATCTGCAAAATCACCTTGAATGAGTTCTTGACGGATGCATCTAACATACAGTTATTAAATTAAATCTTGTGTATGCGAATACTTACATAAGCATAGCCACCGCAAAATCCAATAAGAATTCAAAGCGTCCCTCTTCGGATGCCTCCTGCATTCCTCGATCTGCCAATATAGAATCCCATAAACGAATTACATCAGGAAGATCCCACTCTTGAGAACAAAGGACGGTAATCCAACGGAATGCATAATATTGCTCCTTAACGTCCTTTTTGCTCAGATCACGAAACAAGGGTCGGTCAAACCATGCCAGTCGTTGACTCATACGCCACATGGTTGCGTTAATACCTGTGGTTGCGTCTTGATCCAAAGAACGCACAAAATGGTCTCGTACATCAGAAACAAGCGTAGTAAAGACAAAGAAGGCATCTGCTTCAGCATAGGCTTGTGATTCAGGGTCATCTTCGGCTGCCTTGGCTGCAAATACATAATAAATAGGTGCTAAGATCTCATTCATGCCTTGAACGTACCCTACACCAGGGTTTAATTTGGCATAAATGAAAAGAATGCGTTCAATAGCTTCCCAATGATAGTCCATGACATATGTGTCTGCATCAGTAGCTTTCTTGCCTGTTTTGTGCTCAGTTCCATTATCCTGATGTTCTCTGTTGCCAATTTCTTCATTCAAATGAGCAATACGTCGAAACAAGGAACGACGTGTAGGAATGTATGAACAAATGGGTTCCAAAAGAGGTTTGCGTGTACCACCACTAAATTTAGATGCAAAATTGCTGTTACTCTTTGAAGTGAATGCTGTAGATAGCTTTCTGACAATGTTACGTGGTGTAGAAATGATGTCTGATCCTGTATCAAGCATACCAGAAGAAAATGATCTGACTGAACTTCTAGAGTTAGATCGTGCCCTCTTATCAATTGTATGTCCATTTGGAGCTGCTGATGTAGGCAAAAGAGAATTTGGAGGACTAGTAATATTGGAATTACTTGTATTGTTCATCATTTTTAATGATTTTCTAGAAGCGGCTGAAGAAGAGCGTGGTCTACCCATCAAACCAAACGAAAATCGTCTTGCTACTGATTCTTTTTCGGTCGGCATTTCCTCCGCAATTACGGCAGAAAGAGGATCCGATTCGTGATAATTTTCTTCGACTATTGTTGCTGCTGCATTAAGAGGAGGAGGCGAGAGAGGGTTTAAAGGATTCGCAGGTACATGTAACTGGAAGAATGCAAAGTCCGGTAAGGTGCGTCTAACATCTTTATCTATCTGCTCTAAAATAGTGTTATCTTGAAACCAAGTCGCCCATTTCGATCCCGGCTCAGCACTTAAAGGCTAAAAAGAATTTAAAGTTATAAGTATCCGGAGTTTTTCTTTTTTTTTTTTTGAACATACATGATCACTTGATGGTGGTTCTTCTCCAGGCTCTTCTAATAAATCTTTGACCCAGTTCTATAAATAATTATTGGTTAAAAATTTTGTATTGGAATGTACATACATAGTAGTTGAGTCTTGAGTCTTTGAGTGTTGTTTCCCACATCCTTTTATCGGGAGGCAAATAGCCTAACAACACTTTCCAAGCTGTAGAGCGAAGACCAGATTCGTCAGGTATGCCTATTTGTTATGCGTTATTGTGTGTATTTGACCTTTCCTGTATGACGTTTACCATGGAAGCATGCTTCTCGAAACGACTTCATGTCAATAACAGGAGTCCACTTCTCTCCACTGTCTTGTTCGACATCTTCAACACTGAGTACTGATCGAAAATATTTCAACCTAAAAGCAAAAAAAAAAAAATAAGTATGTGCACACGCATAAATAGGGTAAAGTCTCTCCTAACCTTTCTTTATATGTAGACTCCATGAAAGTTGTATAAAAAAAAAGAGAGAGAGAGAGTACAAAAAAAATGCAAGAAATGTAAAAAGAAAAAAAAATAAGCCTTTTAAGCTGACTCTTAATTAAAGAGTGTTGTGATTGAAATGTCAACCGAAGAAAGACTCATTCAATTGTTATTGTTTCACGGTTTTTATTGCGAAAAAGAAAATCCCTCTATTTTTTTTTAATGGATAGGCGCTATTGTTGTCCTACAAAAAAAAAGTGCATCAAGATTAGACTCATATTAAACTTTTTATAGAACACAAAATGATTGTAAGACTCAATCTTAAATATTGGCCCAATAAAATACTTTCCTTGAACAATGATTATGTATCAAAATGGCATTTTTTAACTCCACTTATACATCGGAGCTTGCTTGTATGAATTTGCTTAGTATGATCAAAGAGCATTATTAATTTGTACTCGAAAAAAGTACAATGAAAACATACCTATAATTTAAATGTATCACTGTATCAGCTGCAGCTTTCTGAGATAGATATACGATCATCTCTGCTCATTGGCTAGTTGCCTCCTGAATATTTGGTTGTAACGAATCAAAATGCTTACATAAACAAAGAAAGAATCCTAGTCCTTTTCTTTGTTGAATACATAACATCATTTACTTTATAAAGTTGATGACAGCAAAGTAATACAAGACGAGAGCGCACAAGCCAATCTTTTTTTTTTTTTTTTTACTTTCTTGAAGTAGACACAAGAACTGCTTAAAAGCTCATTGACGTCATTTTTCCTTTTTATTAATTGTGCATGATTTACACACAAGATCATTCTAGCTTCAAATGAGTTGAACCATTTCCCACTTAGTTTGATTATTTAGGCTACAGAAAAGATTCAAATACAAAGATCATTTAGATTAAATTCCTCTAGTATTAATGACAACATTTTTATACTTTTGTTTAATTCAGGTTCTATCATTTTCAAGAATTGTTGCTGATCTTCTTGGCAATATTGATGTACTACATTTGCAGCTTATTTATGGAAGCATCGATTTTCTCTGTTAAATGGCAATTAGACGCTTCAGATCTGATTGTGTTTAATGGAATGGCTCTCTCTTTTTTTTTTGTACCAAATGGACTCTAGCATGAAGCATTGAGTGTTTGCTTTGTCGCACTGTCTCTCTAATAACGTGAAAATACAGAAAATGTTTTTTAATCAATGTGTTGTAGATATCATCAACTGCTGACTGTATTTTACTTTTGTGTTTACAAGGCTGATTTAAAATTATTTCTGTCATCAGTTGAGTTAGCAAGTTGTGTATTGATGTGTCCAATACCAACAGTTCATATACATGCCCTTTTTTGGCTTCTTTTTTTTTTTTGGACTTGTATATGCATCATCTTGTTAAGCATGAAAACAATTGGAATATTATACATGCCTAAATGCTTATTTAAGTCTAATGGCTCAGTTTTTTTTATATAAGAAAAATCCATTTGGCTGTATATCTAACATATCATTGATTTTATAAGTGTTTCATAGCTTTAAATAATAACAATTTATGCATACATTCTCAGAAACTTATGATTAATTCACATATTATCTTTAAAGAAAGCAAAGAATACAAGATCAATAGCTAAACGCAACTTTGCAAACAAGAACAAGTAAAGTTAAATAACAGATAATGATATTCTCTTGAGAAAATACGTATGTGTGTAACCATTATCGATATATGTTGATGTGTTTGAAAATTTTTGTTTCGTTAACAAGACCAATAAATTTGTTCCTGAAAGAGATAAAGCTATAGACAAGATTTTTTGTTACATCTTCTTTCTTTTAGGTACCTAAGTAAATAGGCAGATATAGAAAAAACAGTGATAACTATCACAAACTACGAATGGTCCAGTCTTATTCAAACACGATGGAATGAAGTTTGTGCAAGGTAACCCGTTCTCCGTTTCCAACTTCTTATTGCTCAGTTTTAACATCCGCCTGCTTACTCTCTGGTTGTTTTTTTTCGCACGATATGTAGTTAGACAGGACTAGATAGATTTGCCCAAACAAAGGATTGCTTGCTACCCTTTGCAAAAGCAACTAGAGTAGTGAACAAAAGAGTGCAGCAGCATAAGAAGCTTATTGGATAACGAACAAGACATAAGGTATCGGGTTTGGAAAATATGAAAAGCAGTCCTTAACAATGAAACCTTAAGAAAGACTTGTAAAGAAAGATTCATCCCATTTTTACAGACTCCATGCACAGAGTACACATGTGTTTGTGTTTATGCGTGTGCCTCCTTATAAATTAGTTACACTTGATAGATGAAAACCATCACTTAGATGCATTTAAGCAGCCAATGAAGCGGAGCCTGGGACAGCCTTTCTTTCTGATCTTTACTTTTAATTGGTTGCGTATATTAGAAAATTTTTCAACCTAAAATAATTCTTAATAAAAGGACAATGGAAGTGCGTGTTTTAACAATTCTTTTTTACCGTTTCTTAACAAAAACAAATAACTATGTCCACCAACTACAAGGTCGCTGATATCTCCCTTGGTAAGTTATGCAACTACTATTGGTATTAAGTAGCATTGTATTAATTATTTTGTCTATAGCCGCTTTCGGTATGAAGGTAATATATATTTTTGATTTTGTAGGTTGACCCTGTATCATTAATACAATGTTCTCTCTTTTGTGTGTTCTCGTAGGAAATCGAAATTGCGTAAGTATTTGATATTAAAAAGAAAGGCATGATATTTACTGTTTGTTTAGCGAAAACGAAATGCCTGGTTTGATGGAAATCGCCCGCAAGTACGGTCCTTCTCAACCTCTTAAGGGTGCCAGAATTGCTGGTTGTTTGCACATGACCATCCAAACTGCTGTCCTTATCCGTACCTTGATTGCTCTTGGTGCTCAAGTTACTTGGTCTTCTTGTAACATCTTCTCCACCCAAGACCACGCTGCCGCTGCTATTGCTGCTTCCGGTGTCCCTGTCTACGCTTGGAAGGGTGAAACTGACGAAGGTAAGTTTTTGATTTAGGCTGTGTGTATCTAACTACTCAACAGAATTCGTCTGGTGTATCGAACAAACTGTCTACTTCCCTGACGGTCAACCCCTTAACATGATTTTGGATGATGGTGGTGATTTGACTAACATTGTTCACGAAAAGTACCCTCAATTGCTCCCCGGTATCAAGGGTCTTTCTGAAGAAACCACCACTGGTGTCCACAACTTGTACAAGATGTTCAAGAACGGTACTCTCAAGCTTCCTGCCATCAACGTCAACGACTCTGTCACCAAGTCTAAGTTCGATAACCTCTACGGTTGTCGTGAATCTCTCGTCGATGGTATCAAGCGTGCCACTGATGTTATGATTGCCGGTAAGGTCTCTGTTGTTGCTGGTTACGGTGATGTCGGTAAGGGTTGTGCTGCTGCCCTTCGTGCTTTCGGTTCTCGTGTCATTGTCACTGAAGTTGATCCCATTAACGCTCTTCAAGCCTCTATGGAAGGTTATGAAGTTACCACCATGGACAAGGCTGTCAAGGAAGCCAACATCTTCGTCACCACCACCGGTTGTCGTGATATCATTGTCGGTCGTCATTTTGAACAAATGAAGGACGATGCTATTGTCTGTAACATTGGTCACTTCGATATTGAAATTGATGTCGCTTGGTTGAAGGCTAACGCTGCCTCTGTCTCCAACATCAAGCCTCAAGTTGATCGTTTCACCATGAAGAACGGTCGTCACGTTATCCTCCTTGCTGAAGGTCGTCTCGTCAACTTGGGTTGTGCTACTGGTCACCCCTCTTTCGTCATGTCCAACTCTTTCTCTAACCAAGTCTTGGCTCAAATCGCTCTCTGGACTGAACCCGAAAAGTGGACTGTTGGTGTTCACGTTCTTCCCAAGAAGTTGGATGAAGAAGTTGCTCGTTCTCACTTGAGCAAGCTCGATGTTGAGCTTACTGAACTCACCACTGTTCAATCTGAATACCTCGGCATTGCCTCTGAAGGCCCCTTCAAGCCTGACCACTACCGTTACTAAACAGCTTAATTTTTGTATATCATTAATGTTGAAGGTAAAGCCTTCCTTTGTAAAAATGAACGTTTCAACATGTTCTTATCGAGATACATGCTAGTGGTGCATATAAATATTAAAATAAACTGGCATTCAACATGTGTATAATATACTACCTTTGGGTTGTCTTTGCTATTTTTCATTGTAGTTTTGAGCAGCTAGTAGTCATTTTAAGAAACCATTACTGACTTTGCTATTGTTGTCAGAGGCTGATCATTACAAATGTTCAGAAATCTCAAAGATGATACAGAAAGCTCTTGCTTGTTAAGAAAAATCAACAAGAGAAGTGTTCACAACAATGTATTAAAATAACTAAATAAATCATATGGTATAGATCAAGAAGATACTTTATTGACTTTAACGGGAGCACCAAAAGAGGGGCGACGCCAGCTCGCCCGAACACTTGTGTCTTCTTTTTCCCTACTCAAGATTCGTCTCGTGAGGTTATTGATTGTCTTTTGGGCAATCAAGCAGCATTGGAAGATAAATGGCAAAATGCAGACGTCCGTGTAGTCGCAGAGCAAGTTGATCTCAGCATCTACCACTGCATAGTATATGCCATCATTATTCAATTCGCAACGCAAGGCCTTCACATGGCCTGCATCCGCCACCAATCCAATAGCCACAGGATACTGGACTTCCAAAAGCAATCTGTTTATCGATTATCTTTTTTCAGAAAGTTTCGGAAAGCAGCTGCAAGGGAGTGGCATTTTTGTTCCTGACTTCGATGACCAGCAAGTCTAAGAAGAAGGTTTCTTTTGTGCAAAGCTTTAACACAAAGTCAGGCATCAATGGCTTCGAGGCTGAACCACTTGCAGTTCTTTTGTTGTTGTTGTTGTTGTTGTTGTTGTTGTTGCTGTTGCTGTTGCTGTTTTGCATCGTTTGAGTACCCCCCTCCTTTGGTCAAAAGGTCAAAATGGCCATTTTTTGCAAGTCGCTTCTTTTTGCTCTAAAAGCATCATAGGTATTAGTAAACATTGTTGAAGGGTATTTAAAGTAATTTTGCATGCATAAACAGGCTTTATATCCCTTCCTCCTCCTCCTCCTCTTTGTGTGCTTGTGCATTTGTCTACTCTTTTCATTGATATTTTTGAATCATGCGTTCAAGCAGGATATCAAGAGACTTTACACTTGTTTTAGCAAAGGCATGAATTTGTTCTTTTTCTAATTTGATACTATAAATGATAACTTCAATAGTATGAATACAATTGTTTCTCTCATTGCGGTTATGGTCATGTATAGATGGAATAATACTAAACCCTGATTTAAATGCTTAAACACTGTTTTCTTATTATTGATCCTTTACATCCATAAAAGAAAAAGCGATGCTTTATTTAATGACTATAAAACTTGACAAATGAAGTTGTTCTGTGAAGAGAATGGATTGTGCTGTCAATAAAATAAGTAGGACAAGACTGACATGTTTGTTGTTTATTAAATATGATGGATAGAAAAAAAAAGACGATAACTGCGCCTTTACCATCTTTATCAATTAAGGTTGCTCCATGTGATATAAAAAATGCTATAAAAAGGCGGCATATTGTCTCTTTTTCTTTTTTTTTTCTCCTTTTTTTTTCCTAATAAAAAATGCATCCTATTGCTGTTGCTGCTATTGTAGTCTCTGGTCTTATCGTCATTTGGGGCGGCTATGAAGCAGTCAATACGTTGTATGAATGGCGCCGTGATAGACAAGAACAAAGAGAATATGAAGAATATGTTCGAATGCATACTGAAAAATCAAGACATGTACCAGTCACTGTATTTGAAAATGAAGACGACGACGATGATGATAACAAACCACTTTCTATCTGGAAAGAAAAAGACTATGAATTAAGGCATCGAAGGCAATTTGAAGACGAAGAACAAGAGGTAAGATATATCAGACTATAAAAAGTATAGCTGTATTGAATTTCATAGACCAATTATAACATTTCTGAAATGGAGCGCTCTATTTCTGTTCGCAAAAGCATACTAGAAAGGGAAAATGAGTTATTACTAAAAGAGGAAAAAGAGCTAGAGCGAAAAAGACAATTACTAAATGCCAAAGGAAACAATATTACAGGTGTTGTGATCGAGGAAGACGACAATCCTTTTGCAGACATTTATTCAAAGCAACTATCAGACGATGATTGGACAGAAGTACATCACTAATGCTTGAATTTATTAATAAACTCTTGCTTGAAATCTGAATTCTTGGGCATGATAATAAAGGAAGGCACACCATTCTTGATCACATATTGCTCTAGTGACAAGATCTTTTTCAAAGGTAACTTTTTGCCGATCTTTATCAGCTTTGGGTTGAGTCCACGAGTGTCTTCGAAATAGACTTCCAACTTATCGACTGTGTATTGATGTTTAGTGTCCCAAGGAGCTGGCTGTTCAAACATCAGTTCAAGATGATCATTAAATGTGTTTGTTTCGTTAAAGGATTGGATGTAGTCGGATTCTTTGTATTCAGGATACAAGAAAAAGACAGGCCAACTCAATGTTTGTGTTTCATGGTCAAATTCAATATTGGCTTTGTCTCTGACATCCTTGTCGACTACTTCAATCTTGATATTGCGTTCCTATAGATAAATAAGCATTGAGCTGTGTTGGGGGTTCGTTTTTACCTTGAATGCATTTTCTAATATTTGTTTCTTGTTTCGCTCTCTTTCTTCTCTCTCTTCTTTTTGTCTAATCTTTTCATCGATATAGTCTTTGCGAGTTGTTGCCTTTTGCTTAATGTCTTGAATTGGCTTATTTTCAGGGTCAATGGTCAATGCATGGTTACAACAATCAATCGCTTCCACCAGTTTATCAAGAGCCAATAAAGCTTTGGACGAACGATAGAGTGCCTTGACATTCTTAGGGTTGATCTTGAGACATCGGGAACAGTCGTTCAGCACACGGCCATAGTTTTGTAATTCCAAGTTGCATGCAGCACGATTAGCTAAACATGCTTCAATAATAGACTGATCTTTACATTCTGTATCAATAGCCTTTGTATAGTAGGCAATAGCATCTGGATATCTGGCCTTTCCTGCTCTAAAACAATCGTTGCCCTGTTCTCTAAAGTTTTGTGCGATTTCTAAACCCTATGAGTATGTGTCGATGCTACAATGTGTATACCTTCAGGTGAGCCATCAAATGCAAGTGATTGAAGAGCAGACAAAGCAATATTTTCTTCTTCAGGCAAGTCGCTCATGAACAATGGCACTTGAGACAATTCCTTGTCCAAGTTGTCAAAGTCCATGGCAAATTGACTTCGATGAGGCTGTGGCCCAACAGGTGCATTGGTTTGTTCAGACATGAGTGAAAGAAAAAAAGAATACCAAGCCACTCGTCTTTTTCGAGAACATCTTCCAAAAGCGGACACAGATGCGCATTATTTTTCTTTCATGTATCGATTCTTTCCTGCACTTGTTCAGCGCAGTCGTCGTCAAACAAGCCTTGCTTTCTATTCCTCTTTACGTAGATCACGTCAACTAGGTAAAGAGTCAACTAGAGTATTGGCCTTTCTTCTTACTGCTGATTAGGTCCGCGTAGTCGCGTATTAAACCATGTAGAACCACTACGCATTAACAACAAACGCTCGACTATCCTAGAAGAACCAAAATTAGTCACGCATGATGCCTTATACTATGAAAAACCAACTCCTTCTGCTTCTTCGACCAACACACTTGTTCAAGTACCTATACAAGAAAACCAAGTCATCAAGCCTGACTCTACAGGTGCAGCTCTCTTGACACAGTCAGCCCTTGTTGTGGGTCGTGAACTTGAAATGATGAATGTATTCTTGGGCTATGAACAAGCCAACAAGTATCGTATCATGGATCCTCAAGGTAATCATATTGGTTACATTGCAGAAGAAGAAGGATTTGCAAAATCAATCAGTCGTCAATTCTTGAGAACACATCGAAAAATGAAGGCTACCATCATGAACGCACAAGGTGAAGTAGTATTCAAGATTGAGCGTCCTTATTCCTTGGTGAACAGTCGTATATTTATTTATACAGCGGACGATGAATTAGTGGGAGAAGTACAACAACGATGGCATTTGATGAGAAGAAAATATGACCTGTTTATTGGGTAAGTGGGTACATACAGCGTAACCTATTGATGGTCCTCTATTAGTAAAAAGCAATTTGCTACCATTGATACTCCCTTTTTGGGTTGGGATTTCAACCTTCAAGATGAACAAGGTGGTGTATTGGGCAATGTGAGTCGTAATTTTGTGGGGTTTGCCCGAGAAATCTTTACAGACACAGGTGAATATGTGCTCCGTATGGATGCTGTTGAAGGCAATTCAAGAGGCATGACGTTGGATGAAAGAGCCGTGACTCTTGCTTGTGCTGTCTCTATTGATTTTGATTATTTTTCAAGGCACTCTACGCATGGGTAAGTGGACTTATAACCATCTATATATATTTGACATTTGAATAGTGGGGGCGGATTCTTGCCTTTCCCTATGTTTGGTTATGGTGGAGGAGAAAGAGAAGAACAAGTGAATGAAGAAGCACCTGTCATGGACGACAATAAACCCAATCCTACTGCTTCTGCACCTCCTTCTACGCCTCAAGATAGCACAACTGAATGGGGAGACCCTTGGTTATCTGATGAAGAAGCAGGTGTCAGTAACCCAGATGACGGACCTGGATTTTTTGATACTCTAAGCGACTTTTTAAATAATGATTAATAAACTACTCTTTTTCTCATATTTTAAACATGTTGCAAAAGACACGTCGTTTATTGCCCATCTTCAAAAGACAGTTTCATGCTTTACCTCAGGCAGATAAGTTTGTGATCACGCCCGAGATCAAGGCTGCTATTCAGAATCAAGGACCTGTTGTTGCCCTTGAGTCTACTATTATTAGTCATGGTAAAGAAAAAGAAGCTGTTCAATATTTCTTATGTATTGTAGGTATGCCTTATCCTCAAAATGTAGAGACAGCAAGAACAGTAGAGGATATTATTCGTAAAGAAGGAGCTATTCCTGCTACGATTGCCTTGTTGGACGGCAAAGTTCATATTGGTAATCAGATTCACACGCCATCAAGTCTATTAAGCTTTCTTTTTTTTTTTAGGTTTGACAGATAAAACATTAGAGCACTTGGGCAAGGTGGGACGTGAGGCACAAAAGACATCGCGTCGTGATTTGTCTATGGTGCTTTCTCAGGTAGGCAATATTGGTGTTGATCTGTTGATTGACTTTATTTTATAGAAAAAAGTAGGTGCTACTACTGTAGCAAGTACAATGATTTTGGCTAGAGCTGCTGGTATTCCTATCTTTGTCACAGGTGGCATTGGTGGTGTTCATCGAGGAGCAGAAGAATGTAAGTAAAATATAGGTCTCTCTGTGTGTGTGTTTGTATTGATTCAATCTATGCAGCATTTGATATCAGTGCTGATTTGACAGAATTGGGAAGAACACCTGTGGCTGTTGTATGTGCTGGTGTCAAGAGTATTTTGGATATTTCCAAAACACTTGAAGTTCTTGAAACCCAAGGTGTTACTGTCACTACCATGGGCAAGGACAAGACATTCCCTGCATTCTATACACCTGATAGTGGCTATAAAAGTCCTTATTACCTTGACAACCCACTGGATGCTGCTAAATCTATTTTAGCTAATCATCAACTAGAATTGAATAGTGGCATGGTATTTGCCTGTCCTATCCCTGAGACTGATGCTGCTGACACCAAGTCTATTCAACAAGCCATTGATACTGCTGTTTCTGAAGCCAGAGCGAATGGTGTTGTTGGCAAAGAAGAAACCCCCTTCTTATTAAAGAGAATTGCTGAATTGACTCAAGGAGAATCACTCGCTGCTAGTAAGTTATCATTATCATTACTGCTTATTTAATCTATGTATTAGACATTGCTCTTGTCAAGAACAATGCACACATTGGTGCTAGAATTGCTGTGCAATTGGCTAAATTAAAAAATTATGAATAAATATTTATTATTGTACATTCTCATTATTATCTTCAAGCATGCGAACTACTTGTCTCCACACTTGTACATTCTGTAAATAATTTAGTAGACTGTTTATGTGAGTTCACTTACATTGCGATAGAAATCCACTTTAGCATCGGTATATGTCTTTAAGGCATCCAACATTTCCACTTGTTTATTCTGATTGAAAAATGCGTCTTCTTTCTTGACTTGGTCTGAAAATGCAGTGTTGACTTGATGTGTCTGGTCAATGGCTTCTTGTAGTTCTCGCACACGTTCATCTAACCGTAGTACTTTTTCTCGCTTGATCTTATCTACATCTGCTCCTCGTACTTCATTCAGTTTGCCTGTGATATAGTTTGTAACGCCTGTCGGTTTCTCTCGTAAGGTCTTGGCTCGCTCATCCATGGTAGATTGCAGATAATCAGATAACTCCTCGAAATCCAGTTGCTTCTGATCGCGTAATTTAAGCACGTCTTTGATTGCATGATAATACGCCATGTAGTCATGTACTTCAATCTGCCACTGACTGTCTTGTGCGGCCATAGCACCGAGTGATGTTGCATACTGTTCAAGTCCATGAGCAAAGCAATCTAAGTCTGGTTTGAATGAAGGCTCTATATCAGCCAATTCACGCACACTGACAGTGAACTCTTCATAATCATGGCTTAGATCTTGTGTACGTTTGGTTGTCCTCAAAAGCGTCTTTTGTAACATATCCAGGTTTTCTTCCATACGGTCACTGCGTTCTTTCATTTCAATAAATCGAGGATCCGGTTTACGTATTTTTGAAAAGGCGTTTAAGAGTGAATCTCCAATAGTGTCCATCATCGTTTCTTGTCCTTCCCGTAATGCTCTAGCAGAAGCATCATTCTACATATAATTATGAGTTGGCTTTGAATGAAGACACAAGTAACTCACAAACTCGGAGGATTCGAGAAACATGATAAAAAAATCAGCTCGACCGAGAATTGGGTGTCGAGCAATACGCTGCGTAAATCTCTCAAGGCTAATTCTTCGCTTCTCAATAAACTCTGAGCTGAATCGATCCCCTTTGACGTATTCTAATGCATGTTACACATAAAGCAAAGAAGAGGAGATGACGTTGTTTGTCTTACCTAAACGATGTTTATCAGGCAAAGGAGGAACAAAGCATGCAGGAAAGTGATGATAGAGCACATTATGAAGCCACACAAAATCTTGAAACCGTCTTCTTACTTGTTTTCGCTAAAACACAGCTATCAATAACGGCACAACGCTAACTGGTTGCTTACATTGGATTGAACAAGATAAGATATGAATGTACTGCTTTGTTCGGTTTCTTTTCTGGGATCAGTCACAAACACTTTTTTGTTCAGAACAATGGGCTGTTTCTTGTGCTCCGTGAAACTCTCGTTACTGCTGCTACTGCTACTACTGTCATTAAATACTTGATGTTGTTCTGAGATATCGATATCTACATGTGACGAGTCTGACATGTACTAGTGTATAACAAGTTAGTCAAAATGAAAGGAAATAAATAGATAATTTTACACTATGTGAAGATAAAATAGCAGATTCGTTGTCGTTACTGAGAGGGTCAAGAACAGCAGTTGAGTTACTGTGACTCCACTGAACTTCAAACTGCTCATCTGAAAACTGAGACATACAAAAAAGAAAAAAAGTAAAAAAAAAAAAAGTAAGGGAAAAGAAGAAGAAAAAAAGACTTGTTTAATGCTACACGCAAGAAATAAACTCCGGTTTGTGCATATAAGTGATGCACTCCTATTTGGTACATAAAATTGATGTTTATTCTTTTATAATAAGAAAGCAAGACTGGCAACACCAAACAAGGCAACAAGGGCTTTTGAAACACTAGCAGTGGAAGCACCGGCACCCTGAGCAAAAATAGATCCAGACGATTGGGGACGGCCGGGTAAACCACTCAGTGTTGCTTTAGGACCAGCTGAAGTAGGAGCAGCAGCAGGACGGATTTCAATAGGAATAGGTAACTTGGTATTAGTGGCCTTGTCGAAGAATACAACGTGGTAATTGCCTGGCTTCACAGTAGAGGGGATATTGAAATTAATTGAATGTTCATAATAAGTAAGATTGCCTTCACGTTTAATAAACGCATCTGTCTTGGATACGTCTGCTGTAGCTGCCACAGTAATTGTAGTACTTGTGGCATTAATTGTGGTGTTAGCAGAAGTATTGGCAGCAGAAGGAGCAGCAGGTACAATGGCAGGAGCAGTAGGTACTAAGTCAATTTGAAGATTAAGAGCTATAATGCATTAGTTTTAGAGCTTTGTTTAGATCTGTTTACCTGAACTATCTACATCAGAAAAAAGACGATAGGTACATGGCAAGATTTGTCCTACGACATAAGGACCATTACTGACAGGACTTGTAACATTATAGTTTCTTGTAGGTGCAGTGATTTGAGCTGAAGCAACTGCAGTAAACAGGACAAGAGCAAGAAATTTCATTGTAGAAACAAATAATGAAAAAGAGAAAAAAAAGAAAGGATACTCAAGAGATTAAAAAAAAAAAGAATGGAAAAATGGATTTGTTTATATGCAACATAAAAAAATCAACGTTGATCTCCTTGACAGCTCTCCTATAGTATTTCAAAGAGTAAGACAGTGTCCCTTGCAGTACGTACCTAAATTGTTGTTATTCGCAAACAATCTCTCTCTTAAGCAGACGAATTATAAGGTTTATTACTATCATAACTAAGCTAATGTCCACAAAAAGGACAAGATGCCAATGGCAGCTACACTAATAAGTGAAAATTCCATGTTGTGGCCAGAAGAACTAATCACACTAGGTCCAGAGACAGGCCTTGAAGGGGAAACAGAAGATTTAGGTGATGGAGTATAGGGAGTAAGCGTAGTGCTTGAGGCTACATAAAATCAGTACACTAATAAGCAAAACAAAACAAAAACGACTTACCGCTAGAAGCATTACTGATCATAGATGGCAATAGAATGTTTGTCGTTGAAGCGGCTGTAGCAGAAATTGTGTTAGTAAAAGTTCCAGTAGAACTAGCAACAGCAGCAGCAGCAGAGAAGAGATCACTTGAAGTGGTATCTGAAGAAACAGTGCTTGAGATATGAGAGGCGTCATCCCAAGTACTTGTGGGTGCGATGGACTTAGAAAAATCCGACAAAGTGTTTTTAGGCTTGATAGACTTTGAAGAAGCAGGCCAAGTGTTTGTAAATAAACCAGATTCAAAAGTAATGGAAGTAGCAGCATCAGCTGTGGCTGTATGATGGTGGTGGTGTTTATGTTGGCCTTGAGTTTCTTTTGCTTTTGTGGTGGTATGTTTCTCTTCTTTCTCTTCGTCTTCTGTTTCTTCTTTGTGTTTCTTTGGTGGACTATGGTGTTGAGCCTCTTCTTCTTTTTCGTGCTTCTTTACTGTGCTGTGATGCTGAGTCTCTTCATTTTTCTTACCGGTCTCAATATCAGCTTGCTTTACTACAGTATGAGAGGGAGGGAGTAGACTATGGGTGGTTGTTTTTTCTACGTTATGGATAATTCTTCGTTTAGGAGCATCGTTTCCGTCAACTTCGTTTTCATCAGGCTCGTCTTCATCAGGTTCATTTTCTGTCAAGCATTATTACATGCATATAAAACCTGACTTATTTTTTTTTATCTTACCATTTTCAGCATAAGCAACTTGAAACATAATAGCTAAAAGAGCAAGTAATAAAAAAATAGTTTGGAGCTTCATCTTGCAAGAAGGATATGGAAAAGAGAAAAAAGCATAAAAGAAAATGGCCGGCTTTATATACGACTTGTAGCAGATTAATACATGTCTTTTTTGGTATCATCTCATGTCTTTTATCGATTTAATTAAGGACTTATGATCATTAATCATCTTTAAGGACCCTTTTCTTTATATCTACAGTTCATCAATTGAATCATGATATTGACAAAATTCACTAGTCTAATTGATTCAGTAACTATAGTCTATTCATTCAGGTATTGATATCATGAACAAAGAGCCTCCTTGAATAAAAAAAAAAGGCTGACTCCTCTTTTCTTTTGTCTATAATTCAATTGTAACAATATCATCCCTGAAAGGGCGCTTTTAAAAAGTGTTCCCTATCTTGCAATCTACTCCAGAATTAAAAAAAAAAATACTCATCAATATTAATAATAAGTTGTATGAAGTATCATTTTCTATATCCAGTGACAGAGGTTCATTTGTTGGATATAAAAAGATGTATAAACTCCTCGAAATTAATCATTTCCTGTATTAAATTTGACATATAACCAGTCTCTATTTTTTTTCTTTTGCATGACAAATAAGACAAGGTGGTCAATTGAAATTAGGGTTTTGGTATTAGTAAATACCTTGTTTATTAAAGAAAGGAGAATGAAATAGTACGGGGATCATGTTTTTTTTGTATAATAATATACGCCCCTTCCTTTTCAAATTGTCTCCCAGAAAGAAAACAGCTCGACTGTATTTCTGCATATCTGGCAAAATCCCACTGTAACAAATGATGCTTTTTCAGTGAACCTTATGAGTTAATCCAAATATAGAAAACAAACCAAAAAAGATTAAGTGGTGCAAACAGAGAAAAAATGTCATAGCACAAAACCTTAAATCAAAAAAGCTTTTTGCTTTACCCTGAAATGACGAAAATAGTGTATCACGTAGTACTTATTTATCATAAAGAAAATAAAATCGTATACGATGGCTCCACTCTCCGTCACCATAGCGCAAGTAATTGTGTTTTTCTTTAATTGCTTACACTGTGTTGACAAAGTGAACTTTGGATGATGCGAAAATTGAGCTAGTATCAAAACGAATTTTGACAAATAAAAGAGCAAAGATTGGACTATTAAGAAGTGAACTTTGGTTGGGAACCAAAACGAATTTAATTGATTGGAAAGCGAACATTGGGTTAAAAACCACTGTAAGACATAAAGGGGATATATACATACATACATAATAAAGACATAATATAATTTAACGAGAGAATACTCTAATCTTCCATTCTTCTTTTTGGTTATCGGTAGGTGTGGTAGTCATATCTCCTACCGTCTTTAAAGAATCACTAGATGCGTTCTTGGCTTTGCTGACATTCAAGGTATCTACTACAAAAGGATTGTTTTCGTCTCTTGCTCTTTGTTCTTCAATCTGAAGTTTCTTGGCTAATTCAGCGTCTCTCTTGATTTGATCGTATTGTGACAAGTACATTTCAAGTGTCTCTGGGTCAAAACCAAGGTCTTCGTCTTCTTCTTCACTGCTGCTGCTTGCACTATTTGAAGGAACGATATCATCTTCTTCATTAAAGCGACTAGCTCGACTCATAATAGATGCTTCATCATCTGCTTTGTTGGCAGTTGTGTTGCTGCCAGATGAATGGTCGCTCTCGGACAATTTCCATGATCGGGTAAGTAAATCACGCCATTCAGACATAATACTTTCATCATTCATCATGGCTTCTTCAGCAGCAGCGTCCATCGTAGTTTCAGGGAAAATTTCCTCCTCTGTGTCTTGTTCAATGGGTGATGGTTCACTTGGAACAGGAGCCTTATCGTTAGTTGAAGAGTATACGGGAAGGCATTTGTACAGCAGATTCCAATAACAAGTTGAGCCAATAAAGAAAAAGATCGGCTCGAAACTGGAGAAACTAATCGCTAAATAGGCTTCATAACCAATGACACATAACATCATCATAAAAACAGATGCACAAACTAACAGGGCGGTTGGTTTAGCTAGGAAAGAAAAAAAAACTATGGTTAATAATGGGCTTGCCATGAATGCACCTAAAAAGTGCTTACCAACATGTGGCTCGAGTTTATGTCTTGTTAATTGTGCTTTTTCCAATAAGAGACGATAATAAGGAGCAAGCATGGTCATTGTTCTTTCTACTGGTGATTTGTTTTCTTCAGGTGTTTTGGCATCTGGTTTCATGGTTTGTACAAGCAAGCTAGGGTTTTGTTGTTCAACCGTTAAATCAGTAGGTGATTCAATAAATGATGAGCTTTGATTGTTTGTTAAAGATAAGGAATGTGTGGTGGTCGAAGGAGAGGAGGGATTCATGACACGTAAAGGGCCAACGGGTGGTTTAGGGTATGAAGAAGGTAAAAGCATAGGTACAGGTGGTATATCGCCATTATTACTTTGAGTAGATAGTTTCTTTTGTTGTGTGTGAGTTGGTGCGAGTAGCTGCATAGTAAAGAGAGACTGGAACTCGATCAGGAACTCAATGACGTATTTTGATATCTTGTACTGAACAGGCGTGTTATGGTCAGGGTGACGAAGTAGACCTGGACAAAAGACCGCGGCAAGGTTGGGTATATTCATTTTAGTGTCGGAAGCAGCAGATGCAAATAGGCTGAGTGTGTCGAGCATATAGAGTAATAAATGTTGATGTGGAGTAGGCAAGCTTTGAATCAGTTTCTGAAAAGCTTCAATACGACTTTCATTATTCGTGTATGTCTTGTTGTCTATTGTTATTATGGTACATTAGCATTTTTTAGCGCAAAATACCCGTTTGACTTACTCATCACATCACGGAATTGCTGATAATAGTCAAAGGGGATAACTGGATCAGGCAATTTGTTCAGATAACGTCTTAAGAGACTTGCAGCGTCATGAACTGTGTAACCATCCCAGTTTAGATCCAATCCATAATTGCTGGTACTTTGATCAAAAATAAACTCCAAGGCATTTACTCGCTTTATGTTGCCAGAGACTCGAAAGATGCCTTCTGTGGCCAACCCTATGTATCAAGTAAGTACCTAATAAATTGATATAGATGTTTACCATTCTTCTTGAGGAATGAACCGCATTTAGCAACAACGATAGGAATAGCACCAGCTTTTGTATGTCGTATATTATCATCATCAATATAGCCTACTGTGGTTTTGGCATACTTGATCGACATAGAAAGAGGAATACCAAATACGCCACCTTTTTTTTTGTTGTCAATTCGTTTTGTCAATGCAATTCCAAGGAAAAAGCTTACCTTTAGGCATATTTGGATCAACCTTCCTGCCATTGCCATTAGGAATCGTGACTCTTTTGAGCCAACCACGAAAGGATCGTCGCTTGCTTAAGGATGAAGATGTAGGGTTACTATTAGATCGCTTCATTAAATATAAATTATGAAAAGAAAATAAGAAAAAAAAAAGCCATCATATATATGCAGATTGTGAGTGTGACAAATTACATCAATTCGTTACATCTTGAAATTTCACTTGTCGTATATGGAAAGACCGTAGATACGTGTAACTCCAAATACCTGACTATTCTATATAAGCTATTCATTTTCGCCTTAGTCACTTCTTTGAGTTCATGCTTCAGCGATCCGTTTTTTTGTTACGCAGACTGTGATAAGGAAATAAAGTACTAAAATACCACTAAGGCACACTTGTACTTCTCTGTCTTGGCTCAGCCTAGCTTTTGGATATCTGGTAGAGGTCATATTACAGATCGACATTCACTTGTCTAATTGAATCTAACCATAAACGAGTCTTTCCATCAGTTTTTTACTGGCTTATTCTTCAAATCAACTTTGTGCCAATCTTGAAGGTTTAGATGAATTAGATAATTGAACAATCACAACAGAAATAACCCAAAGCAATGTATTTAATAGATCAGATACTTTCACTTCTTTCTTCAGTCAATCGATAGCCATGTGTAAAATGCAAATGAAGATAAAAAATCATTTGGATTGTGTGAATTGTATTTTTTGCTCGTGACAATTGGTAAAGAGGATAGTTTGGACAAACAGCAATGTTACTTGGGACATTTTAACATTGATAACTGAAAGGAGACGATGGAACTATGCTATATTTTTATGCATTTCATTCTGACGATAAAGTTTTCTTCTCAAAAGGAGAGAAAGAGCATTTAAAATAATAGGCAAGTGTCAAAATAAGCTTTTAGAGTCCTGATTTGCAAGTATTCCGGCTGCATGATGAGCATCAAATAGTTACACAAATAAGTACACAGTGCTAGAGCAATGTTTGCCATTTAGTTTCTTGGCAAAACAATGTGAATATCAAATGTACAATAATAAAATGACTCAATCAGAAGAAGTTATCTTTGTAGATTCATAAGGAAAGGTGTTGCTTGTACTTGAAAGCAGCTATGGCAGATCGCAAAGCAATTTTGGTGAAAAGGGGGCACTTTTCTTTCAAGCCCTAAATATATGAAGTATAGGAAAAGAATCTATAAATGAGTTTACTGTGTTTAGCTTGTCTCCTCAAAGCTAAACCGAAATGGTAACTATAAAAGATGATACAAGTCATAGGTTACATAGTTCAAAATGAAACAAACATTTCTATATCTCAAAATTTATCTATATGCTTTTTGGGGGGTTCACTTTTAGGAAGAATAACGCTAATTTTATTTATTTTTTGTTCAGAATGAAAGGCTTTTTTCATCATTGTATATTGTAAAGCGAAACCAAAATCAAGATTCAGTTTTACTAAATTCTTCTAAATGACTTTTTTTCTGAATCAATAAGGAAAAATAGACTACCCAAAAAAAATGAGTAAAGAGTTGCATCTAATCATCTAAAGCTTGTTTTTTTTCCTTTCCGCCTGTATGACATTACTCACAGATGGACAGTCACCTTCCAAATAAGGGCATCTATCTAAAATTCCTGCTAAATCACCTCTCTTCTTTTTCTTTTCTTTTCTCTGTTTCCTTTTACTCTCACATAACAAGAAACAATCATGGACAGTCAAAAAGTTGGTATTCTCGGAGGTAAGAACCTATACCATTAAGTATGCGTACTAACAAACAATAAAATAATAGGTGGTCAATTAGGCCGTATGATGATTGAAGCAGCTTCTCGTCTCAATCTTCAAGTAACTGTCCTCGATGACCCCACAGATGCTCCTGCCAAGCAGATTGAAGCCACTCAATCTCATATTCATGGTGCATTTAATGATGCTTCTAAGATCCGTGAACTTGCTAGCCAAGTCGATGTATTAACTGTTGAAATTGAGCATGTTGATGCAGAAGTTTTGGCTGCCATTGAAAAAGAAGGTCATGTCCGTGTCTGTCCTTCTGCTTTCACTGTCAAGACAATCCAAGATAAATATGTTCAAAAGCAACACTTGACATCTCATGGTATTCCTGTTGCTGACTATGTCGAATGTCCTAATACGGAAGCTGTCAAAAAGGCTGCTCAACAATTTGGTTATCCATTCATGCTCAAGTCCAAGACGATGGCTTATGACGGTAAGGGTAACTATGCTATCAAGTCAGAAGAGGATATTGAAAAAGCTGTTGCTACATTGTCCAAGACACCATTATATGCTGAAAAGTGGGCTCCCTTTGTAAAAGAATTAGCTGTCATGGTTGTTCGTCGTGCTAACGGTGAAGTGCGTGCTTATCCTGTAGTGGAAACAATTCACAAGAATAGCATTTGCCATCTTGTGATTGCTCCTGCTCAAATTGATGGCTCTGTTGCTGCCAAAGCTCAAGGTATTGCTGAATTGGCCATCAAGACATTCCCTGGTGCTGGTATTTTTGGTGTAGAAATGTTTGTCATGGCTGATGGTGAAATCTTGTTAAACGAAATTGCACCCCGTCCTCATAACTCTGGTCACTATACTATCGAAGCCTGTGAGACATCTCAATTTGAGAACCATATGCGTGCTGTTCTTGACATGCCCTTGGGAAGTACTGCCATGAAGGTGCCTGCTTCTATTATGGTCAATATTCTAGGTGAAAATGAAGATATGGAATCATGCTACAAGCCTTGTCATGAAGCATTATTGGCTGATGGTGCTACTATTCATTTGTACGGTAAAAAAGCATGTAGAGCAGGTCGTAAGATGGGCCACATCACGTTGGTGGGTGATTCAATGATGCAAGTCCAAAAGAACCTCAAACCCATTTTAGAAGCCATTGAGCCAGGTGTAGAACGTCCATTGACTGTGCGTCCTTTAGTGGCTATGATTATGGGTTCAGATAGTGATTTGCCTGTCATGAAAGTAGGCGCCAAGATCTTAAAGGACTTTGGTATTCCTTTTGAATTGTCTATTGTCTCTGCACATCGTACACCTATCAGAATGGTTGAATATGCTCAATCTGCTGCCGAACGTGGTTTGATGGCCATTATTGCTGGTGCTGGTGGTGCTGCTCATTTACCTGGTATGGTAGCTTCCATGACACCCTTACCAGTCATCGGTGTGCCTGTCAAGGGCAGTTCATTAGATGGTGTGGATTCACTCCATAGTATTGTGCAAATGCCTCGTGGTATCCCTGTGGCTACTGTGGCTATTAACAACAGTACCAACGCTGCTCTTTTAGCTATTCGTATCTTAGCTGCATCTATTCCTTCTATTCAAAAGCAAATGGTTGACTATATGAACAATATGGAAGGCGAAGTGATGAACAAAATAGAGAGATTGGATAATGTTGGCTGGGAAAACTACTAAAATGTTTATTGTATAAAGTTTAAATGCAAATGTGTTAATAAAAGTGTCTATATGTGTTCATGATTCCATCCATTTAAAGGAACCCATTAAGAGATTCTTCTTTGGCAAACGACCAGGTGAAGGCGATAAAATAGTCACTTTCTTCTTTTCTTCATCCACATCAGAAACATAAATAAATCCTGCTACATTGCTACTCAACAACTTGTTTTCGTGCTCGTCATCTTCTGTATTCAACATGGCAAGAATAGAGTGAAGACACATATCATAATTATCCACTCTGACAACTTGGGTTTCATCAGAAGAACTGTCCATACCCAAGGGCAATGCGCTAGAAGGAGCAATAACATCGCCTACACGCCAAATCTTGATATCGTCATAGTTGACCAACATACTGTAAGGAGACAATTCGCATTTAGGAGAACCGTAGAAATATTCATGTATTTTAGTACGTTGCAGGCGAGTCTTGAATTGACGATCGCGTTCAACAACACCTCCAGACTTGGAAAGCTTGACAACTGAGACTGATTTACCAGCTAAAATTCTAGTCATGTCACTATACAATCGTTCATGGCCCAATACAATCACCACATTGACTAGTCCATGTAAATAATGGTAAGCGACTTATTCTTACCTTACCTGAAAATTCTTCAATAACATGTTGAATAATGTCATAGCCAACATGGTCAATGAGACCCGCTGTATCAATAATAAAGCCTGAAGTACGACATTCTTCGTCCACTGCTATACGTTGTTTGATAGCTTCTGATAGTTGTGTTGTTACCATTTTGTATAGTTTGACATTTTCATCAGGATTTTCAAATCCATAATAATAAGCCAAAGGCATTGTAGAAGAGCCCATGGAAGCTGCTGTTGTGGCAGAAGATCCAAAGCCTTCTTCTACATCAATGATATTGTTGATACAGGTTGCTGTTACAGTGCCAGGCATCGTAATGGATCCTTCTGTTGTGTCTAATGAGACATAGATAGGAACACCACCTTGTCGAAGTGCATAACTTACAAGTATTTTACATAGTGATGTCTTTCCAACATCGTGAGGACCAATCACAAGTACACGCGGTCCTATTGTGTTTGCTTCTTTTCTAGCTTGAATACGAAGCTGCTCTAAAGCCAAGTGAGTGTTTAAATAGCTGGTCATGGGTGTTTCATTGGCAGTATACTCGACCAGAAAAGTGTTTCTGACTTCCAAGGTGCAACCGTGCCAAGTATAGACAGCTGCCTTTCGACCAGTGAAGGTGTAGACGACGCCAACAGCTAGTTCTGTGCCAAAAATTTCAGCTGTTCCTTTGACAAGCTTTATTTGAGCTTTAGTGTTGAACTCAACTTCAAAACGAAACTCATGATCAGGCCCAAGAACAATTTGACGAGAAGGTCCAAGATTATCTTCCTAAGTGAACAAAGTTAGATCAAGACGTGTTTTCTTTTTCTCTTGCCTTTTCTTGTTGCATTTTTTTCAAAGAAACAATTTTTAAAAAGGAAGCGCTTAATAGCCGTCTTTTTTTTTTCTCTTCTGTTCTGTGAAGGCAAAAAAGTTACACAAAGTTGTTTTTTTTATTATGCATGTCAAGCATATCATTTGGAAAAAAATAAGGTGTGCAAGCAAGACTTTCAAGAGGTTTCAAGCATCTTTAAGCTTCATTATTTGGTAATATACATTCAACTAAGCCTATTTCACGAGTCAGTATTAAGAAAAAGTTTTTAACAAAGCTATGGGTTAGCCTCTTTTTTTTTTTTATTAACCTACAGCATGATAGACATTTGTAGACTCATTGTATCGAATCAAAGACATCTCAGGTGAAACAAGTTCACCTATAAGAAGCTTTTCCTTGTCCCCCTTTTATTTTTCCAAAACAAGCTTGTTATACTCCACCAATGGTATCTATTCGGAACTCAAATGTGACAAGTCAAAAAAGAATAAAAGGCCAACACAGAACAGACAATCTTTTTTTTCTACTTTGTATATTTACTTATTACATTCAACATGTGTGGAATTTCAGCTCTTATTTTGGCCGATTCTAATGGAGCTGCTTGTCCTGATTTGTTTGAAAGTTTAGGGCTCCTTCAACATCGTGGCCAGGTAAATATCAAACATTGATCCTACATGACATACTTATTTTTATATAGGACGCTGCTGGTATTATTACTTGTGCTGCGAAAGGTCGTTTTTATCAATGCAAAGGAAACGGTATGGTGAGAGATGTCTTCAACGAACAACAACTCTCCAATCTTGTTGGTAGTCTTGGTATTGGTCATGGTAATTCCTTTCTATTTTTTTTTAGTCTTGTACTAATGCAACATCGATAGTCCGTTACCCCACAGCTGGTTCATCTTCTATGTCTGAAGCTCAACCATTTTATGTTAACTCACCCTATGGTATCACTTTTGCTCATGTAAGCGACCAATCATAAAATATTTTTGTTAATGCTTTCCTTGTTAGAATGGTAACTTGACAAATGCTAGAGAATTAAGAGCTTTCCTTGACAAAGTCGCACATCGTCATATCAACACCGATTCCGACTCCGAATTATTGTTAAACATCTTGGCTAACAACCTACAAAAGACGGGCAAGTTCAGGTAAAAAAAAAAAAAGATTTTAAGTCACACAAGCGGATGATGGGTCATACATCTCATCTAATTTTTTTTTTATCTATAGAGTCAATGAAGAAGATATCTTTACTGCTATTAAGGATTTGTATGGACAATGCAAGGGTGCATATGCCTGTGTGGCTATGATTGCAGGCTTTGGTATTATTGGTTTTCGTGATCCTCATGGTATTCGACCTTTGATTTTGGGTCGCCGTCAAAGTGGTGCTGGGTATGATTACATGTTTGCTTCTGAAAGTGTCGTTTTAGAAGCCCTTGGTTTCACTGATTTTGAAGATGTGAAGCCTGGAGAAGCTATTATTATTACTCGCGAGCAGGTCTCTCGTCGTCGCTTAGTGATTGAGCAAAACTTAGGTCCCTGTATCTTTGAATATGTTTACTTTGCTCGTCAAGATAGTATCATTGATGGTATTTCTGTCTACAAGGCTCGTCTTGCTATGGGTGAAGCTTTGGCAGATCAAGTGATCAGAGCCTTTGGTGATAATATAGATATTGATGTTGTTATTCCCGTAAGTATACAAAGTTGGGTCATCATAAGGGTAACTGATTGTGTCTGTAGGTTCCTGACACAAGTCGTGCTGCTGCTCTTCAATGCTCTCGTAAATTAAACATCGTTTATCGTGAAGGATTCAATAAGAACAGATATGTTGGTAGAACATTTATTATGCCAGGTCAACAAGTGAGACGAAAGAATGTTAGACGCAAATTGAATGCCATGGCTTTAGAATTTCACGGAAAGAATGTGTTGCTTGTTGATGGTAAGGAAACATCCATATATATATATAGACACATATATTTATACTGGGAATAGATTCCATTGTTAGAGGTACAACCTCGAAAGAGATTATCCAAATGGCTCGTGAAGCAGGTGCCAAAAAGGTCTATTTTGCTTCTTGTGCTCCTCCTATTCGATACCCCAATGTTTATGGCATTGATATGCCTGTCCGTCGTGAACTTGTTGCTTATGGTCGTAATGAAGAAGAAATCGCTCGTGAAATCGGTGCTGACAAGGTGATTTATGAAGATTTGAATGATCTGACTGAATCTGTTCGTCAATTTAACCCTGCTATCGAAACCTTTGATACTTCTGTCTTTGATGGTAAATATGTTACTCAAGACATTGACGAATCATATTTCGCATACATTGAAGGTGAACGCAATGACGACGATAAATCAACCAATACTGACAATGAAAGCATTGGTTTACACAACAACTACAAGAAGTAATTATATATATATATTCACTTATTCCTAGATGTATTATAAAATAAAAGAAGGAAAGAACAAAATTTCCATTGTAGACAATACATTTATAAACAACGTGACGGTCAGAATTCATGTCACATTCTTTTTCCAGCAATAATTACATATGCTGTTTGTTAAAAAAAAAGTGAGAGCATTTTCTTTTTCTTTTTTCTTTTTTTATTTCGCGCGTATACCATACATATACACGTATATATATGAGCATATAGGAAATCTTTCGCGCATAATACAATGAACAATACACCAACACAACAAATAAACACCAATATTCCATCAAAATATGCAGCTCTTATTAATACCGGCAAGGCTATTGACCAAGTCATATCGAAAGACCAAGAACATCCTGACCTTGTCAACGCTTTAAATGGTAAAATAGACTAGTATTTCTTGTCTCGAAACTCAACCTTCACATAGCACCTACTTCCTCAGTTTACGCGGCTCCTTTAATAAGTTCAAAGCGCGAGTTTTCTGAGATAGGCAAAGTAAACATACCAGCCCATTTGTTCGATAGAATAGCCAGTAAAGTATTGGAATCAAAATAAACATAATGCCAACTAACTTTCTATCCCCTAGGTATTCAATGTCGTACTTTCTCGGGCATCTTTCCAGAAATCTCTAGAGCTTGGTTAACTATTGACAATACGTTGTATTTGTGGGATTACAATAACCCGTAAGAAAGAACGAGTAGAATGTAAAGTAATTAACTGCATACTTTAGTATGGCAGAGATTTTCGAATATGCAGATCAAGATCAAATTATTTTGAGTGCTGCTCTTATTAAATCTAGGCCAGGTAAATGGCAGTAGAATCAACATTGTATATTCATTGTCACTCTAGGACTTTTCAACGAAACTGTCAAATATTTGATTGTGGTAGCAACACCATTGCAAGTCATTTTCATTGCTGTCATCAAGCCCAACCATCTTCCATCAGTCAGTCACAGTACACCAGATCATAGAAGAGTTGAATATATGGCTACCAGAACAGTAGTGTCAACAGACGACGTCAAGATTCGCTCTATTACTGGTACAGATGATGGTAGAATCTTTGTAGTCAGTCATGATGGTCGATTACATGAAATCATTCTTACTGTAAATATCCATTTTATTAATGTATCAAAAACCAACATGTTTGTTATAGAGTGATTCTGCTTATTGGCTTCGAAGTGACTATATGCTTTGTAGAACACAAAGCTTTTATGAAAAACTTGTCCCAGCACTAGCCCAACCTTTAATTGGACTTGATAGACATCGTAAGTTTTATGAGGAATGAAATAATGGCTCACCTACTTTATATAGCTCGCGTCAAATCAATTGCTGTGGATAATGAACGCCAAGTATTGTACTTGCTTTGCGAAAAATCAGTCATTGAAGTGGTTTATTTGGGAGACGCTACAGACAATTACAAGCCAATCTTTATGCATAAAAATATTGTAGAAAATGCAATGCAGATATGTAGACAGCAAGTGAGAAGTGCGACTGAAAGAGACTTCCAGATTGAGTCCATTCATGTGATTTCTAAAAAGGAATCCAAGCGTATTCACTTGATGGCCATCACAATCACTGGATATCGCCTTTATTTTACACACTATCAAGATGGATTCCGAACCATGATGAATGTTGTAGAACGACCCAGTACATTAGAATTAGGACACATTCGTATGCCTCCATTAGAGCGTCTTGATGTGACTCAGATGGCACCTACTTTTTCTAAGTCGTATTATGATTGTGGTATTTGTGTGTCAGTCAAGGCAAAAGATGATATGTCAGATTCGCTTCAAATCACATCCGTTGGGTTTGGCAAACTTCCAGCACCTAAACAACCTCAAAGCTCCAGTTCAGCTATTAGAATGACTACCAGCATACCAACAGTGGTGGTAAATAGTAGCAAAATAGTGTTCAAAAAAGATGAGTTGCTGATATTTTGGTTAGAACAATGTCAACTATTTTGAGACAAGAGCTTTATTGCATCTTAATGAAAAAGTCTGGACTATTGTTGAACTGAACAAAGACCTTTTCGGCAATCATCCCATTAAAGAAATTTCACAGCAATTCTCAGATCCTCCTCGCCAATTTGGTGTATTGACAACTCAATCCATTACATTTTACAAGAAAGAACGACCTGTTGACATTTTGCATCACCTTGTTCAACAACTTGCTGATAAATCAAATGATTATTTAAAGTACACTCAGTCCTTCGTTGAACGTTACGGACAAGCAGAATCATGCGCCATGTGTTTATCTATTATTTGTGACAGTACAGATCAAAAAGTAGAAGAACAAGCGACTGACCTGTATTTTCGTTTTGGAGGCGATCCTTCATCTACTCATTCATCTCAAGTCTTGGGTAACTTTTTGGCTCGAGTAGCTGGAGAAGAAGATGTGATTTACAGTGGAAAGCGTGATGGCCTTTTGTTGTATTTTGCTCGCATTGTTGCACCTGTTTGGAAGTTGGCACTCTTTCCTGCTGAGTAAGGAATTCACACTCATCGTGCCATGAGCAAATATCATTGACCTGTTCTTTTTTTTTTTAGGAATAGTCCTGCTACAGATACACAAATCCAAGTTAGATTAAATATCGCAAAAGAAAATTTGCTCAAGCTAAAAAGCTTTATGGAAAAGTAAGCAAAGCACAGCCACGATGGTTGTCTAACAAATGCATTAGGAATTCCCATATTTATATATCACCACATATCACGGATCCTAGATTCCAGGCTACCGATAATAGATCACTTACTTTGAAATTGGTAAGAAGATATTGTTTTTGATCTGTGTCTCTGATGCACATTCATTTTAGGCTGAACAAAAATCCATGCACAGCATTTATACACTACTTGTGCAGTCTATCGAAGCTATTTCCTTTATTGGGTTTGTTGTCGAAACAACACACTATATTGGTATTGAAAAATAGTAAGTGTAAACTCAGGGCATTGGCTTGTTGTGAGATGCTGAATCGTTCTTTTATAGTTTAGGCAGTGATGTGCAAAAGGACAAAATACACGATTTACACTTGTGTTCCGTCCTGACAACTATGGAAGGCCGAGAATTAGTGCATGAACTCACAATAGGCACTATTGCTCGCTTTGGAACAGGATATAATCATGCAGGATGTCACGTCGTCAGCCAAGAACTCGAAACTAGATGTAAAAACTTTTTTGGATCAAGTGATATTTGCTTTTTTAAGGGTCTTGAATATCTGTATGCAGTGGAGCAAGGAGAATCTGATCCTGAGAAAGAATACGCTTTAAAAGAGTCTTTGGTGTGGTTCAAGAAAGCAGCGGATGAAATAACCAAGCTTAAAAGTATCTGTAGTCAATACATGCGCTATTCTTTCCATATAGGGATCATCGAATTAGTACTGGAGCGGGCTCGTCGACTTGACCCTAATAACCAAGGTCTTTTGGCTTTCAAATCACCTGAAATGCGAGACGAAAACAATTTGGCACTCATGTATGCTCGTTTTGAAGCTTATGATTGCATCCTCAATGCTCTGTTAGACATGTTTTCTTTCAGAACAAATTCTGTGCCAGCTGATCGCAAACCTATTGATGATCCCCATACCTATGTTACCAATGTGGTTAGTGTTGCTCTTTCAAGCGATGATGAGCTCTTCCATTACCGACTTTATCGATGGTTTAGAGAAATGGGTTGTATGGATGAGCTTTTGTCTGTCGATACAAAGTATTTGTTGTATTACTTGCATAACTACGAGGACGACCAAAAAGTGAAGTACAGCTTTTTATTCCAGTACTATAAAAACAGAGAAGACTTCTTTAGAGCCGCTAAATATTCGGAAGCCTTGGCTGATCTGCCAGGTGTACCAATGAATGACCGTATTGCCCATCTGGCCAATGCATTGATTGCTGCTCGTTGTGCTGAAAAGCAAGTTCAAGATTATCATCATGACTATCTACGACACTTAAATCATCGCATAGTATGGGCACAAATCCAAGGACGTATGAGAGACATTATTTATAGTCAAGGCGGACAAGGTGCTGCTGAAGCTGTTGAACATTTAAATCAGCATTTACTTTCTCCTGAAGAATTACAAGAAAACTTTAGACATGTTCCACAAATCACTCAATTGCTTGAGGAAGTGGCTTTAAGAAATGGACAAACTTAAGTTGCTTTCTCTCTTTTTTTCTTGCTCTTACAAACAATAATAAAAAAAGACATTCTAACAACATTTTGCTGTAAGAATTTTGCTTTATGTGTATTATTACACATTCGCTATAGCTACTTATGAACCTTTTTTTTTATGGTTATGCAAACAGTTCAATATTTGGAATAGCTCGCAGGTACCATGTTGAATGAATATATGTATCATCTAGATAACAACGATTTGTGTAATTAGAAACATACAAATTATTACTTTATCATTGGTAACCACAATCATTTTTCTGCATGCAACTCATGAATAACAGTCCTACCTACCTAAGCTCACTTCAATCTAGTTTGTAGATAAGGTGTCATTTCCGTAAAGTAATCACTCTGAGCATGACAACAAACTCAACAACAATACATTATTTATTTTGCTTTTTTTTTTGGCACAAACTATTTTGATTCTAGGCGACAAGTTGACTAGATACCAAAAAGATTATCTTGGGCACTTTATTACTTTTTAGATCTGTGCATCTGGTTGTTCTGCCGATTTTTTTTTAAAGCCGGCAATTATTTCACCTTGCTATTGGTGCATGCTCTATTCTTAAACTTAGCAATGGTTTCTGCATCTGTGTGTCATGGTGTCAGTAGTATTATTGCTTGAAGAATACCATGTTTCACTTTAAGAATAGTGAATATCTGTATAGATGATGATGCACTCATATTGTCTATTTCACATTACTCATTGTGCTTTGATCTTTCTAATGACAAGCATGCATAATCTGTAGTTACTCTAAGCCTTAAAGGAAATAGGAATCCAATTATGACTAGACACTTTAAAGAATAATAACATTGTCACACAAATCTATGATTGACACACACACACATTCACTTCATACAATCACCTGTACAATAGCGGTCTTTTTCTTTTGGCACTAGTCAATTTACCATCTTTTTTTTAAGCCAACTGTACTTGAGGTAAGCGCGGAGGATCCTTCGTATCGTTCTGTTGTCGTAAAGACGCCAAAATTATCTTGACAGAGCTTCGATGCATGCTATGACTCATTTTAATTGGATGCACGTTTTTGGTTATATTATCGGATTCAGGGATTCATCTTGTAGGTACATTATCTTACTTCAGTACTTGCAGTAACAAATATTGAATTCAATGCACTGAAGATTGAGAAAAAAGAAGGACTTTTTGGCAATCATTGATAGATAGGCACCCGAGTACAATGGCGCCATTTAGAAGTCAATAGTGTTGTCTGGTTATCTTTCCATGTTAAAAAAAAAAAAAAGAGACCAGAATTGGTTTATATATGTAAGTTAAATAGTAGATATTTAAAAACTTTAAACATCATCTCTCGTATTCAGAAGTGACACTATTTAATAAGCAACAATGCATGTTCTTTTGTCAATTGCTTTTTCCAGTTAGTCATAATGGAAGAGATCAAAGCGTCTGAAGCACAAAGGGTGCACGAAAGATAACTGAATTAGGAAACTAAAAAAAGTAGATGGTGAATCACACACACACAGACATCAAATCTTTTTTTTTTTCGCTGTAAAAATGTCATGCTTATTGGCTCTTTTTAGACATTTCTCTGAGGAGTTTGAAGTCATTACTATAATAACAACCCTTGATCTTTAAGGAAATGTGGAAATTGTAGTCAATGTGGTTTTACGTGCATCTAAAAAAAAAAAGTGAATGTATGATAGTAACCCGTTACACACTGTGTAGATAAGGCACAAGTCGATCGTTTCTCACTTGAAACCTGAATGAATTGATTGGAAGCACTTTGAGAAGGCTCTAATGTAACAAAAAAAGGAAAGCTTAAATCAGCAAGAATTCTTCACTTCTTTTCTCTTTCTTTCACCTCTTGTTTTTTTTTTCTTATCCTAAAAAAACTATTCATCACATTGAGAAAAGAACCATTCAGAGGAGAAAAGAGCATGGGACAGCCACAATCAACCGATACTGGAGTTGTCATGGATACCCCAAAAAGTTACCCTAACAACCAACCTCGTCCTGCTAAACCAGCACTTAAGAAACCACCACCTAACATGGGTTCATTTTTCGATGCACAAATGGCAGCACCAATGCCACATGCTCAAGCACGAAAGCCAAATCGACCTAAAGACGATTTCAATTTTTATTTTGAAGTTGCCTCTGTTACGCCTCAACCAGTGACGAATACTAAGTCTAGATCTCAAAACTCCAACTCATCTTTAAAAACCTCATCTAAGAAGTCGTCTTCTCTATACCCTTCATCCACGCAACTTTCGCAAAAAAAGAAAGGCACACCTACCAGCTCTTCCGCATCTTCTATCGCTAGCTCAACTCTCCCCGGCGATTTAAATGAATCTTCTATCAAAAATAGCAAAACAGAAACAAAGACATCTAATTACCTTGTCATACAGAACAGAAAGTACTGGAAGGGACAAGGTTCTCAGAATTTCATTTTGCCTTATGATGATGATGAATCAGACAGACTTATGACACTGGTAACGAATTGACTTTATTTTTTCTTTCACTTGAACTCATTTCTCTAAATAGCATTATATCTTGAAATCAACTTTTCAAGGTAACTTCACAGCTCCTGTTTACCCATTACTTGAACAAAATGTGCGTAGAGCAAAAGCACTTGATATTGGTTGTGGTGCAGGCACCTGGTAGGGCTATCTTGAGCTCAATTGAATGATTTATTAAATTTTGATAGGATCCTTGAAATGGCTACAGAATTCCCTAATGCTGAATTTTATGGTGTAGACGAATGTCCCATGTTCCCAACACATATTAAGCCAGGCAATTCTCATTTCTTGGCCCATAACGTTTTGAAGGGATTACCCTATGAAGATAAAACGTTTGACTTTGTATATATGCGAAATATGATCTTGTATTTCACACCAGAAGAGCTTTCCAGTTTGCTTATGGAAATTTCCCGAGTAATGAAACCTGGTGCTTATTTCGAAATCATAGACACAAACTATACTGTTCGTCATGCTGGTCCTATTACGAGCAAAGTAATTAACACTGATTGTAAGTTGTTCATGTGTGTGAAGATTAGACTCCATGCTCATTCACTATAGTGAAATCTTTATTATATGCTGGTTCACTTGCAACAAAAGCTACTCAACATGATTCAACTACAAGTCATCCTATTTTCAGCTATTTAACGTTGGCAACATCCCCACAAAAGCCTGCTACTTCATTTATTGGCAGCTTTATTGACATCTCTCAAGAACATGCTACTCTTCCTCTTGGTTGGGGTGGAAACCAAATCAGTACACTTCATGCAAAGAACTTTATGGGATTCTTGACTGGCCTCCAATCAAAGAATCAAGAAATTCAGGTACCCATGAACAAGCATATGATTGACGATGTGATGGATGAATGTGAACGTTACAAGTCTTATCTTGACTGGTTTTCTTGTTATGCCCGTAAACCTCCTATGGATGATGAGCACATTGACCAAAGCACACTTGATTCTATACATGAATTTGTAGAAGGCTTTGTTGATGTATGATTTGTTCTTAAAAGCGCAATTTTCCAAAATGTAAATTGCCAAGCATCTAATAAAGATAGCCTTCGTGTTACACTTTTAACACAAATCGATCGTTATCTCCTGTCCTCTCAAGTACCAGTCTGTCATACACAAAAGAGAAAAAGCGACGTCATTTAGTATGGGTTGTAGCGTATACAATGAGAATTTATTCATATGAATTTAAAGAAAAAAAAAAGATAATAAAGATAATACTAATAATAATAGAGAAAAAAAGGAAAATTATGATTTTGTAGTAAGAGCTCGATGGGCTTCAGCTAATTGAGCTTCAAGCACACGAATACGATCTTCAAGTCCTTTGTCTTTAGAGACCAAAGCACTTTTTTCCGACTCTAGCACGGCAACACGGGTCGTAAGTCGGGCATTATCTGATTCCAGCTCAGCAACTTGCTTCTCTAAACTTTCCATCTTGATGATCTTCTTGAGACGGGAACGACGAGCAGCATCTGTGTTCTTTTGACGCTTTTGAGCAGCTTCATCACTGTCCATGGCGTCTGATTTACGTTTCATGACATTGGAAGCAGGAGGCGTGAATCCACCAGGACGAGGAGCAATGGGAACAACATTAGAAGTCTTGGGCATGATAGCCACAGGCTTACGTTGTGCAGTCACAGGACGAGGAGGAGGCACATTGGATTTCAAGATTTCAGGAAAGAGAGCAACGAGAGCGTCAGTAGATACAGCACCTTCTTGATCATGATTGACAGAACCAGGGCTTGTTAAAGGAGGAGAAATAGGCAGGAGTTGAAGGATATCTTCAAAATTATCTGCAGTTGGTTGTGGTTGATTGGCCAGAGCATCTGTGTTGATGATGGGCGTAAGTTGGTTAAACCAATCATTGATCGTGCAAGTAGGTGAGTTACTGAACATAAAAGGTGATTCAGGTTGTTGTTGTTGCTGAGGGATGGGACTGTAGCCAGTCGTAAAGAATGGGTAAGTGGTAGATGAGTTATTCATTTTTGGATTTGTTTATAAAAGGGGATGATTTGAAAATTGTTCTGATTAATTTGGGTTCTTGGAGTAAAAGTAAGTTTTCTTTCTGGAACAGGTAGAGGGCTCGTCAGTAGTATAGGAGAAGAAAGGTTTGGAGGGTTGGGGGTTTAATAAAACCACTTTTTGGGGACAATCAAAAAACATATTCAACAAATTTAACAAATGATACAATATTTAACAAAGAGGGAACAAGATAGAAAAGGCGGGAAAGCAAGAGAGATTTAAAAGGCAACCATTTTTAATGTGGTGTATATATGTGTGTATGTGTGTATGTGTAAGAGAGTAGAAAATAGGCAAAGAAATAATTAATTAAGAGAGCAAGAGGAGAGCGGTAAAAAGAAGCGCTAAGATATGTGCGTGTGTATAATACACTTGTTAAATAAAGCAAGTAAGAAGAAGAAAAGAAAGAAAAAGAGATTTTTTTTTTTGTCTTTTGAACCAAAAGATGCTGAGATGTAAATTAAACAAGCTGCGTTTGGTGAATTAAAAAAAAATTTTTTTTCTTTGGTTTCATTTAACACTAAAAATATGTTTACCCAATTAGGCACACTTACTAATCACAGCTTTCTATAAATGGTATCTTATGTGAATGTCGATCATGAAATGAAGAATCCTTTATTGTTATGCTATCTCAAGAGAATGAAGAAATAATCATAAGCTGTGTAAGAGTCTTATGTTTAGGTAGATCAAATTTGACTCAAGTGTTATGTATACATATTTGTCTGAAAGAGCATTCATTGAAGTTTGCCATTGTGTAAATTCTATTCTAAATAAGTAGTATTCTTCTTTAGATGTCCTGTTGAGACAAGCACAGTAAGTCATTCTTGCCTATAAATAGGGTCTTGGTAGAGGGAGGGAGGGAAAAAGGACATGTTCTTTAAGTCTGTCTTGACTATTTATGCTTATTTCAGTTGAGCCTCCGTCTTACAAGAAGTGCTTCCTTAAACAGCAAATACGTTCATTCCAATGTAGACTTCCATTTCTGAAAGTATCTGTAGCACAAAGTTATTCTAGATTTACACTAAAAATTCTTATCTATATCAAACAAGCTTGATTGGTTAAAAGGAATTGCTCATAACTGATTTGCAAGTCTGATTGGTACGTTTATTTAAAGTGTGTGAAAAACGAAATAAAAGACGCATCATCTGGTTTTAAGTTTATGCACCTTCCAGTTGCTAGTCTTGATCCGTTTTCTAGTAATGTAAGGTTGTTCAATTTTCTCCTGAAGCCGTCTTTTTCTGTTTGTGAATTGTATACCATGTTTTGGGGGCGAACTATTGATATACCATTCAAGCGCTCCTCTTTGTTTGAGCTTGATTGAAGTTCTTTGTTTCTTTGTAAATGGCTTCGAAGAAATTATGAGTTGAGCAGCATGATCATATTCATGTGCTTGTTCGTCCTCTACAGGCAATGGAGTCCAGTCTTCATCACTCTCTGTATCACTACTGTTGAATGGAGATTGAATTATGTCCATCAGCTCAACCACATCCTTATCATGCAAAGGTATATTTGAAGCATGAATAGTATATTTTGCATTTTTACTAGTGACTTGTTTCTGAACAGTCTTAACATTGTCAATAGCAACAGTGTCTTGATCTTGGATTGAATTGTCTTCTTTTGCTTCGATTGATACTTTCTCTTTTGATTTTGTTTCTTTTAAAACTTCTGCTTTATCCACTTGTTTCAATTCATTTGTCTCTTGCTCTTTTACTTTCTTGTTTTCAGCTGTCTTATCTTGTTCTTTTGTTATTTGAACTAAATCTTCTCTTTTAATCACGACTCTAAGTTCCTTCACTGCTTTAGACGCCTTCTGATATAATTGTTCTTTTGTTGTTTTAGCTAAATCTTTTTGTTTAATTATTGTGTGTTCTTTCGCTGTTTCAATTGTCTCTGCATTTGACTGTTCCTGTTTTATTACTTCTTTTTGTTCTTTTGCTGTCTCGACTACTTCTTCTTGATATTTCGCTGTTTCAGTTGTCTCCCTTTCTTCTATAGCTTGATTACTTTTCATGAGATTGTTCGCAGTAATTTTATTCGGCTGGTTTGCTTCCACTGATTTATCAATGTTTGCTTCAACCCGGTTATTTAAACAAAATGTTTTTTTGTCTATGGTATCTTGACCTGCATCATTAACTTCCATCAAATCATCGACAGTGACATATGGAAGGTCATTTACAAAATCTTGTTCAGCTATTTCTTGCATATCTGTTGATTCGCTAGGCTGTATATTTACAATACTATCTACACTTTTACTACGTTGAATATGATGCTTCTGTAAGTTGGGTGGCAAAAGAGAAATACTGCTAAAGTCTATCATTTCATCGTCTTCATCGTCTTCTTTCCGCGATCTTCTAAATAGATCTCGGTAACTTGACCTAGCAACACGATCCTCTTTCTTTGGTTGTGGTTTTCCTATGCTGACATGCGGTTTATGATGGTTGTGATCTGTTGGTGTACCCCAAAGTTCAGAGAGAATCACTCGATCCTGTTCAGAAGGTAGTTGAAGGAACAGGTCGTCTATTAAATGGCGGGAAGTAGCTGGTGTAATAAATCCAGGATCCAATACTTCCTTTTGCGGTAGAACCCTTCGCTTTCGTCTAAGTGGTGGTGGCATATGGCGTGTAGGAATGAAAAGCAAAAAAGAAAAAGGGTGTAGTAGTAATTTTTTAAAATTTGGGCTCCTTTTGAGTCTCAGCATTCGTTTGAAATGATGACAGAAAGCCAGGGGGATATATAGAATGAATACACTTATGTTCAGGACGCGTTCATAATTGTACTACACGCATAATAAGAACAAAGAGTGTCATGTCGCTTATTTAATTGATCTGACTGTTTTGGGTTCTTTGACATGTCATGTCCATTGTGTCTACAAAGTATGGTTTTAATTCTTTCATTTACAACAAATTAATACAATTTGTAAATCTAAATCACATACTACATAAACAATGCACGTCGAACTACCCCCTCCCTTTTTTTTTTGAAAAATGAGAAAAAAAAAAGACGCTTACATATACTAAATATATCAAGATTTGTAATTTTATAATCATAAAAAAGTGATTGCTTTAATTAAGGATAGAGTGCTTGAACCAATTCTTGCCACAAGAAAAAGGATCATATTTACCTGTTAACTCTTGGCGATCTACCGGAGTTGTTGGTAGAATAATGACTTAATTTGGTTTGTTCAACCTATTCTTTTATTTTTAGCAGACAAGGCCAAAATAAATTTCTTTTTTCTTTTGCTTTTTATAATTTATTATAACTAAAGAAATGGGTTTGGCCTTAGAAAAGTGTTGTTGTTTTATACCTTTGAGACTAGGTACCTTCTTCATTGCTATCTGGTTCTGTGTAAGTCTATAGTTTGTTTGTATAGATATACTTATTTACATCTTCTAGGCTGTTTATTTGCTCTATACAGCAAGCGGATTTTTGGCATTTAATCCGATTGTGGTTTATTCAGGTCAAGTGGCAAGACCATGGTATTATATCAATCTTTTGTTCTCTGTGTTTATATGTATTGGTGGTTTATGTGGTATTATTGGATCGACTTTTGTAATTAGCTTACTTTCCTTTCTTGGAATCCTTATTAACATTTCAAATGAATAGGCTTCACGACGATTCTCTAAAGCATTCAGTATCATTGCCTGGATCAATGTTGCCTTATCTATTCTTATCTATGTTATTTCACTCGCATTAATCTGTGTTCATAGACAAGATGTAATTGATTCTTGTAGAGTAGTTGGATTTGTTAGTATTAACAACAGTCGACATGAAATGACAGTATCCAAACCCAGCGATCAAACATATTACTCGCCTGTTCATTATACTGGTTTATTGACAGAACACGCTGCAACTGAAGCGCAATGCAGTGCAATGACAAAGACATTTATTATTGCATTTGGTGTAGTTGTTTTTATTGTCCAATTGATTCAAGTAAGTCTCCTTTATGAGTGAAACATGGACTAAGAATTAGATCTATTTTGCTTCTGTTGTCGGTGCTTATGCTGCTCGACTTCGTAGTGGTGCTCGTCATCATCGTCTTCATGACCAACAAATCAAAGACTTTGAAGAATCTCGATTCCATATGTCTACCGTATATTAATTCTTTTTCTTCATATTGTACATTTAAGCATACACATAATAAACGTTGAATAGCATATTCATGCATGTAAATAGCACTCTACTTGTTTTCATTTCACGCCCATATGTGTGATACACATAACTACGTCACCAAGCTCCTTTCTGTATATCTCACATTTCAGTTTTTTTTTTCTCTCACTCTTTTTTTTCTTTTTTCTTTGTTTTTTTACCCAAATATATCTATACATATATCGTCGATGAACCCTGCCCAAGCAAATAAAATTGACGTTAGTGTAAGTAATAGAAAAAAAGATTAAAAGATGGCCGTGTTAAATCTATGTTTATTACATGTAGCAACTGAGCGAGGAAGAAAGAAAGTTGTTCCGTATGTACGGTAAACTTCCTGATCGTAAAGATCTCTTGGGCCATAAGCTCAAGGTAAGTGTAGGCATAATATACGCGTGTTTAATCGAACTACGATAATATAGGAGCGTAAATACTTTGACTCTGGTGATTATGCACTTTCCAAAGCAGGAAAAGAGCCAGTTGCCATAGGCTCAGAACACCCTTCACCTGATACCATTCCTCACTCGAACCCTGTTTCTCAGCCCGGATCAAGTCCTGTCAAAGAAAGTCCACTTGTCTCGGAAACAGATGAACAACAACAACAGCAACAACAGCAACAACAGCAACAATAATCTTTCATGCAGTTTTATTTTTATTTTTTTCTTTTTTATTTTCATTAAATGAATTGACCAGCCCATGGATCTACTTTGTATTGAAAAGGGGAGTGACCAAAATTTACCTTGATTTGAGCTGGTCCATCTGTGCCAATACTAGCAAAGTAATAGTGTCTCTTGAGTCCTTGGAAAGCATAGCCAAGCCATTGACCATTCAAAGTAAAGAATACATTGCCTGTTTCTGGGCAATAACCACATCCTACTGTATCTCCTATTTTCCAGCTCGGACCATAGGATTGCCCGCCCGTCGCATCGTCACAAAACTTGTGGCCATCATCGCTATGGTAACCTACCGAGAATTTATTCCATCCTGGCATGCGAAAGATAGGATAAGGTTTGGTTGCCAAGCCAATTGCCATGACAACATCAGAATGACCTACATTCTCGACTGTGATTTCGAAATAATGATGTGTCTCTGCTGTATTGTATTGAGATTGGTATTCAGAAAGTGTCAAAAAAGGATGAGAAGCTTGAGCTGTCACGTCCAAATCAGTCAGAGGTGAATCGATGGTAGGCCAAAATTGAATTAGATTGGGTCGAACAAGACGAAAGGCAGCCTTGCCCTTTGGGTGTTGGAATAGTTGGTTTTTTTGTGTTTCTGTATCAATACGGATTGTGTTCAAAAATCCATGTTGGCTTATGTGTTGGGCTTCTAATGCAGGAAAAGTGTCTATCTGCTGAGAAAAGGCTTGGATAAACATCTCGCCTCTTTCATATGAGTCAATCGAAGCGTCGTGAAGTTTGCCAAACTGATACACTTGGCCTGGGTCCAAATTGGTTTGGAAAGCATGGTCATAACTTGGTGGTTCTTGATCAAATTGTTGATTAGACATGAGAAAGAGGAAAGGAGGTGCTAACTTTGCTGAGCCCATTTCTCACCTCTTTTTTTTTTATGGAAATCCAAGAACATTTCCTTAAAAGCGATTTATTATATATATAGATTAAATAGATAAAAGTACAAAAAGGAGGATCATTGCGTATAATTTTTTTATGGCTGAGGACGTTCAAAAATAGCACTTTTCTGTATATCAGCCAGACTTTTGACTCGCGTGAATCGACCAGCATGCTTGACAGACGTGCCGTCTTCTTCTAATTGTCGTTGCAGTAATGCTTCGCCCAAACGTCTTCGTTTCAGTTCTTCATCTTCTTCACTAGTCCAGTCGTTATTTCTGCCAAGTGAAAGTAAAAGTGCATCACTTGAAGAAAGTTTATTTGAGTCATGCACGAGTGATAATGGCTGATTTCTCGACGCAAGTGTTCCGACACTGGACGCATTTTCTGCTGTTGTTGTCATTGGCACACTCTCTGTAGAACGGAAAGCGGTCATTTTGGCTTGTGAATGCATCGATTGATTATCGTCTAATTGTCGCTTTTCACTATCTGTATTGTTATTGTTGTTGTTACTTGCACCAAGGATAGGAATTAGCTTGTTGTTGCGCTTATTTTTACGCGAGAGTAACATGGTCCAAAAGAGTGCTGCAGCGCCACATAAAAGTGCAATCACAGCAATAACAATGACAGCAATGGCCCAACCAGGCAATATAGATGAATTTGAGTTGCTGGCCATATGATTGTTGCTATTATTATCGTTATTCGTACGACTACCGTTACTGCTATTGGTATTCGATGGTGTTGAAGAACTAGTGTTATTTGTAGCTGCAAGCGATGCGATTTCTAATCAAATTAAATGAGTTTCAACTGGAGATTCAGGTTCTAGATCAACACGTACGAGTAACAGTGAAATTAAATGGTCTAGGGTATTGGCTACTAGTACTTGCTAATTCTACAGCAGGATCCGCTGTAGAAGGCAAATAAAAGCCATATATAGTCAAGTTTTGGTCAGGAGTGCCTGCTGGAAGGCTCGCTAAGAACCAACTATCGTCTACAGTTACTTCTATTCCACCTGAAGTTTCTGTCAAACCTGTGAAATTCTTTACATTTATATATTCATATCGAACAATATAGTACAAATAAAGACTTAAATTGTCCTATACAGTATCAGTTTTTTTTTTCTTTTTCTTTTTATAATTAGTTACATTGCCAACATAAAATGGATAGCTATATAAAGAGGATGAGAAAAAAGGTATCAAATAACTCATAATAATACGTTACTTGAAATTCCATACAAAATTATGCGTTGTTCCATTTTTCCAAACATCTGAACTGGTTGGAGAACAAAACGGGTATTGATTACCTTGTTCGGAACATGACTGTGCTTGTTCTGAAAGAGCTTTTTTTGTAATTATAAGTCGCTGTCATTTTATGTGTTTGTGTAATCATTTACCACTTTCCATACGTCCAAAGAAAAAAGATAAAGTGATTGAGATAAAAAGAAGGTAACTTAGACAACAGCAAAAAAGAGAGTAAGAGAAAAAAAGAAGAGAGAGGAAAAAAAGGATAAAGAAAAAGGGATAAAAATAGAAAATTAAAAGAGACAAGAAAAAAAAGGAGCAGAGGAAGTCATCAAAATTGTATTACCAAATGACTCCCTCCTCCGCAATTAGAACTCCCCTCGTCGACTTTCTTCTACTGTAACTTATTGTGTCCTTCTTCTTTTTCAATGCAAATGATTGAATTCAACTTGTTTGTCTGTTTCTATACTGGAGATTGTTGATAATTTGCACACTTGTTGATGTTTATGCTTGTTTCAATAGTGTTTCTCTTCGGAATAACGACACCGATGTAACGCTTGCTTACGAAAAAAGAACTTGTAATGTTGCTCAACATGTCAGTCTGAATATTTTTATGGCAATGTTTAATTAGCATCCGTTTTTTTTTTCTTGACAGGATGTATTGTAAGTTTGATTCTATGCAGTCACGAAAGTGAAATATAATCCTTCAACTTGAAGAGCATCTAATGTCTAGTCCATTTCAACATAATATAGTGCTATTTCTTTACTACATGCAGCGCATAAATTTCTCTTTCTATCTTTGTCTTACGATTATACGTATTTGATGATTGCAATTGTCTTCACAGAGTAGAGGCTTATTTGTAAGTATGGATACGGCCCAATGATAAAAGAGCAAACACTGTCCACACCAAAGAAGAAGGTGGTCGTTTTTGCATAAGTACTTGGGCTTTTGAGAAAATACTTACTGCAAATGTTTCAATAAACTTTGAAGTATATTGACTTTTTTCATGTTATCTTGCACAGCTTGCTCACCAAAGAATGGCTTGCAATTGACACTAACGGCCCTTTCTAATGCCTTTGATCCTTGTTTCTACGATAAAATTACTTTTACTTAAGTATATTTCAGCTCAAACTCACTTTCTATTTAATTTTTACTCATGTAACTATCCATGGTCTTTAACTTAATGCATCTAAAGCAATATCAAAGTATCATGCATGCAAAACGGCTGCTATTGGAGATTGAAAATGAGAAAAAAATGGAAGCACTCCGATTCCACAGGAGACATCGAAAATCTAGCTTTGCTTGAAATAACATTCAGACGCAGTTATTTTGCTTTGTCGTATTTATACTATTTTTACTACTAAAGTATTGAGAAAATACGATAAAAAGTTTATAGGATTTTTCATCTATATCATACCACTTTGATAATGCAACTAGCAAGGAAATACATTCCTCAAAAACCATAGTGTCTGTCAGTCATTTTGGGTATTTGAATGACTTGGTAGCTCTATTTTTCGTCCTGTAGCGTCAAAAAAAAATTGGGAATTGTAAAATGAATGATTTTCCTGAGTAGTACCCTTTGGTTTCAAGAGGATTTTGGCCATTTTTTGCAGGTTTCTTTCTTTGGTCCAAATCAACTCTAAAAGCATCACTGATATTAGTAACCACTATTTGTAGGCGTTTGGAGTATTTGCGTGTGTATAAATAGGTTTTGTATTCCCTTTATGTAATTATGCAGTCCTATACATTGATAAAGAAGATGTGCCCATTTCAAGTACTAAAACACATTGCCAGTAGTGAGAGGCAAACTCACTTTTAGAACGAAACTTATTGTCAGTTTCTCTTTGCCAATTTAAGATAGGAACCTGAAACGTTTATAAGGGAGAGAATAGCGCACTTGATCTGCAACCATATTTCTTTAAGTTTCGACTCCTTCATAACATGACTTACTTCCATTAAGAGCATATACAGAAGCTCAATATGATTGAGGAAATGGTGCTGAGTTCATGATTAACTATGTCGCTGCAGAAGGCTTCTTAGAACTAAGAGATCCCTTGTTTCCAAATGAATTAACTAGCCTGAAAGGTCACTATAATCTGAAAAAAAAAGAAGGTCCTTGTCAGTATGGTACATGCAACCTTGAAGTGGTTCCAAGTTCCTGTTTGGATAAAAACGCCTTATTGGACATATTTCACATGTCACATGAATGCCCCTGATATGTATGTACCTTGCTCTTAGAAAAAAGAGTTGTGCATACGACGGCTTCTATTTAGGAAAAACATACAAAAGAGCGTGTTCGGGTGTTCTCAATCATTGAGTTGTAACTACAGAAAAGAGGCTTGATACGATAAAAAGAAGGGTTTAGCCAATCAAAATAGACATGTGCTGTTTCATTATATAATCAAGGCATTACCATAGTTTATCGTGGAAAACGGGAATAAAAAGTAGGTTCATGTGAAATCAAATAGAATTTCCCCTAGTTGACAACCGTAGTAATACTCGTTGACAAATTCATTATTAAAGTTACTTGAAGGTGGTCATGCGGCGATGAACTACCAAGAATAAAGTGATATCACTTTGGTTTCATTCACCAAAGATTCATATCAATCCTGAATTGGAGATTGTTTTTTTTTTTAGTTATGTTGCAAAGACATGCAAAAAATCATGGGATGGCTTCTTGAAAAGGGCAAGCTTGGTGTATTGTATAATAAGAAACCGATTCTAAAACAATGCAACACACTGTACAAAACCAATTATGTATATGTATGTATGTTTCCTTTTTATTCTTCCTTCTTTTTGTTTTCATTATTACAATGGCTTACATGAGCCAAAGAGTTTGAAGTAAAGGATAAAGGTAAAACCATAGCGTACTCCGCTACTTAAATTTGTTTAACATGGCGGAGTGTACTCTTGATCAAACAAAGTAAACAATTATCGAAAACAAAAAAACAGGACAAACAAAGAACGCTCGAGCCAAGTACGATTATCTTCTTATTTTGACTTTATTTACCTATTGGTTGTTTTTTTTACTCTCTTTTCTTTAAAATAAACAACATAGCAAGAGATGTAATGAACAATGTATCAATCATCCTGGTTGTATCTTTTTTCCTTTGTACATTTTCTTTTCACTTTTTTTTTTGTTTCTAAAAAGAAAGAATGTAACATATAATAAAATCACGGGTCAAGGACTTAAAGTGCATGGAGTACAGGTGCAAGGTTAGACACAAAGGGTCGGGCCCATCTTTCCATCTTTTTTGCTTTTTTCATGCTTCTTTCAAAAATTTCTAAATTCTACCTAAATTTATCAAACAAATAATATGATGTGAAGCTTTAAAATACATGTAGAAGCGGTTTCTTTATAAACAACACAAAGAAGAGAAAGAAAAAGAAAGAACCGTATTCCCGTGATCATACTTGTGATTTTGTATTCTATGGGGGACAGAAAAAAAAAGTCCTCTTTGTCCCTCTTTCACACCAAGATGATGTGAAACATAACTTTGTACAAAGCCACTTGTTTGATATAAATATGTTATCTTTTTCTTTTCTTGTATTGCCTTTTCTTACTCACTTCTCTCATATCCATAAAATAAATGTCTATTCTCTCTCAATTTGGTCTCCAATCTAAAAACAAAATGCAATCTAATGGACCTAATGTATGCTCTGGTCGTGGCAAGAGTTACTGTCTCATTCATCGAAGATATTTTGAAACAAGCTGGTGTCCTGACTGTAGTCGTTCAAGTCGTAAGTATAAATCATTTTAGATGAATCATTACTGACTGTGTTACTAGATCATTAAGCATTCTTTTCCATATATCTTATTAACATACAGAAAAAAAAGGCCCACAATGCTATTGTATAAAGTAAAAAAAAAAAAAAAAAAATCGAAAAAAAAGCATTCTCCTCTACTTTCTTCCTTTCTCTGTCTCTTTATTTCTTTTTTCTTTCTCACTCTTCCCTCCACTGTAAATTCTTATTATGCTTCCCCTATTTAATTATGATTTAGAATAATTTAATAAAATAAAAAAAAATGTTGTGCATTCGATGACGAATCTTCAATGTAGTACACAGATCTGTTAGCTTCTCAAATAAAAACTCCATTTTCTGGGGGTTGAGAAGCAAGCAAAATGAGAAATCTCTGACGATCTGTCCACGTTTTGTTTTCGTTAAATGATCGCATGTTTATATGATACACCGCACAGGTAATTCGTGTAACTTTTTTTTTTTACTGAACGTTCAAGGTCCCGGCCATTTCCGCTTTTACAAGTAGTGATCATCAAGCATTGATTTATACAAAGATAAATATATGCCTGTGAATTCCCCATCCATACTTGCTATTTATGGTTATTTGTGCATATTCACCAGACCTTATCGATCTTTTTATAAAAAAAGGGTAAGAAGGTGGTACGGCATTTTATTTGGTTTTGTGATTCTCAATGTATTATCTTTCCTTTAAACAACACATACATTTTTGTAACACACCGTTTATATAATAGACGAAATTATTGTTCTCAAATCGTAAATTGTAGTACGGCATGTTATGCAGCTCTTTCCTATTCTTCTAACTTATGGCCTGTGGGATATTATTTTCTTTTTTCTTTTTACATCATGTAAACTGTTGCACAAACGTTCTTTACATTCTAGACATTGTTTTATTTTATTCTTATTTTTTTTTTACAAGAGAGCTATAATGAATTTTTTAGTAGGTACAATTGTTCATTTTTTTAGAAGAAAAAAGCAAAATGGGATACTTGTATTCATAATGTATCACAGTCCTTTACACTTTATTGGAACATTAAATGAGCAAAAATTAAATTCTAGGAATTAAGCAGAGCATAAGAAAGAGCAGAGAATAGAAGAGGGATAAAAGAAAAATAAATTGGTAACAGATATGAACCAGTGTATGTAAAATACTTACACGGATACGAGGAGGTAGTTGAATGACATTATCTTGTCAATTGTATAATTGCTAAAAATGAGATAGTCTTCATTACATTCATCGACAATACGACTGACTAATACTAAGCTGTAATTGATGCAAATAGCGGCTACATCGAATATTGGTCTTTTCTCTTTTTTTGTTAAGTAAACAACCTAAGCTTTTTTTCTACACGGTTTACAGTGTTAATCTATGATGCTTTAGGAATTTGTTCAAGGATGGAAAGCATTGTTTTTATTTGGTCTCAAAGATCATGAAAAGATACCCAATATTTTTTCTGCATGGCTGTATAATAGTTAAAGCCCTTAAAAAAAAGAATGTGGTATGAATGGTTAATTTAAAAGTTAACTTCTTGAAAGACATGTGCACCGAGAAATAGCCTTTCTACTGAGCAACTCTGCGACAATTCTTAAATGAGTGTATCATTGAACAAGCGAATGTCTCATTACACAAGACTTTTTTTATGGAAAACTTCTCTGTTGCTTTTCTCAGTTAATATTTAAAATCGATTTCTTAAATTTTAAGAAACATTTGGATATTGATCTCTCATAATAACTCAATGAACGCTCAGCTACTAATTTGGACAAAAAAGAGAGTTTTACAACGGAGTTTAAAGAGCAAACAATGATTATCATCATTTTTTCGTTTGTTTTCTGTATTTTTTATAGCAAAGAGTCATTGAGAAACTATAAAGATATGGGAATGATCCTTTTTTTGCTATATTAAAAAAAATCCTGTTATGACCTTTTTTGAGTTGTTTCAGATCAACTATCCACTCCTGTTTTTACAAAATTTGGATGGAGAGGGGAAAAGAAACCCCGTTTTTCATGTAACCAATCATTTGCGATTTGCCATTGAGTCAGAGCTATTTGTCGTCGGATCTGCAAATTGACAGGTGAGCAAGACGATTGACTCACTATTCGAGTAAGCTACACTTTGGCCAATCAATCAAAGTTGACGATTGAGTCAGGTTAAATGCAGACATGTATTAAACGTTTAGGACTTTCTTCTTTTCTTTTTCTTTTCTTACTTTATTTCTTACATTTCCTCTTCAACTCAACTTCCTCATATGGCTCGCACACTCTACGACAAAGTCTGGAATGATCATGTTATTGACCAACAAGACGATGGCACTTGTTTAATTTACATTGACAGACATCTTGTCCACGAAGTCACTAGTCCTCAGGCTTTTGAAGGTCTTCGTAATGCTGGACGCCGTGTTCGTCGCCCTGATTGTACACTCGCTACTGTCGATCACAATATCCCCACTTCTTCACGAAAAAACTTCAAAGACATTGCTAGTTTCATAAAAGAAACAGACTCAAGAACTCAATGTGAAACTCTGGAACAAAACATCGAAGCCTTTGGTCTTACTTATTTTGGTATGGAGGATAGCCGTCAAGGTATCGTGCATGTTATCGGCCCTGAACAAGGTTTTACTCTTCCTGGCACCACTGTTGTCTGTGGTGATTCTCACACTTCTACACACGGTGCTTTTGGTGCTCTTGCTTTTGGTATTGGTACATCTGAAGTTGAACATGTCCTTGCTACGCAGACACTTTTACAAAAAAAATCAAAAAACATGAGAGTTCGTGTCCAAGGTAAGGCACTCCCTGGTGTAACGTCAAAGGATATCGTTCTTCACATCATTGGTGTTATTGGTACTGCTGGTGGTACTGGTTGTGTGATTGAATTTTGTGGTGAAGCTATTGAAACACTTTCTATGGAATCCAGAATGTCTATATGTAACATGTCCATTGAAGCTGGTGCTCGTGCTGGTATGATTGCTCCTGATGATATCACTTTTGAATACCTTCGCAATAAGCCTCTTGCTCCCAAGGGTGCTGAATGGGACAAGGCAGTTCATTACTGGAAGACACTCAAATCAGACCCTGATGCTAAATATGACATCAATGTAGAAATTAATGCTGTGGATATTGCTCCTACTCTCACCTGGGGAACAAGTCCTCAAGACGTTGTGTCTATTGCTGGTTGTGCTCCTGATCCATCGAAGATTTCTGATCCTATTCGCCGTTCTGCTGTTGAACGTGCTCTTGAGTACATTGGTATTGCTCCCAACACACCTATGGAAGGTATCAAGATTGATAAGGTATTCATTGGTAGTTGTACCAATTCTCGTATCGAAGATCTTCGTGCTGCTGCTGCTGTGGTTAAAGGAAAAAAGGTTGCTGACTGGGTATATGCTATGGTGGTGCCTGGTTCAGGTCTAGTGAAGCGTCAAGCTGAACGTGAAGGTTTGGACAAAATTTTTACAGATGCTGGTTTTGATTGGAGAGAAGCCGGTTGTTCTATGTGTCTTGGTATGAACCCTGATCAACTAAAGCCAGGAGAGCGTTGCGCTTCTACTTCCAACCGTAACTTTGAAGGCCGTCAAGGTGCTGGTGGTCGTACTCACCTCGTCAGTCCTGCTATGGCTGCTGCTGCTGGTATTAAGGGTTGTTTGACTGATATCCGTAACATGGAGATTTCTGAAATTCCTGCTACACCCAAGCACAGTCCTCGTCAAGAAATTGTCACCGAATTCGAATCCAATGAAACTGAAAAGGCTGTCCCTAGTACTGAATCATCTGCCATTCCCGCCTCAAGCAACCAAGCATCCAATACCTCTGCTCCTAGTGGTATGCCCAAATTCACAACACTCAAGGGTTACACTGCTCCCCTTGATATTTCCAACGTCGACACTGACATGATTATTCCCAAGCAATTCCTCAAGACCATAAAGCGTACAGGTCTTGGTAGTGCTCTCTTCTATGCCCTACGTTTTGATCCTGCTACTGGTGAGGAAAACCCCAACTTTGTTCTTAACCAAGAGCCTTTCCGTCAAGCACGTATTCTTGTCTGTACTGGTCCCAACTTTGGTTGTGGTAGTTCTCGTGAACATGCTCCTTGGGCTTTCAATGACTTTGGTATCCGATGCATCCTTGCACCTAGTTTTGCTGATATTTTCTTCAACAACTGTTTCAAAAACGGTATGCTTCCCATTGTCCTTCCTCAAGATCAATTAGAAGCCATTGCTGTTGAAGCCAAGAAGGGTAGTGAAGTTGAGGTCGATCTTATCAACCAAGTTGTTCGTTATCCTGGTGGTGATGTTCCTTTTGAAGTTGAAGCTTTCCGCAAGCATTGTCTTGTCAATGGTCTTGATGATATTGGTTTGACTATGCAAAAGGCTGACAAGATTTCCGAATTTGAAGTGAAGCGTACCGAAACATGGCCTTGGTTAGATGGTAAAGGTTATAAGGGAAAAGCTACCAAATTAGAAATCAATGGTGGACAAAAGAAGGCCAAACTCGATTGGTAAAAAAAAACTGTATTATAATAAAATTTTTACATTTCTTGATAATGAATATTTGAGACTTTTATTTGATTTTGGATCATAAAAAGCTGTAGTTTTTTGACAACTATTTAGAGCATGTACCACAAGGACTAAAACAAAGGTCATGACACTGTCAACTGTTTCGCTTTGGGATGATTCCAAACGTGTCATACATCTTGAAAGACATTATTCAATAGCTTCAAGCTACTAGGCTCATTCTGAAACATGCTATAAATAGTAAGGGTTGCCATCTATTCAATAATATCAATACATTATGCACAACCCATTTTCATTCCAAATCACAACTCTTGTAACTTATGAGAGAATACAATAGAAACAAAGAATATATGTATAGTATTGGTTTAACCAAAAAAGAGAGAAGGTTTATACCTTTTCCTTTTTTTTTATTTGTTTATTTATTCACATGCAGGTATACACATAAGAACCTTTTTTTTTGTGTTTTTTATACAGAAAAGATGGGCACAGTTTTGAAAAAGGGGGAATATATTTTACATTTACTCGGCTTGCCAGAGAGAGTGAGCGACTCCGGGTTGCCAGGTAGGGTTAGAGGTGTGGCCTTGAAGACAGACGTAGACTTGACCATGGTACTTGACACGGTCACCAGCAGCATAGGTACCAACAGGGTTCCACTTTTCAGCACCTTCATCATCATCGGAACAGCTGTTTCTACGACGATGGTGGTGGCTACGTTCTTCATCTTCATCACGACGTTCGTATTGGTGTTCTTCTTCATTACGGCGACGTTCGAAATCAGCCTTTTCTCTTTCGAATTCTTCGCGTTCTTGTCTACGCTTTTGTTCTTCCTCTTCACGAAGACGTTGTTGTTCTTCTTCTTGATGTTGTTCTTCTTGTTCTTGTTCCTGGTAATCATCATAGAGTTTCTTACCAAGGAAACCAGCACCAATAGCAAGGGCACCACCAAGAAGAGCACCACCAACAGCAACACCAGTAGCCTTCTTCTTGTTGGACTTCATACGTTGACAATGACCTTCATGAACATAACTCTTACCATAAACAGGTTCACAGTTGAAGTTGGGTGTTTCAGAATTGGGGAAACCAGAAGCAGCCAATTGTAAGTTAATCACACCAGCCTTTTCACCCTTGGTGTCATAGAGAGTGAAGAGACCGTTCATGTGGGCGCCAGGAGCATGGACAACTTGGTTGATAGGAATAGCAGCGAAACCAATTACTTCATCAACAGTAGATTCTTCATCAAGGACTTCGATAAAGAGGTCGGGCTCGCCGTTCAAGGAGATGTTGAAGGTTTGGTTCCAGGTGGCATTTTGGCCAGCGTTCTTGTGAGTGAAGGTCTTCAAGTAGGTATCCTTTTGGTTGAAGTCCAAAGAAAATTGGACATAGGGATCTTGCTTACCGATAGTTTGAGCAGAGACTAATTCAGAAGCAGAGCTAATGTGAATAGAGAGGGAAGCGGAGGAGTGAGAGTGAGACACAGTAGTAGTGCTAGTGAAAGAGGATTCGGTATGGAGCATTTTTTTTTTCGTGAGTAATAAATGTAAGAGTACTCAAACACTAAAAACATGCTATTTATACAGGAAAACCTGTAAACGTCAAGTAACTTATTCCGACTTTATAAGAATTACCAAATCAAGAACTAGTCCGGTCTACTTTGATAAAAAAGGGTTCACGTGTATTTATCGAGAGAAAAAATATTTGTTTACGCTTTTAACGCGTCAAGTATTGTTCTATTCAACCAAGCGCTTGAAACGCTTATGCAGTATTTTAAGGAAGTGTTTGAGAATAAATGGTTGAATACATTTAAGCTATAAACCGCCACATCAACCAAAAAGGCAATTATCAAGCGAGTTACTATCATCACTCAGCCACTACTTCATAAAGATTGGTCGTTATTTTTAGTTGAATTAATTTAATAAACTTTTTTTTTTTTGGATTGCCACTTTGCCCGAGTCATCGCCTTCTTGGCGCGCGTATAATGTTTACTATTTGTACGCACTCAGTCCTAACTCGATTCATTTTCCAGACTAACCCTAAAAATGCAGGCCTATCATTCTAAATAAGGTTGTTGTTTATATGTAGCCAATGATCAAACGACAAGCATTATCAAAGAGGTTTGATGACAAATAAAATAACACATATAGCTTAAAATAAACGCGTTCCCTTCCTCTTTAAACGGACTTTCTACTTTTACAACATTTGTCACGAGAAAAGGATCGAGAAAAGTGGAGTTCCAATTGGAATAAGATTGTGCTTGCATAAATAGCCATGCTGTAACCAATAAAGCTCAAGGTCCGGTACTCATACAGAGAGGGAATAAGTACCTTTGTAATAAAAAAAAGTGAAAAACTTTGTTTCTTGAAATTCTGTTGGACAAGCTTTTTTTTTTTACAGATGAGCAAGTGATCATGTTACTCTTTTTTTAAAAAACAAAACTGCTTTTTTGTTTATACAGAGGGAAGGGAAGTATGTTTTGGTACAACAAAATTTAAGTAAACAGAAGACTTTTCTAAAAGAAAATACTAGCATTGAAAAAGGCACGAACAAAACGTCTTTATTGAAACTAATAAAGTGAAAATTAAAGATGCACAAAGAAATAGTTGAAAAATGAATAAAAAACTGAAAATAAATCAGAGAATGACAATAGAGAGATATCCACTTAAAGTTTTAATATTTAGATAGGATTGGATGGTATTGTTAAATAGAATTTTATTCATAATACTTAACGCTTAGTATGAGTGAAGTGTCACTTAAAAATGCCTGAGTTTAAATTAATATGTCTGTCAAAACTAGAAATTCAAAAGAAATGAACCTTTTTTGCTCTCAATACTTCATGATCGTCAATTCCAAGGCTAATTAATGGGCACTGAAAGGACGAAGCCTCTATGTTACGCTGATGATGCGTTGGTTTTTGTACATGACTCCAATGATCTTACTCGGTTACGATTGCATATGTCTCGGTATTGTGAGGCTTCGAATGCAAAGTTCAACCACGATAAGGTAGAAGCATTCTCAGTGTCTGGTAGAAGTACGTGGAATGGATTGGAAGCTTCGCTATCTCAAATGGGTATCAAGCGTCTAAACTCTGTCGAAGACGATGAGCCCTTTATCTACTTGGGATTTCCCTTGATACAAAGCCGTACTCAACGGGTCAAATTTATGGGCTCTATGATAACAAAGATCAAGACTGCGATGCAAATCCACTCTACTTGATCAGTATCTGTTGTTGGCCGAGCTAATATCTTGAATTCACTGATTTTGTCAAAAATATGGTATATCTTACGGGCTACTCCTTTGACGCTTACTGATTTCCGACAGTTAAGATCTTTGGCCATTTCCCTATAATCCTTAGAAAGTATGGACTCTTCCAAAAGAAAAAGATGGACTCGGTGTAATGGACATTCAAGTTCAAGCTTCGGCTCTGTATTTTCGGTGGCTGCATCCTTTGCTAGCTTATGATCAAGATGTTATTGATTCTCGTCCTGTCTCGCATCTGCTTAGCTTCCATATTCGTAATGTCAATAACTGCAACTATCATCAGATTCCATCGATATTTCTTTCTTCTCGATCACAAGGTTTGAAAAAAAACAAAGAACTGGTACTATTGATATGCTATATCGTGCCGTTGATCGCCTCCCTCGATCATTTGCTAATGCTTACCTTAATACTGCTACCATTATGGTCCTGCCTTTAGCAAGCTGTGCTTTACGTTCCTCCTTCTTCATCCTTTGTGGTTCCCCTTCGTGTCAAAAAAAAATGACGGTAGCAGATGTCTTTCAGTATGATGCTCGTCTTAATTTTGTTGACTGGAAAGATACTCATGATCCTGCCTTACTTAACTGGAAGCGCACACCCACAACAGTGTTTAGAGGTCTTGCGTCTGGGAGTTTGAAACTTCAGTCATTTTTTAGTTCTGCTTGTAGTCCTGCTCCACTTGAAGACTCGACGGTCTCATTTGCGTCCTTGATCAACCAATTTCGGTTCCAAGATGATCAATTGCTCGGCAATGTTAAGGCTTCGGCTAAGTCATTCCGTCAGTCAGTTCTCTCGTCTGTGATTCCTCCGTTGGCCTTGATGACTATTACAGAGGTACAGTGGAAATTCTTTTGGTCCCTGTCACTTACCTCTATTCAACGTAATGTGACATACCGGTTTACCTTGAGGTGTATTCCTTATCACAACTTCTTGGATTTTATCATGCCTCAAGTGTTCGATTCCCCTCTTTGCCCAGTTTGCATATCTTCAAAAGACTCAACCATCTACTTGTTATTCCACTGTCCAACTAAAGAGAAGATATGGCAGGAAATAATTTTCGAGTTCCTATGGTCTACCACATCCATTTCTGATATCAAAGAGGCTCTTCTATCCCTGGACTTCTCGTACATCTGGTACTGCCAATGGAAATGGATCAAACCATACAGAATCTTCATAACCTAAAGCCAGAACCCAGAGGAATTAAAGTATTCAAACCAAAGACTAGTTACTACCAACACATGAGATACTCTTGGTGTCCCTGACTCAATTCCTCTAGATTCATCCCTGGAAACTCCCTCAGACCTGAATTCTCAACTGAATCATGCCGCATCAATGCCTACCATTAACAATGGATGAAATTAATTCAAATGAAACTAGAATAGAATGATAAACGCTTTACCCAATTCGATCAGCATATGAAATTCTCTACACAAACTGACCGGCAGGAGGGACACTCTTCCCAATTGGAACAACTATGCGTAACAACCAATAATTGGAAGCTGCTTTAGCAAGCGCCAATATGAAAATTTGTCAATTGGAGACCCAATTGCAGCAAGCCTTAGAATCACAACAAGATACTGAGATGCTCACTACCCCAGCTCTCGATAACTCCGAAGTACCAGCTTCTTTGGATTGGGCGCTGGACCCACCAGCCTCAAGCTATGCCTCTGTAGCCGCATCCGGTCAGAAGATAAATCTGACACCAAAGGAAGCTCAAGAGCTCTCTGCTTAATCCGCGTCCAAGACAAAAACCGCCTCCAAAAAACCCTAAGAGGACTACTAGTAAGCAGCAACAAGCAGCCGCTAAAGTATTTACAGCACCTGCTGAATATGATCCGCCCTCATTTTCCGATAAAAATGGTACCTGCGCTCCTATATTTAAGTATGTCTAACTTCCAAATAAATATAGAGATCGACTTTCAAGAATGCGTAACAAGCTCCATAAATTGGGTTCTGCTTCTAGCCGCATTTTGGACATTCATTACCCAGCACGAGGAATCGTTGTGGTTCTCATTCATATCGGGTATTCTGATGAATTCAATAGACTTTCAGACAAATGCAAGATTGTAACTCTCCACGATTTCAATCCATTAGATCCTCTACACCTTCGTGATCGCAAGCTCCTCGAAACTTTGACAAGTGACGAAGAGCATGCAACAAAATTGAAGGAAATCCACCAACAATGACTGACCCGTGCTTTAGAATATATGCGAGAGCATGTTCGCCGATTAGTGGCCTTTGATTTTATTTTTCGAGGCTGGCTCACTGCAAGTAAGGCTCAATCAACTTTCACTGATGGGAACTTTCGCATAAAACAATAATTGCCCCGACAAGACATTCGCAAGCGAAGAAAATATCTCTATACATCATTATTTATGCTTCCTACCCTTTTTTCTATATTTGTCGCTCTATGGTTTTTTTGTACTTTTCTTTTTTTGACATTTACTTCATAGGGCCCAGTTTTCACAGCTATACAAATAGAAATATAAACTTTTACTGAGTATTATAAGGGCAAAATGACTATTTTTTGACTTTTTCAAAATTTGCTATATTTTTGCATAAATATGTTCTTTCATGTATGTTCAAGAAATACTTGCACCTGCAGCGGACTGCCAATACAGTTTTGGTGCTATTATGCTTACCAATCTTACTCAAAAACGAGTTGTAAGGAATGTTAGTTTATAAACTAAGATTGTATAATAAGTTTGGTGCTCGAAAAAGGCACATGTTGAGGGTCAAAAGCATATTAAGTGGGCCAAATGGAATCAAAAGTTATTTGGTAGTCACAAAATATATGCTATATGAATTGATAATCGTGTCCGGTAAATAAGTTGCCCGATAAGTGTGTCCATGAATGCTAAAGTCCGGCCACTCTTTTATCACATTTTCTTCTACTCTCTTTAACGCGTTTAAATATGGACAAGAAAAGTAAGTTTGTGTTGGAAAGCTTCGCTTGAATAACAACGGCATATCCTAGATTCTCAAGTTGAAAGACCTGTTGTCTTTTTTGATATTTCTATCGGGGATGTGCCTGTTGGCAGAATGAAGATGGAGTTGTTCTCTGATATTTGTCCCAGAACAGCTGAAAACTTTAGGTAATAAGAAAGATAGAAAACACACATAAAACTAATACATTGTGTAGACAATTATGTACAGGAGAACACAAGTAAGCAATAAAATGCATATCACAAAACAACTAAACCCATTGTACAGGAGAAATGGTCAACCTCAAGGCTACAAGAACAGTTTATTTCATAGGTAAATATGATATGTCTTTTATGCAAGAAAAGACTAATTTGGATCAACAGAGTCATTAAAGATTTCATGGTTCAAGGAGGTGATTTTTTGAAAGGTGATGGTACTGGATCCATGAGTATCTTTGGAGACAAATTTGCAGATGAAAACTTTATTGAAAAGCACAGTGGAGCTGGTTTGTTATCCATGGTAGGTATAACATGGTACTTATGCATGACTTAACATGAGTAGGCTAATTCTGGTCCAAACACCAATGGTTGCCAATTCTTTATTACCTGTGATGCTTGTGACTTTTTAGATGGTAAACATGTTGTGTTTGGTCGTCTTGTTGATGGTTTATTGACATTGCGTAAAATTGAAAATGTCTCTACGGGTCCAAACAACCGCCCCAAGTTGCCCGTTAAAATCACTGGTAAGATACACAACACAAGTTGGCTGGTTAGTATGTATACTAAGCTACTTTTATTAACAGAATGTGGTCAAATGTAATCATGTATCAAATAAATTTTATTATTGCATTCCTGGAGGATGTTGTCCATTTTGCTGCTGTTGTTGTTGCTGTTGCTGTTGCTGTTGTTGCCGAGCTAAAAAAATTCTTTGCTGTAAATCTCGAACAGCATTAGGCTGCAAGTTGCTCAAGTTAGCAAGGTTAGCCATATTAATATTATTCATATTTAACAAATTATTTGCGTTTAAAGCATTCATGACAGCAGGATTATTGCCTCCCAAATTGATATTAGATAGCAGCAAACTATTTGCATTTAACCCTGCAAACAATACAAATTAAAAAAAAAGTAAACTAAGCAAAATGACTTACCATTCATTGTCTGTTGTGGTTGCTGTCCTTGATTTTGTGGCTGTTGTTGTGGTTGTTGCTGATTAGATGGGTTATTAGCCATGTTCATCAGTTGCTGTTGTCTTAGTGCATTCTGTAAATGCTGTACATTTGTATTGTTGGTAGCATTTAACAAGACCATATTAGCTGTGTTTTGTAAGTTAGCCAACATGGCAGGATTGATGTTTGTATTGGTCGAGACAGGCGCATTAGGTCCTGTAGGTGGTATATTGTTTTGTGCTTGTTGTGGCATAGAAGTAGGAAGCATAGGCGTTCCATTATTCGCATTCAAATCAGGCAAAGGGACTCGCGTAAACACAATACCAATCAGTTTACCGGTTGTATGGGTCAAGACAACACCGTGAGGTTCTGTACCTTGACTTGCACCTAAATTGAACACAACAGTTGCAATCTTTATGATGCATAATTAGTCAATTTCTCTTTTCATTTAACAGCTTACATATTTCTTTTGTTCGAGATTGCGGACAAGTAAAGCAAAATTAGTCTGGTCTTGTTGACTGCTTGTGCTTAAAGGTCTGAATTGACAGAAAGGTAGTTTGTTATCTATTGCCTGTCTTTGCAAAAATTGTGCTCTTGCCAAAGGTGATCGTCCAGCAATCTGAATACGTGAAGGCCATATATCAGGTTGGCTATGTATGTTGTCATTAAATGGAACTATCTCTCTTTTTGACTACTTACTATTCATCCAAGCTCACATTGATGCCTTTTAATGTGATAGCAAATGCGCCACAGTGACAACTGAATTCTTGCAATTGTCCCTCGGGTGTCTTAATATGCCATACAATTTGGCCAGTCCAGATAGGGTGTGCAGGCATACCACCTGGTTGCTGTTGCTCTGGAATAGGTTGCGTTTGTTGCTGCTGAGAAGCATGTTGTTGAGCAGTTTGTTGTTCCGTAGTTTGCTGGGACTGTTGTTGTGGCTGTTGTTGTGGCTGCTGTGGTTGAGGTGGTTGTGGCTGTTGCTGTGGCTGTTGCTGTGGTTGTTGCTGTGGTTGTTGCTGTGGTTGTTGCTGTGGTTGTTGCTGCTGCTGTGGCTGCTGCTGTGGTTGTTGTTGTTGTTGTTGTTGTTGTTGTTGTTGTTGTTGTTGTTGTTGTTGTTGTTGTTGTTGTTGTTGTTGTTGTTGTTGTTGTTGTTGTTGTTGTTGCAGTAATTGTGCTTGTAAATCGTTTATATTAGCAGGAGGTCTTATGCCACCTTGTTGCTGAGGGCTTTGTTGTTGTTGTTGCTGCTGCTGCTGTTGTTGCTGTTGTTGTGCTCTTTGAGCAAGTTGTGCAGCAATCAACATGCGTTGTTGCGGTGTTAAATTAGCGGGTATATTACTTAGATTTAGCGGCTGTTGTTGCAATGGATTCTGCATCAAGTTGTTATTAGCATTATTGATCTCGGGCCGCACTTGCAATCCTCCAGGATTAGCAACAGTAGCTGCAAATGGCATAGGGGAAGACGCGTTAGGTGTAGCCGTGGCAGGCTGTTGATTTCCATTACTTGCACGTCTTAACTGATCACCTAATTTCAATAAGGCAGCTTGAATGGACTGCAACTGGGTCTGTTGTTGAGGTGTCATATTGGCACCTTGTGCAATTAGGTTATTACGCTGTTGTAAAAGATATTGTTGGAACTGCAATGGGTTCTGTTGCATGGTTCTTGCCATAGCTTGTGATATTTGAGGTGGCCTTGCCTGTGGTTGTTGTGGTTGTTGTGGTTGTTGTTGTAATTGTTGCATCTGTTGCAGTTGAATTTGCTGCAATTGCTGCTGTAATGGTATTTGAGGAGAAGGTTGTTGTTGAGGTTGAGGAGGAATGGGTTGAGGCTGTTGTTGTTGCATTTGTACCTGCTGAGGTACTCCCATTTGAGGTTGCTGTTGAACTGTTTGTGTTACAGGCGATGATTTTGCAGGAGGTGTGCTTATGACAAGTTGATCAACAACAACAGGAGCTTCTGTAGGCACTGAAGAAGTATTCGTCTCTGCTTCTGCTTGTTCTTCCTTTTTGACATGTTTCTTAACAAGATTGTTTGATTCAACAAAACTCTTGCCATCAAATGAAGGTTTAGGTAAACTGATTTGTCCAGGTACATTTTCTCTTTTTCGCTTTTTACTATTTTCACTAGTAGTTGATTGAGGTGATCCCACAATGACTTGTCGTGTATTGTTTTTGTTGGTTTCTATAGATGAATAAGTCATAGTTTGCTTTGTCTGATCTTTACCTGTAGCAGGCTGTGGCGGTGGTGCTACTACAACAGGTAATTTGAAGCCTGCGAGCATCACTAAATGCGTAGGGAGTATTGTCTTTGTTACTGTATTTAATTCAGTCTTTTGATCGTTTACTTGTGTTACAATCTCTTCTAAATCTTTGCAATTGCCTTGAGGTGCAATCAATGACAATTTGATATTGGACTATGCATGAATTAAGGCCTATTTTGTAACTGCTTGTATGTTACCTTCTTCATTTCATTTGCAATGTCATTCAAAACAAGGCCATCGTATTTTTCTACTAAATTGCATCGAGCACCAATCTTGTAAGGCAAACTGTTTGACACCAAAATACAATGTTGAACAGCCTCTCTTCCTTCTAATTCGTCTCTATATTCATCAAATAACTAAGATAGAATATGAATACAGAGCAATGAATATATATTGTTACCTCTAATGCTGCCACCATGCCTTCTTCTACTGCATTGTTGATAATGCCTCCATTTTCACATACTATACTTGAGAATACATCTTGAAACAAGATTGGATCTGAAGTAAAATATTTTCGATCGACAGTGGCAACCGATAATGGCTCATAATCACCAAAGACCACAAGTCCATATTTAAGCACAGGCTATCAAGATAAATTTGTTTAGTTTGGATGGCTAACAAAGCACACGGACCTTACAGTAATTTTAGTTTTTGTTTGCCCGTCTTCGCCTTCTAATACACTTGGTGAACGTAACTGTCTATAAAGAATTCAGTAAAAAGAGAAAAAAAGGCCCCATGTCTATCGCTATGTTTCTTACTTGAGGATAGGCTCAACATAGGCTTCACACAGTGTCTTGAAGTGAGGTTTCATACGAGCTGTTCCATCAACCACAAAAATAACTGCAACTTCTTTTCTTTGATGGTGTGAAATCTGTACCTGTGGCGATTGGTGCTGCACAGGTGTAGGAGAAGCATGCGAACCCGGTGTCGTAACATTGTTACCGGCGGGTGCTGTAGGTGTCGACATGATGTATGTTTAACGCGTATGCGCGAAAAGAGAATAATTGAAAGAAAAAAATAAGATATATGAGCACTGTGACGTGTTTATTAATGAAGTCTGCTGGCTAAAAGAGCAGGATTCTCTATGAAACTTTTCCATGTATTACTGAATTGAGCAATCGTGGCACCATCTACAATACGATGATCAGCAGACCAACTGATAGGCAATGTTTGCACAGCTAATATCCTATCTGTCTTTTCATCTAAGCGAGGTAATCTTCGAGCAGAGCCTAAAGCCACAATGGCCAATTCATTGCTGACGATGATTGGATTTGCATAAGTACCGCCTATGGAACCAATATTCGAGAGTGTGATCGTACCACCCTTTAAATCCTCAAGAGAAATGGCTCCCTTTTTAGCCAATTGTGTGAGACGATGGATTTCAATGGCTATTTCAAAAATTGTCTTTTGTTCGACACACTTGACGTTGGGCACAATCAGTCCGTGCGGCGTATCCATGGCAACACCAATATTATGCTCATGGCGATATCTAATCTTGTCTTCTAATAACTGGGAATTCATAATGGGATAAAGAGAAAGAGCTAAAGACAAAGATTTGATAAAAATGGGCAAGTAAGATATCTTTTTGAAAGGATAAAGATGAGGATGATTAGCAATATGCTTATTGAGTGCTTCACGATATTCTGTGGTGGCATTTAACTCAATCTCATCCTTGTAGCCCAACTGAGGAATAGAGAGTGATTGTGTCATTGTCTTGAACATAATTTTTTGAATAGGATTCAAAGGCACAGAAGTACCATGAATGATTTCTTGCTTGATATCTTGTTTCTTCTCGGCTGCCTTAGAGTCAGACCTTGTTTGTGATGACGATAGATGCATACCTTTCTGGAGTGTGTGTTGGTGAACATGTCTCAACACATCTGTTTTTAGTACAATACCACCTTTGCCTGACCCAACTAAATCACTGATCTTGATACCATATTCACTCAACAATCGACGTACAGAGGGTAATTCCCAACTCTTTTTATAGTCTGAATTGATACGAGGAGTTGGTGTGACAGGACTTGTTTCTTTCTTTTCTTCAACTTCGTCCGTGTCAATATCCACCAAGGGGTGTCCTACTTTTGCAGTATCATGCTTTCCATAGTGCAATTTGACGATGCTACCAGCATATCGTGAGGATATTTCTACAGAGGCTTTGTCAGACTGAACTTCACAAATCTTGTCAAATTCAGCGACTTTTGTGCCTGGCTCAACAAACCATTGAACAACCTCACATTCTGTAATGCCTTCACCAATATCAGCCAGTAAAAAGGGTCGGATCATACCCAAACGACATGCGTGATGAAACGACCGAGTTATACGATGCTAAACCATACATGTTACATCTCTTTTTTTAACAGCATTTTCTTTACCTTGACAAGTGAGCGAGAAAGCATGATAAAAAAGAAGATAAAAAAAGAAGACAAGAAAAGAAGATAAGAAAAAAGAGAGGTACCGTGGAAAAGTTTAGTTAAAATAAGGGCAATAAAGTAACATATGCGTGGGAAAATGGTTGTTTATTACTTTCTTGATTTTTGTCTATTATAGGTAAATACACAATATCAACTGTTTAGCGTGTTTCTTACCTTGTTACTTTATCTTGTTCTAATACTTTTTTGATAAGTTCATCAATCTCTGTCACTTTAATAATAGCAATTTGAGAGCATCTCAGCACTTGATCCATCTCTAAAGGTATACCACCTGCTTTTGATAATGCACAGATTTCCTTATGAATATTCATTGTGATTGTCATATCGCCTTCTTTTGCTTGTCCTTCTAAATAGTTTGGATCGACAACCAATAATTCACTACAGCATGTAAGTCTATATACGCTGATATAAACAAACTTACCCTTTGTCGAAAAACGCAAAGCTGACACAGATTGGTATGTGATGAATACTTAAAGGTACAGGGTTTCTTTGATCCACAGGGTGCTACATGCTGTTGAATAGTTTGATTCATGCAGTGCATTCACTTACAATAGTCACATCTTCTCCAGAAACAGTAACATCAGGCCTTCTGAAATGTAACAATGCCGTAATGGCTGCAATAGAAGCACAATCAATTAGATTGCCATCATGGTCAAGGAATAAAAGATCAATGCGAATCTGCCAGACTTTTTCTCCAGCAACAATACAAAGACCTTCTGTGTCAATGGCTCTACTTCTTCGCAATGCTTTTTCTACAACTCGACTGATCAATATTTCTTCTTCGGAACGCCTAATAAAAAGGGATTAGAGATGAGGCTGTATTATGTATCTATTTACGATCCAGGTTCGAAAAAGGGTGCAGCCATGGGTGAAATTTCGGTATTAAACAAAAGTTGGCCTTCTGTGGGTTTATCTGCATAAGGGCGAACAACTTCAGCAGATACATTACAAGCTACTCGAGTTCTGCCTAGTTGTACCTCAACGTAACCATAGTCAGATCCTAAAGTGATCTCAATAGAACGCATATCATATACTTCGCGCCCGTCAACGCGTCTTCCTTGGTGAAGAGCTTCCAATAAGAAAGCTGTTTCGTTCACACTAGGAGGAAGTTCTTTGACCATGATAATAAATGCAGGAAGAGAGGGGAAAAAATGAAAAAAACGCAATTCTATGCGTTTATGAAACAAGTCACTAGAAGGTCACAATCCTTTACTCTTTTTCATTCATTCTTTTTTTTTTTTTTTTTTTTTACTCAACATGTCAAGCACAAAACAATCCTCAGACTTATTAAACGTAAGCGGAAAAGACAAGAAAATAGGTATGGAGTAGCATATCATTTTTCATATATTGATGACACAATTGTAGAGAATTTGATTCGTCCCGAGACAAAAGAGAAAAAGAGCATAAATGATATTCCTTCACTTTTAGCAGCCAGCTCAGCAAACAAAACAGTACCCAGTGCTCCAAGTGATAGTAAGCTCGGGGTAGTGATAGATTATAATTCCTAAACCAGTATTTTAGTTCTGTCTCGAGTTCAAGCATTTTTACCTCAATTAAAACAAGCCAATGAACAATTGAAGGCGGCTGATCCATCAAAATTAGACATTGAAAACGTAAATGAAGAAGGACAGTATATTGAAATGGTAATAAGACAATCATATATCAGCAATCTAACTGGACTAGAATCTCGGTCTTGGTGTATTTGAAGAGAAACATGATAGTGACGATGAGAGTGATAGTGAAGATATTATTGTTCCAAAAATTAAAGAAATCTAAGTCTGACTTTATTTAATTTCCTGACTGCCATTGTCGTGGGAAATTAAACCCTTTTTCTATTATGTTGGCACGAAAAATAAATAGGTTTTTTTTCTCTACTATTACTCAAAAAATGTCTGTATCAACACTTAGTGAAGCTCAAAGAAAAGACCTTCTTACTCCTCTGCTCTCTTCTGGCTGGAGTATGGCTGAGAACAGAGACGCCATTATCAAGAAATACGCGTTCCAGGATTTTAATGAAGCTTTTGGATTCATGACTCGAGTGGCATTAAAGGCAGATAAAATGGATCACCATCCCGAATGGTTTAATGTAAGTCCTATTTCGTCTGGCAAATACAATAACTCCCTACATAGGTCTATAATCGTGTGGAAGTGACATTGTCTACTCATGACTGTCAAGGTTTATCTACCAGAGACATTGAGCTTGCTGGCTTTTGTGATAAAAGTGCCAAACAATAACAATAAAAAAATATACGGAGCTTTAAAAATGCATTTTAAAAAGAGAGTGAACAGACTGGGGGTTGTGTGGTCTTTTTATCTTTTTCTTTCTTTATTATGAAGTGGTTAACAAACTGTATTAATAGCCTTTATTCTTCTTCATGTACAAGTGAATTAGCAAGTACAACATTACCACCTATGAACATACAAGAACTATCGCCTGTCGTACCAATTGATTGTAAAGGATGCACGAAACCATGCGCACACCCGCCATTACCACCCAACTTGGGCATTGATCAATCAAAACCTTTACATAACACAATACCACCTTATGCTATTCATATCCTTATCATGACAGGCAAATCTAACTGGCCTGCTCATATTGAAGATGAAGGATTGGCACACGCATTTATTAGGGCCATAAGAAAGCGAAAAGGCACAGATCAACGACCCTTTGAGAACAGATATCATCCTGCTTTTGCTGCAGATGATAGTCAGCGTGTGATTGTGACCAATTGTTCTTTGCCTAGTGTGCATTCCACACGAGGCACAGACATTCTTTTGTTGCCTGATAACATTATCATTTCAAACATAACACCCAAAAGAGTCGATACACTGTTAGATTATATCTTTGGAAAGCCTTGTTATCATGCATTTTCAACGTATTCATTTCCTTATTCAAGCTTGATCTTGGTATGTGGTCATGGTAATAAAGATCGACGCTGTGGAACAATTGGTCCTATTTTACTTGAAAGTCTTGAACAAGCATCACATCAAGCAGGCGAAGAGTCAACTAAAGTTGCTCTTGTGAGCCATTTGGGTGGTATGCTGTAAAGAATGAGAGGAGAATCACCTTCTTTATATCATTAACCATTCTTTTTTTTGTGACTAGGTCATGCGTTTGCAGGAAACTTGGTTGTCTATACTTATCATGGACGCCGAGCTATTTGGTACGGTAGAGTGACACCATGTTACTGCAAAGATATTGTAGAGAATACGCTGGATGATAACAAAGTAATCGAGGACCTTGTTCGGGGCATATTTGAAGTTAAATCAAAACCAAAAATATGCCAAGCGACCCTTGAATGGTGAAAGAAAGAGCGTCTATATACCATGTTCAGTAATAAACACACCTTTGTCTTTGACAGCCTTAAATTCAGGCACAATGCGTTATTGATGATACGAAAAAAGTTCTCGAACGTTTTACCGGTCACGTGCTCCTGTGTCAGTCGTTTTTATTTATATACATCTATTCAGGTCAATAAACTTTTATTTCCTTTTCTCATCCCCCCCTCCCCACTTACCGCAAAACTGTCGAATACAACAAGAGAGAACTACGGACCAGGAGGAGTATTTTCTATTCCCAAATTAAAGTCTTTGAGTAGTGCAAAAAACTGCTTTGAATGCGGTGCACCTTTCAACTTGTTCAAGCAAAAATATCACTGTCGAAACTGCGGTAAGTAGCAAGCATTGGCGTTAATTCAACAAAAACTAAGACTGCTTTATAGGAAGTATTGTTTGTTCCAACTGTTCTGATCATAGAAACACACTAAAAAAATTTGGCTATGAAAAGTGGGTCATTTGTAGCAATTATACACAAATACTGACAAATACATAGTCCTGTACGATGCTGTGATACCTGCGAGAAATTAATCAAAATGCAGAATATGAACTCGAGTGAATTGTCTCAATTAAGCCTGAAAGAATTGAAAGAGTATATTTCTGCCTATAATTTAAACGCAAAAAATGCTATTGAGAAAAATGATTTGGTTCGCATCATTTTCAATACGAAACCTATCTCCAATGAAAACGAGTGCTATTTTCGAAGAAATCGATCTGGACGCAGTCAGCAACAGAATCAACAAGGAAGTGGGTTTTCATTCTCAAATATGGTGCAGGATTTATTTAGTCCTAGTGATGAATGGCGAAAAGAACAAGAAGAGAGAAGGTTACAGCAACAAAGACTTGAGCAAGAACAAAGGAGACAAAGAGAAGAAGAACAAAGACGAAACTACAACATGCAACGACAACAAGAAATAATAGAGCGACGAAGAGAGATACAGCGAGAACAAGAAAGAGAATTAGAGAGAGAACGAGAATTGGAAAAAGAGCGACGAAAAGAACTGCAAAAGAAACAACAAAAAGATGAGAAGCTGTTGTCCTTACAAGATATGATAAAAGCCAATATTGATCCAGCTTCTTTATCAGTAAAGACACTCAAAACAATACTTAAATCAAATTTCGTTGAACAATCACATGTCATTGAAAAATCAGAACTAGTCAAGTTAGTCGTGCGACTAGCAAATCAATACAAGGCAGAGAATAATAGCGATGCAGGGCATAATGATGAAGAAAATTTATGTCGAATATGTTGTGATGCTCAACAAAACTGTGTATTTTTAGACTGTGGACATATGGTTACTTGTATGGACTGCGCCAAAAAGGTAAAAGAGAGAGAAAAAAAAGAGAAAAAGAAAGAGAAAGAGAAAGAGAGATACTGACACTTCCTTTTTTATATCTTTTTAGCTGCTAGAATCAAGAAATGAATGCCCAATTTGCCGCGAGCCTATCCTTAAGCTAGTTCATGTCTTTCGTTCCTAATATTCCAGAATTATTCCCCCTCCCCTTCTTATACTTACCTTGTACAATAAAGTCTGCATATATATATATATATATATCTTTGGAAATCAAGCCATTGGTAAGGTTAAATGCTTTATGGATCATCTTTGCAAAAAGATAAATGTTAAATAAAACCTTACTAATAAAAAAAAAGGGAAAGTTTGCCTCGTTTCGCAATACTCTTCGTTTTGCTTATTGTTACCGTAAATTCTTTCTTCTTCTTTGCATAATTCTAAGACTTGAAATTTGATTTTAACTTTGTAAACCTTCTTTTACTTTACCAAGATTTTGCAAAAAAAAAAAAAGAAAAAAAAAGGTTAATGCTAGTCAGTACCACAGAAAGGTGTTGTGCTACGATTTGGGTGCCTGCCAACTTTTTTTTTTCGAATGCAGATGAGCATATCAAGCAGCAGCATATATGTATAATGACCTTATCATCATCAGCAAGCAACTTGCATCTAAAAAAGAAGTAGAAGCTGGTTTTATAGACTCGATCTACAAGTTAGAACTATACCATATAGTCAATTAAGAACAGGTATACAGTTAAGAACGAACCACATAATTAGAAACAGTTTTCCATCTACTCTTTACAAGTCGAAAATCTCTGATTGTGAAATAGTTGCACAAACAGGTTTTGTGCTATCCTTCCACAGATTCGAAAGACAGTTGAGTGATCCCAATAAGGCATTATGTAGCATATATAGTAATTTATCAAGCTTATGCATCCATGTGATTACTTATCTGTTTCTTCTTACTATCAATAGAGCTTTTATAGGAAAGAATCGCCAAATCTGATTTGATTTAATAGGATTTTTTGCTTTACCAGGAAATGTACCAAAATTCAAGAAATCGCTATTTAGAGCAACTATTGTTGTACAGTTCTTTTATTCTCATTTACCAAATCATAGATCAATGTTTGTTTTACAATATTGTGTGCACACTAAAGGTGAGACATGTATAGTTACAAAGAGTGAATAAACAGTAGTATGGAAACTATTCAAACAAAGGATTATTTGTGCCTATCTAAGGCTATGCTCACTTCTTTTTGAAAGGTATCCAAACGAAAAAGTTTATTTTTACCTGATTTGCACAAAAAAGAAGGTGGTACATTCTTCTCACAGGTGTAGAATAAGAGGGTACTTTTGTCATTTTAAGACAATCATACTACAATGATTAAAATCATATCAATGCCTATCATCTGATTTGTTGTCGTCTATTGGTGACTAAGTGTTACATAGTTAATCATATATAAACAACAAGAATTTCAAAAGCGGATTCGACATTGTTTCTTTCTATTCCCTTTTGATTGTATATTGATTATATATTCAAAATCCCGAGAAATGGAATCTAAAGCTAGCATCCATTCCTCTCATTCCTCTCATGAGGTTGGAAAGGAATATCACGAAACTACATTTGAAGAAAAGAAAGCAGCTTCTTATTATAATGATGAAGAACTCGATGGAGTCAAAACTGCATATATCGATGAAGACTCCCCTATTGAAGAAGTCAGAGCTGTAGTACCCAAGTAAGTTCTTTTGTCAAAAAAAGGCACACATCTAATCTCATCTTTTAGTACCGATGATCCTACTTTACCAGTCTACACTTTCCGTATGTGGTCTCTTGGTATTGCATTCAGTTGTTTGTTGTCTTTTGTCAACCAATTCTTCTGGTACAGACGTAATGCCATGACCCTGTCTCCTCTTGTTGTCCAATTGATTTCATTCCCTATTGGTAAATTCATGGAAAAAGTCATTCCTAAATCTCGATTCTTCAACCCTGGTCCTTTCAACATGAAGGAGCACGTCTTGATTACTGCCATGGCCAATTGTTGTTACAGTACTGCTTATGCTGTTGATATTATTACCATTCAGAACCTTTGGTACAACCAAGATATGGGTTGGGGTGGTGGTATCCTTCTTATTTGGACCACTCAACTTATTGGTTTCGGTATGGCTGGTGTCCTTCGTCCCTTCCTTGTCTATCCCTCTTCCATGGTCTGGCCTTCTAACTTGGCTAACATCTCTCTCTTCCGTTCTTTCCATCTTCCCGATAGTGAATGGACTGGTATCTCTCGTTTCAGATACTTCCTTTACTGTTTCGGTGGTATGTTTGTCTATTACTGGCTTCCCGGTTACTTCTTCCAAGTCTTGACCTTCTTCTCTTGGGCTTGCTGGATCAAGCCTTCTAACCACGTTCTCTCTCAATTGACTGGTGGTTACAGTGGACTTGGTATGCTTGCTATCTCCTTTGACTGGTCTACCATCGTTTCTTTCCTTGGTAGTCCTTTGGTTGTCCCTTGGTGGGCTACTGCTAACATTGCTGTTGGTGCTGCCTTGGTCAGTTGGGTTATTGTGCCTGCTCTTTATTACTCCAACACATGGAATGCTCAAAAGTTCCCTATCCTTACTTCTACTCTCTTCACCAAGGATGGAGATCGTTGGAACAACTCTATTGTCTTGAACCCCGATAAGACCTTGAACGAAGAAGCATATGCTGAATACGGTCCCTTATACATGGCCAGTTTCTTTGCCTTCACTTACGGTATCATGTTTGCTGGTGTCACCAGTATTCTTACCCATACTTTCCTATACCACGGCAAAGATATTGTTGCTCAATTCAGAAAGTCTCGTAGTGAAGATGAAGATATTCATCGTAAATTGATGCGCGCTTACCCTGAAGTTCCTACTTGGTGGTACATTTTGATCTTCTTCTGCTCCTTTGGTGTCTCCTTTGGCGTAATTTATGGCTGGCCCGAAATCAAGTTGCCTTGGTGGGGTCTGATCTTGGCTATTGCTATCCCTGTCATCTTCACGTTGCCTATCGGTATTATTCAGGCCGTTACAAATCAACAGCCCGGTCTCAATATTATTACAGAACTTGTGATTGGTTATGCTTTGCCTGGTCATCCTATTGCCAACGTTACCTTCAAGACTTATGGCTATATTTCCATGGCTCAATGTCTTACCTTTGTCAGTGACTTAAAGTTGGGCCACTATACCAAGGTGCCTCCTAAAGCTATGTTCTGGGTCCAAACACTTGGCACCATGATTGCTGGGGTTATTAACTTGGCTACCGCTAGATGGCTCATGTCTTCTGTTCCCAATATCTGTACTGATGAAGCTTACCCTTTCACTTGTCCTAGTGCTCACACCTTTTACTCTGCTTCCATCATTTGGGGTACCATTGGTCCTGGTAAAATGTTTGGTGGTAACTCGCCTTATGCTGTCATGAACTGGTTCTTCTTGATCGGTTTCCTTATTCCTATTCCCTTCTATTTCTTGGCCAAGAAGTTCCCCAACTCTCCCTTCAAGTATGTTCATATTCCTCTCATCTTCAACGCTACCGGTATGATGCCTCCTGCTGTAAGTATATTTGTTATTTTTTTTTTTTAGTATTGATTTACTCACATTTTGTCAGGTTCCCATCAACTTCTCGATGTGGTGCGCTCTTGGTTTCGTTTCCATGTTCTGGTTGCGTAAATACCGTCGTAACTGGTGGATCAAATACAACTATCTTACTTCTGCTGCCTTTGACTCTGGTTGTGCCATTGCTGCTCTTATTATTTGGGGTGGTAAGTCCATCTAAACATAGTAATATTGTATAACTAATGACCATGTATAGTTGTTCAAGGTTCTGGATACACACCAGACTGGTGGGGTAATGGTGGTTCTGATTCATTCGACCATTGTCCTCTTTCAGAAGCTCCCTATGCATCTTAGTTTAAACATCTTTAATAATTTACTATTCAATTTAATACAAAAAAAAACCAAAAGCAAATTTGCTTTTGTGTAGCATCAAAATCAGTCTTTAATAAATAATAATACTAAAACATCTTATTTGATACTTCTTTACACAGTACTAAGGATCCAGCTGGTTGCATGAATGCGTTTCTAATGCTCTACAGGCTGCTTCTTCAAGTAAAGATTGACACCCCGAAGAACGTCACAATTCCACTTCGGCTTTTTTGCAATGTCGCGTAGAAACTTTTTTTTCTTTCTTTCTTTCGATAGATACCTTACAGAAAATAATGGACCGCAGACGTGTGAACGGACCAGAGACAAGTGTTCCTCCTATTTATAAAAAAGAAGAACAAACCAAACCTGTTTTGAATGCAGAGAAAAAAAGACTAGATAATAGAGCTGTTGAGGATCTTCGACCTATTTGTAAGATTGCTTGATCGTATTATTCTTTTGTTGACACCTGTATAGTCTTGAAAACAGGCCTTATTACACAAGCGAATGGTTCTGCATACATTGAAGTTGGAAATACAAAAGTAACATGTGCTGTGTAAGTCAGAGATTATGAAAAAGTAAGACTTACCTTCTTATAGATATGGTCCAAGACAGTTAAAGAAAGCCGAATTTTCGAATTTGTGTAAATTGTATTGTGATTTTAGATTTTCAACATTTTCTTGTACGAAGCGAAGAGGGCAAATAAAGGTAAATAATGATCATGTCAGCATATACGTTGCTTATAGGCTTTCTAGGATGCCGAGGAAAAAGAATTCTCACAAATCCTTGTTGAATCACTCACACCAGCTGTCAGAGTCGAATTACTGCCTAAATCAGCCATTGATATCTACGTGACTGTATTAGAAAATGACGGAACCAGCTCATGTCTTGCTGCTGCTATCATTGCTTCCAGCGTTGCATTGGCTGACGCAGGTATTGAAATGTTGGATCAAGTCACAGCTTGTTCTACTGTTTTGACTAAAGATCAAGGCATCTTGATGGACGGTACAGACTATGAAGAGACTCATAAAGAAGGATCGCTCGTGTTGTCTTATATGCCTTCACTGAACGAAGTCACACATATCTTACAAACAGGTCGATCAGACAGTGCCATCAGTTCTAAAGCTATTGAACAATGTATTGACGGTTGCTCTAAAATCTACAGTGTGATGTCAAATTCTTTATTACAATCCTTAGAAAAACCAAAGACTGCTGTCTAAATAAAAATAGTTTAAAGTTGCAAAGTGTCTCTCCAGTTGGCTGTATCCACATGCTTGATTTCTCTATGTCTCCAAGCTTCGATACGAAGAAAAGCTGTCAAGGTGATTTGACAGACATCACCATGGGCTACCAAAATCACAGTCTTTCCTTCCATTTGGCTTTCGATCTTGTCTACAATGAAACGAGTAACTCTGTCACAGACACTGCTGGGTGACTCGACTCCATATTGACTGTTTTCGCCATGATCAGGCTCTGCCTTATCATCAACCCAAGCATCTTCATAAAGCTTATCGCTCTGCATGTCTAATTTACCATACCAACGCTCCCTTAATTCCATTTCGCGAATGGGAGCAGCTACTTTTCCTTGAAGAACAGTGTCATTCAGTACACCCTGAATAATTTCAGCAGTTTCAACAGTTCTCTTAAAGGGAGAGCAAAACATAACGACAGGAGTCTCGTCGTCAGAAGGGGCTTCTTGAGAAGGAAACAAATGCTTCGAGAGAAGAGTAGCAGACTATAGACGAATGATATCTTGAGCAACTGACATTGCCATCTTCCAACTTACCTCTTTCACTTGAACTTTGCCCTTTTCGTGCAAACCATAACCCGTATTTAATGGACCGCCAGTAGGTGGAATAGCAATATCAGGATTGGAGCAAATCAAACCATCATTATTGGCCAAAGAAAAGCCGTGTCTTTGAATAATATAATGGTTTTTAAGCTTTTCAGGCAAATGGTTATAAGCAGGTTGAGACATACTTTTTAGATGAAGAAAAGAAAAAGACACTAAATCTTGTATAGTTTTATTTTTTTAAATGTCAGAAATGAAAAAGTGAGGAGTTCAAATAGGGCTGACCTTATCAAATTTATTGATTCAATCATTAAGATGGCTGGATGTAAATGGGAATAGTTGTATTAACACCCGTATTTGTATTTTGATAAGTAACAGCATAATTGCCGGTAGGAAGAGAAGAAGGGATGATGTAATTGAGAGAGTGTTCATAATAAGTTTTAGGGCCAGCATGGATAGGAGTGGCGTTGGGCGAATCAAGAAAGACATCGGCATTTGCAAAAAGAATTGTTTCAGGGTAATTACAGTCCGTACCTCTAAGATACATGTTTAATGCAACATCTATAAGCGTAAGTTAGAAGCAATTATGTCAATAAGACTTACTGAGTGGCTCAACAATCGTCTTGTAAGTAAAAGGCAAAGTCTTTCCTTGATTATAAACACCACCACTAATTGGAGAAGAAATTCTTACTTGGCCATCCGTCATTGTTACTTCTGCAGCAGAAACAGCAGAGAAAAGAGCAGTAATAACAAGAGTAATAGAGAACTTCATTTTTTGATTTGAATAAGGATGAGAAGAGTAGAATTTCATCTTCTTTTTTATAGAAAGTGGATTTTATTATTCTCTTTATTTTATTTTCTTTTATGCATGTAAATATAGAAACTGCGTGTTTCTTTAATTTCATTACTTTTTGATTGTTTTCGTCATGTGTAATTGTTTATTCAACAGCAATATAAAGTTTCATGCGAAAAAAAAGCATTGAATCACAGCATTCGCAGCAAAAAAAAAAAAAAAAAAAAAAAAAAAAAAAAAAAAAAAAAATACATGAATGAACAAAACAACACATTTTTTAAACCAAGCAATAGTCTTCTGTATTGATTCAATTTCGAGAAAGTTACTTCCCTAAGGTCCTTGGAGCGATAAAATACTCGCGGGCCTTTGTCTTATAAGCGGAAAACCATTTTTATTCCGTCAGTTGACATCATTTCATTCAGACATAAGCACTCGCTTATAGAGTATATGTGGAGCATAAAATAATCCTAAATACATTCTTCATTATCAATTGATAGATAGACTCGGATTCTCTCTGTGGATTCATAAAGGGTGTTTCAAAATGCAAATGGCTAGACCAATCGGTAGCCATGACAGCCTTTACCAGCAAATAACATTTTTTGGTTTCAAGTCCCGGTTTTGCTTGGCATTGACGTATAAATTATCTTATTCTATCCCTTGTTCTTTCAGTTCTTTTTTTCTATCGCTTTCTTTTTCTAAATAAACATGGAGAAAAAAGAATACGTTGCTGTTCCTACAGAGCAAATTGATCAAGAAGCTGCTCTGCCTGCCTACGAAGAACATGAAAATGCTCAAGCTGAACAATCGAAGAAGCGTAAATGTTATGCTTTTTTCAAGAAAAAAGATACTGATTTATGTAAAAATAGGTCGCAGACGTTTTAGATTCTTCTTGATTGGTGGTGCTATCACACTCTTGGGTCTCTCTCAATTATGCAGTGGACCTCAAATGAGTGTTATGGAAGTGAGTGTAACAATAACTCAAATAAACATAGTTACTCATTCTATTTTATATAGGCTGGCCGTGATATGGTACAATGCAGCTCATAAACAATGAACATGAACCTAACTTATACTCTCTATAGGATATTCATCCTCAAGATGCTCCTGAGCCTTGCGCTTTAAGACACTTGGAACAATACCAAGAATTAAAGCACCATATGCAATTTCTCGAGGATTCTTTTGGTGAACCTTGGGGTCCTCCAGCCTACCATGGTATGTACCAAGGTCCTCCTCCACCTGGTCCACCCGGCACTCCCCCTCCCAACCCTCCTCCTCATAAGCACCATAAGCATCATCACAAACACCACCATAAGCACCACCATAAGCATGATGATGATGACGACGACGACGATAATGAAGAACACTTTGAACCTATTGATGATAATAATAAGAAAAGCCATCGTGGTCATGACCGTTACTTGTTGCCTCCCGATGGTCACCGTGGTCCTCCTCGCCACCCTCATCATTTCCCCCCACCTCCTCCTCCCGACCATGAACTTGTCACTGAAGAAAATTTTGATGCTTTCATGGCCGATGACGGCAAGAAGAAAAAGCACCCTCATCACCACGAACCTTTCTGTAAGATTGATGAACTCAAGGCCGAATCTACTGTCTTCAAGTTTTCTCCTGAACAATTCAAGCGTGCTGGTGTCTTCTTGAACGGCTGGTTCTCTCGTGGTGGCCATGTTCGTCTTCACAAGTCTGAAGATAGTTCTGTGGAAGATGTGAAGGTCAATGTCACCCTTTATGCTGGCCGTGATGACCTTCAAAAGGAAGTCAAGATCTCTGCTTTTGATCATGAAGGTCAATACGCTGTTCAAATTGAACGTGGTCATTTCCATAATTCTTTCGATGGTCGTCATGATGGTGGTCACCATGGTGGTGGTCACCATGATGATGACGAGCACAGAAAGGAACACTGTCTCGTTTATAATATTGATGTCGTCTTCCCTGGAAACATTGATTACTATGAAGAACTTGATCTTCATATCAAGGCTGCTCAACGTATTCAAGGCGGCAAAGGTATTGAGAACATCAAGTTCGGTACTGTTAAAGCAGGTCTTGGTCGTGGTGCCATTATTTTCGATGTAAGTTTTTTTTTTTTTTTTTTGAATGTTGTATAATTTACTTTTTTAATAGAATTTGAAAGCCAAGAACTTACTTCTTGGCACTCTTCAAGGTGTCGTGATGGGTACTTACCAACCCAGCGAAAATTTTAAGGCTGGTACTATTCATGGTGCTACGAAAGTAAAGATTGAACCTAGTGGTGAAAACATCAATGTTACTGCTTCTTCTATCTTTGGTCCTGCTTCTGTTGATATTGTAAGTCCAAAAAAGAAAAAAGCATGTATACTTATCCTATTTAGCCTGCTGACAGTTATAAGGGTGACTTTGTCTTGTACAATCTCTTTGGTGAATCCTCTACTATCCAAGCTCCTAACCCTGAAGACATTCATGTCACTAAACTCAGACCTACTCACAAGATTGGTTACTACAAGGAAGAGCACACTGGTTCCAAGATTGTCGTAGCTGCTAAAATTCATGGTGGTGAAAGACTTTCTTTCAATTAAATAAATCTTTATTTCATGCATACTCGATATGATGACATGCTCTTAAAACATCTTCATTGACTTCAAAATTTACGTGTGTATCAACATGCATCAAAAGACAAATGTAATTTTCGCCTTGGTCCATTTTAGGATCTAGATTAGAAACCTTAGCATGATGATAACTAGGCTTAATTTGTTGTTGAACTTATCTTCTGCTTCTGAATCATACATGTTGCTTCAGCCAAATCACCACACAGATCTATCAGGCTGCTAAAAGTATCGTATTCATATACGCAATGCTCAAAAATAGCTTCTTTGAGATTAACAAGAGGCAACAAAAGTCTACGAGCAGCGCATTCTGCCGCATACATATTGTCTAGTCTAAAGCGAGTCAAGTTTTGATGAGCAAAGCTATTATCAAAATCGTCCAGATTAGCCACTGTCAGCACCATCAACATAACCCATTGCAAGATACTTTAGTTTAGGGGCAGTTACAAAGATATATTAAAAGACCAACCTATATTACGATAGCAAAAGCAAAAAGAAAACAATTCCAGGTGAGGAAAGCTTTTCAAGTCGGATGCTAGGACAGTCGTGTGTGATTCAATAATGAAAAAATGTCTTCATGATGGCTTAAAGCTGCTTCTAGAACAAGCTCTTTAAGTGATGTATTGAGTTTACCCAAAGCTGTGAGTACATTGGATATGACCAGTTCAGCTTGTGCTGATATCAGTGCAAGACTTTTTAGTTGAAGCTTATGGCTCAATGATGTATCCCAAACAGAAAGGCGAAGATGATAAAGTCTACTCCCAAGACAGTATCTGCATAGATTGTGTATTTGATGAGCCTTATTTTTAGGCTCTCGAGATTAATAAAATTCTCCAGAATAGAGCGTACACACAAAGATACATGATGCATCATGATATTACCTAATTTCAAATATGATAAATAAGCACAGTATGTAAACATCTTGTCAAATGTGCTTTCAGCATTTAATTGCTGTCTTCTATCGAATGTTTAGTCTATCATGCTGACTTTGGATAATTCACCATTGTCTATTTCCAATGTGTCTAGCTGATTGACTTGTTGAAGAATTTGATTGACATCTTTAAAGTATAAGGGTCCTTTAAATTCTTGAAAAGGATTGTATCTCCTATCATCAAATGGATACTTGAGTGTTATTTTCTTAACATTGGGTACCATAGAAAGCAATGTCAGCAATTGTGGTATTATAAATGACTGTAAGAGAGGTCTTCCAAGTCTTAAAGTAGACAGTTGGTGACTAAATACGCTCAATACTCTTGTTCGGCGTTTCTGTCTCCTTCGAATATACACTGACTCGAACTCAGCAACCAAGGTATCATGATCCAAGAGCCCTTTAATTTAAGTAACAATATAATTTCTAGAATTTTTTTTTTCAATAGTGTACATGAGTCTGATTTCATCGATTTTTTATTGACCAGTCGAAATGCGCATTTCTCTTCCAACAAAAACCAATCTAATATCATATAATATACTTCCAAAGGAAGACATTCGAACTTAGTATGAAGCATAAAAAACAATAAAAAAAAAGGGCGCATGACAAGCTGTTCAAAGTAGGGAAGCATTGAACCTTAGGATTCATGTTGAGTTTACACAGTCTTGCTGTGACTCCTGTTTTTTTTGTTTTTTTTTTGTTTGTCACCCTGGACCCCTTCTCTTCTTTCTCTACTTATTTTTTATAACATGGCCAAGAAAGCAAAGGCAAGAGTTATTCTCGTCAAGTTATTGTCTACTGCCGGTACTGGATACAATTATATCAAGAGCCGTCCTAGAATTTCTCCCAAGTTGTCTTTGATGAAGTACGATCCTCAAGGTAACAAACTACTACTCTTTATTGTTATATGCTTATATCTTTTTTATAGTGAAGCAACATGTCTTGTTTACGGAAACAAAAATGAAGAAATAAGAACCAAAAAGCAAAAGCCTATTGATATGTATATAGAATGTTTATCAACATATAATAATAAAAAAAAAAAGAGGGGGCTTTATGCAAATCATGTATCAATTCAGGAATGCAAGTTGATACAATTGTTGTCATTATATAAAGATTCGTCTTATGCAATCTTACAGGAGAGGAACAAGGAGGTAAATTGAAGAAAGGAAAAGCAACAACAACAACGACAAAAAGAGCAACATGGTTGTCACTATTGTTTCATTCTTTAACAAGCACAAAGTTCATTATAGGGTATTGTATTGAACTCAAAAAGGGAGAATGAAAGGATATCCATAGATCATAGTGCATAGTAGATATCGCCTCCTATTCTACAGTGTAGATATAAAAGAAAGGGAAAGAGAAAGAAGTCAGTCAATCTATTCCTCTGCTTCTATATTTCTATTATGTTATTGATTCATACAGCACTTGCTTCTGTTCTTGCGTTGTCCATTGAGGCAGCTTCTCTTGCTTATGATAAGCAATACAACAGAATAAAAAATACATGCAGACCTCGTAATAAAGAAGCACAGCACATAATAGACACATTCAAATTCGCTTATGATGGATATAAACAGTATGCTTTTGGTCATGATGAATTGTTGCCAGTGAGTGCAAGTTATTCTGATTCAAGGTAATAAACCCAATCATAACGTATATTCATACCTTATTGTTAGAAATGGATGGGGAGGTAAGTGTTGGCTGTCGGTAGATGTTCCATAGAGACTTATGATGATATAGCTAGTATCATTGATGCGCTTGATACCATGCTTGTTATGGGTTTGGATACTGATTATCAACAGGCTCTTGAGTTTGTTGAACAAGTGAATTTCGCAAAGGCCATTGGATCATCAAAAGGGTTTGAGACAAATATCCGTTACCTTGGTGGTCTACTTGCTGCTCATGATTTAAGGCCTAACCATATGCTTGTCAAGAAAGCAGTGGAGCTGGCAGAATTGACATTGGTACCTCTTTTTGCAGATAGTATGACCCCTTTAGGTGACAAAGTCAAAGTGCCTTATACTTATATGGATGTGAATAAGTAAGTTGCATATACTTAGGATCTGTTTTAGCTCAACATGAGAATAGTAAGACAGCCGAAGAAACAGATACAATCAATCTTGCTGAATTCGGTAGTTACACAATGGAGTTTACTCGATTATCTCAAGTAACAGGCAACCCCAAATACAAGACATTGGCAGATAACTTAACCAAGGCTGCCATCAGACAACCTACCCGTATCCCCGGTCTTTTTCCTACCTCTTGGAACTTCAAGCCATTCAGTCCTCAATCTGATAGTAAGTTGTTGATCAAATTATATGAATAACTCATGGATAAAGGCTACATCACAATGGGTGGTGGAGGCGATAGTTTTTACGAGTACTTGATCAAGAACTATATTCTGGACAACAAACAAGATCCTGCACTACTTGAGATGTGGGAGAAATCAGTCAAGAGTATTCAAGAACATATGCTTGTGGCTACTGCTCAAGACCCCAATATTGAATTTGTAGCTGGTATTGCTAAAGATAAAGTTTATTATAGTTCTCAAGAATTGGTAAGAATATATATATATATATATATATATATAATGGATAACTTATAGTTTGATAGATTTGTTTCTGGCCTGGTAATATTCTGCTTGGTATCACACAAACAAGTTTAGAAAACAAGAGACAGTTTAGACAATTTGCAGACACATTTTTAACATCATGTATCGAAACTTGGAAAAAGAGTAAGACGGGTATTGCTCCTGAAAGCTGGAAATTTACACCTAAAGATGATCGTTTACAACTCAAATTGGACAAGCTATTTCAGTCCAACAAGTCCAAACGAGATATTGCATCATTCCAAGTTGAAAACTCCATTTATGACCTAAGACCAGAGACAATTGAAAGTATATTTTACTATTATCGTTTGACAGGCGATAAAAAATACAAGGTACACATAAGAAAAAAAGAGGAAAATCATATTCACATATTAAACACAGGACCTTGCTTGGGAATTGTACATGAGCATTCATCGCTATGCAAGAGCAAAGGCAGGCTATTCTCGAATCAATGATGTCAATCGCATGCCAGCTACTCTACAAGATTTTCAAGAAAGCTTCTTTTTTGCTGAAACACTGAAATACCTCTACCTCATCTTTGTCGACAAAGACTGTATCTCGCTTAATGATTTTGTGTTTAATACAGAAGCCCATCCTTTCAAGCTATCTAAGCCTATTCAATATCAATAAAGATTTTATTTTTGAAAATACATATGGTACAATGTTGTGTCTCTATGATGCTGTGTTTATTTGCCCAACTTCTTTCTCAAGGCACGGGTTCTCTTTCTCAATTTTTTGTGTTTGTGCTTGTTCATCTTCAAACGACGCTTTCGAAGCACACTGGTCAACTCGAGTGCTTCAGTAGCCTTTGTAGGTGTAGTCATAGTAGGCTGTGGGGGTGCAGGTACAGTGAAAGGTCGAAGGCGAGAAACATAGTCAGATACTGAAGCTACAGAGACAGTATGTGTAGAAGCTATGGAGATAGTTATAAACAGCTGTTTATGTATGTATGTAGAATACGTTACGAGTTATGAAGACAGCCTTGTCCAAAACATGAGTAGTGTTTGTAGAGATACTAGTGGAGGCATAACGTTGTGCAACTCGGACAGAAGGACGAGCCACTGTCGTTAATAAACGAGTCAACAACATGAGTGAAAGAAGGGGGTAGTTAAGAAAAAAAAATAGTGGCTCAGCCCCTCTATTTTTTTTTCTTTATTGCATGGTTCATTGTTTGTGCGGCTCGAATCTTACTCGGACCGAACAGGAGCACATTGCCCGTGGAGTAAGAAGGAGACCCATGGGGCCTTTAAGGTGTGCTCATTTGCTAGCCCACTAGAAGGTCCTCCTTTTTCGTTGCAATCTCAACGCCATGGTAAGATAGAAAACAACATAAATAACAGATGGATGGATGGATGTTGCTCACACATGTATCCCATAGTCTCTCGTCGTTCCCGAAAGAACTACTGTAGGTAACCCTGACGCTACGGTAGCAAAAAAGACTTACCACGTTTTATAGTTCCAACACATCATTCGTCTTCTTAACACTAACGTCGACGGTCGTGTCAAGATTCAGATTGCCTTGACTTCCATCAAGGGTGTTGGTCGTCGTTTCGCCAACATTGCCTGTAAGAAGGCTGATGTCGATCTCACCAAGAGAGCTGGTGAACTTTCCTCTGAAGAATTGGAACGTATTGTCACCATCCTTCAAAACCCTGCTCAATACAAGATCCCCAACTGGTTCCTTAACAGACAAAAGGATATTGTTGATGGCAAGTCCACTCAAGTTATCTCCAACGTTCTCGATACCAAGTACCGTGAAGACCTTGAACGTTTGAAGAAGATCCGTAACCACCGTGGTCTTCGTCACTACTGGGGTATCCGTGTCCGTGGTCAACACACCAAGACCACCGGTCGTCGTGGTCGTACCGTTGGTGTCTCCAAGAAGAAATAGTAAGTTATTTTGTGTGTGTGTGTGTGTATATATATATATTTATGCATGAAATGCTCATACGTTATCTACTAGATTCTGTTTACTTTTTCTTTGGGTTTGCATGGACAATGTCAGTTCTTTATAAATAATAATAAAAAAAGGAACATCTTTATTACATGCTTTGCATTGTCTTTTCAGCAAGTTGATAAAACTCTTCTTGTTTGGTCTTGTTTAAAGCGTCTACAGAAGGAGTAGCCACTTTTGTCTTTTCGTAATAGGTGCCAGTCTTGAGATCAGGGTTTGTGATATGGGAAATATAAAAGTCAGTGGAATCTTCTTCGGAAGTAGCAAAATTGAATTTGGAGATGGCATATTTCATGGCTACCCTGAGGACATAGCTTGAGTTACGAGCAAGTTCTGTAGTAGGCACAAATCCGGGGCAAATAGCCACAATCTTGATTGAAGGATATCTTTCAGCCAATGCAAAGGCTCCCCAAATCACGGCCAATTTCGACATTTTGTAATACTTCATTGAATCCCACGACTTTTTGTCACCCGCTAAATCGTCGATATGAACATCTTTTGGGATTTTGCGTGACTCACCACCTCCACCACCATTGATTTCAGGATTATGGATCTGAGAGGCAATAAAGATGATACGCTTGGAGGGATGTTGAGACTTTTCAATCAAAGGCAGCAATAACTGGTTCAGATAAAGAGGTGCAACAGCATTCATATAGACTGTGCTTTCAATCTTTTGTATTTGTGAAAACTCACGACGAGTACCACCTGCATTATGGACAATCACATCAATCGAAGGCACAAGCGAACCTACTGTTTCAACGGCTTTTTTCATAGAGGGAGTATCCAACAAATCCATCACAACACCATGTAAGTTTTTTTCATGTTCAGGTTGCAAGTCTTTCAGAATCCATTGTTTAGCGTCCTTTAGTTTTTCCTCTGAACGACCGGTGATAATGACCGTATGGCCCAATTGAAGACACTTTTTGGCAGCTAATCGACCAAGACCTACTGTGGCGCCAGTAATGAAAATAATCAAATGATTGTTTGACATGTATAAAAAAAAAGAAACAAAGAAAAAAAAGAAAATTTGACCGATTTTATTCTGTTTTCCATTTCATAGGTGGTACAAACACAAGCTTAAAAAAGGCACAAGCATGTGCGATTATCTGATAGACTACAATGACGCTGACAAAGGCAAACAGGTCCACATCCCAATTCGTTGCCTTAAGCCAAGACATGGTGGCATCCACTTGTCTTCTGTGCCAAATATCATCCTTGTTTCTGACGGAATATAAAACCTCTTCAATCATATCAGCTGCATAGCGTTTTTTCCGGCTTCTTATTTGAACCAGTGCTTGCATGCTCTTCATGTTGGATGCAAATTGCCCGTCTTTGTCCTGTAGAATGCTGCTTAGTTTCTCAAGTGTGTCAGTCAGGTTATGACTCTTTCTGTCCAACACTAATCCTACACCTGCATTTGCTATATTATGCGCATTCGAGGGCTGGTCACTTGTGAAAGGGTGAAGTAAAAGAGGAACACCATTGTAAAGAGACTCATGCACAGAACTGGACCCACCATGGCTAATAAACAGCTTACAGTGTTCATGCTGAAGAATAGCAAACTGGGGAGACCAAGGCTCAAATCTTAGATCCATGTGATGATGAAATAAGTCTTGTACTCTGTATACTTTTCCAGAACTTGTCGTGACCTGTTCGGGCAAATCATGACGGGCCTTGAGAGACAATGACCATATAAAGCCATCCAAAAAATTGTATTCGTAAGCCTCTACCAAACTTGTCAATAGCACTTGAAACTCCTCTTTACTGGGCGTATACATCTGCCCGAATGCAACATAGACGATACGCTTATGATTATCCATGAAATCTGACAAGTCTTGTGTCAGTGAGTCGTATACTGCATTAATAATAGGACCCACATATTCTACTAAGGGACCCACAGGTCTTGGACTATCCATACCCCAGAAACTATTGACCATTTTGATTGCGTTTGAGTGTCGTGCAAGAGGGTCAAAATCTGGTATGTTTAATTCTTGGCGTGCTTTTCGAATCGCTCTTGCAACAGGCAAATACCGATACACGAATTTCGGAGTCATAACATAGCGGTCGTACAATCTCTCTGTAAAGCTTTGATCTAATGTGGTCGGTTGGCTTGAAATATGATTTGAACTAATAAAAGGTGCTTTTGTATCTAGTCATAGCATAAGACGAAGCATTGTTTCTAGAACTTTGATTTACCTTCAGATAGACTCATGGTCATGTACATAATCATAGGTATATTGAGTGCCTTGGCTGCATCAAAACAAGGTAATGCCATTTGATCACACACGACAAGTGAAGTGTTAGAATTAGTAAATATATCCGTGTAAGCCATAAAATCTCTTTTATAAGTATCTTGCACCATTGTCTTGTAGGCAAGAGTAACTCGAGTGGACACAGTCTCTTGAGTATCAAACAAATCGCGGAATTGAACTTTAGATAGATGAGGCCCTAATGAAATAGTCTTGATGTGGGGCGCATAAGATAATCCAAATTTAGTATACATATCGGTTGTCAAGAAAGATACATTATGTCCGCGTTCAGCAAGTACTTGTCCTATCTCAAGTACCCATGCAATATGGCTAAGTCCACCTGTTGTAGAAGAAAAGTGGATTGTTTTGGGCTCAAGAGCCATGGTTGTTGGTTCAAGAGCATATGCACATAACCAGAAGGAAGATATTAAAACATAAGGCTTCATTACTTGTGATTTCTCCTTTTTGTAAGATGCTCTGCTTTATATATCAATCACATGCCGCTCATTTACCGAGAAAATTACATGGCCGATTCTAGTCCGAGATTAACAGTGACATCTATCAATCCATTGAGGCAATCATGTCAAAGCAAGTGGTATTTTTTTTAATATGAATCTAGTCAGTAAAACATAGGGGGAGGGATTTAATGTAAAGGACAGGGACATTTCTCAAGGTTTTAGTATTAAAAAGTCATATGCTTTTTTTTTTAAAAAAAAGAATTTAAGGTACCCTTTTACCATGGTAGCGTTTTTCTCTTAAAATGTATCAAAAAAAAAATAGCTTGTTTCGAAATAAAAGAGTTGCTCTTGATCTGCATGTTCTCTTTAGACCATAACTGGGTTCAAATCTAAAAAGAAAAGGGTTACTTTTTTCTCGGAAAAACTTAAAAATTGATGTTGTATATTACTAGAAATGATTTGTAATCGTCATTGTTTTTGATAAATTCACATACAGAAAAAAAAATAAGGAGATCATATTCCACTCCTTTTTAATTGAATACAAGAAAGAATTATTTATTACAAATTTATGAATATATTTTACAAGATGAAATGATTACAATTGTGCTGTCAAACATGCATTTACAAGATAAACAAAAAAATTTTTTTTTTTTTCAAATGACGCCATCTGGCAAATAAGAAGATCGCTGAAAGGACTCATGATTGATAGGAATATGCTGACGAAAGGTGTAAATACGAGAGCATGGGCTAGAGTTCTTTGATAAAATAGCTGATGTAGGTGATAATCGCCTTTTATAGACGACGGGTTCACTACAGAATCGACTGAATCCCTTGAGTGCCTCATATTCATCATGAGTGATATCAACACCTTCAATATTGATGTATTTATCTTCAAATTCAGTTGTGATAGGTGAAAGTAACTGTTGTCGACTATCATCGTCTGTATCCACAGATGCCTCTCTTAGTGATTCTGTTGATGTGAATGCAGTGGGATGAGAATGAACAGGAGCAGTAGGTTCAAGAAGGGATGCAGGATGAAATTGTGGTGGTGGCGTAGTCAACGAGTAATAAACAGGTTGTGATGATGTTAATGGTTGATCCAGATAATGATACGGATAAGAATAAGGCTCGTCTTGTTGTGGTTTCGGTGGAGATGGGTAATGCGATTGAAAGTAAATGTGTGAGTCATTAGGTGAAGTAGTGTTGTCTTTTGATTTGTGAGGTTCAGAAGGCTCTTTCTTTTTGGGACGAGTATGTGTATTAGCATGTTGCATCATATTGTCGAATCGACTAAACATGCGGTTACAGCCAGGGAATACACATTGAAATGGTTTCTGTCAAACAAGTTAAATACTATTCTAGTTGAACTTTATTCTTACCTCTCCTGTATGTTTGCGTGCGTGCCTGGCTAAATGTTCACTACGAGTAAAGACCATATTGCAGTTACCAAAGCCTGTGCATCGAAACTGCTTTGGCTCAGATCGACGACCTGTAGATGATGTTGTTGATGAGATAGAATTATTTCTAGATGTCTTTTTAGCAGGCATTTAATTGAATGAATAAATAAAAAAAAAAAGTAAAGAGAAGAAAAAAATATTTATTTTAAAATGTGAAGGGGGGGCGATTCTTTTTATATATCATATAGACAGCGTCATGCAGTCAGTCCAGGGCAAAAAAAAATTTTTTTTTAAACACCCTCAGGACAACCATGCATAAAAGGAAAGCTATTCCAATCACTTTTTCTTTTTTTGTAACAGAGTGACAGCTCCAGAATATCTAAGTAAAAACAATAACGAATGAATAAATAAAACACAACGCTTTTGTACTCCCTACCGTGCGTTTTGACCATATCGTTGAGATGTAATACAAACGGCATCAGTACCTAATGGTCCGATCTGAGATCCAAAACGAGCCTATAAAGTATGAAGTAAATGGGACGTTCTTAGTCCGCTTCAGGCACACTTACTAACAGGACCTGATTGTTCTTTATGCATTCCATATCCTGATCAAAAGACCAACGATAGATCCTTCCATTCTCTGAAACTGGAGTTAGCAAGAATTAACATCGGTCATAGCTTACCTTGCTCAGACATGGGTTCACCAATCCAGATACCACCTCCATCCTCATTGCTAAACACTGATAGTGATTGACCTAAATGACCTGCATTTGTGCGACCTTTTATCATACTCATCATACCACGTTCTGTATCAAGATCTGGTGCGACTTCTTCCCTCGGTGGCTGCAACCGCTCCCATTTATAAAGTCTGACCACACCTGCTTGCCAGTATTTTCTTAGCCCAACCACTGTTTCCTGCAAAGAAGTGAGTGCGTGATCATTGATAAATATATATATGTGTGTGTGTATCTTTACCTCCGATGGACTAGATATAACCACTATGTCATTATTGTCGTCTGTGGCAAGGACTCTATTTTTAATTAAAACTAAAGTTAAACCCCAGATGAAACTAGACAAAACGTTACCTTCCATATTGCTGGAATTCCTTGGAACCTGTGATGGTCCATCTTAATTGTAGATAACTATCAAAAGCATAGACTCTGCCTACTCTTTGCTTAGTGCCAGTAGAGTATCCAGGAGCACCAATCAGAAGTGTGTCCTTGACAATCAAGATACTCTCACCAAAACGATCATAGGGTGATTTGTTAGGATTCTGAATGCTGATGTCAGGCTGTGTGAGTATTGATGTAGTACAAGTCTTACAGAAACTCTTAAATACGTGCACAACCCCCACCTAAATGAAATACGTTACAGAGCTAGTCTAGAATCGGAATGCTTACCTGGGGTTGCCCTGATACAGAGCATAATGGGCATCCAACAACCAAGTCATGATGCCCATCATGATCGACGTCGATGGCAGCAAGCACTGTGCCTTTTAAGTCGAACAATGGAAGCTGAATTTGAATTCCTGGTTGCCGAGATAATCCGAGATGGGCTTGACCTAAAAAGATGTCAATACGGCCACCACCATCTTTGAATGGAGTAGAAACAGCTAAATCGTCAATGCCATCTTGATTCATATCGATAGATAACATGGACCAACCAAATCGACCATGATGAACATTGCCTTCGAGCACTATTTGTGATAAGTCTCGAATATCATGAGCAACATGAGGTTCAGACTGGCGACTTGGTATCATGCTAACAGCACTGTCTAGAACATACACAGCACCGGATTGTAGATGCGTATCTTGATTAACATAATAAGGAGCTGAAATAGCCATATCAGTTTTCTTATTTCCATTAAAATCACCAGATACAATTTGGTGTCCAACACGAGCTGAAGTCATTGGCATACTAAGTGTAATCTGTAACAAATCTTCATGATCCAAGGATAAACACTTGTTGTTTAGTTTATTTGTGCGCAAACTAATTGGAGTTTGTTTGTTGTTTGTTTCATAATCTTGTGGTGGTACAGCAGTAGTTAAAGGCAATAGCGATTCATTTTGTTCTAGTGTTTTCTCGTTCTTTCTCACAGTGATAGTAAAAACACCAGTAACAGGATTGTAATCACGATAGATAGATTCTGAAGCCAGCCTAGGCTTGGGATACCTGTTGACACATCTTGAATTTGAGCTCATTATATCTGCATAAAAATAGTCTGAACACAAATAATCAGGCCAACTGTGTGTAGCACCATTTTCAAAAGCATGAATAAGCTCTGAATAACAATCGGATACGCTTCCAGATAAGTCTTCAATGCCTAACATCATAAAATGTAAATCTCATGTTTATATCAGTACGTTCTCACCTCCTTTAAAATAATCATACAGTTCTTCTGTTAAAAATGGGCTTTTGGATCCATAATAACCAAACATAAACTGACCGAATTCAACATCTACTTTTGATGCTGCAAATGCTGCAGTCATACAATACTGAATGTGCGATTTAAGTGGAACTCGACGACCAGCATAAGGTTCAGTAGCATAAAGTCGCTTGTAAATCTGGATAATATCTTTGACGGGCACTTGCCATGTTTCATTGATGTAAGATAGCTTACTCGAGTGTCTTAGTGTAAATTCAGCACCTGCATCAGCAGCCGTATGTGCCTCTTCAACGTTTCCATGGAAATCAGAGTTCGCCATGGCAATCATAAAGTAATCTGATAAGCCTTTTAAGCTGTGCCATTTCACATCGGCTATACCATGTGACATGATGGCAAAAACAAACGATATCAGCCCCTAAGAAATTTTTTAAGAATTTGGAATCGCTTTTAGATATGTCTTGCTTACTCTCACATGATTGTTCGTATGAAAAGTCTGGATAGGATATACATCTCGAATATAATTTACGGCCTCTTTTATAAAAGCTGGCCAGTGAGCTAAACAAAGGTATGAGTATAGAAGTGTTCTCGTTTGAACTATACCGTCTTCTGATTGCTGATTGTTTCCAAGACACTGATAACCCCTTTGTTCAGAGAAATAAGTATGTTACATATTAAAAAAAAAAAAAAGGACGTTTACCAATCTGGAAAGAAAGAACCAGCTTGTGTAAAACTGGGTGAATACAACATGTCATCCTTGTAAGCTTGACCAAGCTTGTTTTCGGGTATAAAGCTTTCTAAAGAGCGAAAAGTAATTTCATTATGCACAGCTCTGTATCATGTTGAATTATTATTATTATTTCATGAACAATAGCAGGTCCTTACATGCCACAAGCACTCAAATTTAGGCATTGTCTTAAGAGTAATAAGAAGACAAGACACGATCTGACAAGAGTCATCTCTAGAAGCAAAAGAAAAGTGAGAAAAAAATAGATTGCTGCATTTAATCACTTTAATTGGATGGAATCATTATTGAATTCCAGCAATGTCACTAATCTTGATTTAATAAACCTATTAATTTAGGCAGAAGCCAAGAGGAAAAGCAAAACTCTATTTAAAACAGATATCAAAGAGGAGTTCTTAAAATAGCCGCTAACCTAAAGGCTGCGTTGGGTTATTTAGACGTTTTGATTAGAAAGTTATCTGTTAAGAATGCTATGTATTCTACACAATGAGGATTCTTTATTTACGTATGTTGTGATATATACAGTAGTCTTTTTAATGGGAAAAGCCTTTCTCTTGAGATGATAAAAATAATGCTGTGTTATCCATGTTTTCAAATAATAAAGGATTGTTATTAACATTCTACCTAGGCTATAAATGATTATTGGGCAGTTTACTGTCACAAAAAATGAGCAAAGTTGATTCACCAGACTCAATAAATCAGGTGTGCTTGAACAACATAATTTAAATAAGCAGTTTGGTAGTGAATTACTTGGATCCTTTTCAAGCTGTCTCCCCAAGTTCGGGAGAAGCCATCTATGGTAATGGTGACGCTAGATTATTTCCTTAAGCAGAAGGGAGGGGGGGGTTTTGAGAAAGGCATTTTTATGTTTTGCAAAATTCATAAAAGGAAGTACCAGGCTTATTTTCCCAGTGCTCAGTGCGCTAAAAGTGAATTCACTATGGGTATGGCTAGTAAGTCTTCAAACATATTTCTGCTAAGTAATTGCTTTATATAGCATGCATTTTTTTTTCTTTATCAAGCCATTTGGATTTCCCAGCCAAATTCTCAGTTTGTATATAATTTACATCATGGTATATCTACACTCAATCATTTATTTTTTCTATGATGCTTAAGGTCAATATTCGAAACACCGTATCCTCCTTTTGCATAACATTCATTGTTGGTCATCCCTAAAACTGCTCTTTTTAGCCCTAAAAATGCCAAGTATTGTAGTACACCTTACTCGTGTATGTTTTGCGCGCCTAATGGTGTATACGTTAGTACCCACTTACTAGTCAACATTTACTCTTTTGTACTGATTACAGTGTGTCACAAACTTTAAATGCTAATTTGAAGGCAGTGGTCAAATTGAGTCGACGTTTCTATCTTAGTAAACTCGTTTTCTTTTTGTTAGAAGAATCTAGACATGGCCTTGCCTGATTTCGGTTGGATCAGACTTAAATTAGGTCATTTCAAAAATCCCTGACCGAGTTTTTTTTTTTTTTTTCATCTTCACGGACCTTTCTCCCTCTTTGTATGCTTGAGCATTCGTCTGTTCTTTTCACCAATGCTTTAAATTATACATTCAAGCAGTATATCAAGATGATTTGCACATGGTTCCGTAAAGACATAGATTTGTTCTTTTTGTAATTTGATACTGTAAATAATTGCTTCAATAGCACGAATACAATCGTTTGCTTCATTGTAGCTATAGCCAAGTATGGGTAGAGTAGTGCAGTCTGGACCTTGTTGAGTATATTTCTGGATCCAGTTACGACTGGGCTTGATCTCTGATTAGAAAAGAATAATCAATATATATATATATATATATATATTATTTTGCTTAGCAGATACGTATCGTCTACTCATGTTTGACATTGGGTCGGATTATCTTACTTTTGTATTTATTCAATCATCATTTTATCTACTTTTCATTATTACCAGAAAGAAAGAAAAGGAGAAGGGGGGGGTATACAGACTATGTACAGTGTCATTAGATCCAAGATAAAATAGTGGACAATAAATTGCCTTTACTGTGAGGCATAGTAGATAATAAAGGTTCACAAGATCGTTTTAGACCAGCATTCGTCAACATGCTAATCATGGTATCCTTATTCAGCGTCTTTGATTTAGGATTTACAATGTACCTTAGGCCTCGAATCGCTTTACGACTGTTTGGATTTGCACCTCGGTCCAACAAGATTCGAACAATAGAGACATGACCATGCATCAATGCTTCTTCTAGTGGCATGCCTTCTTGTACGTTGGGTCCATGCTCACCTATACAGTCCAGCAAATAAAGCACAATGGCATCCAATCCACGCCGACATGCATGTCTAAGTGGCCAATCATTATCTGATCGTGGATGCACACCTGCTTGGATTAAATGTTGCACTGTTTCCAAATCATTATTGGTAATCGCATATTGAATACAAGCATTTTGATTTGCGTCTGCATATGCACCTGCGTCCAATAGCATCTTGACAATTGAAGAGAATCCCTTATAAGCAGCATTTTGAATAGCAGCATCATGATAGGCATGAACATCCACATCTAAAGACAGCAAGAAATGTACAAGATCATGATAGCCATAAAGACATGCATTCCGTAAATGCTTTTCATGGTTTACATGTATATTGCATCCATAGGTCTTGACTAAATGCTCTACTAACTCTACTCTGTTTTCTCGGCAGGCAATGGTCAGCACCATCTGTTCTCCATTGGTATGAACCATATTGACATGATATTTCTGTATCAGTAAATCTACTATTGGAATCGAACCCTTCAAGGCTGCTAAATGCAATAAATGTGACAAGATAGAAGGGTCTTGGGATGTTGCTTCAATTACCCATTCACATACTTGCCATTGGTTGGACTCACAGGCCTGTGTATATAACCAATAGTCACCATTGGCTGTGGGATCAACACCTTCCGACTGAAGCAGGTAATGAACTACTTGAAGTGTTACAATCTTTCTTTTCATGGCTGTTTCTCCCAAGACGGCTATAGGACCATATCGATACAATAAATAGCGAGCACGGGTTACAGGAAACTGGCTCAGTTGCCAGAAATAAGCACAGGTGGTAGCAAGTGCTGGATTTTGAGCATAAATAAATATCTGTGAAGCAAGTTCAACAGGTAAAGCTAATAAGCGAGAGTTGTTGGGCAATTTGGACAATAACATAGTCTTTATTTCATCAAAGACTTTAGAAGAGATCTTGCAATGGTAATCATACTTGTACATTATGAAATAACAAAAAAAAAAAAAAAAAAAGGTGTGTGTGACCATTTCATTTATTTCTCTTTGCTTTTTTTTTTTTTCATGATACTCTCTAGGAATTGTCTATTCTTTATTCCTGTCAACATTGGTAATGACTTGTTGTAACAAAGCAATCTCTCATGTGCTTTCTTGTTAGGTGTCTTGTTGATTACTGCCTTTGGACTTGTAAGCATAGATCTTATGCAGAACAATAAGACTCACTCAGATAGCTTAATAAACTCTCTGGCTTCTACGGTCTGATTGCTTTAGACTATAGTGATGCTATTGTTGTTTGTGTTCATGTGTATTCATTACTAGCTTTAGGTGCATTTGCTACTGGTCTTTATGGTATTTCCAAGGTAATGTACTCAACTTGTGACTTATACTAACAATAAGCATAGGAAAGATACAGTCTTATCCAATGGTATATCATGTTTTACTGGTTTGACTTTGTTGTAAGCACTATCACTACTGTCTATTTTGCAATACAATGGTTTGTCTATACAGACCACAGTTTAGCTGAATTAGAGAATGACCCCGAAGGCAAGAAACAACATGATGATTCATTTAAAGCAGAGAGTATTGTTAGCATTGTCTTGTTGTGTCTTTTTAGACTCATTCATGTGAGTATGGTGACACAAAAAGATTCTTGTGTATTTACTTAAAAATAGCTTTATTTTGCTTATGTGTTGACAAGCTATTATATCTCACTTGGTCAAGCTCAATATACCAAGTTACGTGCTGCAGTAGATGAAGAATTGAACCCTCCTGGATTCAATGAGGATGAAAATGATGAAAAAGATCAATAAACAAGAGTTTATTTACATGTGGTTTAAATGTCTAGAGGCAGAATGAATATCCATTATGTGTTTGGAGAAATTACCTTTTATAAATGCTCATCACACTTGCAACAAATGCTTCCAAGTGGAAAATGTCTTTTCTACCAATATGTAAACGATGTTCCTATTTCATAGTCAGTATACAAATACGTATAGCCTACACATACATGATAAGCTGCTTTTTCAATAATCTGTAACTTGACTTGTTCAGGCACTTGATTCAACAGATAAAATGACAATCGCTTCAGAATCACACTGGGTTGAATACACTTGACAATCAAATCATACAGTTGTGTTCTCACTTGAAGTAACTTGGCAGGGGATTGTTCAATAATGATCATGTGGGCAATCTTGGCAATTGCTTTTTCCCAATCTAAATCTTCAGGTCTTGTTAATGTAGACAGATCTGAGTGTCTGACGGCTGTACTTTCCAATGACAATAAAGCAGCACGCATGTTACGCTCAGCATGTTCAGCAATACCCTTAGCTAATGCAGTGGGCAATTGAACACCTTCCTTTTGTGCTACCTCTTGAAGAACACGTACAATCTCGTCTGTTTCTGGTCTACCTACACGCATCAACAAACAACGGGATCGAACAGGTGCAATAATTTTACTGAGACTGTTGCAGCAAAGAATAAGGCGCATAGAAGAAGTGTATTTTTCCATGGTACGACGAAGTGCCGCTTGAGCTTCTCGAGTCAGTTCGTCTGCCTGGTCAATTATGACCACTAATAACAATAAGTTCATGCTCTCTTTGTGTTCAGTCTATACCTTTAAATTGATGTTTTGCATTAGCATCAATTTGTTGTGTTTGTGCAATACTCTTGATGACATCTTGAACAATAACACGATCATACATGCCCAAATCACTATAGACAAGCATGAATAAGCTATGGCTAAGTCTTTATCTATTTTTACCTAGGATTCAATTCCAAATGAAAGTTGCTAGAGACCACAGTAAAGACCATTTTACGGTTGCTGGTAGTGACAAACTGACGTTGTTCAACTTTGAGCTACAACATACCATGAGTTATGCCTGTCAGACTACACTTTCTTTGTTACCTTATCTACTGAAGGACCATAGATCTCTCGAAGTGCGGCAGTGATACGTGTCTTTTTACCAGCACCAGGTGGTCCATAGAACAATAAATGAGGAAAGTTGTCTGAATGAGCCTTTTTAAAGAAAACAGGTTAATAAACGTGTGTTGAATAGAAAGACATACAAGCTTTTTTAAATGAGTCGAGAGATCCTTATGATATGAAAGTTGATCAAGTGCTTTTGGCTTATATTTATCTGCCCAGAGACTCATTTTTATTATTATAAAGAGAAACGCGAAAAAAGACGCGACCATAAAAAAAAACTAGAATTTTGAATTTACGCTTCAGATGGTAATTGAAACTCGATTTGACTTTCATAAAAGTAAATCAACTAAGACATGTTATTACTAGTGGTTGAATACGAAGGCTTACCTTGATGGGGTTATATTTCTTAATAATGCGTGTTGGAATATAAGTATTGACTTGTATACCAGGCCATTTGACTTCTGCAAAGAAGATATTGGGTTCTGTCTTGAATACATTCACAATGGCTTCGATATCCTTCCACATATAACCTAGAGGTGGTGCTGCTTTGATTTCGGACATTTTGACTTGATGGATCCATTGACTACGCTCTAAGCGGGCTGGACTAGGTGAATGAGTTCGCTTTTTGGTCGTATTATGCTTATTGTGTCGAAACGCGTCCATTGTATATGGTATAGTACTCCAATATGCATCTACTAACTCCTTTGAGTAACTAGTCATCGTAAGTATGATGATTTTGTTTATCTTGACTTACATGTTCGCCTCTCGTTCCCACGTATTACTTGAGCTGTCATAGTCTTTCCATTTTATTAAATAATCTATTTTTTTCTGACGACTTTTTTCTTAGACGCGTTTCTATCCAGATTCCCTTACTTACATCGTCTCTTAAAGACCTTCTGTGATCAACTATCGCTTCTACTTCATAGACTGCATCGTCAGCAGCAGGTGGAGGTGAAGTCGTTTTTGATTTTAAGGTCATGATGTCAAACAAAGAAAAAGAATGAAATTGGAGTCACATGCATAAAATTGTTCGTTTTACTCTTAGGGCACTAAATTATCATTCACTTTTCTTTTCAATCATGTATCCTACATTGACGTATTTTGGCAATAGTTCACAATGGTACTTGAAGAAAAAGACACAACAAGATAAATCACTTGAGATTGCATTACTAGAAGAAAGAATACAAGAAAAGAAGCAACTTAGTGTACAAGTAAATACAACAATCATGATACGAGGAGAACCTTATACACCTGCCAAGATGTATACTCAACAACATCAGCAGCAACAGCAACAGCAGCAACAACAATATGAGGAAGAAGAAGAAATGATAGAAGATCCTCGATCATTTAGATCAGGAGAAGAGAGTGAAGAACTCCATGAAGAACCATCATCATTTCATTACCAAGAAGAGAATGACGATGATTATATGATGATTGACCCATTTCAGTAATTTCTTTGCTTTGAGGAGCTACATGAAAACTACCTACACGATACTGATACTCGTATGAGTGTTGAAGACAACTTGAAAGGTTTCCAAGAGCTTAAAACAAACAAAATAAAGTGATCCAAATTAGGAAGAAATAGTCACAGATCAACGTCATCCATACTGTCGGCATCTAAACCTTCGAAAACATCAGTAGCCGTTGTTATAATTTTTTTCTTCTCTTTGTTATTGCTTATATTACCACCATGTCAGCCCCAGCTTCAGCAGCCCATCGTTTACACGTTCAATCTCTTTATAAGCGTTCTTTAAAGCTCTCGCTTGATTGGTACATTCAACGTGATCTTTGGCGCCAAAAGGCTTTGCAAATCAGAGCTCAATTTGACCAAAACAAGCATGTCGCTAACCCTAAAGAAATTCAAGCTCTTGTTCAAAAGGCCGAGAATGAACTCAAGGAATGGGCTCATCCTGATCCTTATAAATGTAACTTTTTTTTTCTCTTTATTTATGTACATACTAACCTTATACCTAATAGTGCCTATGGGTCCTGAAGGTACTAAATGGGAACGTAACCTTCCTCCTATTGTTGTAAGTGTATAGAATCATGTCAGACAAGAATGATGACTTATGTGCTTTATAGAACGACGCTGCCGCTCATCATCACTAAATGCAACATGTTTTTGTTTAATAAACCCGTATTACCAAAAAGAACATTGATTCGAATCACATATAACAAAAGGAATGCTAAAGAGGAGTTCATACAAGTAGAAAAGAGAGAAAAGGGTTGCCATTAGATGAAAGCAGTCCTAATCTATGGTATTTTAAAGCAACTTGAGGATACACCATTTGCATTCTTTTTCTTTTTTTTCTGTTTTTTTTCTGTTTTTTTTTCATGGCTTTTGCTTCTTCTCGTCTAAATAACGTCAAAGAACACTTGAAGGTAGATTGACATAAGCCTAGTTCAAGAAATATTCATGCATGTTAGCCCACCATGTCTACACATAAAAGTCCTATTACCTGTCATGTCTTGATTGCTTCCACAGGTACTCCAGGCGAACATATTGATGTCAAAATAGAAAAACTTGATCCTCAAGGATTTACTGTGCTCTCTACAGCGTAACTATAGCATGTAGATACATGACAGAGTTGCTTATGTTTTGTTAGTCAAACCAATCATGATGGTCGTTGCCCTACTTTATTGCCTGAAGGATACAAGGCAGAAAAGGGAATTTATCGCGTTACTTTTGAGACACAAGCCTACTTTTCAAAGCACAATCAAGCCTGTTTTTATCCTTATGTTCAGGTAAGCTTTGTTCAAGTCATTCCTTTTATTGACATGTACAGATTGTATTTGAATTGGCAAATCCTGAACAACATTATCATATTCCTTTATTGATTAGTCCTTATTCTTACACTACGTATCGTGGAAGTTAAATATACATAAAAGGGTATATTTATGTGTAACCGAGAAATGTGATTTAATAGTAATAAAAAAAAAAAGATTAACTGGAAACGTAAAATGATTATTTACAACAAGAGGAAAGGGGGAATCAATGTGTTTCTTCTAAGCAACAACAGCAATGATGCGGTTTCTAAAGACTTGCCATTTCGTCAAAGGCTTTCCGTTTTCATCTAAATTGTCATTTTCACGAATATCCATCACAGAAGCATGGAAAGTACCACTTTCAAAGTCCATGTCAATGTTCTTCACAAAAGGAGGACGGAACCAAGCTCGGTGACCTACATAGAGCAAGATACCCAAGATCAAACCGATGTAACTACCAAAGAAACCAGAAGGTGTCACAGGTGGAATAAAAACAGAATAGCCTTGACCAAACACAACAATCGTACAGATCACAATCACGAAAATATCGGCGTAAGGGAAAAGAGGAGCCACGTAGGGAAGAGCCGTCAAGGAACGACCTTGTGCAAGGTAGCCTTGACGGAAACGAATGTGGGTGATAGAGATAGCAATCCAAGTAATCAGACCAGCCAAGGCAGTCAAGTCTTGTAGCCAAGTGAACACAATACCAGAACCAATAAAGGAAGTCAAGAAAGCAATACAGCCGATAAGACAAGTAGCCAACACAGACCAAATAGGAATACCCCATCGATTCACACGTTTCACAAAGCGAGGAGCATAGCCATCGTCGGCCAAAGCCAAAAGGGTACGCGAGGAAGAGTAGACACCTGAGTTACCAGCAGAAATCATGGTGATCAAGATAATGGCGTTCATAAAGTCAGCAGCCCAAGGAGCGCCTGCTTTTTGGAACACAAGTGTAAAGGGAGAGACAGCAACATCACTAGAACCGTGCAAGAGGTCAGGATCTGTGTAAGGAATCACAAGAGCAATTACAAGGATAGAAAGGAAGTAGAACAAGACAATACGGAAAAAGATTTGCTTCACAGCAAGAGGAACTGTCTTGTGAGGGTTAGCAGATTCACCAGCAGTGATACCAAAGAGTTCAACACCGTTAAAAGCAAAGGCAGCTGAAAGGAAGACGTTAAAGACACCCAAGAATCCAAAGGGGAAAGCACCACCTTCTAAATGGAAGTTACTGACACCATAGTAAGTACCGCCTAGACCTGTATCGACACAGAGACCAACGATAATAAAGACAATGACAACCAAGACCTTGATAAGCGAGATCCAATATTCAACTTCACCATAACCTTTGACAGAGACAACGTTGATCAAGACGAGAATCACAAGACAGACAATACTCCAGACGACTGTGTTGACATTCTTGACCCAATATTCCATGATCATACCGACACCTGTCAATTCAAGAGCAACACCGATGGCCCAATTAGCCCAGTAGATCCAGCCAACCATAAAGCCAAGAGAGGGATCAGCAAAACGAGTAGCAAAATGAGAAAAGGAACCAGCCACAGGAATATAGGCAGCCATTTCACCTAAACCCATCATGACACAGTATACGATCAGACCACTGATACCGTAGGCTACAAGTGCACCACCAGGACCACCACTTGAAATGGCAGAACCTGAAGACATGAATAGACCAGTACCAATCGTGCCACCCAAAGCAATCATTTGAATATGACGGGCCTTGAGGTTACGCTGTAACGTATGGCTCTTGGTAGTTTCTTCAAATTCGACCGAGGCAAAGCTTTCAGCACTTTCAACTATGGTTTGATCACCCACTTGGGTTTTTTCTATAGGATCTGTCATGATGCTGAAATAAGTGTTATAATTGATATTTAAAAGATGATTTGATTCGTGGCCAAAGACCCGGATTTTTTTTTTTTTTTTTAAAAAAAAGAGAGAGATAAAAAGAAAAAAAGAGGGATCAAGGAACAAGCTAATAAACAATCAAATACTCTTTTTTTATATCCAAGAAAAAAAGGTTGACATTTCAATTCCCGAGATTCTAACTACATACGCATATTTAAAAAATAAAGAAGAGAGACTATAAGAAAGGACATAAAAAAGAAGATCATTTTATAACAAACAAAAGGAAAGCTTTGTATTACTTTGCTACATAATTCTTGATCTAATCTTCATTGTAAAATAAAGTTTTTGTTTTTTTTTTAATTTTATAAAGATTTTTACATCAACAAGATGGGTTGGTTGTGAAATAAGATTGGATGACACTGTATAAGACAAAGTCTTATTGGTAAACTACTCAAGAATATTGTGTCAGTCTGATTCTTTTTTATTGGTTAGATCGATATGAATCATCCAAAGTAAAATTCTTTAAAAGAGCGAAGTTGGGTTTACTATCCTCGGTATTGTCTTGTCTGTGCTCCAATGCAGCTCATTACTGCTTTAAACCAAGACATGTTACACTCAAATGAAGGATTCCAAATGCATTACCAAAAATGAGATACTTGTTATCTGATAAAAAAAAAAAAAACTTCCCTCACTTTTTTTTTAAAAGTTGATAGGATACGCTTGTTAGTAGAGTTCATTAAAAATAAAAAGAGACCCTTATTTAAATCATGACATAAAGGTTGAATGTCCGATAGTAAAAGCTTTGAATTATGGGTATTACGTTTGCCAATCAAACGCTGAGATTGAATTACCAAATTCATTTTTAAAGTGGGACAAATAAAAAAAAAGAAAGGATAGCATTTTACTTGAGTCAGCTCCATTGATTAGAGAAAGCCAATTCCCCCCCCCCTTAGAAAATGAAAGTTGCACTGTTTACATACCTTTCTATTTAACCTTTATAAATTCCAATCAATTGAATTGATCATATGAATAGATAGATAGATGTCTATGTGCAACACAAACTATCAAGATTTTAATTCTTTGTTAATAACAGTTGCAGTGATATTTTTAGACTCAGTTATTATTTTTTTATTTTTTTGTAGACTTCTATGATGGCCGGAACAAACCATTTCTCAACTACACAGACTTATGGTTATTGACTATTGAATTATTAAAGCACATACTTCTTTTTTTTTTATTGTTGTGATTTAGATAGTTCATTTGCTTTGAACAGCCACCATCCAATCCATGCATGAGGGTACAACATCCAATCAACAACATTTGATTGGCTGTCGAGTTTAAATGCAACGTCATGCAGTTCTTTTCTTTCTTTCTTTTTTCCCTTTTATTTATTTCTCCATCATGACTAAAACGACTCATCTTACTTTACCAAACGAAAAGACAGAAGCAAAGCGATGGCTTGTTATAGGAGCATATCAAGCAGGAGCCAATGACAAGAAAATAGCTCGTCTTTGTGGATTAAATCAATCAGCTGTTCGTCGTATCATTTTGAATTTCAAAAAAACAGGCTCACCAAGCATACCAAGAGGATTGTCTGCCAGAGGTAAGTCATCTCTGTATTGAATCTCACTAACATCAGACTAGATAAATCAAAACCATTTATTGAATATGATGAACAAGGTCATATCATTGATAGTGAAGAAGAAGAAGAAGAAGTTCAAGTAAGATAGATACTATCGTATGCATCCACTGATACAGTTTGATTAGCAAAGTGAATTAAGTAAAAAGATCAGAGCAAGAAGACCTTCTGCTAAAGATTTAATTGCTTATGTATTAAACAAGGCACAGCAGAAACAGGCAAGTAAGGCCTATACACCATGGATCACTCATGTATAACAGACTACGTTTGTGAAACAAGAAGAAGAAGAAATAGTAGTAGAGGAACATACCAATAAATGGCGTCCACCTACCCCTCCACGTGACCCAACCCACCCCCCTCAAGCAACCAATCTAAATCACCACAGACGATCCATTCTTTCCCCTCCATTAAGTGAACCCTCCATTTCCCCTAAACCTAAATATGATACCATGATTCGTGGTTATGAAACATGGACAATGGAGGATGATAAGATATTAATGGCGCATGTATTGACTCGTCTTAGTGGTGGTCGATGGCAAGAAGTTTCTACTAAATTACGTAGTAAACATAGTCCTGAATTATGTGAAAAACGATGGGAAGTCTTGCGTGATTTACTTGTACGTGGTGCAGATAAATCAGGCACAAGAGGGTGGTAAAAAGTAATAAAATAAAACAGTTTATTGCATCAATTGCTTTACATGATTCACAAAGAAAGGAACAATCGCGGGTATCAATTCTAAATAGGGTCTTTCAATACCTTGATGAGATACATGACTACCACTGCTTCTACTACTTCTTCTGCTGATATCAAATTCAGATGAACCATCGTCACTGTCAAACACAAGTTCATCTAAATCTGTCGTCTTTGTCAGTTCTTCTTGTTCAACATCAGCCATCAGTCTCTTCTTTTGTCTTTCGATACGATACATCTTTTGTTGATAACGATAGTCACAAATAGCTTCAATCTCTTGATGAAGCAGGTTCAAGTCCTGTTGGGATTGAATACCTGCTTGTTGAATGCAGTCTTGTAAGTCGAGTTGACCAGGTAAACCTCGATCGACAAAAGTAAAGAGTGCGTCCAAATAGTGAATGAGATCATCAAACACACGTGAGGCTTCTTGACGATGGACATGATGAACAAATTCATAAAAGTGATGTTCATGTCTCTGAACAAGATCAATGAAGGGTTGAATAGAATCAGAGACAGCCTGCTTCTCTTCATAGTGTTCAACCACTTTGATGAGATCATCAATGAAGCAAGCAACATGGCGTATGGTTGTACTGATATCAGCAGCCTTATAGACTTGAGCCAAGGGTTGATAAAACACAGCAATGAATTCTTTCAGCAATTCACCTGTGACACCTTGAAAGACCAAGTTCATCATACGCTCTTGTTCGTACTGTTGTGCATATAATTCCCAAAGACGTACCATGCATTTCTTGGTGTCTTTGGTGAAAGTGGTCTGTGCTTCAGAAGAAGAAAGTATAGGTGGAATAGCATCATTGGCCAAGATAGCCATCACGGCTGTTAGACCATCTTCTGGGAAATCAGTGTCTGGAGGCAAAGGTGTTCTGACTGCCTGGAACAGTTTTTTACAAATCTGTTCATCACCTATGCTGGTCTCTAATGTGTGAATCTCTTTTTCAGCTGACTTGTGCTCTTCACTCATGTTTGAAATCAGGATTCTAGTCTAAAGTATCAATATTACTCATCCACCTTCTTTTACTCTCTACCTTTGAAATAGACTTTTTCCGCCAAAAGGTTGTGCCAAAAACAAGTCAAGAATACTCTTGACAATCAACATTGGATTCGAGAAACGAAGAATAAACCCAAGTGTCTTGTAAGGCATTAAACCATGCGTACGACGTAAACTATTGAAATGTTCGGTGGCTGTATCTAATGCAACAAACTGACGATGAAGTGCAAATGCAAAACTAAATAAGCACATATCAATGTAAACCATCATCATCAGCATAAGGCACTTACTTGATTCGACCCCACTCAAATGTCTTTTTCAGATTGTCAGGTAAATCATGTACAGAAGGGGTTTTCTTGATGATTTCAAAGATCTCAATCAGCCCACCTGGTTTAATGATCTGCTGCTTCAGTTCTTCTAATGTCTTGTTTAATTCAAACACACGTCTGTCTAATTCCTTCTTGAATTCAGCTTGTTCTAAAGATCTTTTTTGATCTGCTTCTTCTCGTTGGATTGTATCTTGTTCTTCTTGAGGTGTAAGTACAACAGGATTCTCTGTAAGGAATTGTTGAAGGACATGGCTCTTTTGTATCTGAATCTGTTGTTTAGTGGGTTGCTCTCCTTGTTGACCTGTCAAACTGAACAGAAACGATCGGAGTAACAATCGGTCATGATCTCGATAGCCGTCCTCTTCTGAATCCAGTGTTGATTTTGAAGGTACAGGAGGGATATCCATCTGCTTGAAATAGCGTTTGAGTTCTTGTCTCATTCTACGGAATTCGCCGTGTCTTCTGGCAACATACACAGGTGCTTGATGTGGAAACCGAGTCTCAATCAGGAATTCAGGATGGGCAACATGTCGGAGTGTCTTTTTTTGATGTGCTTGTCGGACAGTCACGATATTCACCTGAAACGTTTGTTTGTCTTTATCAGGTGTATCTGGACCAGGATCGATACGAATGCTTTCTTCTTCACCCTGTACTGTCTTGATACAAGCACAGTAAGCAAACACTAATGATTTCTGAATTTTGTATTGAATTTTCTTTCGATGCATAGCGCTGTCTGACTTGGAGGGAGCATAATGATGGTGGAGATGGACTTTGTTGAATTCTTCTAAAAGCAATTTACATTTAGGCCAGAATTGATCATCGCATGTATGCTGTAAAAGTGGGAATTGGATCACTACATGATCAAACACATAGCGTAAAAATATGAGTTCTGATGTTTGTAGGCTGGATAACAGATCAGAATGATTCAACAATTCAATCTCTTTTTGTAATTGTTGCGTAATCAATTCTCGTTTAAAATAATGTAATGTTTTAGGTGTAAAGTTCATAAAGAAAAAGAAAAAGAAAGAAAGAAAGAAAGAAATTTATAGCCATGCCTTTTATTCAGGACATTGATAATGACGTACAGTAATAAACCCCCCTTACTCACTTTTTCATCACTGTTATCGAATACCCAATGAAATCATTTTTCCTTTTATCCTTTTTCTTTTGATTTTTATAGATGCCAAAAATCGTTTCTTCTTCTATTGTGTCTTCTTCTGATCATCCTGCTCAGAAAGAACAAGAACAACCTACTCATCTTCATGTGTATTATTGTCTATGTTCTGAATTCTTACTGGTGATTGATGCTGATCTTCGACAATTAGCGAGAAGAAGAACAGACAATGCGATTATTGTGTCCAACACGAAAAGAACCTATAAACTAACAGCAGAAGCAGAGGATTGCGTCTTACTCAAGAGAAAAGAAGGCTACGAGAAACAATACAGATACCATTGTCCACGTAAGTTGTTGTGATTGACACGATAGATTGAGTATCATCATGTAGGTTGTCATTTGACCATTGCATATGAAATGAACGAACATCGCAAAAGTGGTGAATTTACCTACATTCTAGACGGTGCATTAACAGAAACACAAGGAAGAGCACCACCGAATGCTATTATTGATGTCTTTACACCTTTGACTGTACAACCCTAATAATAAACCCTTTTTTTTTTTTTTTTTTTTTTTTTTTTTTTTTTTATTCCATAAATTCAATGGAAGGAAATGCATTTTGACTAAAACTTTTGACCATTTGTTCTAGTGCACGATGATCCTGAGGACAATGTTTAGCAAACAACTCAATGGCTTTTGCTTGGTATTCAATGCGATGATGGAATTGTTCCATCTCTAACTTTTGACGTTTTAGACTGACTGGATCTAACATAACATCATCAGAAGAGGAGGGTATGCATATGCGGTTTCTTCTTTTTAAGCTAGCATTTTTTTGTCTTTTACGTTGTTTAGTAGACGGTATCACTTGTAATTCATTCACTTGTTGTTCTATACAAGGTGATATGTCTCCTTCTTCTTCTTCTTCTTCAACTTCTACTTGTTCTTCATGTAATAAATCTTCATTGTCTTCAAGGTAAGGTCGTAATACAAAGAAAAAAGGAAATCTGGATTTAATAGCAGCTAATAATCAAAAATCAATATCAATACACCAACCCCTTGATCATTCTATACCTTCAAATTTATCTTTGCCATTAGGATAATGAGGTATGCCTCTACTATCAAGATGCATCACTTCAGGCGCATCTCCTTTAGAGGATTGAATCAGTTGTTTAGTAGCCTCATATTTCTTCAAGAGTTGAGTAATAGCATTTCGAATGTCTCTTGTTGTTCTTCGATGAAGTGCTTTTTGTCGATGGAATTCTCTAAGAACAGTACGCAACATGGGTTCTTTTTTACCATCACCTTTTCCTTTACCTAACCATTCATTCAATAATTCACCTTGATTAGCAAGGATGATTTCTACAAGACGTTCATTTGAAGTCTTATGGTCTTCAACAAGGTCAGCATCACAGTCCCAATGTACCATATGAATAAGATAATAAAGAAACAAAAAAAAAAAACGCGTTTACGCCCCCCCTCCCCCTCCTTTTTTTTTTATATTTATTTATTTATTTTTATTGGAGCAAACAAATCATGCAAGTTTTATTCGTCAAATCAGGATAAAATCAGGTTCTTATTTGTTTGTATCACCTCAAACTTTAGGAAATGGATTGTCTTTACTGAGGACAAGAAACATCTTTTCATGTGATAAATAACCCTTCATATAGCCCTAATTCAAATGTGAATAAACCATGCTCAATAGATATTTGCTTACTTTGTAAATCATGTTGGCCAACATCCATTCTACTTCTTCCAGTTCAATCTTCATGCCTTCAAATGCTAAGGCACGTTGAAATAGGCCAATAGGAATTCTGGTATTTAAGCCCATGATAAGATAAATCTTTCGAAACAGTTGTCGAATAGCAATCGATTCTGCTTTTTCCATAGCAAAATAAGTGCCTTGTCGAATCAACAAGGGTTCAGAGGCAGCCAGTGCTGTATTGAATGCTTTGACATTGCCCTTTTGGATCGATTCTGCTACATCTCGGTACAAATCTCTTATTCTAGGGAACTGATCAAACAACTTGGTTGTGGGTACAATACCACGCATCAATTTCACAGGCAATAAAGTCTGTAGAATCAGTCTAACATTAAAAAAGTGAGTCTCTTGACAGGTTGAGATAGATCAACCTACTCTTTGTTTTTAGGTTTCTTCCTAGTACATTCTTTAAAAGCCAAATCGAGTTCATGCTCTGCCTTGACATAATCTTCTTCTAAAAAGTAAAGACGACCTAGATAATACCGAAATGTTACTCGATCACTTTTAGGAAACACATCCAATGGCGGTAAATCAGCAGCCTTGACCGCACGTAAAATATTTTTGCACAAGTTTTGTTGCTTTAGTTTAAAATAGATACGAAACAAGATGCCAATCATACAATATGTGCCGTATTTCTTGGACACCTGAAGGACAGCTCGGTCAGTAACACAAGCAGTAAAGGATTTACTGATCACATTGGCTGCTTCTTCTAGTTTTCGACGTTGACCTTCTTCTACAGGGGAAATGAGATCTGCTTGAGTGGCAATGATCCGTAACTCATTGTTGATCGTATAAAGAGCCACAAGACACCAACGCGTCAGATTGGGCAGTATCTTTTGAAATCCTCTAGATACGCGTTTTAATGCTTGGTGTTGTTCGTTTCACTTACTGTACGACTTCTTTTTGCGAATCAAAAGCAGACACATAATCTTGTTGATCGACATAAAGTACTGTTTTAATATGGTTCAAGATGATATCTGTCCAAGGGGATTCGAAGTTTCGAGCACATGCTGATTCAATGTCATCCAACTAGACAAGTGTTATGCCTATCATTACACACTGCTATTCTTACTTACTGTGATAGATTGATCAATCAATAGTTTGGTATGTTTGGTATCATCAATAGAGAGTAAACTAGAGATATGCTTTCCATTTTCATTACCGAGGTTTCCCTTTATTTTATTAAAATAACCTTGGATACGATTCATGTTGAAAGAAATAAAGAAAAAAAAAAAGAGACGTGACTCTGTAATTTACTTCTTTTATATATATATTATGATTGTTCTATCAAGACAAGTCAGTCAGTTACCTTCACTAGGGTAATAAGACATCGCATATGATCAAAACTAACAAGCAACTAGTCCATTCAACAAAAAAAGGCTTTTTTTGACTTCACTTCGACACGTATTCAAGTAAGAAAACATGATGATGCATCGTATTGAAGTTGGATAGAAAACCCAAACCATTACCTGTACCCACACCCGTTCCTTCTGTTCAATCCCATCATGGGAAACAAAGACAAGATTTATTTTCATGGATGGAAGATTTGTCTGACCAAGTAAGTCATACACCAACAGATCCAGAGGCTGATGAACATGTAGCATATTGCTTCTTATATTCAATCTGAAAATGAGTAAACAACAATGACACCTCCAACATACATAATAACATGATCTAGATATACTCGTCGATGTATGCGTCAACACAAGTTCCTTCAAAAGATTGTATTGCAAGAAATGAAACGTAAATTACATGTACCTCATGCATTACCGCCTCTCAAGACAACCACGCATGGATACGAGTATTATTCCAAGACATCTGCTTATGGGATGGTTTATTTGAGAAAGAAATTAGGCCAAGAGACAGAGGTAAAAAAAAAAAAAAGCAAAGTGGGATAGTATAGGCTGATACATAAGCAGCAAGTATTATTAAATACAGGTTTCCTGAGATCCATGAATATGTCTGTTCGCAAAGTATTATTGTCACCAGATCATTCTATCTTTGCTTATCATACAGAGCGAGAAGGTATTGAATACGGCGAATTACATTTTAAAGACTTGAATGATCGTCCACCTTGGGAGGTAAATACAGCAGATAAACAAAAAAGAAATAACACACGACAAGATATTAGAGAATGTCTTTAATTTTGTATGGGCTCATGATCAAATGGTATACTATACAGTCCCTAATGCACAATTAAGACCCTATCAAGTCTATGCTCATCGTATGGGTACTGAACAATCAAATGATGTATTGGTCTATGAAGAACTAGACGATACAGTCTTTGTAGACATTACCAGTTCAAAAGATGGTGTAAGATACATGTACTTTTAAAATAAGTTTGCTTATGTTGACAGAAATACGTCACTATCAATGCAAACACACTCTCTTCTTCAGAAGTCAGAGTGATTCGTACTGATCCTGATGTTGAGCCTTGTGTTCAACTGGTGGAACCCCGTATGCCTGGTGTCGAATATTACGTAGACCATCATCATGTAAGTAGGATAGTTTGTATGTATGTATGTGAACTTATCATTCCAACAGGATACTTTTTATATTTTGACCAATGCAGATGGTGCTACTAATTTCAAATTGGTACAAACACCCGATCATGCATTAAGCAAACACCATTGGCAGGATGTGATTACCATGAGACCCACTGAGAAAATAGAAGATGTGGATCTTTTTCAGGTAAGTCTATCGTCATGTATGTAGAATTGACAGTAGAATAGAATCATGTTGTCGTGTATGGTAAAAGAGATGGTTTACCCATGATCCTCTGTCATAATCTAGTATCCAAAGAGACACACCAAGTGAAGTTGCCAGAAAAATTTTGTGTTCTTTATCCTGGCACTAATCTTGTAGGTCACTATGATGTGTGCACCAGTACTGATAGAAACAGGATTTTAATACAGACACATTTCGATTCTCGATTCAATCCCCTTTTACGCATGAATCTACATTTGAATATGACATGACAACAAAAAAGTTGCATCCTGTTCGCGTTCAGTCCATCAAAAGTAAGTCTATTGTCATCCTACTCAGTCATTGAATCCAATAGATTTCGATCGATCAAAGTATATGTGTAGTCAGGTCCATGTCGAGGCCCATGATGGTAAACGCATCCCTGTCACTTTGTTGCATAAAAAGAACTTGGAGCTGAATGGAAGGTATGTTTTATTTGCCGCGTGATTGCCCATCTCTTTAACCATGCCATTAGAAACCCAGTCTTGATGCGGTCTTATGGTGCTTATGGTACTTGCACAGACATTGAATTTAGAGTAGAACAGTTTCCCTTGTTAGAGCGTGGATGGGTCATTGCTTTAGCCCATGTCAGGTAATCTATAGAAGCATAGATGTATGGACTTATGTGTATATATAGAGGTGGAAGCGAATTAGGCAGAGATTGGTATGAAGATGGCAAATTAAGCAAGAAGATGAATAGCTTTAAAGACTTTATTTCAGTGGCAGAACATTTAGTGGATTCTAAATTGACTTGTCCTGATTCTTTAGCAGCCATGGGTACGAGTGCAGGTGGTTTATTAGTGGGAGCCATGTTGCATATGCGACCTGATCTGTTCAAGGCACTTGTGTTAAAAGTGCCATTTGTAGACCCACTTTCTTGCATGCTAAACCCATCTTTGCCCTTGACTCAGATCGAGTATCCTGAATGGGGCAATCCCACCACAGATCCAGAAGCCTATGATTTGATCTCTGCTTATTCGCCTTATGAAAACATCACGCCTGCTTTATGTCAATCAGCCTCATTGCCTTCTGTCTATATGACAGGTGGCATGAAAGATCAGCGTGTTGCGTATTGGCAACCCCTTAAATTAGTGGCTCGTATGCGACATTATGGTTACCCTAAGTCTGCCTTACTCAAGATAGACTTGGACCGAGGTCATTTTGGAGGTGGTATGGCAGAACAAGACAGTCAATTGTCCAATGTAGCTGAACAAGTGGCCTTCTTAATCTCTCAAATACAAAAATCATAAAAATTGTTTATTAAGATCTTGATTTCATACGCTTGGCTTTACCAGGTCGTTTAAGGCTACTCTTTTTAGATAGAGACATACCCTTTTTAGCAGGATTAGGTGTAGATCCCTGAACTCTTTTTCTTTTGCCCAAGGCATATTTGGCATCCTAAACAACGTTTATAAGTTGAGATTGGTCCTAGTGACTTACTTTTGTATCTCTTGTATAGTTCTTGGCAGGCCTATCTTCTTTGTTTGGATTAGTGGCAGCTGCTAATCGTTCTGCTTCTTCTAGATCAATGTTGAATTCATCATCCAGTTTAATTTCAGCACCATCCTTTTTCTCTGCCAAACAACATAAGTCAACAGACAAAAATGAATCAGACACTTACTTCGCAAAAGTAATTTTGCTCTTTCGTTTGTCTTTTGTTTCTTTTGTTCTTTGTTAAAAATATGTAATCGACGCAATGCTTCTTCGTCCCCGTCTTTTGCTTCTTCCAATAGTCTCTGACGTACCATTTCCATTTGTTTATCATCCTTAAGCATAGGTGCAATGAAATTATCTGGTTTAAAGAAAGCAGCTCCTTCTTTCAGTGTACGTTCTCGGCCTAGATAGGCTGCTTCCAATGCTTGTTGATAAAATGCTTCTTCACGCAAAAGATCATCAAAGACATCGGCTACTTGAATAGGTTTTGTTGAAGTAACTGTCAAGGATTCCATCCAAGGTAGATCGAGCTTGATATCGTCTGTGATGCGTTCAAGTGCATCCTAGTTTATTTATGAATCAAGGCTTCGTGTGTTGTCTTGCACCTACCTCATTGTTTACAAGTAATCTTTGTTCGATCACCATATCGCCATATTCATCATCGATATCTTCTTCATCGAGATCTTCTAAACGAACCCACTCAGGTTCTTCCATGGTTTGATCTTGTGTGTTCATTAAGAAAGAAAAGTATTTTTTTTTTTGACAGCAAACACGCTTGTGACTATTTTAAACGCAGAAAAGAGTTTTTTTTTTTTTTTTTTTCACTCTTCTTCTACTACTACTTTTTGTACATCCACCATGGGTATTGTCGAGAAAATCCAAGACATTGAGAACGAAATTAAACGTACTCAAAAGAACAAAGGTACAAAAATAAAACAAATAAAATAAAAGGTGCCTATACTCAAATGTTTTCTACCTAGCTACTGAATACCATCTCGGTCTTTTGAAAGCCAAGTTGGCAAGATACCGTGTTCAACTCTTGGAAGGGTCCAAAACCAAGTCAGAAAAGGTAAAAAAAAAAAAAGGTAGACGTTAAACATAGAATAACAAACAGGTGGTTTTATAGGGAGAAGGTTTTGATGTGATGAAATCAGGTGATGCGCGTGTAGTCATGATTGGTTTCCCTTCTGTGGGTAAATCTACGCTGCTTTCTAAATTGACCAGTGCTGAATCCGTGGCTGCTGCTTATGAGTTTACGACATTGACATGTGTGCCTGGTAAATTTACCTATAAAGGGGCTACTATTCAATTACTTGATTTGCCTGGTATTATTGAAGGTGCTTCTCAAGGTAAAGGTCGTGGTCGTCAAGTGATTGCAGTGGCTCGTACTGCTGATGTTGTCTTGATGATGCTCGATGCAACCAAATCAGCTCAACAAAGGTAAACTCAATGTCAAACAAACAGAGGATTGATACACTATAGACCTTTATTAGAAGCAGAATTAGAAGCTGTGGGTATTCGTCTTAACCAAAGTTTCCCCAACGTCTCTTTCAAGATCAAAAAAGCAGGTGGTATCAGTTTTAATGCGACTGTCAAACTCACCAAGATTGATCAAAAGATGGTACATAATATCTTGCATGACTATAGTAAGTGACAAAAAAGAAGAAGCAATCTTGGTGAATGATAACTGACATGATCGTCCAAAGAAATCTTTAATGCAGATATTGTGATTCGTGAAGATATCAATGTAGATCAATTTATTGATGTTATCCTTGGTAATAGAAGATACATCAAGTGTATTTATGTAAGTGGGTTCAATAGATATCAATAGACTGACACAGTCAACCAAAGTGTTATAACAAGATTGATCAAATCAGCCTGGAAGAAGTGGATCGTTTAGCCCATGAGCCTGATACGGTTGTTGTGTCTTGTGAAGATGATCTCAACTTGGACTATCTGGTAGAGACCATTTGGAAAAAGTTGAATTTGATGCGTGTCTATACAAAAAAGAGAGGTGAATACCCTGATTTCGGTGATGGTCTTATTGTGAGAAATGGAGCTACGATTGAACATGTATGCCATGCTATCCATAGAACATTAGCAGATAATTTTAGATATGCCTTAGTTTGGGTAAGTTGCTGAATAGAAGCCATTGTCTTGACTCTGTTTAGGGTACATCAACAAAGCATAATCCTCAGCGTGTTGGTATCAATCATTATGTTGGTGATGAAGATGTTGTGCAGGTTGTAAAGAAATAAACCAATCAAAAGCATAAAAGTGAGTAGTGTAGTGTCATTTTAAATTCCTTATGTTTAGACCAAATAACAATCTTTTTTTTTTTTTGTTACATTTTCTTTTTCTATTGAAATATGCCCTTTATTATCAGTGAAACTAATTGGAGAAATAAATGCTTTGATTTTCATCAATGGTGTAAAATTATCTCAATAGGCTTAAATGTGATTTATATGGTAAATATAGATACATGCTTTTTATTTCATATGGACTTTAACAAAGCAAGATTCAAACATTTGAATATATTTACGAAGCAGGCTCACATATGGGTAAGCATATATGTACTTTGTGAATTGATTTATTAAGGGGGGGGGGGAATAAGATGATCATACAGTGTCACTCCAGTTTGGATTTCAAATTGTTGTTGGATGCCTTATGCTAGTTTGTTTAATAGCTGATCTTGTGGTTCTTAATACAGTAAGAACATCTCTCTTTTATTCATGTTACTCATCTCTATCAGTCAAAATTAGCTGTTGCAGATTGGTATTGGAGACCTGGTATTTTCTTCTTTACGTTTACTTGTGGAAATGAAATCATTGCTATCACTGACTTAATGTTGAATGAAGATGTCGTATTTCAAAACTGCCAACAAAGACTGGTGAATGCAACAAGAAGCCAAGTCATTTCATTGATTTCAGAGATCTGTAGTATGCAAAACCAATTGAACCATTTGTATTCCATTGGTATCATGTTACGAGATATCTTGACTTGTGTAAATATATATATATATATATATATATACATATACATATACGAAAGATTTATAATGTTCTTTAGGGCGCTTATGCTACAGCAAGTTATTTTTATATGATACATTTAATTCAGGTATTAAAAAGAACTGTAGGCACAGCAGATACAGCGTTACATGTAATGACAAATAGTTACCAATATCCTATTACACAATAAACTGTATTTAGTATCGCCTTCTTCTATCGTCTCTTCTTCTGTCATCTCGTCTTCTATCATCTCGTCTTCTATCGTCTTTTCTCCTGTCATCTCTTCTTCTGTCATCATCTCTTCTTCTCTTGTCGTCTCTGTCATCCTCTTTTCTGGTCTTTGATCGCTTGGTTTCAAATACTAAATCATAATCATCTCGGCTATTGTCTTCACCTTCTCTGTATCTTGTTCTCTTTTGAAGATTATCAAAACCACCCATAGATTCTCTATTGCCTCCTGTGCGCTTTGTAATCCAATCTTTGTGTAGTTTTGAGACGGATTGAGAGAAATCAACATGAATACGACGGTCATCAATCAAGACAGACTGCATCTTGAAATAAGCCTATACAAGCATCAATCACATAGTGTCTACTCTATGCCTTATATTACCTCTTCAGCATCTTCTTTGTTTTCATATTCAATAAAAGCATAACTAAGTGAATCACCTGTCTGCCTATCACGAATAATTTCACAACTATGAATCTGTCCAAATCTCGAAAAGATCATCTCCAAGTCTTCATCGCGTGTCACCGGATTCAGTTTGCATACAAACAAGACGTTCTCAGGTGGTTTTACCTCTGCAAAAGGTAAGTCGCCAATCATTTCTAATGTCAGTGCATGCGCCTTGGCTTCTCTTTCACGGGCTCTTTTTTCAATTTCTTCAGGATCGCCCATTTCTTCTAGATCTTCATCATCAGCAATACGCATGGATGCCATCTGTTCTTTGGTGGGTAATGGGGATTCATCAGGCACTTGGAGCCCCTCAGGATCTGGAAAAGGGTCATCCAAAACAATCGTGTGCTTGATTCGAATGTCGCGAAATGGTCTGCCCTTGTCATCGCAATACGCGTCATTGATTTTATCAAGCACATCAAATCCTTCTGCTATTTCACCAAACAAGGTGTATTTGCCATCGAGATAATCAAGATCGTCACCTAATGTAATAAAAAACTGACTTCCACTCACGCCACCACTTTCAATAGAAGCATCTTGTGCCACTGCCATCGACACCATGCCACGCTTTGTATGTTTGAGTTTGGGATTAATTTCTGCAGGAAAATAGCGTTGTGAAGGGCCATGAAGAATACCATAGATAGATTCGCCTTGATCACCCTTACCAGTGGGATCACCTGTTTGTGCCATGAAATCCTTTTGTACATTAAAGAAAGGTGCAAAGTTGTAGTATTTGATCTTGCACAATTTTAGGAAATTGAGTGTTGTCTTGGGACACTCGTCTGTATAAAGGTCAATCACAAGATCGCCAAGGGAGGTCTCTATCAAGACAGACTAAATAGAATTGAGTTCATGTAAACTAGTTGATTGTTTCGTTACCATCAATAAATATCAAAAGAAGAAAAGAGTTTATTCAACAAACAAATTAAAAAAGAAAAAAAAAAGCGGTGGGGTGTATATAGTGCACAAGTCAGTGTCAAGGTATGTGAGCTTACAGCGAAAGGGTATATGTCATATGGCTGTAGTGATCATTAGCATGCTTATTTCGTTTCATCAGTCAAGACGCCAAAACCAGAGTCATTGTTTAAAAAAGGGACATCCACTAAAGAAGGAGCATGGTTAGCATAGGAAAGCGTCTACAACATGACTTACAATGATCATCATTGGAGGTACTTGATCTGCTTGTAAAAGACACACTGCTGTCTGAATCCTCTTCCACTTGAGGTTTTGGTTTCTTTCTAAACACAACTCGTTTTCTAACTTGCTTTGTGGGTTGCTCTTGCCTTTCTTTGGTAGCAAGTTCATCAAGTTTGCCTGAAAACAGACTGGTATGAAACTGAATCTGTTCCATATGTTCCTTATGCATGGATTGAATAAGTGTCTGCAATTGCTTGTTTTGTGTTGTTAGCCAATATATATCTGACTTTAGTTCATCTAGATACAGTGCTTGTTTGTTCATAAATTTCTTTGCTTGGTGGAGTTCGTTTAATGCTCGGTTAAGTTCATCCTTATGGTCCTGACCAGCCATGTCTCTTTGTTGTCTAAGATGAGGTACCATAGTATGATTGACCCATTCTCTATAGATATTGAATTGCTGTACAAGTTTCTCCACAAGACTGGATTTTTCATGGATTGTTTGTTCTTTCCCGTCAATCGTGGTGAGTAAAGCATCCACTTCTTCCTCTTTGAGTTCGATACGAGACGTTAACTGACTGAGTGTGCTTTGGTGTTCTTGGATATCCAGTGTCAACTGTTGGTTCTGTGTTTGTAGTTCTTTAGATTGCTGTTCAGAAGCAACCAGCTGCTTCTCAAGCAAATTATTGGATTTTGTAAGTGATGAAACATGGTGCCCCAATTGATCTAATTGCATTTGTTTTTGTGTAGCATCGGCTTGTGATTCCGAAAGGTGAGCCGATAATGTGTTCATTTGTGCCTCAAGTGATTCGTGTTTCTGCTGACTGAGATGCTGGGCTTGCTCCAATTGCTTTATTTTGGTAGCACTGTTGTCCAACGCCATGCGCATGGTACTGATCACATCCTCTTTTTCTTCAAGTACTTGCTTGTGTGTAAGCTGTGTTGATGTCAGTGTATCTTGTAATTGGTTGATTTTCTTCTGTAGCTGTGTTGCTTTTGATGTGATTTCTTGTCTGTTAATCTACCCAAAAGAAATTAATGCACGCTCAACAAAACAACATTCTACACATTACAGTTTTCTGAAGAATGCCATTTTTCGATCTGAGTTCAGCCAGTTCTGAATCTTTGTTGATCAAGATAGCCTTGACGTCTTTTTTCTCTGTTTCTAAAGACTGGATGACAAGTTCCATTTTCCTTGTTTTAGATAGCAAGGCCTCCATCTCTTTTCGATATATATCGCTCATGAAGTTCTTTCTATCACTTGCAATGGAAGAAACAGATAGACTTACTTCACTTAAAAGATCGGTACTATCTTCAAGAGAGTAAGTGCTACGCGTATCTCTTATCTAGACCGGAATGGCATACCTGTGCCCTCTGGAAATCGATTAGTTTGGTTTAGAAAACCATATCGCTTGTGTTTATTGGCATCATCTATGCCTACTTCATATTCTCCTGGTCCAGGCACATAATCCTTGGTCACTGTTCGTTTTTTTTTAAAAAAAAATAAGAAGAGGAATAAATATGAAATACAAGTACCTTCCGAAAACCTTTTTGCTTTTGAAAACATAACACAAAAAAAAAAAAAAGAAAAGAAAAAGAAGAAAAAAGAAAAAGTGAATTTGAAGCTATTTTATTAACACATTTCCCCCCCTCTCTCTCTCTCTCTCTCGCTTTCTCGCCATTCGTAGTAATCAACTCCTTCTGTATACGCTTAGTCAAAGCTATCATCATCGTCCTTTTGGGATGCACATAAAAGTTTTTGAAACAAAAATAGGCAAAGTCTATAAAAAGCTTTTTAGTTTTATTATACATGAAATTTGTATGCATGTGTATATATAAATGTGTGTACAAAAAGAGAAAATAAGCCGATACATGCTATTTTAAAACAACTTCTTGACTTGCTCAATAGCAAAGGGAGCTATATATAAAAATTAGTAATTGTCTTATTGCTTTATGTGTTCTTACCAGCACGAACAGCCAAAACAACAAAGACAAAGTTAGAAACAGTGGCGACTGTGCGTTGACGGAGCATAGCCTTTTGTTCGGGAGTAAGTTGAGGTTGCTATTGCTTTTATCAGTTTCTTTTGTTGCTTTATTGATGATAACTTACTTGAGGCATAAACATGTTGAACAAAAAGTTTTATTTCTATACAATAGAAAAAAGGGAAAAAAAATGTATGGCTTTTCCAATTTCAAGACTAAGGTTTTGGCACAAGAGTGACGTGTTATTGAGAAGAGCCAATAGAGATGTATTATTTTGGTGTCAGGATTTTGACATGACATTGGATTTCCGAGTCTTTGAGTTTGTTGTTGGTTTGAAAGAAACGGATGGATCTTTTTTTTTTCTCTAAATGTCTCAAAATGCTTGTTTGCTCAGTAATTCATCATAGCAAACTCTATGGGCTCGGTCGTCTTATCAAGTATCGACAGCTCAGCTTTTGGCAGCTTAATCAAAGTTAATCTTCTGCGAGGGAGACCTAATCTCTCTTTCTCTTTTCAGTATTTTCTACAAGCTTCAGCAGCATACTCTTTGCAGACAAAGAAGCATCATCATCTTTAACGTTGATATAAATGATTTGGCAGTGATGGGCCTAGAAGTGCATGGGATAATAAATCAGTTTTTCTCAAAATATGTTGTCAATGGTGACTAAAAATCATATATGAGGACATCGTACTCTGGTTAGAAGAGGCATGATGAATTCGTTTGATAGTCATTTAAGTGTATTCATGGAAGAACAAACTAATACACAAAATTGCATCACCACACGAAAGGGGGCAAAGAAACATGTTTGAGCACAGTCAAGCTTGTTGCACACCTACAAACCATGTTTACTAACATCCATGGTACCTTTGTAATTGATTTGGACAAAAAAAAAAGGCGACTTGTAAAATTTGGCCAAAATATGCCTTTTGACCAAAGGGTACTATCAATGAAAATCCTTAGTTTGACAACCCTTGATCTTCTTCTGGACGCTACAGGATGAAAAATGAAGCTATTGACAAGCTTAAATACTCAAAATGTGCGTCAAAGACCGTAGTTTCTGATTAACATATTTGTTTGCTAATTGTCCTATGCAAATGTTGAGATATAAGCAGAAAACCATGGAAACATCTTTGCCTATTTTCTCAAGACTTCAGCAGCAAATTTTCTGTATTCTATACATCAACAGAGCCATAAAGTAAGGATCTACAGCTTCTGTCACTGCATCAAAGCTTGATGGCGGCGTCTTCATGCAGTTCTCATCAAAAGCTGAAAAAATGCTTGATTTTTTATGCAGCAGGATGAAGTCGAGTTGTTCTGTTTCAATATCCGCCATCTGCCCTTCTGTATATCCTATGTCTATCTACTCTACATTCACATCATAAAGTATGCTGGTTTTTGCTTTCAGATGCTCTTTGTCATTATGAGTAGTATGTATCGTTTTCTGTAGCACCATTGCTAACAAGCTCTATATGTCATCCAAGTCAAAAATGCTCAAAACACACCTTAATGCACCAATCTTTAATGGACTATTGCTCGACAACTACATTATCAATAGGCCTTTTTTTTTTTAATTTAGATCATGTTTTTTGATCCCAGGAATCAAATGGTACCATTGGTTTGGCTGTTTTCTGAAATTCATTTTTTTTTATTATGGAGGATCACGAAGATGAAAAAACAAAACTCGATCAGGAATCTTTGGAATGATCCATTCTAAGTCTGATTCAACCGAGATCAGGCAAGACCATCTCAAGATACTTTCAAAGGAAAGAAAGCGAGCTTACTAAGATGAAACCATTGACTTAGTTTGAACATTACCTTCAAATTTGCATTTAAAGCTTGTGATACACTATAATCAGTACAAAAGAGGCCCATTTCGATAAGATTCGAATAGTAAATAGGCATTCTTTAAGCATCATTTGATGCGTGGAATGCGCAAGAGCAAATCGTATTATGATAGATGACACTTTGGAGGTCAAAAAGAAGAGCTTTGGACATGATAAGCAATGAAAGCTGATTTTTGCTCGGGCAGCAGAATTGGTTTATGTCTTTAAAAGGCAACTTTAATATCCGACCCGGAAGTGCGTGTGAGTGTACGAGCTGCTTGTACTCAAATTAAAGGCTCAAGGCCAGACCATATAGATTCCTTCTTCATTGATATTATTTAAGTGAGTACCTATCACCTAAAGAATAGTTGGATGGATGGATAGATGGATGAATACTGACACATCGCTTTCTTAGTATGGCTGATTCTGCAACGGCCGGTGCTTCTCGTGGTATGTTCATGAAGAAAAGTATGGATGGATGGAAATTAATCGAACTTTAGGACGTGGTTTTGGACGTGGTCGTGGTCGTGGTGGACCTCGTCGTGGACGCCGTGGTGAAGAAAAGAACGAATGGGTTCCTGTTACCAAGCTCGGTCGTCTCGTCAAGGCTAACAAGATCAAGTCTATTGAAGAGATCTACCTTTTCTCCTTGCCCATCAAGGAATACCAAATTGTCGACTACTTCCTTCCCAAGTTGACCGATCAAGTCATGAAGATCATGCCTGTTCAAAAGCAAACTACTGCTGGTCAACGTACCCGTTTCAAGGCCTTTGTTGTCATTGGTGACGAAAACGGTCACGTTGGTTTGGGTGTCAAGTGTGCTAAGGAAGTTGCTACTGCCATCCGTGGTGGTATCATCCTTGCCAAGTTGTCCATCATCCCCGTCCGTCGTGGTTACTGGGGCTCCAACCTTGGTGAACCTCACACCGTTCCCTGTAAGGTGACTGGTCGTTGTGGTTCCGTTATGGCTCGTTTGGTTCCTGCTCCCCGTGGTACTGGTATCGTTGCCTCTCCCACTGCTAAGCGTGTCCTTCAATTGGCTGGTGTCACCGATTGTTACACTACCTCTCGTGGTTCTACTCGTACTCTCGGTAACTTCGTCAAGGCTACCTTCGCTGCCATTGGTAACACTTACGGTTTCTTGACTCCTGATCTCTGGGAAGAATCTGAATTTGTTAAGGGTCCTTATCAAGAATTCTCTGACTTCCTTGCCCAAAAGCAAAGAAAGTAAATTAGATAATTTGGAAATAAAGCTCTCTTTCTCTTTGTTACTTTATTAATAGGGAATACCATTTGTAAGTTTTTGAAAGTAATCATACAAGACTGTTCTTTGGTTTGCAAAGGAGTCTTTGATTCGCATAAGCATGAAATCAGCAGCAATTCTGTCTGGCTTGTCTATTTGGAATCGAGTACGCATACGCTTAATTGTCTCTCCTTTGAAACAAGGCAAGCCTGATTGAAGCATAAGTGTCACTAGCTGCATAATCAGTTCTGCATAAGGACGCACAGCCAAGTAAGCTTTGATCACTAATTCAGAAAATTGTTTAAATGCTTGTTCTTCTGATCCACCGCCCATCACTTGAATCATTTCAGCTGTCAATTTGAAGGGAGAGCTTTCAAAACCAATGCCACCAGGTGCAATATCAAAGATAAAGCCAAAATCAATATGAATAATATGGCCATCATCATCCAACATGATATTACCATTATGACGATCCTTGATTTGGAGCAAGTAAGAAATGACAGAGTAAGCGGCGACACTCTGTACAAAATTAATACGAGCGCGCTGGAAGTGAATGGATTCAGGGCCACCATATTTCGCCACAAAATAATCATATAGACTATTGACTTTTTCACGTCCTAATTGATCTCGAGAAATGGACCGAGGAATCACGTCAATCACACCACGACCAGGCGCAGTGGCAACAACACGGTAGGGATAGACATACAGATCAAGGCCAACACTGGTAAAGATATTCTTAAACACAGCAATCAATTGAAGAGCAAGCACATCTTGACGACAATCATCACCGACTTTGAAGATAGCACCTTGCCATAGTTGCATTGTCTTTTTCTTATGTATGTCTTGACCAGATTGAATGATTGCATTGCTGATTTCATTCATATCTTCCTCTTCTTTTTCAATCAAGAAAGTAGCCATAAAAGGCGCCTTAGCATGACTTTGCAATGGGCGTCCTGAAGTACGATTGATATTGATAACATGGCCATCAGGATTACTAGGAAGATAGACGCCTACATCAACCTTGATTTTAGCAAGTTCTTCATCTAACCGTTTCTATAATAATATGAGTAAAGATAGCTACAAGCAATGCTTACCTTTTGAAGTGGTTTCTTTTCGTTCTGACCAAATTTGATATATTCCTTCAAATAGCCAGAAATAGCAGTAACATCACCAAAGAACTTGAATTCACGCTCATAAAATGCTCTGTCTTCTCCTGTGAATGAGCTGACCATGGTATCGATAATTCTTTCCAGAGTAGGTTTCAATGCATCAGGTTTGATACACTCTTTGTCTGCATCCACAAAAAAATTAGCCTTCATGTTCCAAATGATTTGATGTGCAAACAACTGAGATGTCTGTGCAGCTTCTAAAATGTAGCGCTCTACGTATCCCAGAGTATCGTAGCGTAATGCTTGTACAATTTGAGGTACATAGAAAAAAACGGTTTCAATAGGATGGTATTCTAGACTACGCATAGCATATTGAAGAACCAATGGGTGGTTACCATAAGCAGGTAAAAAGTAAGTAGTGGCTGTGATAGCGGGCACAGGCGCCCAATATTGCAAGTACTTGAGATCTAGTTTAGCAAGAGGCGAAATTCCCTCACCTAATAAGATAACAAGTGCTTCAGGTACATCCACGACTTCCAATGAATTATTGGCAATCAAGCGATGCAATTCTTTTCTAACAATAGGCTGAACAAAGCGTACATCCATTTGAACAGCTAATTTAGGAGAAATAATCCATGCAAATCGAATGATTTCTTTCCAGGATTCATCTGTTACCAAAGACTTTTCGGTACTGCCGCTGAAATTAATCGGATTGCCTGCACCTATAGTGTTTAAAGGATTGCACCAAACTGAGAGTTTGGTCAATTCACTTTCAATAAACAAAAGTAAAAGACGGTGGGCGCGATTGTGATGTTTGATAGCTTCATCTTTTGTTTTATCTACAACCAGGATGAGATTAACGCTTATACAGCCTGTAGGCCTACCTTTTAAGAACATGTAGTGATCTGTAGCATTTTTAGTGCCTGAGCTCTTAATAGAACTACATGATATAGAATAGCTTAAACTGGGCGCATCATTCAGCACAGCATTATAGAATTCATTCATTAACTTGTGTTCCATCAGTGCTAGACTCTTGCGAGCACCATAATGCCATTTAGGAGTTTGAGAAAACCAATCAAAAGCAGCTTCATAGACTAAAGATCGTAAATTGTACTCGGCCAATGCTTCTAAACGAGTAGACTGAAGGACCTTTAGACCTAGTCTGAGTAGAGAGAATCGAGCATAACGTGCAAGTGAATGCGTGCTCATCAATGAGGCATTTTGGAAAGTAGTCTGTAATAATTCAATAAATGCATTCACAAGATGTTTGCTTCGATGTCGAATAGAATAGAAACGACTACTTAAGAATTTGATCCATGTAACGTGTGGTGTAAATAGAAACATGGCAATGCGATGATTACTGTCACGAATAGCCTTGTCAGAAGGAGTATAGGTCATTTTTCCGACAAATGGATGCTTGACGTTTAAAAGAGGGGAAAACAATCCTCTACGATGACGCTGGGCCCATACCCACTTACTCATGATTTCAATCATAAGTCTGTCTTCAATCTCAGGCCGTTCAATCAACATCCAATTCCAAACAGTAGTACCAATATCCAAGGATTCAGGGGTAAACATCAAAACTGGAATATGTACCAAGTATCGAACAATTTCAGCATTGATTTTGGGTAAAGCAATAGCATATCCAGCTGAACGATGCATGACACGATAGAGACGTTCTACAGTTGCACTGGGCTTGTGTTCTAAAATATCTTGAGAGAGTTTACTGAGTGCCTCAAGTACAAAAGGGATTTGATGACTGAGGCAATTGTCAGATTCGTCTTCAAAGGCTTGTGCACGCAAGTTAATCAGGTATTCGATGCCACTTATTTCACCTGAATGGAACTGGCGTAATCTAAAGTTACCAATAAAAGCAGAGGATTCATCAGGTAAGACGGGAGATACTTGAGGCTTAGAGTCTAGAAATGATGAATGAGATGATGGTATATGTGAAGCTTATGTTACCTATAGCTAATTCGTGTTTGGATGGTGATTTGCCTATGTCAAGAGCCAAAGAGCAACCCATATGCACAGCGTCTGAAAGGCCTTGGTTAGAGAATCGATTAAGTTTAGCTATATAGTCTTGCAATAAGCCAGCAACTTCAATAGGAGCACGCACAAGTGCAGCATTCAACCATTTACGAGCATTTTCGTATAAAGACGTACATACTTCTTTACGGTAGTTATAATCATCTCCTAATTCAATAGTAACTCCTACTAGAGTCGAAGTGAAATGAAATACAGGAGAGTATTCATCACGGTATTCAGCTTCACAACTCAACCAAGTCAATTGCACAAGTTCCAATAGCAAAATAAGTAGTGAACTATCAGTAAACACTTGCGCAAATGAGTTTACAATGCGTTCCACAGTTTTGATGGCCATCAAGTGCACCTTTTTGCGCTTATGACAGCATAATTCCAATAGGGTGGCTGTTTGCTTCACAAGCTGTTTGTCTAACGTTTGACTCAAAGCTTTAGCAGAAGCATCTTTGACAAATGTTTGAGTCACACGATTAGCAATAGTCTCCAAGCAATTCACCAATGCACTTGTATTGACCCCGTCATTCATAAAATAACGCAAGATATATGAACAATCGCCCATTCGACTACGCATCATTTCAACATGATATACAGCAAGTCCAAAAATAACTTGAGCAAATGAAAAGTTCTTGATATCATATGCCAAGTTAGGTAAATAGCTAGTAAGTTTTTGACGCATAGGAGCAAGACCATGTTCAGTAATATTACTGGCGCGCAAGACAGAGTTGTGTTCTAAATCACTTTCGAGGTAATTGGCTGTAGTACTTACAAGTACAGATGTCTTTTGTGCCAATCGTAGCATCGATGGATGCCATTCTCTTAACCACATAGATTCAGTAACAAAGCCAAATAAGACACAATGAAACCAAGCATTACGGAACAAAGACACGGTTTCTTCGTTCGAGTCAAGATGTGGATTAAAATCATCATGTTCTAATAACCCACTAATGACAGGCAGCAGATTACCAAGCTTTTGAGCCAAGGGATATTCATTTTCTTTCTTGTTCTTGCTCATGATGCGTTGAATGCTGTTGCCACTATCAATAAAAGTACTAAGGAGGCTATGGAGATAAAGCTGATAGTACTCAGGACGGGAAGAAAGTCGTTTTGATAAGTCAAGTTGAGCATTGAGAATGGCTGTGTTAAGTGTATTGTTTTCATTGTGAAGAGATTCTTTACTCAATGCAGCAAATAAATCAATAATCTCGCAAAAAGTTTCTTTGGGACTGACAAGTGCAAGATCTACCAAGCGCATGATAAGAGAAGCAGTGGCGGCAGGACTTAGGGTCTTTCGACGAAGAGAGAGCATAGAGAAGGCTTGAGAAATGATGTGATCATCTTTGAGATAGACAGCAACGCCTACAATAGCAGAAAGTACATTGGCGCACACTTGTTGCTTTTGTATTTCATTTAATTGCTCCAGAAAAGGCGCTCCAGGAATACCATTCATTTCACCCCCAGAACCATCTTTGGTGTATCGTGTGATTTCATTTAATAAAGCATAAATGGTAGAGATTGCTGCTTGTATTTGAGATTTTGTTTGTACACACTGTGCTAATCGTACAATTGCGTATTGTTGCACACTGACATAACGATTAGGGTGTTGCTCTATTTGAAGTTCAAATACAGGTGAAGGTGTGGCTAGAAATCGACATATGGTGTTTGTCATATGTGCGTTTAACTTTGGAAAGCTACCCAGAAGGTTCAGTAATTTACCTTTTGTAAATCAACTTACTTTATAGCGAGAAGTACAGCAGCATCTAAAGAGGCGATATGAACCCAAGACTCTGCAATTTGTGGCACATCAAACAGACAAGCAGTAATATGATCAACAAGTGTATCATCCACTTGCTGCAAATAAATAGATGTTAAGGTAGCAACGTGCTGTAATTGTATTAATAAGCCCAATGTATTTTCTTTCCTTCCTAATCTAAAACTTACCAAGCTTGTTCCCATAATTTCTTGAATATAAGCATCCGGAGACCATTTTTTACCTTCCAGAATACTCTTTTCTGCATATCGCTGTGAGTCCTCAAAATACTCCATACTCATTTGATAGATATGTTTTAAACTTTGTGTTAAAGACGCTAATTTCTCTTGCTCCAAAATAGGCATTGGCTGTTGTAATAGTGTAGACCAAGACTTTTGAATAGCATGCGGCAAATAAGACTTGTGTTGTCTCTCAAATGCGTCTTCCTTGATTTGAGTGGTTGTACGAACTAACAGATTTCTAAAAGTGACAAGCAAATTGTGAATAAAGCAGTTGGGGCTGAATGACATTCCTTCTTTCCAATAACAGGCCAAGACATCGCGACTATAGGCAGAGCTTTCAGTATCACCAAGACAAGTAGTGATAGAAGCACGAATTAAATCCATTGTTTTGTCACTAATAAGTGGTTGAATACGTTGACATAACGCAAGCAATTGCTCGGTTTTGCAGAGAAAAGGTGAAAGTTGAAGTGCTCTTGAAAGACCATTTAAAGAAGGCAAAATAAAAGAGACAGTGAATTCGGCTAGTAAAAAAAAAAAAAAAATTAGACTAGATCAAGATATAGCATAACTTACTATTTTCTGGCATGGATTGAACAATACTTTCAGAGTATCGCCACAAAATATTTGCAATTTTTTCATAGTGATCAGGACACTTGTGTGCAATTTCTAAAAGACCGGATACCAAACTGAATGTGATTGTATCTGAAGGCGGTAAACCTGATTGTATTTATGAGTATTGTTATTTAGATCAATTTTGAATTACTATTCAGAATGACTGGATCCCAATGGAAAGCAGGTAGATGTCGCATGTAAGACAGAAGTCGAGGTAATAACTCTAATTGTTGTTCTCGGTTGGTCTTTACTGTATATTTTACTAGTGCTGCAATGGTTTGTTGACTTTGTAGGGTCTAAAATGGACATGTCAATACTCTTCTGGTTATTTCTCTATATTACCATCTTTCCCAAGCCCGGAGCCTCGTGCCGTGAAAGAATATCTGTGCCTTCTTCAAGAGGAACAACAGGACACTTGTTTACTAATGTCTCAATTTCATCGGAGGTTGCTTTTGTTCGAGAGTCAGCTAGTACTTCAGCTAATCCTAATAGGATTTTAGAGTGTAAATCAAGATGACGCCTAAAGAAAAAAAGTTAACTATGCATTTTGAAATATTTGCATTACCCATTCATTATCAATGTAGAAAAGCAAAAAAAAAGGAAAGGAAGGTACAAGACTTATTTTTTAAGGTACAAGTGTCACAACCGAAAAAAAGTCATTTCTTAATATCCATTTTGAGTAACTTCAATCGTGCGTTGTTTATTAGGTGATAATCATTTTCATGTTTTCATAGTACATTAACATGGGATTTTCTCCGCTTCTAGTGGTTGTTCTTTCTACATCACCATATCGTTCACAGAATTCACGGTGTGTCATTACTTTGACAGATTTATCATTGCCTGCTCTTGATCCACGACAAACAAGCAAATACATATCTCTTAGTAATTCAAAATTGGTTGGAAAAAAGATATCAAACCAGCCAGGCTGCACCATATATGTTGAGCATGGCACCATTGTACCTCTGTATCTTGTCTGAACAACGGGAGCATCTACACCCTCGACAGAATCAGGTAAACTAGAAAAGTCAGACAAGACAAGACGGTGTTGAGGGAAATATGTCTTGAGTGTCTCGAGTAACAAAAAGAGCTTAGTAGGAATGAATTCTGCCGAAGTCATATTGGGGGCCAAAGGTAAGGATTGTAAACATTTGAGCCAGAATTGCTTGGCTAAAACAGGAGAGCGGTATCGAGTTTGATCGCGCACAGCCAAATATCGGTTAATGAGTGTATCATTACCTACAGGCTCGTATATTTCTGTATATTCACCCTTTGCATCCGTGCTGACAAGGGCTTGATAAGGCTTTAAGCTCTCAAGATCGTAACGGATCAAATCATGGGCAAAATTGTCCTACAAGTCCATATGGTTTAGCGCATTATTAGACTGTTGTAACTTACAATGACTTCCATGCCCAAAAAGAAGCATTGATCAGGCACATGGATGTCCCAATCAAATATACTTTTGTTGATAATCTTGACACATTTGTGTTGATCCTTTGCTTCTCTTACATCTTGTCTTTCTGACTGTCTTTCCGCTAATTTACCAGAAATTTCAATGATGTTGTATTGAGTACGTTGATAGACTGCAGGTTCGTATTGTTGGATATAGTCGAGGATATTCAACATGAGAGTACCGTTACCAGCACCCATTTCATAAATAATTAGATCCTTATGAGGGAATAGATTGAGCTTGTATTCTGAGACCAAGTATTTAGCAATTGCATATCCATACCAAGGCTTGATAAAAAAGAAGGTAAGCCTCATTGTTTTAGGTATCTATACTTGCCTTAAATAATTCAGTAGGTGTATGCCACACTTGTCTAGCTACTTCATCGACTTCATCTGCTTCCCCTTCCATATCCTTATACAACTGACCGAGAATGTTCATGAATTCCAAGTGATCTCGCATGTTGTTGAAGTCAAAATCAGTTTCAGGAGAGAAAATGACAGCTTGTTTTGAAAAGTAACCGTAATTGGGATTATAAAGAGAATCGTCAATGAAATCACGTACTAACATTTTGTTACACGTAGGTGGTTTTTTATACTTGGCTGTATCGTAAGCTGTAAGACGTGGGTAGTGTTGTCGTGCTTGTTCTTCAACTTTTTCTTCATTTGAGGGTTGAAAGAAAGGAGCGAAAATACCAGGTCGTGTATGTTGAAGCCGACGCTGAGCCACTGAAGGACATGCAACTGGTAGTCTTAAGCGAGTTGTTGCTAAAAGTCGTGGAGTAGCTCTCAACATAGCTCGTTACGTACAAATGATAGAAAAAGACAAGTATTATGACTATGTTTTTTTTAAAAAAAAATGAATCTCTGGGGTTATTGGCAGATAAGCACTAGAGATTTCATTTTCATAGGACAATTAGCAAACAAATATGTTAACCAGAAACTACGGTCTTTGACGCACATTTTGAGTATTTAAGCTTGTCAATAGCTTCATTTTTCATCCTGTAGCGCCCAGAAGAAGATCAAGAGTTGTCAAACTAAGGATTTTCATTGATAGTACCCTTTGGTCAAAAGGCATATTTTGGCCAAATTTTACAAGTCGCCTTTTTTTTTTGTCCAAATCAATTACAAAGGTACCATGGATGTTAGTAAACATGGCTTATAGATGTTCAAAGTGTTTATACAGGTATAAGCACGCTTTACAACACCTTCATATTGTCTAAAAAAAGATAAAGAGCTGTATGAATTGTTATCTTCTTCACTGTTAAAGCATGAATCTGCCTAATGTCTCTGCTACAAGAATAATTTATGAAATACTAAATTGCTTATCTTTGTAGAATACCATACTGAAAAGGCACTTGGTCCCCTAAAAGCAAAGACAATGTCTGCTTATGAAAATTGTCAAAGTCATAATGTTAAATTTATTTTAGCTTTATAAAGTATGGAATATGGAATAAATTACCATATATTTACAGCTCTAATCTAGTTTCTCACTTTTTCTATAGTAAAGATACATTCAGCACAGAAGGCACAATGTCATTTGCATGTTTGTATAAAAATTAATGACATCTAGTCTTTAGAAAGCCAGCAAATATTAACATGCATTTATATACCTGATTCAGACAATATCATTCTTGTTACTGCATTTCTTTCACTGCCATTCTTTAGATTATTGTAATTTCTACGTTTTCTCTATTGTCTTCTTAATCGATACAAAAAATTGAGCATTTTGATATTTATATCCATAACTTCCTTTCTCTATTTAGTCTATACTTCTCAATAAGCTATGTAGCTTTTTAGTTCCTTCCCTATCTATTTTTATTGTTGTTGTTGTTGTTGTTGTTGTTGTTGTAGCTTTTGTTGTAAACGGAATATAGTTTAATCAAAATGCGGCTCTCATCACTTTATCAACCTAAAGTCCAGAAATTAACTTTAATGCTTTCTTAATCTCTTAAGGCACAATGAGAAATCATCTCTAATGACAAATCATATGCTTGGGAAAATTGAAGTTAGTAGTCCCCAATAATCAAACGGTTCTTTTAGGCATCATCAACTGACATTGATTATTTTGGAGTCATGTAGTCCCTTTATCCTACAGCATATCAAACCACACGCAATGGACATACTATCCTAATTTAAGAAGCGGTTTCTTTTGTGTAGGGGTCAACAATGACTTGAAATACTCTGAAAATTCTATCACAAGTTGTCATTGTTTGCTACACAAAGAAGAGGGCAACGAAAAGACCAAACTGTTAAGAGATAAGCCCAAAAAAAAAGACTTGGATGTATCTTTATTCAAAAGTACTTTCGTTCAGATCTATTTACTCATTATCATACACACAAGTTCTCATTTTAAGGTATCACTGCTCAATAAGTCCCAATATGCTGGTACCTCAACCCTAAAAAGATACAAAAAGGCATTTTTGTTTATTAGCTTTCATTGGTTACTTCTATAAGAGACACGTCACTTGTATTTTTTCATAGTAAAAAAAAGCCTTTTTTTTCTCTTTCTCCTCATCATCTTGTTTTTTTCTATCATTAATATAAAACTCATCTTGCCATTATGACTGCCGTTAGTTCTGTTGCCGATGTCGACGCTTGGATCGCACAACTTTCTGAGTGTAAACAGCTTCCCGAATCTGAAATAAAAAAATTATGCGAAAAGGTATTGAGGTTATTGTAAAGGAAATAATAAGAAAGGCTAATATCGTTTTAGGCACGCGAAATTCTTCAGGAGGAATCCAATGTTCAGCCCGTTCGATGTCCTGTCACAGTGTGTGGTATGTATTACACACACATCACAGCAACAACAACAACAAAATTAAAATTCTCTTTTTTTTTTTTTTATATAGGTGATATTCATGGTCAATTTCATGATTTACAAGAGTTGTTTCGTATTGGTGGTAACTCACCCGACACAAACTACTTGTTTATGGGTGATTATGTTGACAGAGGCTATTATTCTGTTGAGACAGTTACATTTTTGGTTGCTCTCAAAGTGAGATACAAGGATCGTGTTACTATTCTTCGAGGTAACCATGAATCTCGTCAAATCACACAAGTTTATGGTTTTTATGATGAATGTTTAAGAAAATATGGCAATGCTAATGTCTGGAAGATGTTTACTGATCTGTTTGACTATTTACCCTTGACTGCATTGATTGAAGATCAAATCTTTTGTCTTCATGGTGGTCTTTCTCCTTCTATTGATACATTAGATCAAGTTCGATCTTTAGAGCGTGTTCAAGAGGTACCTCATGAAGGTCCTATGTGTGATTTGCTTTGGTCTGATCCTGATGACAGATGTGGTTGGGGTATTTCTCCCCGTGGTGCAGGCTATACTTTTGGTCAAGATATTGCAGAGACATTTAATCATAACAATGGCTTAACTTTGGTAGCAAGAGCTCATCAGTTGGTGATGGAGGTAAATGTATAGTCAAATTTCCATGTACTCAATCTCTTTAGGGCTATAATTGGACTCATGATCGTAATGTTGTCACTATTTTCAGTGCTCCTAATTACTGTTATCGTTGTGGTAATCAAGCGGCTATTATGGAAATTGATGAACATATGAAATACACATTGTAAGGTTATTTATATTGTCTATCTACTAATGATTGTCTATAGCCTTCAATTTGATCCTGCACCTAGAAAGGGTGAGCCACATGTTACCCGTCGTACTCCCGATTATTTCTTGTAAAAAAAAAAGAAAAAAAAATAGCGATAATACGAAAGCAAAGAAAGAGAAAGAGAATATACATATATATATATACACACCCACTTAACATATTATTAACTAGAAGGCAAAAAAGAACTCCTTTTATGGGCTTAGGGATGTCCAAATGTGTAAAATTAAAGTGATCTTCCCGACTTTTGATGTATGTCTTTTTTGATCTTTTAGTTCATTAAAAACTATTCATATATAACAATTCTGAATTTTTGATGATTTTTTCATGCAGTATGATATGAGTGTTTTCTTTGAAATAGACATCCAACGTTTTCAATTCTTGATAGCCAGATCTTTTTCTTGCAATGGCTTTCATATTGTTTGTATGGGATGCTTTGAGCTGTTCTAGAACTTGATTTGTTTCTTCCATGTTTTCCTGAATAAAGTAAATCAATGTTGAATGCTCAGTAGAAGACTATTATACCTTCAAAAACCACATAAGATTAACCAATCTTCTCAAACTGACTTCACATGATTCTCGGCTTGTAGGAATGTTGACACTTCCAATGCAGTTAATACAATACAACTTGTTGTCTGTCATACTGAACTTCCATAAACGTATTTTGAAAGCTATAAAACACAAGAATTACTAAACTCATTCTTCAGAAGCAATGGGACCATTTACGAGTCACTTGAATGAAATAGACAGATACCATTCTAAAGATCTTAAAATCAGCATAATGGTATAAACGACCAATGTTATGTAGCATTGAGACAAGTCCATAGCCAGCTTTGATATAGTCTTTCACTTCTTTCGGTCTATCCTCTACATTTAGTTTCCCGGTTGTTTCCAACAAAGCAATTTCCAAATTAGAGGATCTCAAGGAAAGAATTCCATCTGCATTATAGTAATGCGTCGTGTCGTTTGATAAAAGCTTCAACTCTTTGCTGACTGCCTTGAGTCTAGTTTCTCCTGGAAGGAATCTCATATTGTCCATATTTCGAACTAAGGATTGAATAATCGGAAAGATAATTCGAACATTGAAATTCACTTCATCTATGAAAACATCATCATTGTTCATAAACATCTCATTCGTACTGTACAATACAGTTGTATTAGTATGTCCTTGGCAAAATATATTTGCACTTACAAGGTTTTGTAGACTTCTTCCGAGAAATTGAGAAATCTGCAGTTTGATTCATGTACAAACATAGCTTTGGACAATAAAAATAATTTCGCATCATTCTGAGAAATATCCTACAAATATGTATATACTTAATCAAAGTATGCATTGTACTTTCATTACCAGTTGATCGAAGAATGAATCATGATAGTCAGTGCTGTTATCAAAGTAATCAGGAAAGCTTTTGACAACTATATTTGTCTTGTCAATAAGCTCTTCTGTATAGTATTTCTGAGTAGTTGGTGAGCCAATTTTGTTCCCCAATTGTATTATGTTGAGACGCTCTAAACTGCATGGTTCATTTGGTTCGAGTGAAATTCTTCATGGCTAGCATACCTGTGATTGTGAATATCATTATCGTTCTTCATTTTTGCTAAAACTTCCATCCACAAGTGCCAAATGCTGATCTCTTCAGACATTTCATCTTCTAAATCCTCTTTAATCATTTCATTTCCTGATTGTTTTTTAGGAACCTTATTCTTTTGTTTCATCTTTAACTACTTCACCTTCCAATTCTTCAACGGGATCAAAAATCTAAAGACGAACTGTTCAGAATTCACGATCGAGATGTGTTTTGTAGTAGACTTACTTCAGACCATGAGCGCTTCCTTAATAAAACACTAGGAGAGTATGAAGTAGGAGGAATAGAACTCACTTCAATTTCATCTTGTCTCGTTGCCTATACATACTTTACAATGAGTACCAAGCCCGTGGATTCAATCATTATTGATTACCTCATTAAATGTTTGGTAAGTTGCTTGATAGTTTGTTTGGTTATGAGCTTTATTGATGATAGTTGACGCTGTTTGGTTTATGTGAGATTGTTTAGGTGCTTTCCAATTGTTTAAGAGGTATTGTGCTTGATGTCGATGTGCCTCATTTTTATGGTTGCATAAAGATTTCAATTCTTCTTTTACCAAGTGCAAATGATAAGCCCTTTGTGCGCTAGGATAGACGCTTTGAATTTCTTCTAAAGCTCCAGCAATAGTCCAATCCTTTGGCTTGGTTTTTGCAAAGAAGGTTAACATCAAGGATAGATGTCAGCAGAGTAGATGGAGAAGTCATGAAAACCCCTGATCTACGCCATCAAATTGATCATGTGACTTTTGTCATATAAACGCGCAACATTAAATTATTCATGTCTTGCATCAACTTGTGCTGACCCTAGCACAACAAGTACAATGGTTTAATTCAAGTCTCTCTCTCTATTTCGCTTGGCGAAGCTGTGAAGACTGATGAGTCTTTACGTTGCTCTTTTATATCCGTTGTATCATCTACTGTGCATGACCTGTTTGCTCCTTGGTATTTGCTTCCTAAGAGCCTTGAAGGAGGCCTTGCAATCACGTTTGCATTGCCGTCTGATTACGTTCAGCTTCCTTGATGTGGTTATCCGATCAAGTATAGGCGAACTCGGTTGAGTTATGCGTGGCTCGATTGAGGGTTTCTTGTACTTTAATGCAGCCCGCCCCAGCACAGGTAGACATAGTGAAGGTTGCAATTGCGATTACGTTCGCTTTGCGTCTGATTACGTTCAGCTTTGCTGATACGACGGGCCTATAAGAAGAGCAGTGCGAAGCTTATCGTCTTTACGGCTTCTCTAGGCGAGCTGGTCACAGCTAAGTATCTTGGACAATACATATTGCAAAAAGCTTTCGATGACTCACCTTATTACTTCTCTAGGGCTTGTTTCTCTACAGATATATAACTCTTAGGGTTATACTCTCTTTCACCTGTTTTCCGCTTGGCGAAACTGTGAAGACTGATGAGTCTTTACGTTGCTCTTTTATATCCGTTGTATCATCTACTGTGCATGACCTGTTTGCTCCTTGGTATTTGCTTCCTAAGAGCCTTGAAGGAGGCCTTGCAATCACGTTTGCATTGCCGTCTGATTACGTTCAGCTTCCTTGATGTGGTTATCCGATCAAGTATAGGCGAACTCGGTTGAGTTATGCGTGGCTCGATTGAGGGTTTCTTGTACTTTAATGCAGCCCGCCCCAGCACAGGTAGACATAGTGAAGGTTGCAATTGCGATTACGTTCGCTTTGCGTCTGATTACGTTCAGCTTTGCTGATACGACGGGCCTATAAGAAGAGCAGTGCGAAGCTTATCGTCTTTACGGCTTCTCTAGGCGAGCTGGTCACAGCTAAGTATCTTGGACAATACATATTGCAAAAAGCTTTCGATGACTCACCTTATTACTTCTCTAGGGCTTGTTTCTCTACAGATATATAACTCTTAGGGTTATACTCTCTTTCACCTGTTTTCCGCTTGGCGAAACTGTGAAGACTGATGAGTCTTTACGTTGCTCTTTTATATCCGTTGTATCATCTACTGTGCATGACCTGTTTGCTCCTTGGTATTTGCTTCCTAAGAGCCTTGAAGGAGGCCTTGCAATCACGTTTGCATTGCCGTCTGATTACGTTCAGCTTCCTTGATGTGGTTATCCGATCAAGTATAGGCGAACTCGGTTGAGTTATGCGTGGCTCGATTGAGGGTTTCTTGTACTTTAATGCAGCCCGCCCCAGCACAGGTAGACATAGTGAAGGTTGCAATTGCGATTACGTTCGCTTTGCGTCTGATTACGTTCAGCTTTGCTGATACGACGGGCCTATAAGAAGAGCAGTGCGAAGCTTATCGTCTTTACGGCTTCTCTAGGCGAGCTGGTCACAGCTAAGTATCTTGGACAATACATATTGCAAAAAGCTTTCGATCACTCACCTTAGTACTTTTTTTTAGAAACTTACCTGTCTGTGGACATATAACTCTTTGGATTCAAATTGTCCTTCAACTAGTCGTTTTCGAAAATTCAAAGTCGAATTCTCTAGAATACAATACAGTAATGAACTCAACGAACATGATGACACACAAGAAGAAAAATAGATTTAAAAAGTCGTCTCTATGTACAAAATCACCGAATGGGTATATACTTTAAGCAATAGCTTATGTCGTTTAGAATATCTCAAACAATACTTCTATCAAATAAAATGCATACAATTCAAATTATTCAAACGAATTCTTTCCTGAAAAGAAGCTATGCGATAATTTGTCATACTTTCTTCTATCGCCATCCCTTCGTTGACACAAATCTCGGCAGCAATAATCTGACCACCCGTTTCATCATGCGTAGATAATATGGGAAAAATTTGAGTGGCTATGATTCAAAAGAATGAATTAAAAATCACCTTATTCTTTTCTATATCTTTTTCTTTCTTTCTTTTTCTCATCTATTATGCATAAACTCGTTAAATTCAATACTTTGACTACAAGGTAAGATGGATAACAAGACGAATAGACATCATCTCACATATCAAACAAGATCTTTGTCTACAAGTCGATACGCTTTCTTTAGAAAGAACCCTGGTTTTGATGAAATCAAAGGTAAAAAAAAAAAAAAAAGTTATGAATATAAAATCATTTATCTTGCCTAGTTCATAATGAAGATAGCTTAATGGAAAATGCACCTGAATGGAAGCAAAGTACTGCTACTGAAAGCGAAGCTGATGTATGTAATCTAGGGTAAATTTGATATTTATCATGTTCAATAGATCAAAGCTGAAAGAGAGCCTGAAGTTAGCCCAGAAATCTTAAAAGAAGAAACTGCTGAGTGGGTTCGCTCGCATAAAAGTCGAGATGGAAGTATTCCTCCACAATAAAGTTCATAAAAAATAAAATTTCGAATTGTCCAGTCACTTTAATGTATCGGCGCCTCAATCTAAACTCCGGACCCTTCTTTTTTAACTTGACACAACCTGTAAACGATTGAATTCTTTCTCTTTTTTTCATTCATATCAACGATGAGGTAAATCATCCATTCATCCATCCATCCATCCATTTGTATACTCATTTATATTTTATAGCAAAGTCAGCGCTTCTACCGTCAGAGACCTTGTTAACCAAATCCAAGCTGCTTCCGCTGAAAAGCCCCGTAAGTTCACTGAAACCATTGAACTCCAAATTGGTTTGAAGAACTACGATCCTCAACGTGATAAGCGTTTCTCTGGTACCATCAAGCTTCCCAACATTGCTCGTCCCCGTATGACCGTCTGTGTCCTCGGTGATGCTTTCCACTGTGATCAAGCTAAGGGTGCCGGTATGGAATTCCAATCTGTTGACGATCTTAAGAAGCTCAACAAGAACAAGAAGCTCATCAAGAAGCTCGCCAAGAAGTACGATGCTTTCCTTGCTTCCGAAGCTTTGATCAAGCAAATTCCTCGTCTCTTGGGTCCCGGTCTCCACAAGGTCGGTAAGTTCCCTACCCCTGTCTCTCACAGTGACTCTTTGACTGACAAGGCCAACGAAATCCGTTCCACCATCAAGTTCCAATTGAAGAAGGTTCTCTGTCTTGGTGTTGCTGTCGGTCACCTCGAAATGACTGAAGACCAATTGGTTGCCAACATCATGTTGTCTGTCAACTTCCTTGTCTCCTTGTTGAAGAAGCACTGGCAAAACGTCAAGTCTTTGTACTTGAAGTCCACCATGGGTAAGCCCCACCGTCTCTACTAAGTTATTTTTTTTTTTCGGGTACAATTATTGTTTGCAAATCTTGTTGCTATCGATCAGTAAGCCTTCTCTGACGGTGAACCAAGGTTTTAACTTGTTAAAATCATTTGGGAGCTATCAATAATTTTTGTTTATTGTGATTGTGCATTTATAAATAAAGAGAAAAATTACTAGAGAAAATAATTGAGCTATAAGCCAAATTGTCATTGGAGGAGAGGTGTTTGTATTTCTATTTTGATCATTTTATTTTTCCTCTCCTTTTCTTTCGTTTATATGCTTCGAGCAACACAAACATATAAGCATACTCATCGAGTTGTCACTCGTGTCTCAAGTATATACTACAGTCCTTTACAGCAACGTAGTATATCTATCATACCGACTGTTGCTCGAGTCGCTTTTTCAGCAGCAAGACTACCCTTGTTTTTAGCAGGAACTGCAGTAGCAGGTGCTACAGTGGCTACCAACAAGTTTCAAGGCATGTAATATAAAAAATAAACAAATTTTAAAGAAAAAAGAGTAGATTTAGCAGATAAAGGCAACGCATTTCTTTCAGATGCTAAACATGTGCTGAGTAGCATAGGGGAAAGCATCAGTGATTTAAGCTTGAATGTACCTGAAATGAATATTAAATTATCGGATCTTGTGAATGATGTCTTGGCTGTTGCAAAAGATAAAACTCAATCCATGAATCATGTTTTCAATACAACAGCAACAGACAAACCAGCAGTCGATAATACAGCAACAACAGACAAACCAGCAGTCGATAATACAACGCAAGTAACAGTCGAAGAACAAGCAGACATGTCAATAATAATACCGTCAAAACAAGAAGAAGAAGAAGTATTGACTCAAGATGCAATAACCAAAATGAAATATAAAGACCATCAGTTTATTTTGCTATGCAAGAAATTCACTGACATTCGAAATACGCTCATGTCTATTCAACACAGTGTGATTCCTTCAATACCATCTATTGTCGTGATTGGATCTCGACAAAGCAATGCTAATTTTATGATTGAAATGATCTTGGGTCAGCCCTTTCTATCAAAGTAAAAAAGAAAGAAATATGCATAGGATTGAAAAAAAAAGTTAACTTATATTTTCATTTCTACAGAGCATTGGAATTTGAGTTTGTTAATGATTCAAATCTATCTGAGACTAGGATGACTTGGGATGGACAAGAAAAGTGGTATTCAATTCAAGAAGGAGCAAGACAACTTGAACTGGGACATACACCCACCAAAGTAATGTTTCATGGTCCTTATCTCCCTTGCCTTCATCTGTATGATATACCAGAGCATCATAGTATGGTCAATACTTACATCCACCGTGACCCTTATGCCGTTATCCTGGCTATTCATGATACTTCTTTGTCTTTCTCAGCATCACCCACAGCCAAACTATGCCATCACCATGATCCAGGGATGAGACGAACACTTCCTATTTTAACCGGAGACACAGCCGCATACAAAGACCAATACCCTGCGCATTACCTTGACATGTCTACAAACAACGCGGATAAACAACTTAAATCCCGCTTATGGAAGATGCTTGAACAAGCTATGCAACATACCATGTATCGCCTTATCGACACAATTCAAACCGAACTAGGAGAAAGCAGTTATCTTTTCAAAGTGATTTACAACGACCGTCAACTCACACCTGCTTCTTATCTGACGGATACCATGGACGCACTCAAGGCAGGATTTAAAGGGTGCACTGCGCAGCTCAGTAAGCCCCAATTGCGGTCTGAAGTACGACATCTACTTGAACAGAACGTGCTGGACGTATGCGCAGAACAGTATTGGTCAGATGCCAACATACGCCAATTATCCAAAGCGCATCCGGATGATTTTTACTGGTTGTACAAGATGGACTTGGCTTCCGCAGCAATCACAAAAAGTGGCATTGGTCGTATCACTACACAATGGGTGATCGATGTAGTCATGGCTCATATCAACAATTTGGTTAAAATAGAACCGTTTCAGTTTCATGGGAATGTGCAACAACGCATTGTGGATTTGACGCAAGATTTGTTACGCAAAAAGTATGTGCAGACAAGCGACCAAGTGGAAAATACCATCAAGCCTTACAAGTATGAGGTGGAAGTGACAGAGGCAGAATGGAAAGATGGAGTCAAACGCACTATTAGATTGTTGGAAAAAGAATTAGCCATGTGTGAAGACATGCTCTGGACCCTCAAAAAAACCATAGGAAGGAAACGGTTGCGTAGTGCTATCAGACGTGTCTTGGACACAGAACAAACGGAACAACCATCTAGCCGTATTTTGGAAAAGGCACAAGAAGCATTGTTCTTACAAGACCGTGCCATGATTATCAAATATCGATTAGCCGCACTTAAAAGTAGACAATGCAAATCATTTGAAAATAAGCAGTATTGCCCTGAAGCCTTTTTGACCGTGGTTGCAGACAAGTTGGCTTATACTGTAAGTTTTTTTGTCTTAAATAGATGTTTATTTATTCTTATTTATAGGCAGTGATGTTTATTCAGATTGAACTATTGAATGATTTCTTTGCTGATTTCCCAGTGGAAGTGATTGACAATCGTATTATTCATCCGATGAGCCCTGAACAAATAGACAAGTTTGCTAAAGAAAACCCCTCTGTACAGAAACATCTAGTTCTACAAGAAAAAAAGATGAAACTACAAGAAGTCATGGACTTGTTGGATTATCTTGTAAAGCGACATGACATCGAATAAAAAATAAAAAATAAAAAAGTGGCGCAATGGAGTCTTAAAATAATCTATTGTACAACATGCAACAAGAGACGCAGCATTGCCGTGCATGTGGCGAGTGTCATTTGCCAAGAAGTTTTATATCATACAGGATTAGTGTCTAAGTCTAGCAATTGTGTACGAATAACCACCACACATTAATGTCATTAGTGCAGTGTCTACATAAATAGGCTCTTGAAATGCCTCACTGTCTATCCAACTTGCTTGATTTGTACACCAAAGTTTTTCAATCAATTGCTGTGTTTTTATATCGAAACAATTCCAGTCTTTTCCCGAAGAATACAGCCATCGAACTTGATTCATTTTGTATTTTTTTTTGTTTTTTTTTTTTTTTTGTAAAAAAGAAAAAAAGAAACAAGGAAAAAGAAATCCTTTTTTATACTTTAATTTTAGTTGTACAAGCATGTGTTACATTCAAGATAATTTCTTTCTTTCGGCAACGAGTATTAAAATAACAGTTTCCCGAATCTGCTTTTAGAAAAATAAACTTTTTTGTATTCGAATCCATAACTGTCAAAAGATACAAGGATTTTTTTTTACCGCTTACTTTTAGGATCCGGGTAAAAATCCATGGGGTTAAGGTTGTTTGCATCTCTTTCATTGCCGAATGACCACCTCCTTAATGCAACCTCTCTCTCTTTCTGTCTGTCTGTCTGTCTGTCTTCTCAACAAAATCACGTGAACACAAATATTTTTTTTTCCACTTCAGCCCTTCTCTATCATTTCTTTTTTTTTCTCTTTTTCATACTCTTTTTTTTTCTTAAACAGTTTCTATGATAGATTCTTTAAAAGACGAATATAACAAATTGATACCTTCACAATCAGAAGAAAGTAACTTACTGTTAGTGGAAGACCCTGCAGTATATGGGCCACCTGAACTTATTATGAACAATAGTAGTTCTACTACTGTTCCAGGTAAGAATATATATATATGTATATATTGGTCCTTATGCATGAAATACGATAGAATTATTAGCCGAGAATAGTCGTTCAGGATCGACTTCTGAAGAAGCCGTGTTTCCTCCGACCTATGCAGCACTACCGACAACGAAACTGGAAGAAGAACCCAATCCTTTTGAACAAAGTTTCGAAGGTGCCACAAAACCTGTTTCTATTACTAAATTGCCAAGCGTCCATACGATTGAGATACCCAAACCAGCCAGAGTAGACGCATTAATGGAGAGTCGATGGGATACCTTACGGTCTGGTGTTTTATCACCTTCTATGTTGGCGGGTCCTACATTGACATTAGGTAAATAATACACATCATGATATGACCATTGAGCCTATCATAGATGATAATTCTCCTCATTTTATCACCACAAAACCCATCAAATATGAAGAAGATACTTCATTACCACCTTTGAATCAACCAAAGAAATCCAATAAGCGTACAAAAAACAATTCCGATACGAATCTAAACAATAAGCGATCCAAAAAGACAAATTCTGTAGAAGATGAAGAAAAGCGAAAGAACTTTTTAGAAAGAAATCGAATAGGTAAGAAATGTGGTACCAGAATATTTTTTTTTTAATTTTTTTTTTTTATGTGAAGCTGCTTTAAAGTGTAGACAGCGAAAGAAACAATGGTTACAGAACTTACAAGCCAAAGTTGAATATTTAACTGCTGATAATGAACAACTACATATGCAAGCCAATGCTTTAAGAGAAGAACTCATTCAACTCAAGACACTGCTTATGGCGCATAAAGATTGTCCTATTAATCAACAAGCTATACAAATAGCTCTTAACAGGCCTATACCAGGTGCTCTTGTTCCTTTGCCTCCCAGTTCACAATCATGAAAGAAAAGAATATGGATCAATAAATTCGGTTGCAAACTAACAAAAAAAAAAGAAAGGTTATTCTTTATTGATAAATTCGGTTGCAATGGATAAGAATTCTTGAGGTTTTTCTGCTTGAACTAAACATACAAATATGAGAGATGATTAGGCTTGTAAATAACTTTACCCCAATGACCAGCTCCTTTCACATTGACAATCTCTGCATTTGGAAAATAACGCTTTGCCAGCTCTGGTTGTCGAATAAATGGTTTACGAAATGGACTTTTATCACCTGTGATAAAAAGAGTAGGGCCTTCATAGGTGCCTGTCTGTCTAAATTCACCCAAACGGCTTAAAGCATTTTCTAGAATACTTAGAGGATTACGAAATTGATAGACACCATCTTCCTTGTTCTTTTTCAAGTTGGTCAATAAGAACTGTCGAACAACAAGATCAGGTTCGACTGTCTGAAGTATCTTATCAGCTTCTTTTTGTTTCGTGAGTCTTCTAGACTGAATATCACGCATAATTCGGATATGATCATGGTATTCGCGAGTCAAAGGTAGATGGACAGGTGCAATATCGACAATGACGATCTTACTGGGTAATTCAGGTTGATCAAGAGCGACATGCATCATGACTTTGCCTCCCCTACCAAGTCAATCTTGAGGATTCAATATTAATCAGCTTACATTGAATGACCCATCAAGATGGGATGATGAATGCCTTGTTGCTTTACAAATTGAATCACATCTTGACTCATGGCATGGTAATTGTGTTCATGCACATGAGGACTTTGTCCATGATTACGAGCATCCTATATTTTTATTAATACTTGACGCCATGTTCTTTATTTCAGGTTACTAATGTATACACATCACGTTGACATGATTGACAAAGATGTTTAGCAAGTGATCTCCAATTTTGCTTTGAGCCAAACAAACCATGACAAATCACCAAGGGATGTTTACCCATATCTTTAGGTGCATTGTATTTTGTAAATGATAAAGGTACAGTTGAATAGAATCGTTTCAATGACATAGAAAGAAATAATAATAATAATAATAAATATTTGTATATTATTTTATTAAATCAATGTACAGCATGAAGGCATAAAGTCATAAAAAAAAAAAGATGAAAAGTCATATATACATATACAAAAGAAAAAAAGAAAAAGAAGGAAAGGGAAGGTCAAGGTTGGCTTTAAACATTAGATTTCTTGGATTTAGATAAAGTCAAGTCTTTCCAAACAAAACAAGAATTACCAACAAGATGTGTTTTTGGTTTTCTGCCTCTTTTTTTACGTGGCATATGTAACATGATGTCCATGTTTGAGTTAGTAAAAGCAGCCATAGAATCATGCATGACTGATTCTGTATCAGAAGAGGATTGAGACTGTTTTTCTTTTTGTTGTTCTTTAGAGATATGAATATCCCAAACTGTCGGTGTTAGAAATGTCCAGCTGCCATCAAATTGAACAGCCGGTGGTCTGCCTCGCTTTCGTTTTAATTTGGGTTCGCCTGCTGCATCAAACACAATCTGTGTGTTTGGAATGGCTGATGTAGAAACAGATCGTTGCCTCTTTGTGGGTAATTCATCAAATTCATCATCTAAATAACTGGGCAATGGAGAAACAGACTGTGTTGTACGAATATGATCTTGTATGGAACATACAGAAGAAGCTGAGCTAATGGGAGGTGAATAATTCCATTTTTGAAATGAGTGTTTTATTGGACTAGAAGGCAAACGTAGTCTTTGTGGTGGATCATTTCCTTGGAGTGGGGGTATAGAACAATAGAGAGGAGGAGAAGGTGGTGAATCAATCAATAGATGAGAAATAGAAGGTAGTTTCATATTAAAGAAGAAAAAAAGAAAGAAAAAAAAAGAAAAAAGAAAACTTATATTTATATATACAAGAAAGAAGGGAAACTCGAGAAGATGTCTGACCAATTAAGGGGAAAAGATTTTTCTGTTCTTTCTTGTACTTCTCCAGTCCAAAATAAATAAATAAATAGATGAAAATCCCTATAGAGAGCAAATAAAGTAACTTTGTCAATCACGTGATTATGATGATTTCCATTTCCAATAAAGTGTAGAAATAGAAGATGTTCCATTTGATGTAGACGCTACGTTTATTTATAAGATCGACATTTTCTTTTTTTACAGATTTAGATAAAATGCATTCCTTAAAAAGTGATACAGGCAAGGAGTTTAGCATTGACATTTATGGAAATGTTTATAACTCCCTTATTCAGTATATACACACACACTCTCTCTCTCTCTTCTATGTATATGTATAAAAGTTTATTTTTTTTTTATATTTTTCTTCTTACTTCTTATTCTTTATTTCAATATGGTTGACTATGATCAATATGCAGAACAACTTTTAAAAAGTGTATTTGAAAATGCCAAGCAAAACCAACCATCTTCTAATAGCAACTGGCATTTGTTGGAACAATTGGAAGAACAAAAAAAGTTAATATTGGAGCAACAAAATATGCTTAAAGATCTACAGTTGAATTTAAATAATAAAGTACCAACAGATCAACACTCTTTATTTGAATCCAGCATAGTGGATATACCAGCATCCATATCATTACTGTCTGAGCGACCTTCTGTATCACCTCCACCTATAATACCATCACCACAGCCCATAATATCACAAACACCAGTACCATTGGTAAAGACAAGACGTCTTCTTCAACGTTCTTTATCACGAAGAAATTTTAAAGGCAGAGAAAATAAAACACCAAAAAAGAAGCCTATTCAGGAAAGGCCTATAATACAACATCAACAACAACAACAACAACAACAACAACAACAACAACAACAACAACAACAACAACAACAACAACAACAACAACAACAGCAACAGCAACAGCAACAGCAGCAACAAAAGGCATCTACTTTTTGGAAGCCGAGAGAAGAAAGACCCAAGGGTTGGTGGAAAGGAAATAGAACACCAAGTACAGTGGATCATTTTCCTGTAGATCAAGAAGATACAAAACCACAACCGAAAAAAGTAATTGTTAGAAAAGCAATTACACCTAAAAAAGTGCCTTCACTTCAAGGCATCAAAGCAAAAAGACCCATGACATTCAAGACACCTACTGTCAAGAAAAAGAAGAATGTACCCGTCAAAAAGCAACCAATAGAACAAGAAGATAAACCCTCCATGCCAATGTATGTGATGCCTCAACAACAGCCTATAATGCAGCCTATAATGCAACCTATAATGCAACAACAGCCTATAATGCAACCTATGCTACAACCCTTCATGATCAATCCTCAGCCTTATATGATACCCGTCATAAATAATGAATACCATCATCAACAAACTGAACAAGAAAGAATACATGTAGCAAAAAGAAAGACATCTGTCTTAAATCCAAGGCAGAGTTCAAATAACAATAAGTGTTTAATCATGTAGATTTCATGTTTCTCTCTTGATTTAGTTTACTTGACACAGCTTCCAACATGCTTGATAACTATAAATCGAGATGAGTTGTCATTTCTCTACTTGTTTACTTACAGTAGTATCCTGCATGGACAAAATAAAAGACTGTTGATGGCTAATCATCTTTTCTGCTTTGTCTAACTGACCTAACTGGATTAAATCTTCTGCAAAATACAACCAACATTTGCACTCGAGAATAGGGTCTTTGAGTTTCTTGGCTAGTTTAATTTGTTCAATGGCTAATATACTCGCTTTATATGCCTTTTAAGAATGAGATAATGAATAGGAAACATGATGCTTACATAGTCTTTATTGTTTTTCCCTAAAGAGCAAAATGCACCTCCTAACACAGAATAATAGACACCAGTGACTGCCATCCTATGTGCTCTTGTAACCAATGTCCAAATACGTTTACACCATGGCATATAAACACGCATCGACCGAGACACATAATGTGCTGTGTCAAGCATGATGTACAAGTGAGATACATCAACCTCTATAGCAGCTATCATCAGGTTTAAGGCCATAGGGTTTGTTGTTAAATACAACCGCAGTCTTTCTATTGTTTGGTAATGATGACAGGTTACTTGGATCTTCCATCCTTCTCGATCATGCCCTTTGATTAACCTGTCGACATGAATGGGATCAAAAGGGTTAGCTATATAAACAACAGGAAAATAAGCTGTCTTTTCTATTGTTTTATATTGGTCATAAGAGAATAATTGCTCCAGTGTCCATTTACGGTACAACATAGAGAACGGCTATTGAAATAAAAATATTGTTATTATTATTATTATTATGCAATCCATTAGACCCAGTCAATCATCGCTTGACGCATAAATAAACTTACGTGTGACGTATGGGTTTCTTTTCTTTTTTCTTTTTTCTTTTCTTTTCTTTTATTTTTTAAAATGACTTCCACTTATCATTCAGCTTTTCCAGCACTTTATTCTACTGGATTTATGCAGCAAAAGCAAAGACAACAAACGGAAGTTGTACGTTCTTTAGCACCTCCTAAATTTCCAAGTTATTTGAAACAGACACTGTATGGAAAACTCATATGGGAACAATATCATCAAAGAAAACACGAAAAAGAACAAGAACAACAGCTTGAAACATTGGATTTACGTTTACCTACCTTTTGGAATGCCAAAGACAAGTCGAAAAATATACAAGTAGGCAGTAATGGATTAGATTTATCTTATATTGGTAGAGCATAAGAACAAAACAATAGTCCATACTCAAAGTATGTGTTTGTAGGTCCTGGAAAGCAAGAGACCCATGCTGCTTTAGCCAGATCGAACTTCCCTATGCGACCCCAATGTGGCGTATTTTATTTTGAAATGAGAGTGATATCCAAAGGAGATGATGGTTATATTGGCATTGGGTTTTGTGCAGCTACCAATAAATTAGAGAGATTGCCAGGTAAGTACATCAACACACACACAGTCTTGACTTAGCTCCTATATATGACAGGTTGGGATCCTGATTCTTGGGGATATCATGGTGATGATGGACACTCGTTTGCAGGATCTGGCACAGGCAAAAACTATGGACCTTGCTTCTCTACAGGGGATGTCATTGGCTGTGGTGTCAATTTTGCAGACAGTTCAGCATTCTATACGAAAAATGGCAAGTTTCTCGGGTATGCATTCACCAAGATGAATTTGAGTAAAGATATCTTTCCTGCTATTGGGTTGCGTACACCGGGTGAACAAGTAACAGCTAATTTTGGACATGAGCCCTTTGTGTTTGATATTGACCAGTATATCAGGGTGAGTCATTCAGATAGTTTCGATTGGTTTTATTCAACATACGAGGAATAGGACCAACGTATGCAATGGATAGACGAAATAACAGCAAAAGAAAAAACGACAAAGCCAGTCATGGATCAATTGATCTTGTCTTACCTGTTCCATCATGGATATACAGGGACTGGTAAAGCACTGATGCAGAATACGGGTCATATTTCAGGTCAACAGCTTAGTTTATCGCCCACAGATAACTCAAAAACCAATGGACAGAAAGACATGGAAGAGCGACAATGTAAGTTGAACTATGGTTATGGTAGGGACTGACCCAATCCAAAGTGATTCGATCTGCTATTATACATGGTAACATTGACGAAGCTATCAGACTGATTCATCTTTATTTTCCTGGTGTCTTGCAAGAAGAAGGTCGAGGAAAAGAACTCCAGTTATGGTTGAAATGTGGTAAATTTGTAGAAATGATGCGTGATTATTGCAACATGTCAAGAAAAATACAAGACGAGACACCATTGCCACCACCACCATCACCGCCAACCAATGGGCGTAGACTTAGTTATGCTGCTATTGCTGCATCTTTATCACCCTCTAGTAGTTCTGAATTACCTAAAGAAATGACAGAAGTGGATTATAGAAGTACGGTCAATGTATGGGGCAAGAGACCCATGGAGACCCATGAGACAGTAGACACAAGCAGTGACGCTGCTCAGTCTCTTACACGAGTAATGCAATACGGAAAAACATTACAAGATGAGTACCGTCATGATACCCGAGAAAAAACAAGAGCCAGCCTTGTCGCAAGTATAAATGACATATATATATGTGTGTGTGTATGTGTTTTCATAACATGTCGATAGGAAATCTTTTCCCTGTTGGCTTATCCTGATCCTTACTGTAGTCCTGTGGCTTATCTGATGAATATGAGTAGAAGAGATGCATTAGCTACTGAAGTTAATGCTGCTATTTTAGGTAAATGATATATGCATAAGCCATCCTCACTCATCAAAATAGCTTTTCAACATCGTCCTGAAATGCCTGCTATGGAAAGAATTTATAGACAAGTCATTCTATGTAACAAAGAACTCGCTTGTTTAGGTCATGGTCAATCCTCTCTGATCAATATAGATGAATACAGTGTGAATCCAACTGAGAGGCATCCAGATTATCATTGAAAATAATAAAAAAGGAAGGGAGAGTCTCATCCAATCAAATGTCGCTGTATAGTGGCTTAAATCAAGAAAAAGTAAGAAAAAAAACATAATTTTTTTTTCTCTCTCTCTCTCTCTTTTCTATATATACAAAAAAAAAAATGTCTAATATGGAGATCGCCATGAGTTATCCAGCCTCTCGTTTTGAGGCCGATAATACTTTAACTAACCCTGTTGTGTTGGAAAAGTATCAACTTGCTGCTGATATTGTGAATGGTATGACATTCAAGTTAGATCTCAACTTACCCTTTTTTTTTTTTTTATTAGATGTCCTTCCTTTGGTTGTGAGTAAGGTAGCCACTGGTGTTTCTGTTTGCGATCTTTGTCAATTTGGTGATGATCTTATTGAGGCTCATGTAAGGATCGAGCATCATGGTTCATTCCATTCATTATTTTCTATAGACAAAGAACATGTACAAGTCCAGTGAAAGAGGTGTGGCTATTCCTACTTGTGTTTCTGTCAACAACCTTGTTCAATACTTTTCTCCTCTTGCTGAAAATGATATGAGTCTAAAGCCTGGAGATATGGTAAAGATGTAAGTTTGAATATATGCGTAAGGAAGAGATATTGATAAAGGGGATCTAGTGAATTGGGTGTACACATTGATGGTTATATCGCTACTGCTGCTCATACCACGCTTGTCTCTCTTACACAAGAACCAGTGACTGGTAAGGCTGCTGATGTGATTGCCGCCACACACTTGGCTTATGAAACTGCACTTCGTATGCTTCGTCCCGGTATTAAAGTAAGTGAGAAAGTAAAAAGAGAGAGAGAGAGAGAGAGAGAGAGAGAGAGAGAAAACTTATATCTACCATTAGGCCTCAGAAATAACCCGTGTGATTACTGAAATTGCTGCTTATTTCCGCTGTCAACCTGTTGAAGGCACTTACTCTTCTCCCATGAAGCGTTTTGTGTTGCGTGCAGGCAAAGATATTGAAAACCGTTTCCTCGAAGAATTGATTGTTCAAGATTTAGATAAATACGATTTTGAAGTTGAAGCTAACCAAGTCTATCAACTCAACATTGTCTTGACAACAGGTGACGGCAATGTCAAGAACACAGACTATAAGCCCTTTGTGTACCAAAGAGATGTCAATGCATCCTATCAACTCAAGATGAAGTCAGCTCGTCAAGCTTATGCTGAAGTGAATGCTAACCATACTGTCTTTCCTTTTGCCACACGCGCATTGTCTGGCAACACAGCTCGTCTTGGTTTGACTTCATTATTGCAACATCAATTGATTACTTCTCATCCTGTGATGCGTACCAAGTTACCTTCAGATTTAGTGGCTCAATTCAAGGGCACTGTTTTGGTGACAGCCGAAGGACCTGTTCGTAACACACGCAACTTACAACTTCCCTATGTTCATTCTCAATACTGCATACCCCAAAATACAACTGCTGCTACTGTTTTGAGTACTCCTGCTGTGAAAGAAATTAGACAAGCTAAGCCTTTACCTGCTGTTGAAGTCAACTTTGGTGAACGTCGTGTTCAGGTATGTGTGTGCATATTTAAAGTAAGGAAAATACTGATATTGAATGTTTATTAGAAGGAAGATGTTGACATGGCTATGGAAGAGTAAAGAAATCACACATATATTCTTAGACAACTTTTTATGTAAATAAATAAAACAGAAAAAGAGAAACCTTTCAACTTTTTCTTAAACAAGTCAATACAGCAGCTGCTTCTGCTGTTGTCAGACTCAATCCAAACGATAGATCATCAGCCGTATGTCTACGTTGATGACGATAAAATGTGTCCTCTTTGGGTTTTTTCTTTTCAGACAAGATCTTGCCTTGTTTCCATTTGACACCACAGGCGTTGCAGAGCGTACCAGCGCCCTGGGGTCCACGGCGCCACATGGGAGTGGATGTTGAACCACAATATAGACATTGTTTCGTTGCATCTTTCTTTTCTTCTGCCATATGCATCACCATTTTAGTAAATTTGATATTCTCTTCATCTAAAGCAAGACTTTGTCTTTGTACTGATGTCTGACGGCAATGCAACGTTCTCTAAAAATAGAACATCAGTGTGCTATCGCTTTTGTTACACGCATACCAGCTCCATCATTTTTCCATACACGCTTTCAAAGTCAGAGACATGTTGCTTAAGGGCCATGAACAGACCACTTGAGATGCCTGATAATAAGAGATTGACAATAGGATCCAGTGTGGATGGTGCAGAGAAGAATGAGGGAAGTTGTAAACCGGGATCGGTGAATCGTCTCTTTTGTCGTACACGATGAGAGCAAGTGATGGGTAAATGAAATGAAACAGATGCCTATGGATCGATGGTCAATCTTTATTTCTTTGGAATGAGCTATTACCTCTAAAGGCGGTGTGTCCACAAGGGACTCAATAATAGCTTCTCTAGGAAAGAGATAATACTCTCTTGTGTTGATTATGGTTCGATCGTCTTCATCTTGCTTTACACAGAATATGACACTGTATTCAATCACTCTGTGCCTTTTCCTTTTTTTAGGTGGTAAGGCTATAGAGGCATCTACGTCTTCAATAATCTCAGATAGTTCAGATTCAGTGATTTCGTAAAACAGAGCTTGAAAGCAATCAAAAGGATTTGACTTGACAAGTGCATTGCCAAGATATCGAGACTGAATTCGAATGCTACCTTCTATATCTTTGTCTAAATCAATAGGCACAGAATAACTCTTGAATGTTTGACGAAACCATGCTCTATAGGCATGCATGTATATATATAAAAACATGAAGGAACATATAGCATTAACTTACCTTTTCTCTGTCATGGTAAGAACAAGAAAAAAAATAAAATAACAAAAAAAAAGGACCGGCAAATACCGCGATGAATTTTTTTTTTTTTATTTATAAAAAAAAAAAAAAAGAGAAAAAGGCTTTAACCAGATCCACCTGAGAATTTCTTACCAAAGAGAATGAGTTGGAGTTGATCATAACCAGACAAGACACCAGCACCAGCAATAGCACGAAGAATGTTGGCACCAGCACCCTTAAAGAGAGACTTGGCACCTTCTTTAGCCATGATTTCACGGAAAGCGTGAAGAGAAGAATCATATTTGACAGCAGCACCAGAAGTCATCATCATACGACGACGGATCGTATCAATAGGGTAAGAAGCTATATACAAAGGATTAAAAGGCCGAAGAGAATGCATAAATAAAAAAAATAAAAACTTACCCAGACCAGCACCGGTGGTAACAGCCCAACCAAGCAAGAATGTAGCCAAGAAAGAGCTCTGAAGGTTTTCAGGCATGACGGGTTTGATGGAATCGTACATACCAAAATAAAGACCACGATAAACAATGATACCAATACAAGAAATGTTGAAACCACGATAAAGACCAGCAATACCATCAGAAGCTAATGTCTTTCTGTAGACATCAACCAAACCATTGAATTGACGTTCACCACCCTTTTTAGCAGATTTGGCATCATTGGCAAGACGAGTACGAGCATAGTCCAAAGAATAGACAAACAAGAGAGAAGAAGCACCAGCAAGACCACCAGAAGCCAAGTTACCAGCAAACCAAGCCCAGTAACCATCCTTCTTGTTTCTGTTAAACATACGCTTGAATTTGTCCTTAAAGGCAAAGTTCAAGGCTTGCGTGGGGAAGTAACGAATGACATTGGCCGTGTTACCTCTCCACATGGAAATGAGGCCTTCATCCTTGACTGTACGAGTGAAGCAATCACCAATACCCTTGTAAGGATGAGAGAGACGACCTTGTTTGATCATTTCATCTTGATTTTGAATCAAAAGTTTGATACGCTCAATAGGAGCAGCAGCGGTCTTTGAGACGGCAGCGGAGACACCACCCATAAGAAAATCCTATACAAGATCAATGTTACACGCGCAGTTTATATAGTTCAACTTACAATCACAAACTTGTTTGAATCAGTAGCCATTTCGTTAGAAAAAGTTGAGAAAGAGAGAGAGAGAGAAAAAAAACAAAAAAAAAAGTGAGGGAAAATAAATACGTTATGGCGTTTCATATGAGATAGTATACGTTTGAGCGAATTCAGGTCCTTTTGGTCGACCCCCGCTTTCTGAGTTAATTTTATTCCGGGGTCATGTACGACCATCAAGATGACATTGTTTTTACAGTGAGAACGGTAAATCAAAAAATAAATGTCACTTTCCAAAAAATTAATGGCATTAAGCCAAATATACTTGTCCTTTTGGAGTAGAAGAAATGTCGCAACAAGTTGAATCAAATTGACCTAAATGATGTTTCTCTTTTCGTTTAGGTTCTAAACAATTTTTTTGTTGTTGTTGTTGATAATGTAGCAGGTTTAGGAGGGAGTCTAAGAGGTCGGCTGCGTTAGGATATAAAGGAAGGTCAAGTTGGGTATAAAGTTTTTGACATTGTAAGAAGTGAGCTATAGTAGTTTGGTCATAAAATGACTTTTCATTTTCGCTCTGTCTTTCTACATACTTTCTCTTTTGTTCTTTATTTCTTTTACTCTGGATCAACAACCAATATATCTTCTCTCGAAGTATAATGATAGATTACTAAAAATGATTCTTTATATGAAAAAAAGAGACTATGTATATATTTATATAAATTCATTCTATGATTGATCAGTCATATACTTTGTTCTTTTTGACTGATTGCTAGGTGATAAGAATATATTGACTGGGATTACATTTCTCTTTGGTGATTGGACGAAATTATTTGAAGCATAATCACTGACTTCCACAAGATCATACTTATAAGATTGCTCAATATGAGACAATGTGATTTTGTTGCTAAGTTCCACTGCGAATTCTCTCCAGGCATAAAGGTTTAAAACACTTTTTCAAAGTTGATGTAACTCTACCAGAGAGCTTATCAAGCTGAAATTCCCAACCTTGTGTCCTACAAAGTAGTCTTCATATCTGAACAATTGAACTATATAAGCAGATTTGCCAGCGAAATCCAAGTAAAAAAGCTGGTGATCAGTGTCTTGAGTAAAAAGATGGATGTCATTCAAAATACAGCCGTTGATCCTGATATTTTTATTTTGTTGTTGTTGTAATGTAGCTGTAGTGGCATTTGGCTTTTTGAATTCGATAGAGCATATTTCTACATTGTTGTGAACATATATGAATTCATATGCGTAGATCAATAAATGATGATCATGGCAAAAAACCAGATCACATCTATGGCAATTGAAAGATAACATTGCTTGGAGAAATAAAAACCTATACAAGTTCTAGCGGACTTTCTCTGTGTTCTTGCCTTTTCTCTTATTGAATAGCTACTCTCTCTTCATCTCACAACATACATCATCAATATCAGTGTCAAGATCGGTTGCAACGAGGATATCAACTCTTCTTCCATAAGTAATATCGACTTCGTTAATTAGTTGCATTCTTTGTGTTGCTGCGCGTATCATCCAAAAGAGGCCGTAAAGCACTAAGAAATGCATGCAAATAAAATGATTCAGAGAGTTTTGTTCTTCAACATTTTGCTCTTCAACATTTTGTTCTTCTTTAACATTTTGTTCTTCAACATTTTGTATATTTTGTTCCACTTCAACCTGTCCAACTTGAGCAGTCTCATACTATTGTACATCATTGTTATCGGTAATGGATTCATCATCTATTTCTTCATCGTTTACTTTTATCACCGTATCCAATATTTCATTTCTAAAGCTCAATTTGCCTATTTCAAACTTGATATTCAACTCCCTCTAGACAAGTATTTGCATTAGCAAACATCGATCACAACTTATAACGTTTACTTACTTGCAGCTTTGTCATTTTATGAATCAGAAGAAAGTTTTGTGATGCTTTCTTGGGCCTAAAAATTCAAAAAATTAGTAAAATATACAGCATATACTTCAAACAATGAATACATTTTGAAGAGTTTTGTTCTTGGTCTCTCGATTCGGGCATTTTTGTTTTATATATTTATCCAATAACGTTGAAGTTGGAAAGCTGAGTTGACATCGTTCAAAAGGACTGATGCCTCTTGAATACTTTTTAAATGTCTTGTGACAAATCCATTGAATGTTGGTTTGGAGTTATGCTTTAAATAATTGACTATTAACGCGTCAGAATCACTCATTGTTTCAGTGTTTGCGCCAAGCTAGATCGGAAATATGTTTCTTCTTGAATGATTACCGAAATACTTCTTTATGAACGACGTTATTTATCCCAAAATAATCATAGACACAAGATTAAAAAAATAAAAAAGTTACTTATTAGACAAGCGATACATAGAAAAAAAAACTGGCATCATTTTTTCTTTAAATCTATGACGAAATAAGGGAAATTCTTTCTTTTTACTAAAAGCAACTTAAATAAACTGGGAAGATGGTATGGATGAATGTACCTTAATGTACTTTTATATTAAAATAAAAAAGCTGACAAGTGATTATATCCAGTTCTTGAAATTCAATATTGCTCTGTTATGCTAGTCAGGCAACTTTCTCTGGATTCAAGCAAATAGTGAATTTGAAAACGCGTCGATTTTGTTGACTGCAAATAGGCAAAGTTATCCAGTGACTGTATAGGAATTTAACAACTAGACCTTCGGCTGTTGCTGGTAGCACACCTTCGGTTGCGTCCTTAGTGAAAATATAGCTTGTAGGCATAATTGCTATCAGACGTAAATGCTGTATTAGTAGCGTAATTAGTGCAAGGCGTCTCCTTGGTGACTTTCAAGCTCTTGGTAAAGTATTCATTTATTGACCTCAATCATCTCAGCTCACTAATTACTCTATCTCTCCATCTTTTTATAGTACTGCTTCACTTACGCCTTGCAATAATGTAGGAATCCAGCAATTAGACCTTCGGCTGTTGCTGGTAGCACACCTTCGGTTGCGTCCTTAGTGAAAATATAGCTTGTAGGCATAATTGCTATCAGACGTAAATGCTGTATTAGTAGCGTAATTAGTGCAAGGCGTCTCCTTGGTGACTTTCAAGCTCTTGGTAAAGTATTCATTTATTGACCTCAATCATCTCAGCTCACTAATTACTCTATCTCTCCATCTTTTTATAGTACTGCTTCACTTACGCCTTGCAATAATGTAGGAATCCAGCAATTAGACCTTCGGCTGTTGCTGGTAGCACACCTTCGGTTGCGTCCTTAGTGAAAATATAGCTTGTAGGCATAATTGCTATCAGACGTAAATGCTGTATTAGTAGCGTAATTAGTGCAAGGCGTCTTCTTGGTGACTTTCAAGCTCTTGGATCAAATCAGGCATTCAATCATTTTTACCACAAACAGAATTTCAATCTTTTGATTTCATACGCCTTACTAATTCTGGTAGACGAAATTCCGATAGACGTGTTTCCCAAGTAAGGAATCATATTTAACGTTCAAATTACATTGCCTAATTGAACTGCCATTTTAGATAACATTACTCATGAATGTGATTATTTAGCTTTTCGAAAGGTTGCTTTCGTTCGAGAGAAAGTCAGAGGCTTACAGTGCCCTTATACCTGATCTTACATTGCTTACAGACTGGCTGAATATGGTATGTACCTATCCAGTTGCTTGATTTTTTTTTTTGTGTAGCAGATTAATTTTGAGGAAATATAGATATCTAAAGAAATACAAGCCACTGTTGAATGTCTTAAGGGAACCATAGGCTTTTTTTCAAGATACCGTAATTAAGTAAACAAAATTTTGAGTCCTTGCATCAAGCGACGTTGAACACAAAAGTTAAAGGCCACATTGGTTTATCTTATTTTTTTTTCAGGCTCTTACAAGCTTGCCTCGTTTTTTTGGGTCTGTCTCTTGTACAGGTGCTAGTTTGTGCTTCTTGAATAAATGCTAAGCAGATAATGCTCTTTACAATTCTAATCAGCAGTGTCTGCTTCTATTCTAATAAAATTATTTCATTTTTATATCTAATAACATTACTTGCTTTGTCTTTGGTCAGTACGATGCTATTTGGTCTTGATCAGCACCATTTGTCTTCATCTTTTATTAGTATTGTTGACTCAGAGTGATATTCGGGTTGTCTACGTTTATTTGAATTCGAGGAAATGACCAATTTATTTTCAAGATGCTGCCTTCAAAATGGAAGTGTTTTTTCAAGTTCTCAGACAAGACTTAGTCTGGTATCCCAGGTATGGGCTAATAGCAATAGTTCGAAATACTGGGGAAGCTAGTTTCAAACATTAAACCAAACTACTATAGCTCACTTCTTACAATGTCAAAAACTTTATACCCAACTTGACCTTCCTTTATATCCTAACGCAGCCGACCTCTTAGACTCCCTCCTAAACCTGCTACATTATCAACAACAACAACAAAAAAATTGTTTAGAACCTAAACGAAAAGAGAAACATCATTTAGGTCAATTTGATTCAACTTGTTGCGACATTTCTTCTACTCCAAAAGGACAAGTATATTTGGCTTAATGCCATTAATTTTTTGGAAAGTGACATTTATTTTTTGATGACAAAATTTATTCTCACTGTATTATTTTAATCTCAATAAATTTTATCAAGGTCAATATCATACGAAATATTACAACCACAACTGTGCTTTGCATTAGGATTATCAATCACTTGAAATGTTGATCCTATCAATTCTTGTACATAGTCTACCATAGATCCTCTTAGGAATTGAAGTGATACACTATCAACAACCACTCGAACACCGTCTTTTTCAAATACTCTAAAAAAAAGCATTAACAAAAAAAAAAAAAAAAAAAAAAAAAAAAACAGGGTCAATTTCTAACTTACGTATCATCTTCGTCTAATGTGTTTGTTAATTCCATTTTGTTTTGGTATCCATGGCATCCTCCTGAATCAACAAGGACTCTTAACATTTGTTCGGCATCCTTTTCTCTTTCTTGAATGACTTTTAATTGCTGACATTGTATGGTATTAATTATCTGAAATGCATTGTAAATTATCCTTATTTACCTTGACAGCTCTGTCTGTGATGCCCATACCATTCTCGGGTAATGCTGTTTTGATTATGACTGAAGAAGGTGCTGTCGTCAATGTTCGTTTAAAGGTATATATACTGGTTTTGTTGAATAAAGAAGACTGTCTAACTGCGCAAAATGTTCTTTTAGGTAACAGAAATGTCGAAGCTGCATATGTTGTTGCAGGGGAGCGATATAAAGATGAAAAGAGTGCTTTCTTGAAGGCACTTTTAAACATGTTTATACAGTAAAGAAGAAAACGAAGAAAGAGAGAAAAAAAAATTAAATGTGACGTTGAGTAAAATTTATTGTTTATGCTTTTTAGTCTGTTGGGATTCAAAGTAGTTAAACAGAGTATTTGTACGCTTTTTCTGCTTTTTTGTGTCATTGGGTTCTGATATCTTTTTAAATGTGCCCCCACATGTCAATTGATGTTCAGCATACCAAGTATCAGCAGGTTGAGGTGGTCTATTATGGTTGAGTTCTATTGCTATTGTTATCACTTCTTTATACCTGTTGATAGATCTTTTAACAATCCCAAAATAAGGTGGTTTATCAGCACAGACACCATCACATTTCCATATATGCGTAAGATAATAATCTACTTCATCATGGAAGTCATGGTATATTGTGATATTTGTGTTGGCTAATGTATTGATTCTATTTGCTTCTGCTATAAACATAGGACCATGACCATCTAACAAAAATTCAATAAAGATTTTTTGATAGTTTAACAACATACCTCGGTCTGTATTCTTTTGTGTGATAAATAAAAGGGCATGAATCATTTCATGCTATGATCAAAATGAGATAAGAAACACAAGGTTGTTCATTACCAGAAGTGTATTTATCATATCATTCTTTGGACGAAATTTCAAAAGAGGTTCAGACATAGTGATAATACAATGATTGCCTCCTTTAAACGTACATGTGCCTGCACTAATGACACTCGTAAGCAAAAAACAAAAAAAAAAGGGAGGGGAGGATATGGTATTTACCAACGAGTCATTTTCTTTGACCATTTAACTTCTACCATGTCTAGTTGGTTATCAAAGTATAGTCTATTAAACAGCACAAAGAGTTCATGAAGATCTGGGATCGTTTCCTCAAGTACATGACATGGTGATTCCTTTCTTGATTGTCGATCTTGTTCATATTGTTTTTGTTCTTCTTCAAACAACATACGGGCAAAAGCTTCATCCGCAGCTATCTGATCATTCATTATTTTATTTTATATACAAAAAAGAAAAAGAGGGAATTATGAATAATATTCAGGTTTTTTGATGTTGACACCATATTCAGCTAAAGCAGCTGTCAAATCTTCCATTGTCAATACAGTCTTGCGCTCCTATTTTTATAAGTTGATACACTACACACACACACACAGACACACAGACACACACACACACACACACACACACACACACACACACACACACGTCTCTCTTTCTGATGTTACCTTGCCTGACTTTCTGTTGCCTGACTGTCTTACTTTACAATATTGAAAAGCATCAGTAGCAATATCAGCTACGAATTTCTGAGTAGCTAATGCCAATAAACGTTTACTATAGAACACATAAGAACATGTCATGGTATTCAGTATGCTTTACATGCGAACATCATCACAGTCAAATCCGGATTTTGATAAGTAATAGTCAGTAACTGCATCAGGTATCTATGAACTGTTAAGCATATATAGATAATCGAGGTTGATGGCTTACAATGGGCGCATAATTGTCCATCATCGCCAAAAACTCTGCCATGGTCTTTTCTTTTTTTGCTGTTGTTTCAAGATCAGCTTTTGGCATAGGCATGTCGTGTCCCTTTATCAATTTGTTCTCTGTTGGTTCACTCATGGCACTCTATTAAAAAAAAAAAAAAGATGAAAGAAAAAAAAAAGGGATGCTTTCAAATGTCCGGGAAGACCGAATCATTTAGCACCGGATAGGATGTGCCGCACATGATCATGCATGTTATTTGAAAAGAGGCTCAATCATTTTAAGCTAATAGAAGCAAAAGATGAAACAAACTGTTGTACTGAAGCACCTTTTGACATGAGGAATTCAAGGGAGCTGTTTTCTATTATTATTGGTTTTTTTTTCCGACAAAGTAATTCTCTTGGCAAGTGTCAAGTGTGATTTTATTAAATGTTTAAGGAGTAGAAAGTGATTTTAGTCTAGTAAATCAACCATAGCTAAGAAAAAAGAAAAGAAAATATAAGCCCATATGTTTTATGCATACTTTCCTACCTTGGAAGATTAAAGACCCTGTCATGGTACATAAGAGCACAATAGCATCTAATTGTGCAAAAGGAAGAGCACACATGGACCATAAAATAATAGCATTGATGATTCTAGAACCAATAATGATTTTTCCATACAAATCTAGAGCTGTGTGAGTTTCCAATAGAGTATAAAGGGTTATGTTACATACCTGAAATCTTGGTATTCAATGCCTTAATCATTGAATTGAGGATCAAAATAAGGCCGGCAAATATAAGGAAAGTCTTGTAGACAAAGCTTGTTTCGTATTGTGTGATGGATTCAGTAAATGAACCTGTGGCTGCATGCTCTGATCTACGCATTAAATGATGATGCTGTTCTTGTTGAGGCTTTTCTTCTGAAATCAAGTGCATAGCAGAGATGACCACAGAAGTAGCTAGGTATTTGCACCAAACAGTCCAATGTACAGAAGTGGTAGGCCAGCTACTTTCAGTTGTGACAACGGACTGTTGCTCGTTCAATTGACGCGTGATCTCCATGGGATTATAGTCGTCTTCAGCAGTATGGGTCATGCCAATGGCTCGCTTGACTTTATGGTGCACGGCTTCTGCAGTTGTAGTCTCTGCAGTTGAGGCAGTCGATGTTTCTGTATTGTGTGCACCTTCTGTAGAAGTGCTTTGCGATCCGCTACTTGATTCTGTAGAGGTGTCGTGCGATTCACTGTTTGACTCTGTGGATGTGTCATGAGTCTCGCTAGTAGTTGAAGTACCATGTGATTCGCTACTTGCTTGCTCTTCCTCAGCAGGTAACTTGTTGTCTCTGATTAGTTGATATTTATAAATTTTGAGACTAAAGGCATTGATGAGTAAACCTATTCTAAAAATATGCCCAAACTTACATATCCGTCAAAGCAATACCAAAAGCCACCTGACACAAATGCAAAGGGAAATGAAGATAGACCCAGATTTGGTGATATTTGTTGTGCAAGAAAATCTATCGAGTAACATCAGCCTTTGCCTCAAACATGTCGAGACGTTACCTCCTTATTGAAGTCTTCGAAATACATAAAGAAGAAACCAAAAATAATAAACACAGCCATGAAATTAGGAATACTATCACACATGAGTTAATCGGATCATGGTTCATCTCTACATACACAATTATCAAATGATTTCCTGCTTCTGATACCAGAGAAACAAGGCCCATCAAGTTTTCACCCAACACAATCAAAGTAAGTAAACCTAATCTTTCAGCCAAATGACTAGCAGCCCAAGACAATGACTTGTCACTACGAACAATGACATTCACCAAAACCTCAATAAAGATACCAAGGAACCAAAGAATACGATGGATCCCTTTTTCCAGAATGACCAATGAGGAGGCCCATAAAGCGATCGACAATAAATTAGCGGCGACATAAAATGAGAGAGCCATTCGAGACTTAGACTTTGTAAGCACAGCGACCACAAGCACTAAATTAAATTAATTACGAATAAAAAAAAATTACAATGAAAGAAAACTTACCAACAAAATACTCTAAAGCAAGCACGCCTTTCAGGGCTAATTCAAAGTTAGAAAGACCAATATAAAGCAATCATCTACTTGCCTATGTAACCATAAACATAACCCCTTGAATTCAAAAAATATTCGGAGGAACCAGCCATACCAACTAGTACAAGATTTAGTTAATGCATTCTTGTGTCCAAAACAATACTTACTAACTGCACACATTTCAACTAATCTATAAATATGATGTACAACATCATCCCTAAATAAAGAAAGTAAGAAACAATTCTTCTAGAACAACGCGTTGTCTTACGTGTCAAATCTTGCTGTATATCTATCATGAGAACAAATATGAGATAACATAAACCAAACAAAGCTACTTACAAAGAACTTGCGCACCAAGCCCACCAAGTGATAATAAACCATTGCGTGTATAAGCCCAAAGAATCCCAATCTTTGATATGGTGACTATGCGTGAACTGGGTCAAAGTAGCCACAAAAAACAAGTCATAAAACAATTCAAGCCAACTCGCTGCTTTCTCGACACCAATATCTGCACTCAAATCAGGTTCTGGATGTTGGAAGAATGGACGGCGCGTTGCTTCCACAGGTATCATAACATCATGGTGTTCGTGTTTTGGTTTAAATTCGACATACAGATTGTCACTGAACTCGATGGTATGGTTATCGGGGTCATGGTGGTGACCATGGTGGTGATGATGTTGATGCTCTCCTTCACCTTTGTGATGGATTTTGATTGAGAAGTCCTTTTTGATCTTATAAAGGAAATCAGTCAGGCCATCTGTATCCTTGACTCCATTAAACTGGATTTTTTCTTTGGGAGTCAAATTCAACTATAATTTGAATGTGTTGAGTCTTTTTTTTTTTCGTACGACAATGTCTGTAACTTACTCTTTGACAAAAATCATTGGCTGCATCATGATCCAGTACGAATCGCTGATTACCCCGCAGTTGACGGAAATGCAAAACTAAATAACGCATTAAATATTGTTTATTTTTAGTAAAATAGAGTCTTACCTAACGAATAATGAACTGGATGTTGATGCTCAGAACTATAATAAGGAGCTCATGTTATTACCTTAACTATATAAAGGAAGAAAATACACAATCAATTTACCTTATCAAGTGTTGATGCTGTTGCTCTCTCTCACTATTGTGAGCTATTGACCAACGGTTTAATTTAGCCCTGTAGCTTTGTCGACGTACTTGATGAGCATGAAACTCTTGTTGGGGATGTGTCAAGATATCACCAAATGTTTCTTCACCATGATGATAGATGGGTTTTCCTTCTTCATCTGTTTCTAGTTTTTCATTGTGTTGTGTGATATCTTCCATCATTTCGTAAGTCTCTTTCTCTGCATCGTCGTAAGCACCAGCATTTGCTAATCCTACTGTCTCTTCTTCGTCTACTGAATCTCGTCTTTGAGGAACGCGCATACTTCTTCCAATAGGAGGTCTAAAACGACCTCCTCGAAGTGTAGGTCCTCTTCGAACAGAGTGGCTTGATAACTGACTAGTTGGGGAATCCATAAAGGGAAGAAAAAAGAAAAAGAATGAATATTTTTTTGATTTATTTATACTCCTTTAAAGAGGTCCGACATGCCAATTTTTTTTTTTTTTTTGGACCTTAATAACAAAAACAGGACCCCTAAGTGTCGATCTCCTAAAAAAGTTAATCAATTTATTATCTGAAAAATACATAATTAATTTAAAAATAAAAATATTTGTACAACTGTTTCGTTCATTTGGTCAATTAGATGATTGGTTATTCAATTGTAATATTTGCTCAGTAAAGAGAAACAAAAAAACTCGCGTTTTATTTGAAAAACAAGCTTGTTTTTTTTTTAGATACCAGATTGTGTTATAAACCTATAGATCAGTTTTAGATGACCAATAACAACATAAAATCAAGCAAATTTTATTCATTAGGTGCATATTGATCTTACCAACTGTCATTGAATTGTACGCGAGAAAGGAAAGCTACCACAGGTTATGTTCCTCATTGAGACATTATTTGGCGGTTCACGCCTTGTTTGGAAATACTTTACATGACGTTGTGTACCAGTTTGAGACGCATTGTTCATTTACGCATTTTGCTTCAGAATAAAGAAGAGAAAATTGCTTTCTTCAAAATATACAAAAAGCAGAAGTCAAACAAAAATATGCTTCGATGGATATAAGAGTCAAAGTAAAAAAAAATAATCCAAAGATATACAGAAACAAGAAAGAATGACCTGAATTAGGTGCGTAGATGCATGTTAATGGTTGGATGGTTTCTCAAGACGAGGTAACATTGATGTCATTGAATCATACAAATGGCACTGTATCCTTTAAGCTGGACGTATCTTAACCATTGTAAGAAAGCAAATAATCTAACTAGAGCTGTGAATATATAGTGATTTGCATTACATTTAAAGCATATACTAAAGTTTACTTTTTGCGTATCACGTATTACACTCTTATAGCAGAGACATTAGGCAAATAAATGCCTTGATACTGAAGAAGGCAACAACAGATCATACAGCTCTTTATCTTTCTCTTAGGCATATAAAGGTAGTATAAAGCCTGTTTATACACGCAAAAGTGCTCTAAGCACTTATAAACTATGTTTGTTAACATCTGTGGTGCCTTTGGATTGATTTGGACCAATAAAAAAAAAGATTTGACAACTCTTGGTCTTCTTCTAGACGCTACAAGGCGAAAAATAGAGCTATCAACAAGCTGAGGTACTCAAAATGAGAGCCGGAGGCTATATTTTTTGATAAATGTGTATGTTAAACAGTTATATTATAAAAATGATAAGATATAGGCAGAGAACTTCATAAACATTTTTGCCTATTCTAGCAATATTTTAGCAGTAAATCTACTGTGTTTCTTACGTCAGTAGAATCAGGAAGCAAATATCCACAACCTTTGCACTACATCAGAGCTCAATAACTGCGTCTTCATGCAGTTTTCAACAAAAGCTTGTTATGTAATTATGCTACAAATTAACTAGAAAGGATAATATGAAAGGTATGCCACTGTTATGAGTGAAAAAAAGGTAAAATAAGGATTACAGCCTTGTGTGTACTTGCTTTTCATTTGCAAGCAGCTGTAAAGCAGTACACGCTTGTTGTAGGATGGAGTAGGCATCAAAAGAGACGTTATCAATAAAAAATCTCCAGTGTGCTTTCCAGACTTACGAGAGGGCAGTAATAACAATGTCAACAACGGTTAAGTGTTCCTTTCGTGAATAATCTATTCTGGAAAAGCATTTTTCATACAGCTGGATGAATTGAGGTTGCTTTTATTTTCAATCTTCGCAGACAACTACCATGTATATGGTGAAAAGATAATACTTTAATGTACTATCGCTCGACAACGAGACTATTGACATGGTTGTCTATTTTGTCCTGTTTTCTCTTCTGCTTAAAATGAGTTTAAACATTCCAAGGAATCAAACAGTACTGTTAGTATGACGACTGTGAAAAAGTCATTTTTTTTGAGCCACAGAGACGGTGTAGAAAAAGAAAGCTCAAGTAAAAGCATTTAGAATGTCAGAATATGACAATACAAGGAAAACATGCCTACTCTTTCTATTGTAGGCGCACTCGATTTGAACTACGTAGAATGCCAATGTCAGAAATAAGTTGAGTAGACAACATGTTCAAACCGAAACTGAATAGTTTGAAAGGCACATAGCAACAAGCAACGATACTGATTCCCTTATTTTAGTTTCAAATACACATTGGAGCAGTGTAACTATTGCCAAAGGTCACTTTGAACAGGAAATTTAAGTTACGAAACAGAAAAGACAATTCATAAGTGTAACAACCAATTTTTTGCATAATTTACACATGTGTCAATCCAACCAAACAATCACATGAAAACACTTTTATAATTAACTTGTAGAAAAAAAAAACGCGACTTTTCTATTTTCAAAAACTGTAGTAAATGAAGCGTCATTGTTTTCAGCCAATAACATACCACCTGTGACGACGTGCGTGATGTACAAAAAAAAAAGTGTGAGTACCATTTTTTCTAAACGTGTAAAACATCTCTCTTTCTCTGATTTCATTTAGGAAATAACATTAGCGATTTTCAGTACACAAAGAAGAAAGAGAACCAACATGAATACCTTACCGAACCAACCTTCGCCTGGTGGGTTTAACAAGGAAAAACTACAAAGTCTTGTTCAGGTAAACCTGAAAAAACATAAAGTAATGCCTATACTCAATACGCCATGTAGCGCGTTCGATACCTTCAGTCTCAAGGTGCTAAAGAAGACAACAATCCAGAATATGCTCAGATCATGCAATTCTTGAAGAATCTACAAAGACAACAACAACAACAACAACAACAACAACAAGGACGTCCAGATCAATCTACAGGCAAGTATCCATCTACATGGTGGGTCATATTAACATCGATTAGATACACCTTCTACGTTTACGCAAGGTCAATTGGCTGCCTTGAAATATCAAATCTTGGCTTATAAGCTTATTTCAAAGAATTTGGCATTACCTGCTCATATTCAACAAGCGGTCTTATCTCCTAGTTCAGCACTGGCTCTTGAAAATGCCACACCCACACCACCGCCACCAGCAACCGCACAATCTACACCTGTTGTGTCTACAGAGAAAGACACAAAGAAGATGAATTACAATGCGTATGCTTCTCCTTTTGATCTATTCAAGAAGCCCATCACTTCATTCTCACATGCTTCACGCCAACAACGACTCTTGATCCCTAGTATTACGCCTTCTGGTGTGGATCCATACGCTTTGATTTCAGAACGTGAGCGACGTGTACTAGGACGTATTCAGTACCGTATTTCAGAATTAGAAAAATTACCAAGTAATTTACAAGACACCACACATGCCTTGGAAAACAATATTCGTCAAAACAGCAGCATGAAGCTCAAAGCTGTAGTAGAACTCAAAGCATTACGATTGTTAAACAAGCAAAGACAATTAAGGGAAGAAATCATGGCTGGCATGAAACGGTCAACGACCTTGGCTACTTCAGCAGATCGACTTGCTTATCGTCGTATGAAGAAACAATCGTTACGTGAAGCTCGTATGACAGAAAAGATGGAACGACAACAACGTACAGATCGTGAACACCGTGAAAAGCAAAAGCACCTAGATTACCTTCAGACCATTTGTGATCATGGTCGTAATTTGACTGGGTTCCAAGCTAATTACAGAGCTAAGCAGAACAAGCTGGGCAGAGCTGTATTGCAGTACCACCAACACATTGAAAAAGAAGAACAAAAGCGTGCTGAACGTATCTCTAAAGAGCGTATTCGTGCCTTGAAGAATGACGATGAAGAAGCCTATCTCAAATTGATTGATGAAGCCAAGGATACGCGTCTGACTCAGCTATTGAAACAGACAGGCTCTTTCTTGGATAGTCTGACAAAGGCTGTTGTAGATCAACAACAAGACCATAAGATGGACAAGTCATTTAACATAAACAATGATGATGAGGACGATGATGATCTGACAGCCAATGATCCTGATGCCAAATACGATTATTTCCAAGTCACACACCGTATCAAGGAAGAAGTAAGACAACCAGAGATCCTTGTGGGTGGTCGATTGAAAGACTATCAAATCAAAGGTCTTCAATGGATGGTCTCTCTTTACAACAATCACTTGAATGGTATCTTGGCTGATGAAATGGGTCTCGGAAAGACCATTCAGACCATCAGTTTGATTACTTATCTGATTGAAAAAAAGAGACAAAATGGGCCATTCCTTATTATTGTGCCACTCTCTACCTTGACCAATTGGACACTTGAATTCGAGAAATGGGCTCCTGCTGTCAAGACCATTGTCTATAAGGGTCCACCCAATGTCCGTAGAGAACTTCAGAATGAAATTCGCTATCATGATTTCCAAGTGGTCTTGACTACTTTTGAATACATTATCAAGGATAGACCTGTGCTTAGTAAAGTCAAATGGTTGCATATGATTGTAGATGAAGGTCATCGTATGAAGAACACAAATTCCAAATTGACGATTGTTCTTCGACAATACTATCATACACGCTATCGATTGATCTTGACAGGCACACCTCTTCAGAACAATCTGCCTGAACTATGGGCCTTACTTAACTTTATTCTTCCCAAGATCTTCAAGAGTGTCAAGAGTTTTGAAGAATGGTTTAATACGCCCTTTAATAACCAAGGTGTGGCTGATAAGATTGGCTTAAATGAAGAAGAACAATTGTTGATCATCAAGCGTCTTCATAAAGTATTGCGACCCTTCTTACTCAGACGTCTTAAGCGTGATGTTGAATCTGAATTACCAGACAAGGTAGAACGTGTGATTAAATGCAAACTGTCTCCTCTTCAAGTCCATCTGTACTCTCAAATGAAGCGCAATGGTACACTCTATACTTCAGATGCTATCAAGGGTAAATCCAGTCTCAAGGGTCTGAATAACACTATCATGCAACTCCGTAAGATCTGTAACCATCCCTTTGTGTTTGAAGAAGTGGAATCTGTCATTAATCCCAGTGGTATGTCGAATGATTTACTGTACCGTACTTCAGGCAAATTTGAATTATTGGACCGTATGTTACCCAAACTACAGCAAACTGGCCACCGTGTATTGATCTTTTTCCAAATGACACAAGTGATGAGTATCATGGAAGACTTCTTAAGCTACAAAGGATTCAGTTATCTACGTCTGGATGGTTCAACAAAAGCAGATGATCGTTCTGAACTGTTGCGGTTGTTTAATGCACCTGATTCGCCTTACTTTGTCTTTTTGCTGAGTACCAGAGCAGGTGGTCTGGGTTTGAATTTACAGACAGCCGATACAGTCATCATCTTTGACTCGGATTGGAATCCTCATCAAGATCTTCAGGCACAAGACCGTGCTCACCGTATTGGTCAAACAAAAGAAGTCCGTATTTTCCGTTTGGTATCGACCAATTCAGTGGAAGAGAGTATCTTGGCCCGAGCCAATTACAAACTGGACATTGATGGCAAAGTCATTCAGGCTGGTAAATTCGATAATCGATCTACTGAAGAAGACCGTGAAGCCTTTTTGCGTTCCCTGTTGGAAGACAAAGCAGATGAAGACAATGACGGCTATGATGAAGAGATTGATGATGAAGAACTGAATGAAATGTTGCAGCGTAGTGAGACTGATCTGGAAGTATTCCATCGTATTGATGATGAGCGTGAAGAACAAGACAGACGTAACTGGCAAATGCAAGGTCGCCGTGGTAAACCTGACCGATTAATACAAGATTCTGAATTACCAGACATCTATTTGAATGATGATCCTCTGCCTGAGACTGAAGAAGATCCCTTGTCATTTGGTCGAGGTCAAAGAGCAAAGGAATCAGTGCGATATGATGATGGCCTAACAGAAGAACAATGGTTAAATGCATTAGAAGATGATAATGTAGATTTAGATGAAGTGATTGCTAGAAAAGAAAGAAGAAGACAGAAACGTATGGATGACTCTGATTCAGGTGAAGAGTCTAAGCGTAGAAGAAGAGAAGACAGTTTAGATCATACTAAAAAGAGAGGTAGACCTAAAAAGGGAGAACCAGAGGTAAACAGGAAAGATAAGAGTAATTTTTTAGGCTCATGTTGTTTAGTCTAAACGCAAACGAGGCAAGCAGAATGATGCTGATCTCAATAAACCAGACACAGTGGCACCCCAAGTAAGAGAAGCCATGTCAAGAGTATTCAAAGAGTGTTACAAAGCAGTAGAAGAAGCAGTAGAAGAAGATGAAGAGTATGTTATCTAATAATGACTAGTCTAACCTATGACTTTTAGGACATACCGCAGTCGAAGTGAACTCTTTATGGATCTGGTCAGTAAACGTGATTATCCATTGTACTACACTATGATTAAGACTCCGATATCCATGAACATCATCAAGAAGCGTATCAACTCAACTTACTATAGAACCATTGCTCACTTTAGAGATGATTTCCATTTGATGTTCAATAATGCAAGAATATTCAATGAAGAAGGCTCATTTGTGTATGAAGATGCAAATGAAATGCAAGTAAGTAACACACATATATACGACTATTTCTAGGCTAACCTGTATATGTAGAAAATATTTGATGCTAAATTGGAGGAACTATGCCCAGGTGGTGTGTTGTCATTAACATCCACTCAGTTTAGATCATAAAGAAAGGATAAATTATTTACCCGAAAATAAAGATCGACAATATAGGAGATCGACATGACATGATTGGTTTATATGTAAGCCTCCTTATAAATATAAATATAAAAAATTTTTTTTCTTTTTTTTTTTCTCTTTTTCTTTTATATTCCACTATGTCTTCTCTTCCTTCACCACCACCTTCACCTTTAGATTGTAGACGTCATCGTCGAAGTGATAGTTTTGCTTTAATACAAGCTATTATGAAAGAAAGAGAAAAAGAAGAACACAAAGAAGAAGAAATGCTGATAAAATCAAAACTATTACGATTCAGTTGTCCTCCTGCTCAAAAGATAGATAGTCAAGATATCACACCACACAAGAGTCTGTCTCAATCTGTAAGGTTCACAACAGAACCCCCTCAGGTGTATCATTATTCTTAAGTTTTATTGGGATTCTAAGTAATCACGAAACAAATCTTCTCTTTCAGTCTTGGACTCTATCACGTAAAAACGACTGTCTTTCTCAAGTATCTTTTTGGCATCTCTCCAACGCATCCCCGCTCTGATTTCTTTTGTGTCACGTAAGAGATCCATGTATTCATCCCTTGGCTCCTTCTTCTTGTTCTTTCCCAGATGATGTTTCACATGATCTTTAAATAACGCTTCTTTCTCCCGAGTGACTGTCATGGCTTTAAATCTAGGATCATCTTTGTATTTACGGCGGAAATCATCCCAGTACATCTTCTCAGTTACTTTAGATTCAAGTAGTTCTTTAAACTGATCTTCTGGTTTCTAACATCATATTCATTTTTTAATACCTTGTAATATATATATATGTATATATACCCAGTTGCTTACCTTTTTTGTCTTGTTAACATCTTTTAATTTCTCACCTAATGCATGACAATACTTGTCAAATAATACTTTATGCTTATTTTGTGGTACCACTCATATCAAAGTCAATATCAATAAATAAACAAATAAATGTATCTTACCTGAAAATCTTGGATCTGTCATGAGTTTAGGGTATTCAGCTGAATAGACAGCAAAAGGAGAAATGTTTCTCTCTTGTAAGAGGTCATAAAATTGAGCTGTATATTCTTCTTCTGTCAATGCATCCTTTTGTACTTCTGCTTCAGCCATTTCTTGTAATTGCCACATGACATCTTCTTCTGTCATTCTAAATGATATGTAAGCTATCTAAAATAATTCAGTTCCTTACTCTTCTGATTGTTCTTGTTCTTGTTCTAACCGAGCACGCTCTGCTTCTTCTAGTTGCTCTTCTTCTAATTGAACGCGTTCTTGTTCCAATTTAACGCGTTTGGCTTCTTGCTCTTGTTGCTCTTGTTCTTCCAATTCTCTCTTTTTATCCTGTTCCATCTTTTTCAATTGTTCCATAGGCTCCTCTAACTCGAGGGGCATTTCCCAAACAGACGTCTTTGTTTCTCGGTCATAATAAAATTCATATCCATCGTGTGTCAAGACAAATAACCAATGCGTATTGGGAATTTTCTTTCTATACACTATAAGTTAATTGACTGCTTATGTCTTTCTATCAACGTTTACTTTATCTGTTTATGCTTCTTAGGTGGGAGATGTTCTTGTGTTGGAAATACCCAAGAACTGGTATGAGTAACTGTATTGTACCAATAAGGTTGACCAGTGACTGTACGATACTCTTTCCAACCTGAAGGAAGTTTAGGTACACCGAGTAATACGTATTTCTTAGAAGGTTTAGGCTTGGGTGTTGTTGTAGGATACATTACGTTAGTCCCAAAAAAAAAAAAAAAAAAAGAGAGAAAAAAAGAAAAAAAGTTTTTTTTTTTTTTTAAAAAACCGATGATTCTATTGATTTTAACAGTTGCATTAGCAACTTTTTATAGTCCACATCAAGTGGAAAAACTTTATTGACTATATGATAATACGAAATCCAGTCGTAAAAAGAGAAATTAAAGAGACCATTTGATAGGAATGACACCTTTAGACAAACTGCCTAATTCCTTGAATGCAGCAGGACTTAAATCAACATCGCCTTCACCACAACTAGGACAAGTATCGACTACCTTGACTGTGACAGAACCAGATCCGCCTTTAATAGTGATGGATTTACCACAATATTTACCATCACTGCTAGAACCCATCAATGAGCCTGAGAGAGCAGCAACCATTTCACTGTCAGAATTGGTATCACCACAGCTACCAAGACCTACAGTATAATAAGTAGCATCACCAGACATGGAAGAACGAGCTTCAAGCACAGGAGCAGCTTGAATAGTGAACAACATGGCAAAGAACAAGAAAAGAGTAGCAAAATACATGGTATAAAGAACGGCCAGCGTTAAAACGAATGGGAAAGAGAGAGAATACAGATAGACAAGAGTTGAATTGAACGTTGCCTTTATATATAGAATAATTCAATCGCCACTATCAAATAGGCCCCTTGAAGCCAAGCCATGAATCAAATGAAATTATTTCTTTCCATTTTCGATTTAATAGCCCCGTGTATAAAGAAAGAAAAAGGGGGGCAATGATGTTCATGTTGTGTTACTTCGGAACTTTAAATTGCCTTCAAGGACATATATATGAAAACAAATCCTTGAAACAAAAATAGAGCGGAGTGATGCTCATCTCTGGGCGATTTTTGTGTTGCCTAGGGCCACGTATCATGAATAAAAGGGAAAAAAAGAGGGGTTTCTTTTTCCTTTTTTTTTTTTTAGTTCGATCTAGATGACAAGGATATGTGGCAATCAATAGGCCCATCAATGTAACCATTGTTGTTGTTACATTTTTTTAAGGTTGAAGGTGGTTTGAGCGGCAGTAACATAAAGAGTCGAGATAGTTTAAGAAGTGTGTAGTTGATTCAAATTTGACTTACCTGTTTGAACAGCAATGCTTAATTAAAATAATTGGATCCCTGAAGAGAACGGAAACAGGCCATCCATTGTTTGACAGATAAATACTTGCCGGTTACAAACTAAAGAATGGGGGACCGACTTGGAACCATCGTTTCATGATACTTTGTCTTTTTTGTCTAGATTTCGGAAAGAAAAATGGGTTCCGATTGATTAGATTGATTTTTTTTTCTTAGTGGAAACAATCATTGGCAGTCAATTGAATTAGTTGATGGACTATATATGCAGTACAAACCTTTAAGAACACTATCTAAAAAAGAGATTACACAACATCTAAAGATCAAACTGATATGAGTGACACTCTAGTCCAATGATATGTATATATACCGTTGTATTCCCAGTTTTTTTAAATAATGCAACATCTTAATTTAGATAAATCTAGGCCTTTGATTGTGTTCAATCTCAAAGTCAGTTTCTTGATAAGCAATGACCATTTGTTCTCTATGCAAGAACCATAACAATGAAATATATTCTTCCACAAGATACAAAAGTATATTGTCTATTTATAAAGTCGATAAACATACTTGGACTCATTCAAAGAGACATTGGACTCTCCAATACCTTTGCATTTCATGTTAAAAGTCAAGACTTTGGCATCATTCTTTGCTGCATGATACATTTTTTCATCAGATTCAGCTATATTCATGCCAGTACATTCATAAAAATATTGGTCTTTTGCAGAACACACCTTGATAAAAAAAAAAAAAAAAAAAAAAAAAAAAAAAAGATGTGTGCAAACCTGTTACCGTATGGTTAATAACCACACAAGTTTTCAGAAGAGTGCAAGGTATATCAATAACAAAATGATGACTAGTATCATTCAAGCAAAGACCCTTATTATCATAGAGATTCCAGCCAGAGATAAAAAGGTGTTTTAAGCCCAAAAGTCGATGGGATAATTGAAACATGGTGGGTGGATAATAAGCCATTTGGACAAGCTCCAATGTCTCAATAAAATGATTGATACCAGCTTCAGAATTAACTTGGATCATCAAGCCATCATTGAGTATTAATTTCTTGAGGTTTGAACAATAAGTAAAGATGTTGCTCAGGTAATAGCCATGGATCAAGTTATTGTAACTGTTGTTTACCTGTACAAGTCCATTTAACTGTCAGTTTGTGCTCTCGATAGTTAAACTATCAAGGTTACTTGCTGCCGCTTGAACTAAGCTCAAATAGCTCATATTATTGTTCCCAGCACGTAGTTCAAGTTGCACCTGCAAAATATTGTCCATATTAAAATCCATCTTCACTTCGTTGCTTGTATGTCGCGTGTATCTTTTGTCAATACTTTCTTACAAACCTGAAGTGACGTTGAAAAGCTTTTGTTCCCCAAATATCTTCAGGTGTGTCCAATTCTTGGATGAGGGAATGGTTGACATGATATATTTTCCTCTTTCTTAAATAGTCGGTGAATGCTTTTAAGGCTGATCTTGCCTTGCTTTCAACAAGTTGAATTTTTCTAACAACCGCGCCTTGATCAAGTCTGAAATCTTTGACGTTGGGGAATTTGTTGACAATATAGGACAGCATGTTTTCATCTTGTGTTTCTAAAACTAGATTGAGTTGAGTCACACTCTCCATCTGCTTTGGTTGACCAAGGTGAACAGTTTGTTCTCCAGAAATTAGGCCAGTGCGATATAACAGGATGCTCAAATTCTTTAGCTAGTGACAGTTGTCCAACGCTCGATCAAATCCGAGTAAGGAACGTGAATGATTGCATTGGATCTCCAGTTTCTCTAGTTTTCTTTTTTTTTTTCAAAAAAACAGTGTACCTTGCTTATCATGCTTTTGAACGGAGGGATAATCTCAAATGATTCACCATTGTATACCTTGCGTTGTTTCATTCTATCACTCAAGGCTAGCATGGCATGATAATAGAATTCCATTTCTTGATTACCTGAAGAATACTGTAGTGTATTTAGATGCTTCAAATTCCCTCCATAGCTTTCGAATAAGATTCTTGACCAAAAAATGCTACTTGTCTTTGATACCTTGAGTTCTTCTAGTTTTGGACAGCTTTGGGCCAGAGATGTGAGATGTTTACAAAAACGATAACTGTCTGCTACAATCACGAGGTGGATTTTCTTGATATAACTCTTAGGAAAAGAAAGGTTTAATCATGGCACTTAAAATAGCTATCATTTTTACTTTTTTTTTTATGTAAACATACTTATACAAAGCTGTTTGTGATACCTTTTTCCAGTCTCTACAGGTAAGTTGACATTGTGCCCTGTCCTTACTTTTAAGATGAAAAAGTGTTTTGTGGAGTATTTCGTAAGGCAAAGAGTTCCAAACAGCCATGAAAGTTCAAAGAGAATGAAAGTAAAAGATGATAATTCCTTTGTTCATTCAAAAAAATATCCAGTTTTGTGGAAAGATTTTTTATCAAAATTATTTTATCAGTTAACCTCAATAAGTAAGGTATCTTCATTGATGTTTATCACACAAAGAAGTCTGTAATTTATCAAATGCAATTAAAAACAAGGTAATACAAAAGTATACGTGCAAGGTGTAGTTTGTTTATATCAAAAAACAACATTGTAGAATAAATCAAGAAGGACTATTGTTTCAATATGTTTAAGCAAAAATGCTCAACTTTTTTTTTTGTAGTAGACAATGGAGCGTTCCTTAAGACAACGTATCGTTCTATTGATACCATATCATCTCAAGCAAGAAAAAAAAAGGAGTAATTTTGTGAAAATGACTCTGAGATAGCAGGATGACATTGGCCAGTATAGTATAGCATCAAGAAACAATGACTTGAATCATCAACAGGAAGAGAGTGTGCCAACCAATCTTTTTTTCTGTGATACGAACAATGCAAGACTGAACCAGAGATGCGTTCTGTGACTTGATCTGAATACGCGGAGCTAGAATGAAATGCAGTTTTACATCTGATGAGTAGCTATAATTGTTCGTTTTCTTTAAATGAAACAGCGTAAGTATAAACCAAGTCTTTGTACCAGATGAACTAACACGCTGCATGAAACAATACAGACGCACAACAGTATTTATCTGATAGAAATTAGGAAATTGTCTCACTGTGTTTTGATAGGTCGTTTTGGAAACGTAAAGGACTCAAGTTGCCAGGAAGGTAACGTATATAAAGCTATAAAAAAAAAAAAAAAAAAAAAGTAAAAGTCTAACCAGAGACTCAGTGTTGCTATTGTTCCTAGCTGGACAAATACTTCACCTGATAATGACTCACAAGAATCAACAACAACAACAACAACAACAACACCTATCATAGGCGCGCGATACACGTACACCAGTCTAGTAACAACACAAGATACTTTCTCAAAACCTGCCATACTACCTTCTCAATATTCACAACCAACAACCATTACTACTCAGACAAGTAAAAAATCAGAATCAAAACAAAAGCAACCACAACCACAAAAGAAAAATCATACGCGAAATACATCACATAACAAATCATTTAATGCGTTCTTGAGAGATACAAATGATGAATGGAATGACACGATTCTTGGTTCTAATGAACCAAAAACAATTGAATCTATTAAAGAAGATCAGACTATTGATCATGAAGCACTTAACAAAGCATCTAAAGCAGCAGAAGCTATCATTGCAACAGCACAAACTCAAAAGAAGCAATCAAAGAATCCAAATGGAGTCAAAGACCATATAGAAGAATTAATACTAGGCAAGTAGAATTAACAAAAAAAGGAGGGGAGAATGTTAATGTATCAATAGACCCTAGTCATTCGTTAAAATGGATTGATTTGGAAGAAACAAAAGATCCTTCAAGACTGAAGAAGTTTCAGGAGATATTATCTGTAACGAATGTTGATCTTGGTAAACTAGATAGTCATAAGAAAAACTGAGCTCATTTTATACAGTGGCATTGCGATCTTTGAGTTGGAGTGGTATACCTGAACAAGTGAGAATGATGGCATGGCAATTATTATTAGGATACCTTCCTTGTAATTCAGCCAGAAGAGAAACTACGTTAGCTCGTAAACGAAAAGAATATGCGGACAGTGTGACAGCAGCTTATGCAAGAGGAACAGCAGGATTAGATCAAGCTTTATGGCATCAAATACATATTGATATACCTAGAACAAATCCTGGTATTCCACTCTATCAATATGAAGCTACACAGATGGTAAATGATGCTTGTTTTTTTTTTTTTTTTTTTTTTTTGTAACCAGTATATAGTGTCTTGAAAGAATATTATACCAATGGGCAATACGACACCCAGCAAGTGGTTATGTGCAGGGAATCAATGACCTAGTAACACCCATTTTTGAAGTATTCCTTTCTGCCTATATCGACCAAGATCCAGAACAATACGATGTCAGTAAATTAGATAAAGAAGTATTGTCTGTGATTGAAGCAGATAGTTTTTGGTGCTTATCAAAATTATTGGATGGTATTCAAGACAATTATACATTTGCACAACCTGGTATTCAGCGACAAATAGTCACTCTAAAGGAACTAGTGACACGTATTGACGGTAAAGAAAAATAGGGATATAGGCATTTTTTCTTAACCTCTTTTGACAGCTCGCCTAGCTCAGCATTTACAAAATGAAGGAATTGAATTTATTCAGTTCGCATTCCGGTGGATGAACTGTCTATTAATGAGAGAACTGCCCTTACGTAGCACGATCCGGATGTGGGACACATATCTAGCCGAAGGGTCGTCAGAAGGGTTCTCAGAATTCCATGTCTATGTTTGTGCTGCATTCTTAGTGAAATGGTCCAATCAGCTACAGAAACTTGATTTTCAGGGTGTCATGATCTTTCTTCAGCAATTGCCCACACAAGGCTGGCAGGCAAAAGATGTTGAACTTTTACTTTCTGAAGCATATATGTGGAAAACTTTGTTCCATAATGCTCCTAATCATTTAAAATAATACGATTCCCTTGATAACTATATTTAATTCGTAATAAATGCCGTGTGTGTTACTTTATTAAATAAATTGGTTGCAAAAAAAAAAAAAAAAAAAAAAAATCGAATGGAGGATATACTTTAGAAGATGTCATAACATACGCTCCTATGTTTTTTTTTAAGAAAAAAGGGACTCGTCTATGCCTGTTCAGAACCAGAAAGTAAACAACGTTAAAGTATATGATGCCATTTTCATTCTCAGTGACTGAATTAATCAAACTTAAACCTTTTCAAAGTTAAGGCTTTATTGGCCTGTGCTCCTGCTATCTTTGTAATAAGAATGTACCCACTTTTGTGCATCATTATTGAGATACTAAATATTGCGATCTGAGAAACGGATTTCTATATTGCTGATAATTTGTGCAAAGTGTTTTGTACTACCTCTGTTACATACGTCCATGATCTAGCTAGGAGGCATTCAACATCGATAGTTTGATGAGTTAAGACAATGTCATCTATTTGATTATGAATTAATCATGAAAATGAACAATGAAAATAGATTTTTGATTCAATAATGATATTGCTTTCCCTTGGCAAAGGCAGTATTGTTAAATATAGTTTTAATATATTATCAGCCTTGAAGCACTTTGACTGGTGATAATACCAATCATTCATAGATGCTCCTTTGTGGATCTATTGATTTCATAGCCTCTGTAAAGAATTTCAAATATTATTAAAACTTTCAATGCTGAACTGCATTTGTAAATTTGATTTAGTAGGTAAATATCTGTCAAGCTCCTTTATACACTAGCCATTATACAAATGGTTCTAAAGAAGCCTGTTTCATCTTGAGTAGACGATAGTTGGATTCCAAGCAGAGTCTTACACAAGCTGAGCTTGGTTCTAGAACAATTATCACAACTATTTACTTTTACTTTCAGTACTGTTCGAATCTGTTGTTTGGGACAATAAAGACTGAAGTGACTATTACTATTTCTTGTTTCTTTTAATCATAAAATCGACATCATTTGAACTAATATCATTGGCTTAATAAGTCTTTTTTTAATACCTTGTAGTTTATAAAAAGAATAATGATCACAAACTTACCAGGTTTTGAAGTAAATTAAATGACAAAAAGATAATTAATTCAATAATTGCTGAGACTAAAGCATTTATGAGGTAAACCTTTTTTTTTTTTTAATTGTTGTTGTAGCATCCGAGGTCTCTTTGTTGTCCTGTTTTTTTTCTTTCTTTACAGTTGTCTTGTGCCACTTATGAGATGTGTAATTTAGACTGTAGTTTCTTTTTTTTTTTAACACTTTTGATAAGTGTACTGAATGAATTTTAAGCAGCGATCTCGTAAGATATTAATTGTTTGTTTGTGCTATGTGACATTACGGACTTATAAAAAAAGGGGTTCTTATTTTCAAGTAACTTTGAAGGCTACTACCTGTTACACAAAACAGGGGCTCTTGTGCAATGTAAAACTCTAATTGTAATAATAATTTATTACTATCAATCTAGTGATATTGCAATATGTATATATGAATGGGTGTATGTGTTTATATGTATATGTATATGTATATGTAGGAGAAAAAAAAAAGAAGTGTATTGCAGACATATACTCTGTCAGGAAAATGAAAGGAAGTTTTACAAGAATAGAAATCTAAAAAAAAAAGGGAGCATACAAATATGATTATACAAATTGGAGAAGGAGAAGTTGTTTGTTTGTTTGTTTGAATAATTTACAAGTTCACTGTTGTTGTTGTTGTTGTTTTTGTTGTTGAATACAAAATAATAGCTGCATAGGATGATAAACGAAAGTATGAAGACAATAAGAAGGGAAAGCATGAATTGAATAAACAGTTTAACCAAATGTGCTGACAATGTTGGCTAAATGCAAAAGACTTGAAAGTGGTTTTTGAGAATTAGGTATCCATTCTTGTTGTTGAGATGGTTGAGATGGTTGAGGCTGAGTATAATGATGTTCACGATGAACGGAAGAAGGGGGAACAGTAGAAGAAGGAGTGAAAGGAGGATGAGAAGGAGAGGGAGGAGGCAAGACATGCTTTGATTGTTGCAAGTACAAAGGAGAAAGAGGGGGAGGAGGATAGTAATAGGAGAATGTAGAGGCGGAAGATGAAGTGGAGCAATCTGAAGAGGTTGAAAGTGCACGTCTAGGGCGATTCTTGTATTCAATCAGCATAGGGTTTGGGTAGGGTAAACTAGGCATTGTAACAGATCGGCGAGGTCTCGTAGTCAATAGGGGCTGCAAGGACATGTGATTCTCACGTTCATGATGTGAGTGGCGATAAAGTTGAGCGCGATTCTCCTCTTCTATCAAATTTTTTTTTTGTTGTTGTTGACCACGCATGTTTTGACGGCGCAGCTTTTGCGTTAAATGGGTACGATAATGCTGCATCATGTTGTCTTGACGTGAGAATCGGCTGGGGCATCCAGGATGAAGACAATGAAAATTCTTTTCGCCTGTGTGAATTCTGTTGTGTCTAGCGAGATGACCACTATATATCATGTAAGTATGCAAATTACAAATAGATATTTGAGCCTACCTGGTTGTGAAACTCTTATTGCATCCTTGTTCGGTACAGTGATATTTTCTTTTGGGCGTAGTAGGCAAGTTCATACAAGATGTCATTTTATTGATTTTGAAGACCATCTTATTTGAGTCATTTTCACTATTATTCAATAAACTAAAAGTTTTGCCAGAGGCATTCTTAATTGATAATGCAGAATCCATACTAAATATAAAGAAGGAAAGAACAAAGTGAAAGAAAAGAAAGAAAAAGAGAGAACGAAAGAGGTAAAAAAAAGTGAAATTCAATTCAAGTATTTATAGTGTTTTTCGAGTCTTCTGGGTGGAGTTTGGAATCATTCAATTGTACGCACTGATTAAACGTGGGCCTGGAATCTTTTATGCAGTTTCACCCTGCATCACCAAAACGGAAATGGTTGAAAAACGTGCTTGTTTAGGATAAACGTGAAATAGCCACTAGTAGGAAACCCTGATTTACTCCTTACCCTTCATCACCAATCACCTGTTTTCAGTAATTGTTGATCATGCTAGCTTTAATTTATTTAATAAGAAGAAATTTGAATTCTACCTAATGTTACGAAATGATGAAATGTTACATTGCGTTACTAAATCAATGCTAAACTAAAAAAAAAAAAAAAAAAAGTGGCAAAAAAAGACAGAAAAGAAGCTTGTATTATGGAGGACAAAATAGGGTTTGTTTTGCTTAGAAGGGTTTACTCCTTTTTTTTTTATATATAATAGACTCCTTTTCTAGCCACGTTGTTGAAGAAGTTGTATATTTCAGCTAAAATCTCAACTTTATGCTTTTCTAAAAAAAATAAAAAAAAAAAAAAGCTTAAGGGAGAGTATGCGTGTAAACCTAACACCGCGATTGACCGAGTTTTTGAGATTCGGGCCGATAGATAAAAATTAGGTTTTTTTTGTTTCTTGTCAATTAAATATGATTCGCTGTATTAAGCTTATCTGTCAATAGAACAATAGATTTACAATTTTATTTATTAACCCTTTACCATAGAAGAAAGGAACAAGGACTTAATGATCTTGGGTAATTCCTTGTTCTCAACACAGATATGTGCATGACTACCTAAGGCTTTCTTTAACCTAACACGAATACAATAGATTAGGAGGTGATAAAAAAAAAGGCTACAATAAACGCCACTTACTGCTCTGCTTGATTTTGAATGCTACCAATGAAAATCATTTGTGCTGTCACCCGATCATCTGATTTCAAAACTACAAAAAAAAAAGGGGGAGCATGAGCATTTGCTATGCTTGGCATATTGTAGCACTTACTTCTGGCAATGTCATTGGGATGAATATTGTACTGAGCAATATTAGCATCAGACAAAACAACTACAAAGTAGTCATCTGCTTCTTCTTGTACAATTTCTTTCATAGAATAAGAGGCAGCACCCAATGTATTATCACCACTTAGACAGAATTGGGAATGGGCTTTCATTTTACTGATAATTTCAAACTCTTCTTTTTCTGTTTTGGGGTATTTTCCAGGTGCAACAAACTCAATATTAGCTCCATCACCACTGTGACCAACAATTTTGTATTCAAACTTATGCTCAAATCCACGAAATGCTTCCATGAGCATCAGGGCAACTTCCATTGAACGTTCCAAACGGCGATCATGTGTGTTAAATCGAAACATACTAAAAATATGATTAGTCATGCGTATTACTTTCTTTGATTTACCTTGCAGACAAGTCAAACACGAAGTTCATGCGCTTAGGCTTATCTTGAAAGAGGCCAAATTCAGGATCGTCTTCTCCTCTCTTTTTATAGATAGATTTCTCTCCTGTAAGACCCTCGACACTAAAATAGATTAATTAATAATACCAAAACAATCAAGACTTACATTTTAGTATCATCTAAATCACCAGAAGATTGATTCTTAAGCCAGACTCGCTCATGTTTCTTGGCTTCTACACTCTCAAGAATCACTCGCAATTCACGTACTTCACGACGAATGTTTTCCATATACTGGCTGTATTGCTACGTTGAGTTAGCATGACAATATGTTGTGTATCCATGTCATACCTGGAAATCAGCTTGAGTCATATCGATCTTGTTCAGTTTCTTCTCCATAGCTTGAGCATGCATTTCCCTAGTGAAATTAGTATAAAATCGTTCGATATATTTAGATGTTACTTTTGGGCTTGGCTAATTTCAGCGGGCGCATCGGCATCCGTTTTCTATTCATGCAATTAATATTCTTTTTTTCCTCCTGTAATTTTCGCTACCAATTTAAGATTGTCAATGTCTTCAAACGTAGCTTCCTGACGACCATCTTCATTCATATTGTTTCCAGAGCCATTGACACCACCACCTCCAGATCCACCTGCGCCAGAGCCTGCCCCTCCTCCTTCTCCGACACCTGAAGAACCACCTGATCCTTGGCCATTTCCATCATTTCGGCATTGTGCATCGCTATTGGCCCCTTCTCCTATTTCTCTAGCCTGCCCATCTTGTTCTTGTTGCTGTTTTAAATTAATATAAGCTAAATATATTTAATATATTTACATGTTGATCTACAGTTTCGTAAATAACGGATAACACCTTTTGGTCCACGCCGACCATTTGCTTCCAAGTTTGGGCTGCCTTGTAAATCTCGTTGGAGCTCACTTGCCATATACGAATAGTGCCTGCATTATCCAGGGTAACAAGGTTACCATTTGGTAATTCACACATGGTGGCAGCAAATCGCTCTACTTGGAACTGAGTATAAGTAGGTAAAGGCGATTCTCTAAAAAGTGATCATGGATTAGAGAAAAAAAAATAGATAAATGAATTGCTTACGTGATGCCACCGATGATAGAAAGTGGCATAGGAATACGCCATATTTGATTTGTATTGGGATTCAATAAGTCTAAAGTACTTTCAGCACGGCCATCTCTAGGTGGCTCTATAATAGCTAATTGTTGTGTATGCTCTAAAAAGAAGGTAGAACCTTTTACTTTTCTGTCTTGATTGTCACTTTGTGTCTGGTTATTCTTGATGAAAGACAAGATATTGATCACACCTGTATCCTGGAAATTAGCAAAAGAGCAGCCTTCAAGAATAGAAGCAAATATGTTGTCTTGACTTGCCTGAGCAAATCTTGCTCCAGATGCAAACTCTTTATGATAAATATGGCCCAAATTGCTCACAGGTTGGCCATTTTGACCCAAGGCTTGGATGGTTTCCATTACTTGAGGCACACCATGGTCTTTGTTGGGAATAATGGCATACATATTGGCATCACGACTACCACGAGCAATCCAGAAACCATAGTCAACGACATGCAATTGGCTAATTCGCGTAGGAAGAGTAATAGTATATTGTTGAGAAGTATTAAAGTCAAGTAAGGCAATCGTAGGTTGATCATGTTGATAGAACACCAAGATGCCTTGAGAACTCAAATTGTTGCACATAATAGACTTGACGGGTTCAAGGCCACGAATTACAACAGAGGCAACAGACTTTTTGTTAAAATCACAGCAAAGTAGTTCATTGTTAGAAGGGTTGTGTAAAGCAAGATATTTAACGGCTCCTGAACGAGTACGAATGACAGAAATACGAAGGCGAGGAGGCGCTCTTTGAAGAGGGAAATACTCGTAAAGGTCTAGACTATCGATACGCTTATGGTTGGGTTCTACATGGTGCAAGGTAACAGGATTGGTAGTAACTACAAAAAGAGAGCCATCGTCTAGCGTAGCAATGTCCAATGCTTCACCACGTGTAGGAATGTCGAATGTATATAATTGTTCAGAGAATACAGTTGAGCGACCTTCTTTACGTTCGAGTTCCTTCCAGTTCTTGCCGACATCAATGTCCCAGCCACCACGAATAGCCATGGGCTCTATTTGAACCTTGGTTGCGTTTTGTTTTGTTGCTAAAGGCACACGTTTCCATTGCTCTGTTAAAAGAGGTTTGCTCAAAGAAATTACATCACCTAAGCTCATAGAGAAATCAGATTCAAGCCCTACAGGAATACCATGTTTTTCAAAGATTTCAATTACAAGCTCCTTGGAAGCTTGATCGTATTGATCAAAGTCAAAGACATTCTGAAGGATCTTGGAGATACCTTCTTCTGGATAGTTTTCAAGATGAAGCACAATATTGACCAATTCACGTGTGGAATAAGGATAGGAAATCAATCCTTCATCTGTCAATTTACGCAAATCAGTGAATGCATTAGACAACTTGAGAAGTAAATCTTCAGATACATTAGGACCATATTTGCGCAAGAGGAACATTTCTGAAAGCATATCAGGGTTATCTACAGCATGGCAACTAAAGACATCACCGATTTCACGATAAAAGTCATTACCTAAGAAAGGGTAACCTGGTCGATTGGCCAAGACAAGCATACGGAAATTAGGGTGCACCATAATGTAATCCTCACTATCTTGAATGTCTGATTCCTTTGAAATGATACGACGACCGTCACCAAGAACCATTTGTCCATCTTCCACTAGACTCTTGAGTACAGCTGTCACATAAGTAGGTGCTTTGTCAGCCTCATCCACCACCAAAATAGTACCATCATGTACAGCCTTGACAAGTGCAGAGTCTTCAAACGTCAATACACCGTCTACAATAGCGGGTGTGGTAGTCAAACTCTGAACTGTACTGTCACGATGCAACTGAATGTATTCACGAGGAAGCTGAAGCAACTGTAAAAAGTAATCTGCCAGTTTGTTTTTACCGACACCTTGATTACCAATCAATAACAAGTGATCGCCTAATTGATAATCTTTAAGCATTTCCTTCAAAATTTCGGTATGCGCAGGATTTTCGTGGAAAACAACATTGGGAATGAGCATAGGATTTCCTCCTTTGAATACAGGTTCAATGACATTGCCAATACGAATGTGTTCAGGGACTTCTCTTGAAGGAAGTACTTCAATCTTGAGTTCAGTAGCATTTGTGTCTTCTTTGGGTGGGTAGATACCATTCGCCACCATCAAGGCATGAAGTGCTTCACGAGCTACAGCAGGCATAAATCGAGATAGAGCTGCTTTGTGGATAGCAACATACAAGCTTTCATTTTCAAAGTAAGCAAGACGACGACAAATACGAATCAATTGACGGGTAGATAAAGCACTAGATAACATACGAACTGTATCATCCTTGTCACGACGAAGACGTCTAGAGAACGTCAAGAGCTGTCTTAGTTTATCTTCATCAACACCAGGTGATAAAGCACTCAGCACATCTTGTTCTTCATTGGAAGGAAGAGAATCCACTACAATAAAATGAAACATGGACAGAATTTCAGAAGACAACCAAGATCCGGCCTTTGTGTCTGTTTGTCCACTGGTACCTGCTCTTGCTAAAGCCACGATGCGGAACGAAGGATGGATGGGAATCAAACGTTTGCTTTCAAGCTCTTCAAGCGACAATTTACGCAACAATTTAGCATAACGCTGGCTACCAATGAGACGTGCACCGTCAGGCAATTGAGTTTCACGATCAGAACAAAGGCGTTGAAGTGTATTAAGTGTGCCATAAGAAAGTGCCTCAATACCATCCAAGACAGCCAAATGACCATGAATAGCAGCTTCGACGAGCAAAGAGTTCTCCCATACTGTATCGCCTTTAGCTGTCGTTGATCTTCTTTGTAGTAAATCACGAGAGGACATGTCTCGGTAAAGAGGGATATAATCAATAGTGTAGCCAAGATTACGAGCAAAGTGTCTTACTAGGGCTGATTTACCAACACCTTTATGTGTGCCTACAAGACAGATATCTTTACCACCAGCGTGTAACAAGACCATGGCAGAGAAGATGTCACGATGATAGGGCGTTTCAATGAAATATTCTGCAGGACTAAAAGGAGCAGGTCCACAATAAAGGGGCAAACCAAGAGCGCCAAATTTCTCTGAAGTGAATGAAGCAATAGCCTTGTGTGTATGATGGTATCCATCCACAGTAATATCAGCCTTAATGGGGTCAATATTAGCAATTGTATAGCCAGAGCTTGTTTGACGTGCCTCCATATGCGCTTCTACAACAGCTGATTTGACACCAAATCGTCTAAATGCAGCTTCAATCACACTTAATTGCTCTAAATCACACGTAGGCAAGAGAGGATAAGGATATAAAATATCTACCAAGAACCGAGGATGAATATTGGGCATCAATGACAATAAAGGAGCTAAGCTTTCAATGGTCATTGGAAATTCAGGCACTTCTATTTCTCGGTTGCGATTCTTATCATTTTGAACACCCAGCACTAAACTAATCGAAATCAATCTCTCAATCAAGTCGCGAGACACTTTTTTGTTGCTGATCAAGGCTAGCATTTGATCTACTTGCGATTTAAAATCAGGCGCTTTGACATCTCTACTTTGAAAACGGGACCGTAAAGGAGGGTCAAGTGGATAACCAACATAAGGTGGTACAGGTAAGCCTAATTTAGAATGATAAGCTGCATCGAACAAGAAGACAACAATCTTACCAAGTGCAAATACCAAGAAGCGTGGACTTACTTTTTCAAATTTTTTTTCTGCTGTATCAGTGGTGTCTTTTGTCGTCAAGAAGCGACCGTCATCAAGTGACATTTCACGATTCTCCAACAAATTGTTCAAGATAGGAAGTACGTTACGTTCTGCTTTTTCAATACCATCTAAAACAAGAATACGACCATGAATAGCAGCTCTGACAGCAGCTTGATCGACATAAAATGATGTACTGTTTTGCAATTCTCTTCTTTGTTTTAAATCGGCATCTGTCACATCTTTAGATAAGGCAACATATTCAATTCTAGAATAAAAGAAAACAATGAGCATTGCTTCTTTGTTTGTTTTATCTTATTACTCTCGTTGTGTCATTTCAGCATATTTCATTACAAGGTTACGACGTAAAGGACCAGGAGGACCCAACAAAAATATATCTTGTCCAAGCTATATTCAGGTTTAGTCTTTCACATGTCAATTTCAAAAGAGAACAGCTTACTTTATCTTTTTGCATTATCCTAAAGATAAAATGAATGAGTTATATTTAATTATTATTTTATCACAGCTTACCATCTTAAATGTCTTAATATATCCTAAAAATAAAGGCATTGAGTTACTTGCTAACAGATATACAAATAACGAACTTACCTGTGCACCTTCATAAAAGGGCCCTTGAACTTCAGGTACTAATTCTGGATTTTTAGCAGGAATGACTTGCATGACAACGTCTCCAATACGAATAGATTTAACAGACACTGTAGCGTATTAGTATGACTCTTAAGACAATACACACGCACCTTCATGAGTCAAGTCGTCATCTTCAGAGTCGGACCAGCCTACTTTAGAGGGATCTAAAGTAGCGCCAATTTGCTTTAGTCTTCTTTTTGCCTGTTTATTGACTGGCATAATAAAATACAAGAAAGAGAAAGAAATGCAAGTATAAAACTGTGGGGAATATGACTAGTAATTTCATTTTAGTCAGCGGCATTTCCATGCTACAAGCATATGAAAGCGGTTATTGAATACATTTTATTTCTGCATGGTAAAAAAGCTTATGTAACAAAACGCTATATATGCCCTCTCTTCTCATAGATTTGTAAGCGAGAAATGAGGATGGGAGTAACTGTTGTCTTGCTTGAGCCTGACTATTCTAACTTACTATCTTCACGTGACAAGACTGTTTTTTCCTGCTCTTTTATTAATCATGAGTACGATTACTGTTCATTTTTTCAGTAGTTATTTCAAAAGTTCCTCCTCATATGTTATACACTGACCCAAAATAAAAATTAGCTCAGTTTCTTGTCATTCAAACTCACGAATTTTTTTAATAGTGTAGAACAATAGAGCTAAAAGAAAAAAGGTCGGAGCTAACTGGTGTAGTTTGAACTGTGATTTCAGCACTTCATCCATTTCATTCTTCATTTCGAAAAGCAACCGTTTCTACGTATATGAATATATTAGTAATCTTATTAAGTAATGCAGAGGATATTGTACCTCTTAAAATAAATGTATCTTTCATAATAAAAAGTGTGAGCAAAAAGGAAGTATAAAGCACTATTATGCACATACAAATACTTTAAGTGATCACAGAATATAGAGGTATCTTTGGGACTGACTTGAACTAAAAAAAAAAAAAGTGACATGTAAAATCTGGCCAAAATATACCTTTCGACCAAAGGGTATCACTCATGTAAACCGTAAATTTGACAACTTTTTGACAGTACTCCTCCACACATTGCTATTCTGTCATTTTGGTCTTTTATGAATTGTCTTAATTTACTTGAAAGTTCTAATTTTAACAGGCCAATATCAGCAAAAGCATACCGGCTAAACCAGCTTGTGTTTCGACCTGATTCTTCGATTCTACAAAGTCTTTGTTCACATCTCTGTCTTGAATTCTGGGTAATGTCGTTGTTCTCTGTAACAAGAAATATGGTATATCGATGAATTTTACATAAATCGCCCACTTGAGTTCGCCTAAATTGCTTTATCTCGGATACCTTTCAGCCCCCAATATGCTTGATTTATTCATTCCATTCTGAAGATGATAACCATTTGCTGTTTATGTGTCCGTCCAATACTTTCTTTTATCACGAGCCAATGTTTGTATTCCTGTCATCAACCGTTATTACCAATGATATCGTTATTTTAGTACAATCCTTGGACTTTAGTCCTATTGGACACTGTCAGAAAAACAGTCTAACAGTACAAGATGTGGTTTTTATAGCATTAGCTCAGATTTGAAAGGCTCACTGGAGAGCTGTAACCTTTAAACCCCAAAGATTATTCAAGTAAACTCGTATAGATCTGCAGCTACTAGTGGCAGAAAAATACATTCATGCAAATCTTCAACGGCAGAGAAGTCAGATGACATAGTTCATACATTTTATTGAAAATATTAAATAAGCAAAAATTAAAATCTGAAAATTAAGCAGAGCATGAGATGCATAAATAATATTTATATTGCTACTTAAATCAAAGGGCACTTGTATCATGATAACTTTGTTTCTGAGTTCGAGTGATAAAAGACTGGGCTAATTTTTATTTCAGATCAGTGTATAATAAAAAATCACTTCTTGCTCAAATGACTCAGAGCACTGTATGACCTTTACTTCGTCATCCCTTACTCCTGTCTTTCAGCGTCCCAGTTCTCTACGAAGTGTGACTAAAGAACAGTTTCTTTTTAGAACATATTCCTTCGAGCCAAGAAATCGAATGGTATAATTAGTTTGGCAGCTAGATAAAATCTATTTTTTAGCCCATAGTGGATTCCAAGAGCTCTTGGAGATCAAAAGAAAAAAGTTCATTCAAGATTTTTGGAATGTCAGATTGACTCGATGTAGGTTTGATTCAACCGATGTAAGCTGAGACTATTTATAGGTATCTCTAACAAAAAAAGTAAGTTTAACAAGACGAAAAAATTGGATTTATTTGGATATTGCTTTCAAATCAGCATACAAAATGTATTGTACTTTGCAATTGGTAGGAAAGAGGCCCATTTTGATAAATGTTTAGGATTGAGTAGGTATTCAGCTCTATGTCGCTCGGTGTGCAAAGTATAAATTACCATATACTCACAAACCTACTTTGGTTACTGACATTTTCTATAATAAAAGATAAATTCAGTTCAAAAAGTATATTGTCATTTGCATGACTTAATGAAATCAGTGGTGTGCTGTTTTGAGACAAATATCCATCACAAATGCACATTTACATACTCAAATCAAAGCATTTCTTTCTTGTTACTAAGTGCCATTTGGATTATTTGTTCAGTTTCGAATTTATTAAGATACATGTATATTTGCAACACCACAACGCAAGCGTTTACATTTTTCTTCCATATTTGAGTGAATTCTTGACTAAAATCTTCCATCACTTATGCTGCAGTGCAAGACCAACATGTAATTACAGTTGAAGCTACAATATGTTCAAAATCACAACAAATTTATCTCAAACACAAAGCTTTAGGACTGGGAACCAATCAAGACCTGTTATTTATCATTAAATGCTATTAAATAGCAAGGGATAGTATGGATGGGTATAGATGAGCAGAATAATGTAAAAAACTTGTGTGTTTTAGATTTTCGAAATTAAAACAGACATTTCTGATTTTATCATTTTTTATCGTTTCTTATCACAATTTATGTTTTTTTTTTGTACTTTATCATTTTTTCTTCATTTAGTCTAATTCTTTTGAGATTAAAGACATTAAAGTGTAAACGATAGAAGAAGCCTTTTATTGAATGCAGAGAACTTCCACCAAAAACGGAAGAATTACGCAGTCAGAGATGGAAGAGTTACGCAATCGCTCACGCTGTGGTGAGAGCGTATTTTTCTTTTAGTCTAAAGATAATTGTTTTCCAGAAGTGTTTCTTTTTGTTGACATAGATAGACATTTGAGCATTGGTGTTAATTTTATCGAATTCATACTCAAAGTTTGTTAATTTACTAATTTGATAGAAAAGGTCCTTTTGAATACATGGTCTAAGGTGGCTTTTGACTGTTTGGACTCAATCAACTCATAAAAATGACTATATTAAGCTAAAAATACCTTAAGAGAATAAGGGGAAAAAAGGGATAGGGAGAGGATTGTTGATTTAGTTGTGTGTCTGGGCGTGGGTTTGTAACCAGAGAAGAAATGGAAGCATTTGGTTGGATGTTGGAAGGAGTAGATTGTTTGTGATAGCATGTTGCATAAAGGTGATTTGGGATAGAATCGAGTGTATAGAGGTCCACTTAGTACTCCAATGAAGTAAAGAGCTGGTAGTCTTGAATATTTTCTTGAGAAAACTATTTATAAGTGTCTGAAAGACAAAGAGCTTTGCAAAGAACACTTTTGCATTCTCTAAAGCTACCTTGAGCAGTGTCTAAGGACAATGCTTGACCTTGAAGAAGTTCCTTGATGCTTGTTTCGAGCATCTTTCTGGAAGTAGTAATCGAACTAATTAGGTAGTAATTGACTGGGTCAGTCGGATTGCCTTCCTCATGAATCGGGGCTACTTGTACAACTTGTCGACAGTAAGGCGTGTATGGCCAACACCGACACAGATAAAAAATACACTAAATTCTGTGATATATGTACAAAAATTAAAGCTAGAGTCATAAGAAAATCACGGTAAGAGCCGTAGATGTCAGGAACAAAGAAACATATGAACTTTGAAACTTCGCAAAAATTTATGCCGACTTACAAGTATGCCAATTGTGTACTCAAAAAAATATTTTTTGTAATAAAAAAAAACAAAAAAAGAAGAACATTTCTAATGTTTTAAATTAATAAAAAGCCTGTTTTCAATTTTTCTGCTTTAAATAAATAAACGAGTCTACCGGATGATGATTTTGTTGTTTTAGTTTAAAAAGGATATTACTGCATGGTAGACTTGTTTTTTATTTTAAGACAGAAAAATTGAAAAACAAGCTCTTTTTTTTTTAATTTTAAGCAGAAAAATTAGAAATTTTTTACTTTTTTTTTATTTTTTTGTCATTACAGAAAATATTTTTAATGGTTTTAATTTTAAATAATGTTTTTACATTATTTTTCAAAAAATTTTTTTGAGTACGCAAATGGCATACTTGTAAGTCGGCATACCTGTCAATATTTTTCTTATTTTTGAAAATGCTCTTTTTTTTTGTAGAATTATCACTAGAGCGTAAGCAATGGAAGAAATTATAGAAAGACTCGTATGCCTAAGGCCTTCGTGATCAAAGTGATGGACTTACAAAAAAAAGAGCATTTTCAAAAATAAGAAAAATATTGACAGGTATGCCGACTTACAAGTATGCCATTTGCGTACTCAAAAAAATATTTTCTAAAAAATTATTATTTTTGATTTTTTATTTTCATTTTTCATTTTTTATTTTTCATTTTTCATTTTTCATTTTTTTCATTTTTTTTCTTGTTTTAATCTAATTCTCTTAAAATTAAAGATACTACAGCGTAAGCGATGGAAGAAATCTTCTATCAGAAATGGATGATGGAAAACCTTGGCCAGATTCTCACTCAAATGTGGAAGAGAAAGGCATTTAATGGAAGATCTTTTCCACCGATGAAAGAAAAGTACAATTGCTTACGCTATAGTGATAACTTTACAAAAAAGGTAGCTAGAGCGATGAAAAGAAAATTATGGAAAGATTCGTACACCTCAAACCTTTGTAATCAGTGTGATGGGTCCACAAAAACATTTTCAGAAATCATAAAAATATTGACAGGTATGCCGACTTACAAGTATGCCATTTGCGTACTCAAAAAAAATTTTTGAAAAATAATGTAAAAACATTATTTAAAACTCAAGGTCGAAATAAATTTCTCTCAAGAATGTATTGAGACCTTCGAACATAGAACAGTAAACATAAATTGCTGCTCCAGCGTAAGAAACATCAATATCCTTCAGTAGCATCGAAAAACTCCTGGTTTTCTTCATCATTGTTAGAGCCTTCATCAAGCTGAACCATTGGTAGATTTGCTCCCAGTACTTGGTTGGTAAAATCCACCGTCGATAAGTGTTCCCGCCGGTAATGGTTCTGAAATGTCCTTGAATCAACCCAGTTGCCCAGCGTCTGTATGTCGTCAAGAGATATTCCTTGTTTTAACGCAATAGAGGATGCAATTGAGCGTACACTGACTCTTGATTCGCTTGTAGACTGTCGTAGTACCTTTCTCAGCCAAGAAGAGATGGTGGTAGTTTTGACCGCTTGTTGAGGACGCTTGGTGTTGACGAATAAAACGTCAGGCTGGCGTTTGACTTTTGCCACCGGATGATCTTTTAATGCTTGAAAAGATAACACTGGACAAATGTCCGAAACTTGATGGGAATGAATAAGTACTGGTTTGATAATTCGTCTGCCTTGTCTAGTTTCTTTAGGTGCCACAATATCAAATAGTAAGTTGCCCTGATTGTCCCGAGTTGCAGATAAAAGAGATATTCTCTGTAAGTCTGATGGTCGCAAAAAGGCCGCCATTGCTACCAAAAACGCAGTCTTAATTTGCAGATCTGCCAAAGAGCAACGCTTGATGTTGATCTTGGCTACGAATTGTATACTTGGTTTTAAGTCGATTGTTGGACGATGGATTGCTAGAGGCGGGGCTTGTTTGGTGACTGCATTCATGAAAACTTTCAGCACCTTTTCTTGTGAAATTGAATCCGCATGTGGGTGTAACTGTAGAACTGCTGATCGCCATAATTTGAGCGTTGACAATTGAAAATGTTTTTCTGTTTTTATATCTTGTAAAAAGTTGACCAATTGTGTAGCTGTAAATGCCGAAGGAGGGACCTGATGGCGTTGTGCCCAGAGAATGAACTGCTGTTGTGGTTTTTGGTAGGTACGATTGGTACTGATGGCTGTACTGTATTGTTGATTTATTGTGTCTGAAGCTGTGTTTGAGAGTTGCTTGTTGTCAAATTTGCTGCGGATAAGAGCCAAACGAATAGTCTCCAAGTCGGTTTCAACGGCCACGGTGTGTTCCTGCTGGGGCAAATCAGATGCTTCGTGTGCAGAAAAATTGGTGCTTGCACTGCCAGTGCTTGAAGCACCGGAAACCATAATGCACTCGTCCAATATGGGACTACCAACGTTGCTAATGGCACCTTTTCCTTGACTATTTTCTGTAAGCACTTGCTGATTAAGTTCCATGGCGGGTTGATCCAAGGATGGCGAAATTGATTCCATGCTAGGCTGAATGCGTCTGTTGCATAGGCTTCGGGATCTGGTGTCCATGATACAAACTTTTTTACGAGGGCTGTCGTTCTGTCCACAAAGAGGTCGATGTCGTTTCTTCCCCATTGTTTTTGAACCTGGTTGTGCACTGGTCGTCGTATCATCGAATTGTTCTTGCTGTACTGTCTTCTTGATTGTTGATCCGCTACTTGATTCTGTTGACCCGGAATGTGCTTGGCTTCCACCATGATGTTGCGTTTCAGACACCACTTCCAAAGCTGAGTTCCAAGCTTCATCAACGATAGCGATTTTGTTCCCCCTTGCTTGTTGATATACGCCATTGATGTTGTATTGTCCGTGCGTATCAAAATCTTTTTGTTGTGTAACTGAGGAAAGGTCTTGAGAGTGAGATACGCTGCCATGAGTTCTCGCCAATTTATCGACTGGTCGGCTTCGTCGCTTGTCCAGTGCCCGTATGCAGTTAGGTCGCCATAATGGCAACCCCAACCTGTATTGCTTGCATCTACGTGAACTGTCTCGGTTGGTTCGTGGCCGATGAATGACTTGCCGTTCCATTTGCTGAGGTTCTTCAACCACCATTTGAGTTCTTGAACACACTCCTTTGGCAATGTCCTCTTCCTGTCCCAGTCTTGCTTGTTTTTCACTGCTTGATTCTTGAACCGCATCAGTTGATTGGTGTATAAGCGGATTGGTGTGATAGCAAAGGTTGCTGCTCTTATTTTCATTGTGAGGCTGTGTATTGATCTTGGTGTTTGCTGAGGTTGTTGAAGTGCTGCTCTGATAATCTGTCGAATTGATTTTATCTTCTTGTTGGGTAGAGAAGCTGTCATGGAGTTGGTGTTCAGTGTAAAGCCTAGGTGTTCTATCTGCTGAGTTGGCTGAAGAGTCAATTTGTTGAAGTTGATTATCCATCCCAATTGCTGTAATTTGTTGACTATCAAGTTGGTGTGGTGAATGGCTTGATGTTTGTTGTTGGCTATGATAATCCAATCGTCTATGTATGCGCTGATTCTGATCCCTTGCTGTCTGGCCCAGTTTAAAATTGGTCTGCAAATTTTTGTGAATAACCAAGGGACCATTGCCAATCCAAAAGGTGTTGTGCAGTATTGAAATACCTGTCCTTTGTACTGGAATCTGAGGTATTTTCTGAATGCTGGATGGACCGGTATGTGTAGAAAGGCATCCGCAAGATCTATAGAGGTCATATAATCGTTTGGTTTGATCAAAAGAGATACCTCCTTCAATGTCTCCATTTTGAAGTGCGGTGGTGAGACATATCGATTTAAGGCTTTGAGGTTGAAGACTGGCCTCAGGCCTTTGTCCTTCTTGGGTATTACAAAGATTGAGCTGTAGTAGCCTGGTGTTGCTGGGTTCACTAGTTCTATTGCTGCTTTCTGTTGAAGTTCTTGAATTGTTTGATCTAGGAGTTGTTCTTGCTGAGGTGTTGACGGTTTTGTTGATTTTGGAATTGTAGTGAGTGGAGGAGGTGTGTGGAATGTTATTTTGTACCCGTTTTTTATTATGCTGTTGAGCCAGAAACTGTTTGAAAGCTGGGTTCTGTCAGGAACAAGACAGACCGAAGAATACTTTATAGGCAAGATGAGCTTAGCAATGGGCTAGAGAATATAGAGATATTTATTATATTATAGGTTGATAATATAACTGACGAAGAAGTAACTCAACGACAGAATAACTAAACTATTTATACTAATGTTGAGGTAGCATGAAATATATGTGAGGAAGGGGCTAAGTCATAACATGACGAGGCTTGGCAATGCGTTCTACCTCATGACCTGAGGACTGAGTCATTTGTACATGGGAAAGTGGCATTGTTTGTCTTGGCATTGTTACTGTTGTGAACATATAGAATCTATATGCATATGATGATCTGACATTAAATAAGTCTTCATTTACATACTAAAATATATCATAATCAATTTACATCAGAAATAGACATAAAAGAACCTCTTGTACTAAATAAGACAATGTATCTTTTAATAGATCAAGACGTATAACCGAAGTCCATAATTTACATTATTTAATTAATTTAAAGTAGTCTATGATAATAGAGACTCAGTCATTTGCATGAACTCTACTACTACTTACTCCGACATCTCTTCATATATAAATACCTAGAGAATGAAGAGCTAGATATAGAAAGAGATATATTTTTGGATAATAAACCTATACAAGTTCTAATCGACTTCTTTGTTTTTATCTTCTCTCTTACATCACAACAGTTACCTTAAAACTACGCCATGGATGCTGGTAACTAGATGCTGGTAACTTGATGCTTGGAACTAAAGGTTGGAACACTGAGACAAGCGTGCTAAGGTTAACAAGGCTTGCTTGGTTCATGACAGGTCCACTCTAAATAGTACTGGCTTAGCCTGCCCCCTACTGGTTGTTGTTGTTGTTCTTGTTGTAAGAGCGGCTGTTGCTGTACTGTTGTTTGTTGAATGATTTCTGAGGTGCCGTTGATTTTGTTGAATTGTGGTTGTTGTAGTTGCTGTAATTGGGCTTGTGTTGAACAGAGGCCGTTTGGCTGGGCTGAAGTTGGGAACGCCGAACCAACGACTGTGTTTCGACACGGTTGCCAGAAAAAGACTTCTTGTTGAACTTTTGAGCTGCTTGCAAGGCCTTTGCTGTACTGAATTGATTATTTATCAAGTTATGAAACTCGTCTTGTGCCATAATATAGTCTGTATTGTTTGCAGCAGATAATCTAAAGTTTGGATTGATTGCCTTGAGTGCAATGTTTTTTCTAGAGTCTGTCAAATCGTAATTAGCATGCAAAACTAAATGTCTAATATCATTGATGATTTGCAAATATCTGTGAACGTTTGGATTGTCAATTTCAGAGCTGATCTCATGTGCCAAGATATCCAAAGGCCTGAATATTGCTGAAATAACATATTGATGGTGCTTGAGCATTTTGTCTTCCCTTTTTTGATCATAACTCATTCTGGCATATGCTTCCGGCATGGTAGCGGGTGGTTGATAATTGACTCTGTTGTGATGTAAGAGAGAAGATAAAAACAAAGAAGTCGATTAGAACTTGTATAGGTTTATTATCCAAAAATCTATATATCTCTCTCTCTAGCTCTTCATTCTCTAGGTATTTATATATGAAGAGATGTCGGAGTAAGTAGTAGTAGAGTTCATGCAAATGACTGAGTCTCTATTATCATAGACTACTTTAAATTAATTAAATAATATAAATTATGGACTTCGGTTATACGTCTTGATCTATTAAAAGATACTTTGTCTTATTCAGTACAAGAGGTTCTTTTATGTCTATTTCTGATGTAAATTGATTATGATATATTTTTAGTATGTAAATGAAGACTTATTTAATGTCAGATCATCATATGCATATAGATTCTATATGTTCACAACAGACTCCTTGGATGGCAGGATATCTTTCAATCAATTGTTTACGTTGGTTGTCCGACATTCCTGGACCTGAAAATAAATTACATTCCAATCTCAATAGTTGCGATAATTCTTGAGAAGGATTCCAATCATAATGGGGTCGTGTCTCAAAAGAATGTACTTGTTGTTGGGTGTTGAAAAATGGGTCTTCAGCTTCCATGTCTTGTTCCTGTTGATTTTGTTGTTGCTGTTGTTGATTCTGGAGTTCTTGATTTTGCATGATTTGCTCAATCATTGCTTGTTGTGCAGCCATTTGCTGTTGTAAGGCTGTTAAAATATCACTGTTTGGTACTGCCATTTGAATATGATTAATGATGTTTCGGAATTTACTATGAAAAGCGAGCGATAAAAAGAAGATCACAGCAATTTATGTTTACTGTTCTATGTTCGAAGGTCTCAATACATTCTTGAGAGAAATTTATTTCGACCTTGAGTTTTAAATAATGTTTTTACATTATTTTTCAAAAATTTTTTTTGAGTACGCAAATGGCATACTTGTAAGTCGGCATACCTGTCAATATTTTTATGATTTCTGAAAATGTTTTTGTGGACCCATCACACTGATTACAAAGGTTTGAGGTGTACGAATCTTTCCATAATTTTCTTTTCATCGCTCTAGCTACCTTTTTTGTAAAGTTATCACTATAGCGTAAGCAATTGTACTTTTCTTTCATCGGTGGAAAAGATCTTCCATTAAATGCCTTTCTCTTCCACATTTGAGTGAGAATCTGGCCAAGGTTTTCCATCATCCATTTCTGATAGAAGATTTCTTCCATCGCTTACGCTGTAGTATCTTTAATTTTAAGAGAATTAGATTAAAACAAGAAAAAAAATGAAAAAAATGAAAAAATGAAAAAAATGAAAATGAAAAATGAAAAATAAAAAATGAAAAATGAAAAATGAAAAATAAAAAATGAAAAATGAAAAATAAAAATAAAAAAATGAAAAATGAAAATAAAAATCAAAAATAATAATTTTTTAGAAAATATTTTTTTGAGTACGCAAATGGCATACTTGTAAGTCGGCATACCTGTCAATATTTTTCTTATTTTTGAAAATGCTCTTTTTTTTGTAAGTCCATCACTTTGATCACGAAGGCCTTAGGCATACGAGTCTTTCTATAATTTCTTCCATTGCTTACGCTCTAGTGATAATTCTACAAAAAAAAGAGCATTTTCAAAAATAAGAAAAATATTGACAGGTATGCCGACTTACAAGTATGCCATTTGCGTACTCAAAAAAATTTTTTGAAAAATAATGTAAAAACATTATTTAAAATTAAAACCATTAAAAATATTTTCTGTAATGACAAAAAAATAAAAAAAAAGTAAAAAATTTCTAATTTTTCTGCTTAAAATTAAAAAAAAAGAGCTTGTTTTTCAATTTTTCTGTCTTAAAATAAAAAACAAGTCTACCATGCAGTAATATCCTTTTTAAACTAAAACAACAAAATCATCATCCGGTAGACTCGTTTATTTATTTAAAGCAGAAAAATTGAAAACAGGCTTTTTTATTAATTTAAAACATTAGAAATGTTCTTCTTTTTTTGTTTTTTTTATTACAAAAAATATTTTTTTGAGTACACAATTGGCATACTTGTAAGTCGGCATAAATTTTTGCGAAGTTTCAAAGTTCATATGTTTCTTTGTTCCTGACATCTACGGCTCTTACCGTGATTTTCTTATGACTCTAGCTTTAATTTTTGTACATATATCACAGAATTTAGTGTATTTTTTATCTGTGTCGGTGTTGGCCATACACGCCTTACTGTCGACAAGTTGTACAAGTAGCCCCGATTCATGAGGAAGGCAATCCGACTGACCCAGTCAATTACTACCTAATTAGTTCGATTACTACTTCCAGAAAGATGCTCGAAACAAGCATCAAGGAACTTCTTCAAGGTCAAGCATTGTCCTTAGACACTGCTCAAGGTAGCTTTAGAGAATGCAAAAGTGTTCTTTGCAAAGCTCTTTGTCTTTCAGACACTTATAAATAGTTTTCTCAAGAAAATATTCAAGACTACCAGCTCTTTACTTCATTGGAGTACTAAGTGGACCTCTATACACTCGATTCTATCCCAAATCACCTTTATGCAACATGCTATCACAAACAATCTACTCCTTCCAACATCCAACCAAATGCTTCCATTTCTTCTCTGGTTACAAACCCACGCCCAGACACACAACTAAATCAACAATCCTCTCCCTATCCCTTTTTTCCCCTTATTCTCTTAAGGTATTTTTAGCTTAATATAGTCATTTTTATGAGTTGATTGAGTCCAAACAGTCAAAAGCCACCTTAGACCATGTATTCAAAAGGACCTTTTCTATCAAATTAGTAAATTAACAAACTTTGAGTATGAATTCGATAAAATTAACACCAATGCTCAAATGTCTATCTATGTCAACAAAAAGAAACACTTCTGGAAAACAATTATCTTTAGACTAAAAGAAAAATACGCTCTCACCACAGCGTGAGCGATTGCGTAACTCTTCCATCTCTGACTGCGTAATTCTTCCGTTTTTGGTGGAAGTTCTCTGCATTCAATAAAAGGCTTCTTCTATCGTTTACACTTTAATGTCTTTAATCTCAAAAGAATTAGACTAAATGAAGAAAAAATGATAAAGTACAAAAAAAAAACATAAATTGTGATAAGAAACGATAAAAAATGATAAAATCAGAAATGTCTGTTTTAATTTCGAAAATCTAAAACACACAAGTTTTTTACATTATTCTGCTCATCTATACCCATCCATACTATCCCTTGCTATTTAATAGCATTTAATGATAAATAACAGGTCTTGATTGGTTCCCAGTCCTAAAGCTTTGTGTTTGAGATAAATTTGTTGTGATTTTGAACATATTGTAGCTTCAACTGTAATTACATGTTGGTCTTGCACTGCAGCATAAGTGATGGAAGATTTTAGTCAAGAATTCACTCAAATATGGAAGAAAAATGTAAACGCTTGCGTTGTGGTGTTGCAAATATACATGTATCTTAATAAATTCGAAACTGAACAAATAATCCAAATGGCACTTAGTAACAAGAAAGAAATGCTTTGATTTGAGTATGTAAATGTGCATTTGTGATGGATATTTGTCTCAAAACAGCACACCACTGATTTCATTAAGTCATGCAAATGACAATATACTTTTTGAACTGAATTTATCTTTTATTATAGAAAATGTCAGTAACCAAAGTAGGTTTGTGAGTATATGGTAATTTATACTTTGCACACCGAGCGACATAGAGCTGAATACCTACTCAATCCTAAACATTTATCAAAATGGGCCTCTTTCCTACCAATTGCAAAGTACAATACATTTTGTATGCTGATTTGAAAGCAATATCCAAATAAATCCAATTTTTTCGTCTTGTTAAACTTACTTTTTTTGTTAGAGATACCTATAAATAGTCTCAGCTTACATCGGTTGAATCAAACCTACATCGAGTCAATCTGACATTCCAAAAATCTTGAATGAACTTTTTTCTTTTGATCTCCAAGAGCTCTTGGAATCCACTATGGGCTAAAAAATAGATTTTATCTAGCTGCCAAACTAATTATACCATTCGATTTCTTGGCTCGAAGGAATATGTTCTAAAAAGAAACTGTTCTTTAGTCACACTTCGTAGAGAACTGGGACGCTGAAAGACAGGAGTAAGGGATGACGAAGTAAAGGTCATACAGTGCTCTGAGTCATTTGAGCAAGAAGTGATTTTTTATTATACACTGATCTGAAATAAAAATTAGCCCAGTCTTTTATCACTCGAACTCAGAAACAAAGTTATCATGATACAAGTGCCCTTTGATTTAAGTAGCAATATAAATATTATTTATGCATCTCATGCTCTGCTTAATTTTCAGATTTTAATTTTTGCTTATTTAATATTTTATTTTTTCCACACGATTTTTTTTTTTTCAATAAAATGTAGAAAAGTGTGGTTATAGTTGTTCAGTTTTTGAATAAAAGTATGTAATATAGAATTTTTAAAATGTAAAATGTAGAATAAATATTGATAATGCTCCAGTTCTAATCAAAGGAAAATGTTCAATATTTAACTCATATTGATAATGTTCAGTATAAGATTTGTAGGATTATGAAGATATTGCTTCCGATGCATAATAAAAGAGGACAATATCCCTTGAAATACTTTATTTAATAGTTTTTTCATAAAAAAAACAGATTTTAGTATGAGATGATGTCCAATTAAAGATTTATGGATCTGTGCTTGATAATGCTCCTTGCTTATACTTCTTCAAATTGTACCTCCAGACACATTTAATACGTCATCCATAGCAAAAAAGCTCAAATCAGGGCTTGAACATGTCATTCTTTAATGTGTCATTGCTTGGCAACTGCATTTTCAACAGGACTGGTTTTTTGTTTAAATCATATTCTTTAGTGTCTAGGAATCGAATGGTGTTGTTGATTTATTAGTTTTGGAGAAGTTATTTTTGACTAACGGAAAATTCATGGAGAGTTCGTGAAATAGCTTTAGAAAGAAAAAAAATGATGACGCACCCAGTAATCCTTTCCTTTTTTTTCAAAAGAAAAAGAAGCTATAAGTTGTGATTGGCAGTCATTGAGCTTGAATGAAATCTGATAAAAATACATCAAAGATAATCAAGCCAAAAAGAATCTGATAAGAATTCTTTTCTGTATCTAGTTAACATACATTATTTCTAGAACCATGAAAAGAAGAGGATGGATATGAATTAATTTTTTGTATTTCTTCTTTGGTCATGTTCCTTTAAAAAAAAGAACGTTGAGAAGATACGGCTAATTATTTTAAATAAAAGTTAAAATTCAGTAACAGAAAGCAATACATACTTTGTCAAAGCTATTACAATGTATTTTGGTCGCTGCTGGTCTTTTTTGGAGACTTTTTCAACGCAAAAAGTGCTTTTGGTGCGCGTTTCTAAAGAAAAACCGCCCAATGGCATTGTACAAGTATGGCGTACTATCAAAAAAAATTGGATGATTTCTCTCCGCACCAGATCTCCACAGGGGTGGGGTCTTCATTTTTCTTATCAGATTCCCTGTCACACCATCACGTGTATATAAATCTTAAAGATCTGATAATTCTTTTTATCTTTTGTCTCTTATTTATTTATTTATAATGGCTACTAAGAAATCTGATGCCTGTCCCTTTATGTTTGCTGGCCAAGAAGTAAGCATATCACAGCAACAAAGGTAAGGACTGTAGTTTTGCTTATTACTCTTGTCGTTAAACTCAATTCTCTAGTCAAAAAAATGGTAAGTTATTTATGACATTAGCTTTATAGTTCTCACTTTCAAGATAAGAAAAAGGATGCCCATTTACAAGCAACTCAGACGATGATATTAAGGACATGATGTCTCAAAATCTAGGCGAAAACTCTCTAGGAAGTGGTAAGTTACGTTTCGATAAAACCAAGGTATATTAACTGCTAAAATTAGAAGTAAAATTAAGCTCTCTTAACTATTTCTTGCCGGAAACTCAGATTAAAAGAAATCATGAGTATCTTTTGGACCCTCAACTTGCTTCCGCTATGAAGGAAGGTACCAAAATTGTTCATTCTGCTGCTGAGAATAGTGCTTTTACAAAGTAAAGCAAGGCTCGACATAAGAAAAGACTTAATAATTTTCTCATTAGGCGCTTTTTGAGTGGTAATATCAACAAAGATGAATACGGTAGATATATCAATTCTCTTTATTTTGTTTACAAGTAAGTACATTCTATAATTCTCTGACTTGACAAAACTTTAGAACAATGGAAGAACTATTGGCACAGCATAAAGACAATCCCTCAATAAAGATGGTTTATTTCCCCTGTGAGCTCAACCGTGAGCAAGCATTAATCAAAGGTAGAATGTAGATGCAAAATATAGTCTAATGCTTTTTTTTTTGGCCTTAGACCTTGAGTACTACTATGGTAAAGAACGTGTTGCTGACTTGATTGATTTCAAGCACACTACTCCTGCTGTCAAGAACTATATAGCTTCATTAAAACATGCTGCTGAAAGAGACCCTGCTCTATTGATTGCCCATAGTTATTCTCGTTATTTAGGTGATCTTAGTGGTATGTTTTAAAATATACCAATGCATGAACTTATCTTCTGTATTCCAGGCGGTCAAATTCTAGCCAAGCGCTTAAAAAAATATGTTCTCAAGATCGATGTTACTGATGCTGCATGGGACTCTTATGAAGGTCTCAAGTTCTATAATTTTGATCACATTGGTAGTCAGCTCGAGTTTAAAAATTTGTATCGTCAACGCTTAGACTGTGCTCATGTCACACAGTACTTGAAAGGTATATGAGCGACCATTTACTCATATGATATCTAACTTGCAAGTAGATTTAATTGTTACCGAGGCTATTCGTTCTTTTGAACTAAATATTTCCCTGTTTAATGAAATTCAAGAGCTCTCAGAAGCACATCAATTAAACCCTACTTTATCTGATACCGAATCTGTGGAAGAAAATCATGAATACAAGCTTCCTGGTATCAATACAGACTGGTTGGTTGGCTTTTTTACAGGTACACTTACCTTGGTCGTTGGTCTTTCATTGTATCATCGCTTTTCTTACAAGTAACTTTAATTATGAAATGCAGATACATCGGTATTTGAATACAGCTTACTTTACCAAATAAAAAAACTTTGCTCTTTCTTACGCAGCAAAAACTTTGTTTCTCTTTTACTTTTTTAATATATATCATGGGTGTTCAAGGACTTTGGTCACTTGTTGGTCCAGTTGCTCGACCAACACAACTAGAATCCCTTCGAAGAAAAAGAGTCGCAGTGGATGCCTCCATATGGATACATCAATTTATGCGAACCATGCGTGACAAGGAAGGACAGGCACTAAGGAATGGTCATTTACTCGGTTTTTTTCGAAGAATATGTAAATTACTTTTTTTTGATATAAAGCCTGTCTTTGTGTTTGATGGTGGTGCACCTTCCTTGAAAAGAAACACGATCGTAAGTAAGAACTTGTTATGCCATATTACTCACAAACAGTAGCGTGAAAGAAGAAAACGAAGGGAAGGTATTAAGACGAATTTAAAAGCAACAGCCCGAAAGATCCTAAGTGCTCAAGTCAAGTCTCGTGTTTTACTTGAACAAGAGAAAAAGTATGTACTGCTTATAAATTTTATGCTGACAATCCAAATTAGGCAACGCGGTGAAACGATGGAAACATCAAAACAAGATTTTGTTTATTATGATGAATTACAGCAGTCAGCAGTAGAAGCCCTCCAAAAAAAACGAAAACTTGATCAGTTTGAATTGCCCAATTTGGAGAAAAAAGAATTTGATTCACGATTACAGCAGCTTGATCCAAGATTTGCTACAGCTGATGAAATTAAAGATTTTGTTCAAGAATTTAAACCTTCTGACCTAGATATTGACTCGGAAGCTTTTCTAGCATTACCACCAGAAGTACAGTATGAAGTTATTCAAGACCTAATGTGGAAATCACGTTCTACATCTTGGGCTCGTTTAGACCAAATGGTTCGCAATTCAGAAACAGCACTTGATTTTTCTAAACAACAGATCAAACTGCTAAAGCATAGAAATGCTATGACGCAGCGCCTAATGCAAGCTAGTACAATGCAAAGTGGAGCCCCTGTTGAGCCTGTCAGAATTGCAGGTGAACGTGGAAGACAATACATGCTATATAAAAATGAAAATATACAAGAAGGACTTGGTTGGAAATTGCCAGGTCTAAGTGCAGCACAACCTGTTGAAATAGATACGCCATCAAAAAGAGCAGAACCTAAGCTAGAAGTTCCTTTGAGACACGAAGTATCAAACTCCATCCCAACCAAGACAAAAGAACCAGAAGATAAGGTGGCTGCTGCTTTGTCTTCTAACCCAAAACTCGCTGGGCTTTTTGATGATCTGCTTAGTGATGACGATAAAGAAGAGGAAGAATTTGAACAAGTGGACACTACAATGCATGATGATAACAGTATAGACAAAGACGAGCCATTATTCATGTCGAATGCAAATCAGAATAACAAGCTTGTTGATGATATGGACGTTTACGTGCTTGAGAATGATGATGAAGCATTAGATAAAGTTATCTCTCGTATATATGATCAAGACGAGGCTGTCATGGATGATCAGCAACAGCAGAAAGAAGATGTTGCTTTGTCTCTTAATTCTGAAGATTTGTATGAATTATGGCTCTCTCGTGTGCCTGATGCATTTATTTATCTTTTCTCGTTTAATGATGAATACAAAAAGATGATTCGAAGGGCTATTGAAGAATCAAATCTTGAAAAGATTAATGAAGATTTACAGGATGTTCGAAAGCAGTTTTCAAGAACAAGCGACAACGATGAATTAGCATTGGAAGCATTGCAATTTCAAGAATCGTTTTTGGAATGTGTACAAAAGTGGAAAGCTCGGCAATTGACTGCAACAGAAACATTTGACACTTATTCAAGTCATGAAGATGCAGGCAGTATTAAATTACTTTCTGATACTGAAGATCTACAAGACAACATTATTTTGGACGACGATGAAGAAGAAGAAGATATCCATTTTGTAGAAATAGAAAGTAACGATGCAAATCAAGATAAGCCTATAGACAGCACAAAGAATCGAGCACACATACAAATCGATATGGACAAATCTCTGTTAAGAGCAGATAAAAAACCAATTAGCAATGAAATAATGGCTAAAAACAATGACAATGTTCAACAAGAGATTATTCCTGTCTATGATAAAAAAGAAAGCGAACTGCCTAATCAATCCAAAGAACAAGTAGCTGCAGATAGCAAAGAAAAGCAAGCGATTGATAGTCATGAAGAAGAACAAATTATAAGTAATGATGACAGCACACTTGTCAAGCAGCAAACATTTGATAATAGAAACGAAGAAGTCATGATTAACAATCAAGAAGAAGCAGACCAAATTTATATGGACATGGTTACAGAACATCAAATTGCAAACACAAGTTATGAACCAGCCAAAGAACATCATGGCTACAATTCAGAAGACGAACTGGAAGAGAGTTTTGGGGGTGAACACGATGAATTTGCACGATTTGTATCCGATATCGCTTCTAAGAATCTAGACGATATCCGGAGCGAACTTTATCGTGATATGAAAGAATTAAACAAGCAAAAAAGAAAAGAAATGGGTAACTCGGATGATGTGACAGACCAAATGGTTCAAGATATTCAGGAACTTCTCAAGTTATTTGGTATTCCCTATATTGTATCTCCTATGGAAGCAGAAGCTCAATGCGCAGAACTGGAGCGATTATCATTAGTAGACGGTACCATCACGGATGACTCTGATGTGTTTTTATTTGGTGCTTTGCATGTTTATAAAAACATGTTCAACCAGCAGAAATATGTAGAATGCTATATTAGTCATGATATTGAGCGAAACATGCTGTTGACAAGACAAAAACTGATTCAATTGGCATTTCTGCTGGGAAGTGATTATACAGAAGGCATTCCTGGCGTGGGTCCTGTAGCTGCCATGGAAATTTTGTCCGAGTTTTCTCAAGAAGATGAAGAACTGGAGACTCCTCTTGAACGATTCAAAGACTGGTATTTGAATGGCGAAGATACAACCCCTTTTCAAAAGAAATTTGTACGCATTGTATCGCATAATATATTGCTAACAGTTTATACCTAGAGAAAACGACATAATACATTGGATATTCCAAGCAATTTCCCTGATCCATTGGTTAAAAATGCTTATTATCATCCTACAGTAGATCATTCCACACAAAAATTTGAATGGGGACAACCGCAATTGGATTCTTTGCGTATCTTTTTAATGGAAGCATTCGGCTGGCCCGAGAAAAAAGCAGATGAAGTTTTGTTGCCAGTTCTGCGTGAAATGAATAGCCGAAAAGTATGTATTGTCATATTTGTAAGCCTATACTAACTATCTGGACAGGCAACAGGAGAACAAAGTACAATTGGGTCCTTCTTTAATACCACAAGTACACTATCATCTGGCTCTAATGAGAAGAAGCATTCCAGTAAAAGAGTACAGAGCATAGTCGATAATTGGCGTAAACAAAAAAAGTCAAAGAAATAAAATTATGCAGAGTTTAAAAGGGGATAAAGAACGATGACAATCTGGTCGATTCTGATTGGACCATATACGGCCCTTAAAAGGTATCCAATCAATGCGTCACTGTTATTCTATGACCACTTCCGTAAGGCAATACATAATTAGCTATGTACAATAAGAATAGCGGTTGTATTCTTCTATCATTAACTCAAGAGAGTCTATGTTTTGCTATAAAACGCGAGTTTTCTTTGATGTCTATATACAAATTGGATCTTTAAACGCGACTTGGATTGATCCAATCGTCGGTGTTTCTATCGATTTGTTGTTGAGTATTCCTTTTGTTTTCTCTTTTCTTTCTCTTCTCCTTCTTTCTTTTTCTTCCTTTCTCTACCAATATGCAGCAGCAACCCTCACCTGCCTCGCAGCCTATGCAAAGGCCACTTGCACCAGGACAACGTCCTCCTATGGGTTTTAGACCTCAGCAGACACCACCTGCTGGTTATCGTCCTCCTGTCCAAGCCAGACCGGGATTCGTGCCTCCTAGCGGTCCATCTGTTCCTGGTCATCCGGGAATACCTGCTGGTGTTCGTCCAGGTATGCCTCAACAAAGACCTTTGATGAGACCTATGGCTCAATCACCTGTTCAGACACCTGCAACACGCCCTGTGATGAGTCCTGTTCAACAAACACAAGAATTACCTACTTCTCCTTCTACGCAGCATACAGAACACAAAAAGAAGAGAATGTATCCTGAGCAAATCACAAAGGCTTATTCTGGTGATGGCTATCAACAGCAACCCTCTTTTGCCAACACGCCTGTCCAACAGCCTTACACTGCTGCTGCTGCTACTACTGTTGCTCAACAGCCACAATTTATTTCTCCTATGGGGACGCCAGCTTCTCCTTATACTCAACCTAACCAATATCAGCAATCTCCATCTCAGCCTGCTTATGCTCAACCTGCTTATGCTCAACCTGCTTATGCTCAAACTGCTTATCAACAAGATCCAGTCAATCAAATGACATCTCAATTTGGAAATATGAATATGGGTGGTGCTCCTGCTGTAAGTGTGTATAAAAAGAGAATGGGAGAGAAAGGCTCATTGTGTTGATAGGTTACTCCCGCTGTACCTTTGTTGGGTGCTCGTCCTCAAGTAGCAGATATTGGATATACTGGACCTGCTATTCGCTTACCACCTAATGCAAGTATACATCATTCAAAAGACATGTCTACTAACACATTTACATATATAGATCTCAGTAACTGACTCTCCTTTCGTCAATTGTGACACTTCTTATCAAGCATCTACTATCAATGCTATTCCTGCTACAGAGTCTTTGTTAAAGAAGTCTAAATTACCTTTTGCTCTTGTGTTGGCACCTTATAGAAGCTTAAAAGAAGGCGATGTAAGTCTATAGAGCTTTTCTTTAATGTGTATATACTTATTGTGCTATTAGGAACCTGTACCTGTAGTGAAAGATAGCGTCATTGCTAGATGTAGACGTTGTAGAACATATATTAATCCCTTTGTCACTTTTGTGGAAGGAGGTCAACGTTGGAAGTGTAACATGTGTTTCTTATTGAACGATGTACCTGCTGCATTTGATTATGACAATCAAACTCAACAGCCTGCCGATCGTTGGAAACGACCTGAGCTGAACTATGGCTGCGTAGAGTTTGTTGCACCCACTGAATACATGGTCCGCCCTCCTCAAGCACCAGCCTTTGTGTTTGTGATTGATGTATCTTATTCTGCTATTCAGTCTGGTATGCTTGCTACAGCTGCTCGTACGATTCTTGATTCTCTTGAGAGATTGCCCAATGATGAAAACCGTACCCGTGTAGGTATCATCACTGTAGATTCGTCTCTCCATTTCTATAATTTGAACAACAAATTCTCTGATCCTCAAATGTTGGTTGTGTCTGATTTAGATGACATTTACTTGCCTTCTCCCTCAGACTTATTGGTCAATTTGACAGAAAGTATTCAAACCATTAGAACCTTGTTAGAGAAACTTCCTGATATGTTTAAGGATTCTGTCAATGTCAACAATGCTTTGGGTACTGGTCTTCAAGCTGCTTTCAAACTATTGTCTCCTGTTGGTGGTAAGATTATTTGCTTGCAGTCTACTTTGCCTAATACAGGTGTTGGTGCCTTGAAGGCTCGTGAAGATGTCAAGTTGCTTGGTACATCCAAGGAATCCACGCTCTTGAATGCTGCTTCTCCTTTTTACAAGTCATTTGCTGTTGATTGTTCTCGCTCTCAAGTTGCTTGTGATATGATTATCTTTGGCGGTCAATACTCTGATGTAGCCACTTTAAGCTGCGTTCCTCATTATACAGGTGGTCAAACATACTACTATCCTGGCTTCAATGCCAGTCGTACAGAGGACGCTATCAAGTTTGCTCACGAATTCTCTGAATTACTGGCTGAACAGATTGGTTTAGAAGCAGTAATTCGTATCCGTGCCTCTCGTGGTTTAAGAATGAGTGCTTTCCATGGTAACTTTTTTATTCGTTCTTCTGATCTTTTAGCTTTACCTAATGTTCCTCGGGATCAAAACTATGTGGTTGAAGTCACTATGGAAGATGACTTAAAAGTACCTACTGTTTGTTTCCAAACTGCCTTGTTACATACTTCGTGCACTGGTGAAAGACGTATTCGTGTCATTACAATGTGTTTGCCTGTCAGCAATTCTATTTCTGAATTATATGCTAGTGCAAATCAACAAGCCATTACTGCCTACCTTGCCGTCAAGGCTGTTGAACGTGGTTTGACTTCCAAGTTGGATGATGCCCGTGATGCTATTGTCAACAAGGTAGTTGATTTGATGGGTGTCTACAAGACTCATGTGTTGGGTTCTGCTCAAGGATCTACTCCTCAATTGACTGCACCTGAAAATCTCAAATTACTCCCCTTACTTGCCCTTGGTTTGATCAAACACGATGGTTTGCGTCAAAGTTCTCAAATCCCTACGGATATGCGATCCAATGCCATGAACTTACTCAACACAATGCCCTTACAGCTTTTGATTCCCTACCTCTATGCAAACCTTTACTCATTACATAATATGCCCGCTGATGCTGGAGAATTCTCAGAGAACGGCATCATATTCCCTCCTGCTTTGAACTTGACTGCTGAGAACTTGGAAGTTCATGGCTGTTACTTGTTGGAAAACGGACAAAACATCTACTTGTGGGTTGGTCGTAATGTGGTGCCTCAACTTTGTGTCGATTTGTTTGACGTGAAGTCTTATGAAGGTTTGAAGGGTGGCAAGATCACTTTGTCTGTTTTGGAGACACCACTTAATAGAAAGGTCAACAATTTGGTTGGTAAAGTGAGAGAAATGCGCCGTGGTAATTACTATCCTACACTCTATTTGGTCAAAGAAGATGGTGATCCATACCTCAGATTATGGTTCTTGTCCCATTTGATTGAAGATCGTACTGATAGCATTATGAGCTATCAACAATTCTTACAACATCTTAAAGACAGAGTAAGTTAATACGAGTTATTGTACTCTTTTACTGATATTCTTTACAGGTTAGTTCAGCATCTTTTTAAAATAATCTAGTTTTGAACACAAAAATAAAATAAAATGAAAAAGCCTTTTGTATATCTTTAATATATTTCAGTCGAAGTCAGAACAACATCTAATGTTTCATCTGTTTCTTCAAGAGGAATAGTACCTATAGGTACAATTTGTTCATTTAAGGCGAGTGCAACTTTAGAGAAAGAGCATTTAGTACATTTACATGTATCAAGTACATTTACATGTATCAAGTACATTTACATGTATCAAGTACATTACCTGTTTTTGGGGGAGATACGCCATGCTCTTTAGCCCATACTTTACACCTTTTGATATAGCGATCATAATAACTATATGATGTTAGTCTTTCTTTATGTCAAACTACATGATTACCCTTTCCCGTGTCCAATGCGGTTTCTATTTTGATCAAATGCTACACCAGGTACAAGAATCAAATCTAAACCAGAACTATCCAAGGCTACACAAATGTCAGTCAACTAAAATAAACCACTCGCAAATTACCATTCTCTCTTGGCTGATCAAGAGGTGGCTCAGGGATATTCCATTTGTTGATAGGAAGTGAATCAAAATCTTGTATACTATTGATTTTGACCATTTCCATTGTGTCTTTAGTGCACCGAGGAATAAAGCAATTTTTATCTAGTCTATTAAATAAAATGGTTCTGTTGTACTTTGCTTACCAGATTCAAGTATGTGATAAATCATGTTTTTGGTCATTATTTCGCAGGTGGGCATGCTTATGTAAATACTAATATTCTTAGTGTGCTTGAACTGATCGAGTTGTTGCAATCGTTCAAACACTAAGTCAGCTAAGAATAGTTTAGCACAGTCAGTAACTATATAGTATGTAGCATACATTGCTTTTGAAGGTCGAGAGTTGTGACCTTCTCTAAGCGGGCTGCCATATCTTTACGCAACTGTCTCTTTAGTGTCACGACTGTTTTATTCATGGAGAAAGAAAAGAGATGTGATTTAAGTGCCGATTTGGTGAAATTTTGAACTGCACATACTCGTTCGAGTGTTTAATGCACGAATGCGTTGACATATGATGTATTGAAGCATCTTGCTCTTATCTACTCCTTAAGAAAGATACATATATATATATATATATATATAGAATGTATAGGTTGCTTTCTACAGTATGGTCTCTTCAATTAAACTCTTTGTTGCTTGTCTTTTGCCTTTGGTTATGGCAAAAACCTCGTCTACCTCATTAACAATTAGCACCTTTACATATACCGGGGGAGCTAAATCCTATACACTGGAATGCAAGCCTGCTGGTGGTACTCATCCTTACCCTTATGACGCATGCTCTACCTTAAAGTCTGTTAAAGGTGACTTCAAATCATTGAAATCTTCAGAGGATATCTTGTGCTCATTTGATTATCAACCTTTTACTGTATCGGTTATTGGAAGATACAAGAATAAATCTGTTAATTTCAGAGAAGTCTATTCGAACCAATGCTTTGCCATAGCATCACTAGATGGTATTGTTCCTTAATAAACATATTTGATCTGCTGGTTTTGAAAATAAAAGCCACATGTATAAAAAGCATTGTCTGTCAAATAAATTGTGCCTTTTTTCTTTTTCTTTTTTTTTTTATTGTTGTTGTTATTATGGCACCATTGAAACAAATTGAATTCTATTCCGGGATTGGTGGTATGGTAAGATGACAATCCCATACTATTTTAAACTTACTGGATTAGCATTATGCCGCAAAACTTGCTGGCTGGGATGTAGAGATTTTGAAAGCCTTTGATATCAATACAGTAGCTAATGATGTATGTATGTCAATGATTTATTTCTATGAATGAGTATACTTATTGGTTAGATCTACAGACATAACTTCAATCCAAAAACGGTTGGTCAGGTAAGACATACCAGTCTATCCAGACCTTTTTTTAGTAACTTGTGTGTATAAAGCATTTGATTGAAACCCTCTCGACAAAATATTATGACGATATGGCAGCTGATGTATGGACAATGTCACCCCCCTGCCAACCCTATACACGCATTGGCCTTCAACAAGGTAGTGAAGATGCCCGTGCAAAGAGTTTCTTGCATTTGCTGAAAGTATTGGGAGAAATGCAAAATAAGCCCAAGTATATCTTGGTAGAAAACGTCAAAGGGTTCGAGGTAAATAATGAATGTACTCTTCGTTTATTCATGCATTCATAAAGGTTTCTGATTCAAGAGACATGTTGGTGAACAAATTGAAGCATTGTGATTATAGTTTTCAAGAATTCCTTTTGACACCTCTACAGTTAGGAATCCCAAATTCTAGAATGAGATACTATTTACTTGCTAAGTTAAAGCCCTTAGCATTTGCTAGACCAGTGACAAGCACCATTATCACCCATATTCCACTCTCAGAGGACATGACTGATGATTTTGTAGACACGAGAGTGAAACCAGGAGAAGCAGTGGATGAAGAAAAACTAGTGAATGAAACTGTGAAGCCTGTTGAGCCATTGTCGAAATATCTGGAGCACAGTGTGCACTATGAACCATATTTGGTGCCAGATAAAGTATTGGCAAAGAATAGCCATGTATTCGATATTGTAAAGCCAGATGGACATCGTAGTTGTTGTTTTACCAAAGGATATTTCCATTATGCACAAGGAACAGGCTCTATTATTCAAATGAATAAAGAGGCTAATGTAGGTCAATTTGTTTATGTTATTTGTACTTATCATGATTGCTCTAGACTGCTGAAGTATTCAATAAGGCAATGACATTTAAGGGTGTAGATCAAGAAAAACAATTGGAACTGTTGCGTACCTTAAAACTAAGATATTTTAGTCCAAGGGAAGTTTCTAATCTGATGGGCTTTCCCCCTGAATTTGAGTTTCCAGACACAAGCTCAATCAAGCAAAGATACAGAACACTAGGCAATAGTATCAGTGTCAAGTTAGTGTCTGAATTAATGCGCTATCTTTTAAAGGAACCCTAGAATAAAATATTTCTTTTTCTCAGTTATTTTTCAGCTCATGTCCTCTTATATTACCAACACAAAGCCTAGCTTGTTAAAGATCATCTTGAATAAGATAGGCATTATTGATTTACCAATAAAGGTCAACTGCTGGTTTTGCAATAACGACTCGTACCTTTTGCCAGGAACTAAAAACACGATTGATTATTGGTATTGCCATTTGTGTGAAAACACCAATGCTAGAGATGAGGTAAAGTATGGGCATTATTGTTTTTTTTTCTAACTTTATGAAAGCAAGGAGAGATTCTAGATCCAAGTCCTATAGTGACTTCTCGCTCTTTGGATGAACATTACAGTATGTACTCTACACTACTGACAACATTACTAACCTTGTCTCAACAGCCATTCCGACTGGCAAACAGCTTAATATGGATAATCAACGAACGTTATGCGAGGAATGCCTAGCCAAACAACAGCTTGTATACCAGCTTTTGAGTGAGTATATTCCTGATGAAGATGTAAGTTGAATTCTTAAAAATGTTTCCTGTCTAATTTGTGTGTAGGACCCAAGTTATGAGTCAAGATGTGAAAGTGCAGACAGATATAAGGCAGAATTGCATCAAAGGCATAAAGTATGTAATGAATGTCAAGCCAAAATCAACCAATTGGTCCAAGAACAATTTATTACTCTTCGTAAAAAAGGAGCGAATACCAATGTTTTAGAAAGCCAAATCCTTGCCTCGAAAGGCCAACAAATAGAATCCTTAACACGCCTGAAAAGATGCTCTCTGAGATTAAAGATGGTATGCTTTGTCATTGTACATATCACAACGATTGCTTTTCTTTTGATGGGTAAGTTATAAGCGATATAGAGGAACCATTCACAAAGAGTTTAGCTATACAATACCCTCCTTATCGTTCATATATTTCTTTTGAATCAAGCAAGCTAAAAAATGTTTTGTCCTATGATACATGGGGAGAATGCTTTGAGCAATTGATGATGGCTGGCTTCTCGTTGTTTGTCAAAGATACTTGGAGACTTATTTTGACATTTAGTCACTGCATGCTCGTAAATGATTTAGCGACGTGTGATTGGGATGTACATAGTTATTTGGGTAGACTTAGCCTTTTAAACATGGCATCATTTTATATATATAATTGGCATCCTATTCTTTCTTCTCGATTTATTTACGAAGAGCATATTAAATATTGGACACTCTACAAGGTAAGAAAAAAAAAGGGGCTACTTTACGATTGACATTGGGTTTAGGCTATGCAAAACGTATTGTCTCTGATTCGATTTTCATCAACAGTATATCTCTTGTTTGCCAATGAAGAGGACATGTCCTTTATCAAACCTGCTTTATTTGTCTATCTTGCTGCAAGTATTCATATATCTCGTCTTGTTCAAGAAACTAATTTTACATTAGATTTTAATCACAAGTCTGTTTATTGTAAGACAGGTCAACAGGACTCAATTTGCGTTTATGTTGACTAAAAGTTACGTATCAGAACAAGAGGATGAAAACGTTGCGAAAATATTACCAGAAGAGGAACAAATGTCGATTTTAGAACAAGACGATCCTGTCGAATTGATAACAAGCAGCATAAATAGAATTTACATGTAAAGTTATTTATATTAAGAGAAAAAGTAAATAAACAAGTAATCAGATCATAATTACTAGCCAACGTGAAATCCGACTTGTATATCTTATATCAGCAAACGACAGTTAATGATTGGTTCAAGTCACATGATCTCTAATAATTTGGAGTATGTATTTTTTAAAAAAATAAAATAACCATGAAATGGTTCCATAGTCTAGCTGGTTATGGCATCGCCTTTACACGGCGAAGGTCTTCGGTTCGAACCCGGATGGAATCATCTTTTTTATTTTGTCTTTCGTCGATTTGATTCATTTTCGACTTCAAAGCAAAGAAAAAATATGGACCTTTTCCTTTTTTTTTAATAAGAATGTTTGTAAAGTTTTAAATAAGTAAAAATTCTTGTCGTTTATAAAATATGTTTCTAAACAATGTTTATGCAAATAAAATAAAATAAAATGCTTTGATTCTAATGACTTTCGCTATCTTCGTCATCAACATGTACAACCTCCTCTCTAGCTTGAGCTGTCTCATAATCATTTGGATCCAAGCGCTTGCTCAAAATGTACGTTATGGCTCCAATACAAGCCAAGACAAAAAATGTTGTATTGACCCGTGCGATGTATGGCAAGAAATCAGCAGACAAAGATCTATTTGATTAGGTTTAGTGGTATGTTTATCATAAGATCAACAATACTTACGCTGACCAAATTGTACCGCAAATGGCAGGACCAAGGGCACGCATAGCACTAGCACAACCTAGAAAAAAAGTGGAGTTAGTTTTCTATCAACAATCAATTCGTTATTTACATTGAGAAAAGCCATTGACTGCACCCAATGCATCCGCTCTAGGAGCAGCATTGTTAACCAGAATGGTGCATCCAGTAAAACAAATAGTATGACCAATGGTCTTAATAGCCAAAGAAATCAGCAAGCCAACCCAAACCCATAATTTAGTGTCTGTTTGACCATTGGAATCAGGCAAGTAGTACAATAATCGAATCACGCCTTGAGAAAGGTATAAAAAGACTAGGAGAAACAAGACTATCTGCAATAGACGTAAAAGACCAAATTTTCGAGTTAATGTAGGCAAGATGAGAATCTGACCAATCAAGGTAACTACACCAGCAAAACTAAGGGCAATACCAATTTCATTAGGCGAAAAGCCCAAACCGCCACTATCTCTACTACTTGCAGTATATAATGGGAAGAGTTCTAGATAAATATGATTAGATAAATATGAAATAAAGAAAAAACGTACCGTCCATAAACACAGCTTGTAGTGCAAAGAAGCCATATACAATGCAAATGGCAACGACGGCTGGTGTCAATGATTCTTTAAGTGTAGGAGGTGTATGCTTATCATTGACTGTAGGTGTGGGTGAATGTTGTGTATTGCTGTTGCTATCGTTAAAAGTCGAATAGTTATGTTGTGTATCATCTGATTCATTATTAATCAATAATGTCTCTTCTTCATCCGTTTGTTTTCCATCGTTTCCAGAATGAACATGTAAGGTTTCTTCCAAAAAGAAGACACCGAATACGAATCCAAGAATACAGATAGAAGCAGAAATAAAACAGGGTAAAAAGTAAGGGTATTCAGTCAAGAAATCAGTAATAGGACCTAGATTTCCAAAGACATTGGGATAATTGGAGACTGGGTGTGACAAGAAACCACCAAGCATTGGGCCAATGATAGAGCCTAAGCCATATACCAATGGTAACAAGGAAAAGGCCTGTGCTCTTTGATGAGGTAAATGATCAATGGTTAATTCAGACACCATGCTTTTCAACACACCAATATTACCATTCTATGAAAACAATTAGAGAAAAGAAATATATCAAATATTATGAAAAACTTACAAGTAGACCACATAAGCTACGAGACAAAAGGGCCCAAATGAATGACTTTGATAAACCGAACAGCAAAATACTGGTAATTGTACCAATAAGACCCTGAAGGATGACGGGTCTTCTACCAATTCGATCTGAAAGCATACCCCAATGAATACCGGTTAATAGTTGAGTAAGAGCAAAGCATGATGTAATGAGGCCTACATAATAGCCTACACTACTCTCTTCTGCTATATGAAAATCTCTAACCATCTAATGACAAAAAATTAAACCCATTTGCGGCAATATTTACTGCTCATTTTACCTGAACTATAAAGGGAAAAATTACAGTAAAACAAATGGGTTCCTAACAAGACATGAGAAGCTCATTCTACGATTGACAAGTTGGGTCACTTACTGCAAAACGACAGACACAGATAATGGCTAGTTGCTTATACGGTAATGGCTTTGTTATTTTCTGCACCATTTTTAATAGAAATTTATATGCACAGAAAAAAAGAAAGAAAAAAATGTAAAACAAGCCTTGCTTTTTATGAGTTGAAATTGGTCACTGTGATTCGAAGAGAAAGCTTAGCTGTGGAATAAATTTATCCCGTTTTGCCTTTTAAGAAATTGAATGTACGTCTTTATTGAGCTTGATGGCGTTAGTGATTGCATCTGATAGCCGAGATGAAGCTCTATAGCAACTTATGTTTAATGCGAATTGGCATTCTATTCCTCGTTGTTGTCTCATCATAAACAATACGAATTGTCTCGATCTCTGCTCTGCATCTGTATTTGCGCTACTGCATATTGAAGCATGCTTTAAAATCTTTGTTTTAAAGCAGATTACATTATGATTTTTCAGATTTGGCATTGCACGCAGAGAGTATGACTTTTGCTTAGAGAAGGCGAGTCATGTGATTATCATCAGAGACAGCCAAATTATTTGTTTCTTTGCGTGATAAACATTATAAACCTTGTTTATTGTTATACATGGTCAATTGAAAATGATTTACTTCTTCTATATTAAAAACGAATATTTACACAAAAATAGTCCTTTTTGGGAGTAGAAAGAATGTTCGCCAATTAAGCGCATTCAATGGAAGAAAATGATGTAGTGACGACTTGCCTCTAAAAAAAGAAACTTATAATTCTGTAAGACAAATGTTGAAGACATCAAATCAAATCAGTGCAACATTGAACCTAGATAAGAAAGTTTCAATGCAAGACCAAACGAAGTATATTTTCAACATTGTCATATGATCAACATTGCTAGCCCAAAGAAAAATGAAGAAAAAGGAGCGCAGAGTGCTTATGTTGACATAGTGATTGGAACTGATGAGTTGTACACATAACCTGATGAAACAGCCAGCAACACTAAAAAAGTATTTGATTTTCAAACGAGCAATTCTTTGGCAGAACAATGGAAAACAAAATAAAAAAGATGATTCCATCCGGGTTCGAACCGAAGACCTTCGCCGTGTAAAGGCGATGCCATAACCAGCTAGACTATGGAACCATTTCATGGTAATTTTATTTTTAAAAAAATTACATATTAAAAAATTGTTTTAAATCACGTGACTGCCCGGGTTTATTGTAGCTTATCTCCGTAGCTTTGCCGCACATTTGTCATTTCAATAACTTTAAAATATCATCATTAATGCGTGCGTGGATTAACAACGAATCAGTTTCGCTACTTTCTCTTACAACCTCAAGTTACCTCTCTTCTTTCCTCTTTATCTAATAGGATTACCGTAGTAATCCCACAGTTTATTAGATCCTTAGTGTCTCACGAGATTACTTGCAGCTCTTTCTTCATTATTGAATTTACACTATCCACATTCAGCTCTTTATTTCCTGATTTTAAGTAATTATGATAAGGGATAATGCTTATTGCTCATCTAGGACGCCGTGTGTATATATGACTTAGATCAAGAAAGCACTTCAACATCACAAACAAACAAAGTCCACATGTATTTCGTTCTATTGATAAGCTTATTATTATTGTCACTTTGGTAAATGTAATTTGTTTCATTTTGAATGACAGAAAGAAAAGTAACACCGAGATTGGTAGTTCTGCTACAGAGATCAAGCTGCTTAATATCAGCAACTGTAAGATATTTTCTGATAGATAAGTCTCTACATAAATCTGAAGAACATAATGAGGGAAACGATAGAAGATGGAGACGAGAAAGCTGTTTTGTGGTAACAAGACCTAAATTTGTTATATTGAGAACACTTTTTCAATGGAATAATGTCATAACTCTTGCTATAGTCGACGATTTTAACCAAGTAAGAATAGAGAAAAACCCGCAAGTAAGCAACAAGTAACATTGTCTACAAAAGACATTGTGTCAAGAACAAACTTCGAGCTGTCAAATCCTGAGACTGTCTTTTTGAGACGGTTTTTTCGCATTTTTTCTTTTTCTTAAAAAAAAAAGCATTCAAATTTTTTTCCCCCTCTATTTTCTTTCAATATGGCTTCCTTACAATCGCTAAAAGCACCAACCTTGATGAGTAAAAAGACTCAAAAAACAGTACAAACGGACGAAGACGACGTTATTATTGACGCCAACGCTTTGCCCGCTCGCTCTACTGAAGACGATGTTGCTATGGAAGAAGATTCTGCTTTGGTTGATAAGCCTAATTTTGCTCCTGCTAGCGCAGCCGAATTAAAGGTAAAATAAAAGATAAACAAGGAAGTGGAAAGACAGAGTGTTGACCAGGAGCTTCAATAGAAAGTTGTAAAGGGTACTCGTAAAGTGCCTATTCCTCCTCACCGTATGTCTCCCTTGAAGAGACACTGGTTAGAAATTTATTCTCCTCTTGTCGAACACATGAAGCTTCAAATTAGAATGAATGTCAAAACCAAAACTGTTGAACTCAAGGTATGACAGTAGAAGCGAAAAATGATCGTAAAATTAATGTATCTATAGACTTCCCCTCAAACCGAGGATGAGGGTGCATTACAAAAGGGTGCTGATTTCCTCAGAGCATTTGCTTTAGGTTTCGAAGTAGAGGATGCTATGGCTTTATTAAGATTGGACGACATTTTCTTGGACACTTTTGAAATTAAAGATGTGAAGACTTTGCATGGTGATCACTTGGCCCGTGCTATTGGTCGTATTGCTGGTCGTGATGGTAAAACAAAGTTCACAATTGAAAATGCAAGCAAAACAAGAATTGTTTTGGCAGATACGTAAGTACATTCGATAAAGAGGGTGACAGTAGTAACTAAGTTCGTTTTAGCAAAATTCATATTCTCGGTTCATTCCAAAACATCAAGATTGCTCGTGATGCAGTTGTCAGTCTTATTTTGGGTAGTCCCCCTGGTAAGGTTTATGCTACTCTTCGTACTATCTCTGCTCGAATGAAGGAACGCTTTTAGATTACATTGTGCATTTATTTCCATCTTTAACATACTCTACAAATCCCTCAATTTTCCCTTTCTTTTTTTTTTTTTTTACATACATGCAAGACAAAAAAAAAAAAAGATGCTCCGCCTTTATGTTTATTATTCCTCAATTCTTTTTCTTTTTATCATAATATATTTATCTGTACTGTTTACTTGGCATTTCCTTTTTTGATGATGATTTACTAAAACTCTGGTGAGCTTTCTTGTCTATAGAAAGTACATAATAAACTAATTTCTTTTATTCAAATGCATGGTATATATATACAAAGAAATTATTTTCTCTTTTTGCCAGGACTCTTTTTATTTCCTTGACGATTGATTCTTTCGATATCAGACTTTTTGATGGTCAATGTAGCACCCTTCATACGACCAATACCATTTGTAATACCGGGATCACGATCTCTCTTCTTTGTTTTTGTCTTGACATAAAGGTGTTTAAGTGATTTGTCATATATACCCAGATCTTTAGCCTCTTGTAATTTCGTCATGTTCTTTTGCTTTATAGACTCATCAAGACGCAGTTTGTGTAATAATGGCATTTTCTCTCCAGGTGAAGCCTTAACGCCCAATGTTTCTAATTTCTTCATGGTGTTCTTTCTTCGCTCTTTGGATGTCATTTCTTCTCGTTCTATACAAAAACAAGGTAAGTGTTCATCGAAATTTGCCCTCCATCTTGTTTACCAAGTTCTTCTAAAAGGTTGGAAGTAGCCAACAGTTGTTTTAATTCTAAATCATGACGTTGATTCTCACTATAAAGAACTTAGTTTGACGTACAGTCTAAATGTATGTGATCCTACGCTTCTTCTTCTTGTTCCTTCTCTGTAGGTTTCATCTTTTGTTCAACAATGGTTTCGACAGTAGTGATACGAGAACTCTATTGACAAGAACATCAGAAACCAATGTTGATTTAGATTTTCATACCAAAAATTGTTTTTTCAAAGCCTTGTCTTCAAGAACAGGCTTCTTTTCTAACACAGAACCATCAAAGACGACAACACTTGGGCCATTGTTTGTATGGGCTGCCTGTTTCTTTTCAGTCAAAGCTTTCTTTCTTTGTTGTTTTAGCTCCTCTCTATCGATAGGTTAGTCTAAAAAAAAAAGGACATATCGACTTTACTTTGAAGGAGTATTTTTGCGCTTTAAGCTTTTTGCAATATGCGGGTTGCTGACTGTATTTGCTTTTACACTGCTGATCAAGCTAGCTAACGAAGACATATAGAGAGAGTGAAAGTGAAAAAAAAAAATCAATTCGAAAAAATACTTGTATAAGCCACTTTATTAGGTAAGCATAGTGCGCGGTAAAAAAAAATAAAGCGCATGAATCTTGTACTCATACCTCCTTTATTCCTCCCTAACAAAGCGCCAATCACTTTTTTTTCCAATTGAGATTTGACATGTCTTTATCATTGTTTATTTCAATTTAATTGTCTAAATGTGCCTTAATCTATTTCAGGAAATCGCTTGGTAATGATGAAGTTTGTTTGTTTCTTTTTGGGAAATGATAATCAGTGTTGTCAATGATTAAATTCAAACAACCTCCAATCAAACAGCTCCTTTTCACGGCTAATAGACCCCCGAACTCAATTCGATCACAATCTCGGCACTCGCCCCGCCATAGTATAAATAATCGTATTTCTCCAGTTTTTTCAGTTTCAAAGATTGTTATATTAAATAATGTTACTCGACACTTTAAAAAACACAGCATTTTATATTGCAGATTATTGGAAAGATAACGATTCATTGTTGATCCGTGATGTTCCTCTTACTAAGAAACAATGTGTTTCATTGTCTGTAGCAGCCACAACAACGTATGTGTTATGGAAACTTTATAAGCGCAGCATCAGAAGCACAGTGGATCCCTCTCTTTTACCACCTATGGTCAAGGGAGCTCTTCCTCTCTACGGTCACCTAAACAAACTCAAAAAGGATCCAGCCAAATTTTTAGACGAAGCAAGAGATACTTATGGTCCTTGTTTTAGAATTACCGTTCCCGGCCAAGGCACTGTGGTCGTGGCTACTGGCACAGTCATTGAAGAAATCATGAAGGCGAATAAAAACTTTAGCTTCTTTAAGGGCATTGAACTTGTGTTCCCATCTGCCAAAGTTGTAGAGTTATCGTATCAACATAAATGGGAAGTAGAAACCATTAGTCCTCGGGCAAAAAATCCTAGTAAGTAAAAACGATTCATGTCTTTTTTTAAAAAAAAGCAAAAACTCACGCATAGCCTATAGCCATCTATCCTATCAAGCAAAACTTTAAGGAGCATCAAATTGATGTGTTTACTGAACGTATCATGAAATCCTTTGAAGCTGGACTCAAGAAGCACTTTGACTTGAAGAAAGGAGAGAGAGAAGAAGTAGATGTCTGGCCTCTGATGGGTCTCCTGGTGGCCAACATTTCTTGTGCTTGTTTCGCTGGGAGTCAAGCAACAGGCAACGAAGCCTTGATCCGTGGTATGGCTACTTTTACACAAAAGATTGGTAAAGCAAGCATGTTTTGGACAGTACTTCCTCAATGGCTTGGCCAATTTATCATTCGTCATTTCTTCTCGGTTGAAAAAGAAATGGATTACATCATGGGTGAATTGGTGCCTCATTTGACCAAGGTTAGAAACGGCGAATTAGGCGATGATTATGAGGAGACATATGCTACCATGGTACTCAACTTGCCTAAAGAAGACGGTTCTCTCCGTAGTGTACCCGACGCTGCTTATCATTTCAATGCCATTGCATTAGCTAGTATTCATACCACGTCTCATTTCACTACTTTTGCTCTACATGAACTTGCTCCTCGTCCTCAACTCGTGGAAGATTTGAGAGCTGAGCTCGCTACGCTTGGAGATAACAGAACACCTGAAACCGTAGCCAAGCTTTCCTTGATGGACTCTTTCTTTAGAGAAGTATTGAGACATAATGACAACTACTTAGGCTTGCACCATTTGACTCTCAAAGACAGCACTTTATCCACAGGTCATGTTGTGCCTAAAGATAGCGTGGTGGTTCTGTCTGTCGATCAGATGCATCGTGATTTACGCTTCTTGCCTATAGATCAAGAAACAGGCGAACCTGTTGCTGGCGAAACACCTTTAAGCGAGTTCGATGCTTATCGCTATCACAACAAGAAGGTCAAATCTACAAATGTAGGTTTAGAATTCCTCCCTTTTGGTATGGGTGCTCATGCTTGTCCTGGTCGTTTCTTTGCTGCTAATGAAATCAAATACATGGTTGCTGAAATTCTGATGCGTTACAACGTGACGACCAAAACAGGTCTTCGTGCCAAAGACAATGTCTTTTTAGGCATGATTCGATTCCCTCCTAAAGAACCTTTAATTTTTGAAGCAATTTAATTTATTATAATACACTATTTAAACTGTAAAACTAGCTCTTTGGTTATCCAATTGAGGTTTTGTTGATTGATAGATACGGTTGAGTAAGCGATACAAGTCTTCTCTGTCCTGGCTTGTGTTTTTGTTTGAAAACTCAGCATCTTGATCCACAAGTCGATGTCCTTCAAGTTTTTCTACCTTGTTCAACAGACCAGACATAAACAAGTGATGTTTTTTGATAGCAGACATACTAAATCGCTGTCTTTGGTAGGCAGGACGGTCAAGCGACTTGGCCAGCAAGTCAGTCGTATGCAATAGGTCATGGACCAGTCTTTCTTCACGCGATATCCATTCCTAAAAAAAAAAAAGTGAAGCTGTCAGTCATTGCTTTGTATACATGCTTTCTTCACTTACCTGGTCTGTGTATCTAGTCTTTTCTAAACGATTCACTAAACCGCAGAGTGAAGCAAACTCCATTTCTTTCTGTGTCTGAACATTCAGACTCACGCGTTGATTGTCCAGTGATCTTGAAGCAGATTTCTGGACTTGATGCACCAGATCTTGCAGTACTTGATGTCGCGTCTTGAGCGGCAAAGAAGCACGTTGGTCTTCCATACGACCTCTTGATAGTCTCTCAATGTTCTTGCCAAGTGTTGCAGCCGCTAATGCTTCTACCTGAGACTCAGATAGACACACCCGTTGATTGTTCAGTCGAGGCGCTGCATGCGATAATCGGTCCATGGCATTCAACAGTTGATCCAGGTCATTTGGCTTGCCTGAAAGACAGGGATGAATGGTATCGTACGCTGGCGGTATTTCTTTCGGGATCTTGTCATAAGCAGGAGGCCCCCATTGTTGGACAGCAAGTTTAGTAACAATGTTCATCAAATGGTCCATTTCGTCCCAAAGCATGATCATTTCTTGACTAGCTTCTTGGGCTAGAATAGACATGACACCTTGAGCTCTGTCTTTTTGAAATGTGCTTACTTTATCATGGAGTTCTTGTTGAAGAGAAGCAACATCATCCGTGGTGGATTCAAGCAACTTGTCTTGTTGTTGTTGTGTGGCATTGAGTTCGAGTAAGCGATAGACATCATTTAATAATGCAGCTAACGAACAACATAAAGTATAATCTTGATGAGTATGATGAGAAGAGTCCAAGATACGATGTATATCAGACATGATGGCAGGTGTGGGTGAAGATTGGCTACGAATCATAAGTGTAGAAGAAGAGGATGAAAACTCATGCAAGGTATTAGTATGGTGTGTGATGGAACTGAGTAAATTGGTACATGAAGGATCAGACAAGCGTCGTGCATGATGAGGACTACGAGGCAAGTCTCTTACAATCTGTAATAAGAGTGCGTCCAAAACAACAAGGCAAATATGTTTGACTGATTGTAATGACTCAACTACTTTGGGTGATAAGCAACACATGTTGGTGTATTCCATCGGTTCTTTAGCAAGATCATTTAATACTGAATTATCGTCAGTCAGGTGGTCATCTTGTACTAAAGGCTCTTCCTAAACCATGTAAGTCAATCTTTTATATTATCCACAATGATTTACATGATGTTCAATAGTTGGCTTGTTTTTCTTTTTCTCTAATGTAGCCATGATATACATATATATATACATATATATATATATATATAAAGAAAAAAGACAAATAATAATAAAAACTAGTCTTTATGTGTATATATATATATATATATATATGTAACCAAAAAAAAGGAGCATTCTACTTTTTTTTTCTGCTTTTTTATTCCTCCTTAAATCACCAAAAAATCGTACGTGAATTGAACATGAAGAGTTTATTTGTGTTACTTCAAGCCACTGTGTGTGCTTTTATGCTAAAAGATAAGAATGGCAAGTTATTATTATTATTATTGTTATTATTATTGTTATTATTATTGTCATGAAGAAATAACACATTGACAGTGTCTTTGTTAAAAGAAAAAATCGTCATTGATCATGGTTTAGGTAAATATAATTATAAAACCTGTTTATATGTATATATATAAAGAGATCAACACATGCGTTGTGTAACAAGAACTGTATAAACACCTTCAAGCACAAGAGTCTGACTGTTATAAAAGAGTAACGATTGATTTATTTGAAGGATGCCAGTCTTTGAGTGTCAACAGTACTCGTCACATTGAATGTAAAGTCATTTTTTTATCACATTGACATTGACCTGATAAAACAACAGATGCTATTCAACTGACTATGTGTGAATTATCCATGGCTCAAGTCAAAATACCTGGAGAATGTCAGTCGTTAAATAGAGGAACAGCCAAACAATGTGTCAAGTAAAGTCAATGTATAGCTTTTTATTTTATTTATTTCTGTTAGAAAACTATCTCATTCCCCACAAACATGGACATCTTATAGTGGTAAGCAATCAAACAATCAATGACGCTTATTTTCCCTTTTAGGCTATTTTCGTGATGTAGGCAAGTAAGAAACAATATATATATATATATATATATTGGATAAATAAATGGTATTCTATAGTAATGATATGTTTTGCTATTCGATACCCTCTTGAAAAAGGTAGTTTATCTTCAACCATAAGGTTATTGATTCCATATAGACACACTCGAGAAATTACATGCAAACATCACACTAAACCAAGCCAAGAACTTTGATATGTTGTCTAAACAACAAGAACGCTTGATTCAATGGCAACAAGAAGAATTCAAGACATTAGGACAACTGAAAGACACTCAACAAGACCTTTTAGACCAATTGGACCATGCACACCAAATACACCTTAAATCAGCAAACCAGATCCAATCTATCTTTGATGCGCTTGTCGTGTTACAACATCAAACGGAGGCAGTCATGGAGAGGTACAACCAATTAACAGAACATCATGTGCAACAAATGACGCATCGGTTAGATGAATTGACATTAAAGCAGGAGACAGAACTTTATCGTCTTCTGTCTTCTGTCGTCAGTACACTTCAAACAGTAGATCATCAATTGACAGAGATGCTCTTGTCACAACAGCATATCATGCAACAGTTCAACACGGCAGAACAACTACAAACACATTACCTTCAACGCTGGCAACAGTCAATGGAAGCAGTCAATCTAAGCTTATCTGACATACTGATCACTTCCTTGAATCACGTAAGAAACTTGAATGAAAATCTGGGAGTAATTCAAGACCAAGTGTCAGTCTTGTCTATTCCTTTTTATTGGCTCAAGCGTCTTTCAAGTACAGCATGGCAGGATATACAATGTATTTCTCTAACAATCACTTTACATGGAGTGCTCTTTTCTCATCTGTATCGAAGAATACGTGGTCATGGATTGAAAAGAATAGCCTTTGCTTTGCTATTGACTTTAGGTAATCTTGTCTCATTCAGTGTGATACTTATTCCATACCAGGACACATTTACGCGCTTCATGCATGGATATTCGCTTATCCTACTATGGATACTAACTATGTTAAATCATTCATTCTTTTATTTGAGGTGATATACATTAGTGGCTATCTAAAATTGCTGATTTCTTGTTTTAGTGGATCCTAACCAAACTACACTATCCAAAGTCTTTGACTAGAAACAAAGCACCAGAAGAACATATTCAGGCTAAATATCATTTCCAGAGCTATTATGCACCAGCCTATCTACAGAGAGAACAAGAAGAAAGAGACCAAGAGGCTCCAGTGTATGAACCCACAATGAAGAAATATCATTTTCACTGTTATTATTAAACCCATCTTTCTTTTTCAATCTCAGTGCTGCCATAATAATAATAATAATAATAATAAAAAGAGCTTAGTATGAATACTCTTTTTTTATTCTTGTCATTAAAATGTCCAACATTACAAGTACAAACACGACAACCAATGTCACTCCTATTGATTCTAATGAATCTACACCTGCACCCACTACAACGACAAAGCCAACTAAAACAGACAAGAAAAAGAAACCTAAAAAGAAATCTAAAAAACGTACACGCAAACCCACGTTAAAAACCAAAGTCGTAGTGAGACGATTACCTCCTAATTTACCTCAAGACATCTTTATGAATTCAGTCAAACCTTGGGTTCATGAAGACAATGTAGACTATTCCCTTTATGTTGCTGGTAAATTGAGTAAAAGGTAACGTTGCATGTGACTCCCATCCTTATTCTTTCTGAACTTTTTGCTTGTGTAGCAAAGCAAAAGAAAATATATTCTCGCGTGCTTATTTTCACTTCAAGACTATGGATGATGTAGTTGCTTTTCATCAAGGATTTGATGGTCATGTATTTATCGATAGTCGTGGTAAGCATAACCCAAAAAAGAAAAGACCAAGTGGATTCATCTATTGTGTAGGCAATGAATACAGAGCTGTTGTCGAGTTTGCTCCTTACCAAAAAGTACCGAGAGAACACAAAACAGTGGATACACGTCAAGGTACTATTGATCAAGATCAAGATTACCTTGATTTTATCGAGTCTTTGAACGCAGAAAAAAACGCTGCTACACAAGAACAACAAGAGCCTGCTGATGGTCTTTCTCAAATTGAACGTTTAGAGAACAGAATTGCCATGGTGACAGGTAATTGATATGAAAGTAAACAATCAGGGACTGATATGATGTGTATCTAGCAAAAACATTAGCTGCTGAACAAGCCAATAAACCAAAAACAACACCTTTACTTGAACATTTACGTGCTCAAAAAGCAGCTCAAGCAGCAGCCAAAGCTAAAGCAGCAGCTAAAAAGAATGCAAGAAGAAAAGCAGAAAAACAAGCGAAAAAAGCAAATGAATCTCAACAACAGCAACAACAACAACAACCACAGCAGCAGCAACCAGCTACTACAGAAAAGAAGAAACGAGTACGTAATAGAAAGAAAGAAGGTGATAAACAAGATGATGCAAAAACTCGTCCACCTAGAGAGCCCAAATCCAACAACAAGCCTCATGAAACCAATAAACCAAAGAAATCCAATAACAATAAAAAGCAGACAGATAAACCTCAAGTTGTCAAGATTCTTGGACGTCAACCACCCGCTACTTCTTCAAGCAAGTAAACGAAAGAAAAAAAAAGGACATGGTGTTATATGTGTGTGTGGAAACAACTATTAACCACATTGGAATAAACATCAAAGAAGAAAGTAAGCGAGAAAGAAAGAAAGAAGGAAAAGCATAGGCAAGATTTAAATGAAGCATAAAAATAATAAACAATTTTTTTTCTTTATTTTTTTTTTTTTTTTTTTGATCAATGTCAACAGAAAATACAGAGATCAACACAAGTTCGATTGAACAACTAAGCTCTTCCATCAAGAGTATAGCGAATGGCTTTCGACGCATGACTTATAATCTAGAAAACCTTAGCCGCGTTAATGACTCATTCGTTGCTTTTAATCAGGCCTTTGGTTCATTTCTTTTGAGCATGGCCATCAATGATGCTACCATTGACTGGAAAAAAGTAAACTATTTGCTATACAATCATACTTTTTGCTTATGAATTTAGTAGGGACCAACAGATAAAGACATTGAACTATTGAAAGAACGTAAAAGACACATCAAAACTATAGGTAAAGATACACTCTATACCATGATTTGCTTATCACTCGAACAGAAGCCGTCAAATCAGTATCGAATACACCTATGCTTGTGGATGATCGCGTCATACCCATCCCTTCTGTATCATCCCCAAAGAAGCGTAAATCAAATGAATCAAGTCGCTCAGTTCGTATTGCCAAAAAGAAAAAGACAGAGCCTATTGCTGTCTCTCGTCCTCAATTTGTCATTAAGGTAGCAGTTATATAAAAATAAAACTAGCCTTAACTTGTTCTTTAGATCAATATCCACAAGATAATTGATCGCCTGCCACTTAAATATAGAGAAAGTGCAGTAAGTAGTACAAACTAAAGCTAGGATTAAAAAAAAGGATTTCAGGAACCAAGATCAAATATGGAAACAGTCCTTAAAGTTTTGAAAACACATCCAGCAGGATTGTAAGCAAGAAGAAATGATATGTCATGTCATACTGATGAGGGTTTTATTCTAGATCATTTAAAGGTATCACATCTGCAGCCAAAATACCACAACATAAAGTAACAGACTGTGTGAATGCTCTTACTCATGCTAAAGAAGTACTTCGAATGACAGAGGCAAGTAAATGACATATACACAATATATGCTTACATGATCTTACAGAACAAAGTGAGTGTGTTTAAACTAGATCCAGTTAAGTATCCAAGTGAGCTGAATAAAAAATAAGAGCAGTCCATTGTGACTGAACATTAAATTTTTTTTTTTTTTTTTTGAGAGGATAAAATGAGTGAAAATATTGAATATTCCTGTTTTCTTTAACTTTCGTATCTGCCTTAGATCCTTTGTCAGGGTTTTCATCTTTGAATTCCTAAAGAGCCTCTTTTTATAAGCTCAGTTCGTTGACAAAGCTTGAGTCATTCAGATACAAGATTACTTATACCTCCATTCTTTTTGGTCCAATTTTATATACCATCTTGGCTCTTGACTACTTTTTTAGTAGTTGTCTTTAAGCTGATGGCATGGATTCACTTGGGGAAATCTTTTTTTTTATTGATAAAGAAAATGAAAACAATACATATTTACATGTAAAAAATATCGTCCATATAAGAAGGTTGCTGAGAAGATAAGTCCATCAATTCTTTTGATGGTAAAGGCAGTTTCTTGACCTTATTCTCCCATAAATAAACACATCCTACATGGCGTGTATTGTCAGGAATAGTAGCTAGGCATATCACCATGCCTATGGCTCTTGTTTGACTACATTTACATGCTAGCAATCGATAGCAAACTTGATCCTGGCGATTGTAAAGTACAGGGACACAGTTGGGTAGTTGGTCAATATCCAAAGGACCGCCTAATAATTCAGAGGAGATTTGCCAATAGGAAGAAGGGTTGATGAGTTGCACAACTGGAGGCTTGTTGTAACTATCTTGAAGGCATTGCAGTTGAGTATCACATACTGACGAGAGTAGAGTATCTGGACCACATATCAGCTCTTTTAGACAGTATTTGCAAGATATGATTGTATTTGGCACAAACAGTTCTGTCTTCTGTGGGACTGACTGTACATCTTGCATGCTTTCATTTGTGTCTTGTTCTGCGTGTGGCGCTATTTTCTGTTCAATATGCTCTATTTCTTGTTGTATGTCTTGCTCTATTTTCTGTTCTACGTGTTGTTCAATATGCTCTACGTGCTGCTCTGTTTTTTCTTCGATGTGTTCTGTTTCTTTCTTAATGAATACTTCTGCATCTATTTCCTTTTGTATAGCTTCCATCTCTCTCTGTATGTCTTCTAGACCTTTTTCTATGTCTTGGTCTGTATCTGCTCGTTCTTTGTCAGCCAATGATTGCTCCGATGTCTCTGATGGTCCAGGAGCCAGAGTGTTATTTGTTGGTAATGGACTTGCATTATTTTGTTGAGTGGTCTCTCCTTGCATTTGTCTTGCCACAAACTGCTTTAAGCTTGACATAGCAGCCAAATAACTTGAATGGACTCTGAATTGTCCTTTCACCCATTTCGATAATCCATTCATGACTTCTTGTTGGCAAAACCGCTCTTCCAGCAAAATAATGGCACCCCAATCATTTCGATGTCGAATACATCTTCCCAGTGCTTGATTGATCGCACGATAGGCTTGTGCCGAATACCATTCTTGGCCCGAAAGAACGTCTTTTTGCCGCATTCTTCGTTTATTGTTGTATTCTCGCTTGAGCTTTACTTCCAGGTCTTTGACACCAGGATAAGGGATACCCAGAGTGACCACAGCACGGCAATAATGATCACTAAAATCAATCCCCTCACTGACCTTACCTCGAAAGACAGCAAAGAAGATGGCTCCGTCTCTCTGGTCTGGATCATGGCCTGCGACAGCAGTGTCAATCTGGTGGTAAAAAGTGTTCAAAATGCTCTCAAATTCTTTCTTGTCACTTCCCTTGGGTTCAGACAACACCTGTTTTCTCTGTTGAAGCTTCTCCATCACACCTGTCAGTTTCCATCGGTCTATCAGGATATCCATCGCTTTATAAGAAGGCAGGAAGCACAAAACACCATAAGGTACTGTCTGTACAATCTCCAACAGCGTATCGCCTACTTCGTCTTGATAGTAAAAGGATTCCAAGTTACTATAGATGCCTTTCAATTGAATACGATTGGGTCCTTGAGGTATAGCCCTACCCATACTTGAGAAGACTGGATGACATGATTGGCCTCTAATTGTCCTGTAAACTGAGTCCCTAATTCAGAAGCAAATGTGTTGAGAGGAGAGAGCGTACCACTGGTCAAAATAACCGAGCGCGTATCTTGGCTCATCTGGCGAAAGATGATACCAGGATTAAGACACCAAAACGCAATACGATGGACCCATATGGGGCCTTGCTCTTCTTGCTCTTCTTGTCTCCTTCTTCTCCTTTTCTTCTTGGGTTTCAGTCTTTCCAATGTCTTTGTCAAGACCATTTCGTAGTCTTCGGCATAATGATGATTTTCGTCACAGAGAAACCCCAAGACCATAAATAAGCCTTGGACAAGCCTTAAAGAACCATTGCTTAGGCATTGTAAGCGAACCACACGATGCTCTGCATTGTCTTCTTGGTTCAAAATATCGTCTGCATCCGACTGGAACACAGCGCCTGTTTCTTTTTTACGTTCTTTTTCTTTTCGGACCAGGTCAGCATGAGCCACAATCGTCTTGTAAGCAGGCTGCAGGGTTTCTCGAAACGTAGTAGCAGAAATATTGATCTGGTGTAGTTTTTGCATCATGGCAGACCCTGCCCAACTAAAAACATCGTAAGCAATCTTGATGTGTCTAAGAGAACTTACTGTCCTGATTGCTTTTCATATTCCTTAATTGTATATTCAGTAGATGAATCCGTAAAGAAATCCTTGATATTAGCCATTACCATTTCAATAATCGTATGCGCTTCTTTTTCACCACCATATTTCACTACAAGTTCTAGTTCTTTCAACAAGACATCTACTGCATTTTCATCTATTTCAAAAGAGCCCGCTGATCTTGAAGCATCTTCTATATTATGAGCTAATAGACAATAAGTCAATCAATAACACTTAAGGGACATTACATACCTTCATCTAGAATCACAATACTGTCTTTCAAGTGAATATCCATAGATGCTCGAATAACTGGATCAATTATATAGTTGTATGGACAAAAGACGACTTCTGCAAACTCATACATCTTTCTTGAAGCAAAATAAGGACATCCATGCACTTCATTTCCTAGTTCAACTAAGTCTTCAATATCCCAAATGCGATTATCTTTGTCTGCAGCATGAGCAATAAGTTTGCGTGTCTTGTGAAAGTAAGAACAAGCATTCTCGTCTAACAACTCAGTACTTATTTCGTATTTAGTGATTGGGGTTCATGTTATTATCTGTCTTTACCAATCATCATTCTTTGTAGTGGATTTGGATACTTTAGAATGAACTTGAAAAAAAAAAAGAATAAATAAGGATGTAACCATCTCTCAACTTACTGCAAAACTGCTCTCTACTACCAAGAATAGTGGTTCCTACAAGAGGAAAAAAGTTAAGTATCTTTTGAACAAGATGATTGACTTTACTTGCTGTATAGCGTGTATTGCTTCTTAATTCTTGTACTAACTGAGTAATTTGTTTATGGCTAATAACACAATCAGTCCATGGGGGCTATGAAGCACAAGAACACATTACGTTCGACTACCCACAAAGATCTTTGGTATCTTTGTAAACTCCTTCTCAGCCTTTTCTTCTTCTAGTTTAATTACATTCTCTATTAATTCATCATCATCATCATCTTCTTCTTCTTGAACTACATTTGTCATCAATGGTTGAATAATAGGCTGTTGAAAATCATCATCCATATCCATTGTTATTTGCTGTGTCTTGATCTTTTTGCTGGGTATTTCTTCAAAGACTGGTAGTGATCTTTTCTCTATTTGTTTTACTTGTTCTTGTAATTGCTTTTCTGTCTCTTTCTTTTCTATTTCCATCTTTTGCTTTTTTATTTGGTTTTCTCTCCAAGCTAGATATACAATATCATGAGCCAGTTTTATACAAATACAGTCTTACTTGCCTAAAGCTGCACAAAGAAGAGCCAATGATTTACCAGAGCCTGTATGAATGGGATATAAGCAAAGTAGGTGCATAGATCAAGACATACCTGTAGGACTCTCTAATAAAGCATTCTCTCCTCTATTTAATGAACGAATGATCTATTTGTTCAGTTAATACGAGCTCATCATCATTGTACATGCCTTATTCATCATTTGTATCTGAGCAGCATCTAAGAGTACGATAAAGATCATTGTGCCGTAGTTGAACTGGACTTACATGGCTTTAAAGGAAAGTCGATCCTTATATTCTCAATCGTGATTGCTTGTTCTTGACCAAGAGCATGTACTTTTTTTGGCTTGGCTATAATGGTCTTGTCTTTTTTGTTCTTTTGAGCAAATCGAGACCAATTAAACTCATTCGACATGTGAAGGAAAGAAAAAAAAAGTATAATGCCGCTGAGTTTCTTTCTCGCTTTTTCTTTATGATTTACTCTTTATACATTATCAACAAGGCAGGTGGTCTTGTTTATCAAAAAGACTTTACGAAACAACTAGAAAAATTGTCTAGTAATGAATATTTAGTTTTGGCTGGTACATTTCACGGGTAAGAGCTCATAATTAATAAGTCCAGAGGATGTTCATCAAACCCATAGTGTTCATGCGATTACATCCAAGATTTCCCCCATCCATAACTCATCAGGTATAGAAATGTTGGAAGCAGAGAACTTTAAGCTGTATTGTCACCAAACACTGACAGGTAAGAAATGTTTGCTTGGTACCAATAAGAAGCTCATATCATTCAGGCACCAAATTTTTACTTATTACTGCACCTCAGCTTAACAGTGTGGATAGCTATATGAAAAAGATCTATGACATCTATAGTGATTTCGTTATGAAAAATCCTTTCCATACACCAGAAATGCCCATTCGTTCAGACCAATTTGATCAATCCTTATTGAAGTTTATTAATGCACAAGGCAACTAAAATGATTTCAAAAGCTTCGACTCAAAGAATCCAAACAAACTTTAAGCTTTACAAAGAATTTCAAATAAAGAATGATACTATATAAATCCCTCTTTATTTTTACACAAGAAAACACACTTCAATATGAAATCAAGTTTGTTGTTTTTACCCTTCTTATTGGGATTTATTTTGGCTGAAGAAAAGAAAGTTGAATTTGCTGGTTTGGGTTCAGATGCCCTTGGTCAAGAATTTTATCCTGCTGTAGCTGTGGCTCAATTTACAGGTCCTAGTATTATAGGTGAATTCAACTTTTACCAAGATGCTTCTGGTGAAGTTACAGCTACAGGTGCATTCCAAAAGGGATTGAAACCAGGTCAGCGTTATCGATTTAGATTCCATGAAGGCACCAATTGTGATAGACTGGGTGAAATGTCCTTGGAACATGAATTCACAAATCTAAGAGCTATACAAGCGGGTGGAACTGCGCCTGTTCAAGAAAAGATTGATCTTGCTCATTTGACTGGTAATACTGGTTTGATTGGATCACCTTGGGTCTTGTCTGATGGCTCTCGCGATTTGGCTTGTGTTGTGCTTAAAAAGACATAAGATTTATTGAATAAAAAAAAAGTTTTTAAATAGTATGAGGATGAGCATTGAAAGGTGACCAGATACCGCGCACACTCTCTGTAGTGGAAATCACTGGTTTCTTTGTTAAGTTCTTTAATTTCTCTCCACTAGAATCTCTCAAGAGTTGGACTTTGGTATTGATTTGTCCTGGTGTCATATTACGAGTACAAATGACTTTATCGCGGCCATTTACTATATTGGCATCAATAAGTGAAAGACAATAGATAGAAATGACTTACAATAATAGCCTCGAATAACAGGGTGATGAGCTGGTCTAGGTTGAACAACAACTTCGATTTGAGGATGTTCTTGTGCAAATTTAGCGAGATCTTTCTTGATGTATTCTCTAATCAATATGAGTATGCTTATTGTACTCCATCACAACTTACACCATGCCTTTGTTGCTTCCCCATTTTTCACAGTAGTTGAAAACCATTTTACGACATTGGAGCACAAATGCACCAGTACCATTGTTGGTTCTTGGTAAGACTTTGCTGGCAATGGCTGACATTATGTTATTTGTACAGGGTTAAGAAAAAAAAGCAAGAATTGCCCTTTAATGCCAGCCGGAGGATTGACACAGCGACAAGCCACCTTGCTCAGATGGGGTTTCAATTCAATGCAACGCTATTAGTCACGTGATGTGCTTACATATGTCCTAAGAACAAGAACTCATCTTGAAAGTGGCTCTAATCAACTCGATGCTTTAAGTAAAGTACAAGAATTCAGTAAAATCAGACTGTTGATTAAATCTGTGTATGATTTGGCGTGTAAAATAGCATATACCGTTTTACGTGCGTCGAGTGCACTTTCAGGGCGTATAAAAGCATGATGTACAAAAACTTGTCTACTGTTTCAGTGTGGTCAACTATAAAAAAGATAAATAGCCCTCCCTTTTTTTTCCTACTTTATTTTTTATACAAAATGCTTCTTTCTATTATCATCTTCAACGAAATACTTTCACGCAAAACTGGTCGCTTTTTAGAGTCTACCATAGAGTGAAAGGCATGTTCCTCAACGACAAGCGTATATGGAAAAAGATTGCATTATTGAGAACAAGCAATATACTTGAGTTCAAGCTCATTTGCTCCTTTGTGTTCGCTCGTTTGTCTGGTCTCTTCGATAATGTTGAGCCATTAAAGTATGTGAACCATTTATTTGACATAGTTGAATTTACTGATTTTCTTTTTTGTACTAAAGACCAACAGCCAGACTACCGTAACGATCATTACGATGGGGCAGGGAGGCTATTTTTCTCTGCTTTCTACAGAGAAATTAAAGCAAAAAATTCCATCTCTACTGCAAAGCACTTGATATTTAAGGACACTTACCGCTTGGGGGTGTTTTGGAAAAAAAAATGCCATCAAGCGGTTTAGTCCGAGAATGTCATGTTAGCACAAGTCGTTAAGGCTTTTTTTTATTGAACTTGTGCTGAGGGTAAAATTTTTTGCCCTATGCTTGAAATTACTTCTTTTGTTCTCCCTCTCTCTTTAAATAAGTCTGACCTTTCTTTTGAACTACTGGTCAAACTTGCCAATATTGTGCAAATTTATGAAAATAAATGCATGGAAGCAAAAGAAGAAGCTGATGATGAAGAAAAAGAAAGAAATAGAACTTCACACTCTCCTATTTTGCCTTTCAGCTTGGTTGAAGAACTCCTTGGAGACAACAAAGCAACAAAAAAGTGATGCTGCCATGTGTGTAGCCTGTAAATAAACTTATTGTATATCATAAAAACAAGAATTGAATGTAATCCATATATCAAAATCATACATACTTTGTGACAACTAAATATCTTTTAATTCCATTTGGCGCACTTGATATGCTTTTGAGCCTTTTTCAAGTACCAAGCTTATGATATGATCTTGACTTATAAATTGACTTTCCTCACAAATCATTTTTGAGTAAAATTGATAAGCATAATAACACCAAAAGTGTATTGGTAGGTGTTTATCAGAATAAATCATCATTTTTACCTTCTAATTCCCTTTTTTTTTGAATCTCCTCTATTTGAGCATGCATAAAAGAACATATGTATGCAAAAATACAGCAAGTTTTGAAAAAGTCAAAAAATCGTCAGTTTGCCTTACAATCCCCTTTACAAATCCTCAATTGCCTACCGGCTAACTTTGAACCATACCTGCAAAGATTTGTTCACAATGATTGTTCAATCTTCAGTTTCAACAACTCTGGGCTCCGACAAATGTACTCACGAAATCTTCCTGATATCCAGTCATTGCCGGCTAGCGTAGATACTGCCCGATTTAAGCGCTTCCTTCGAATCTCAATCCCAGGTCGCACTAGAAATCTCTGGTATTGCCTTTTACACAACAAGATCTCTTGCAAGTCGATAACTGCCGCTATCTTGCAACTACCAGATGATAAATGTGGATTTTGTGGTCTAACACAAACTCCCGAACACATGTTGTTTACATGCACGGCCAACAAAGACATCTGGACAAATGCTATCAATTTGTTCTTCGAGCACCCTTCTCGTTTCTCTCTTTCCCAGCTTTACCTAGATGTAATAGCTTTGAACATTGATCATTACCAACTACTAGATACACATCTTCGCCTTAATTGATTTGAAGTTCTCTCTGCTGTCTTCTCCTCTATTTGGAACGCGTACTGGCGCCACCACTTTGATGCTCGCTTTTATGATGGTCAAGTTATACTCGACGACACCATCAAAACTATACGAAAATTATCTGCTTTCAAATATTTGTAAATTCTGCCTTTTTGAGACAAGTCACTGGTTCCTACACTTGTTCTCTTTCCTTATATCCCCCTTTTTGATGAGTTTAATAAAATTAAATCTTCATCCATAAAAAAACAAATCTTCAATTTTCATTATTTTGCGATTTGTGATTGATAGAGACGTTGTAGATATAATATATCTTAATACGAATTGGTTTTCTAGGTCTATAAAACATACTCAAAGTGCTAGTTTTGCAAAAGTACTACAAAAAATATACACTAGGGCTCAAAAACACAAGGCACATTTTGAATGATAGCTCGCTATCCTGATATCTGATATGCTACATCCTTTACATCATCTGATGCGCCTTTTTTATATCTACCAATTGTTTAATTCACTTTTTCGGTAACTCTTCGTTTTTAGACACTTTTGGTCCATCATTTCCCTTAAATTTCTAAATCTCTATTTTTCTGATTTTAGTTTTTAACGAGTAGTTCTTGTTTCGAACAACAGTCACAAATCTAACAAATTTTTTTAATGGGTGAAATAAGTGGGTGCTTTTAGCTGTTAAGATGAATGCCGTTCATATTGACTCAATTTTTCCAGTTCTTTCTCGATCTGATCTACAATGTAAGATCTCTTATAGAATCTCGGTAGATACTAATCTCTCTTCCTCTAGGTCTCGTTTAATTGTCAAGAACTTACCTAAAGAACTATCAGAAGAAAAGTTTCGTGAGCACTTTGCTAAAAAGGGCGAAGTTACTGATGCTAAGCTTATAAAGACACAGTAAGTGATATTCAAAAAAGCATTGTTTTGTATACTTATTTTATTCAGGTGGGGTACTTCTCGTCGATTTGGTTTTATTGGCTACAAGAGTGAAGCTGCAGCTGAACAGGCCATTCAATATTTTAATAATACATTTATCAATACGTCTCGCATTACGGTTGAAAAAGCCATTGCTTATGGATCAGAAAATTTGCCTCGTGCCTGGAGTAAATATTCAGAAGGATCCTCTGCTCATGAGAAATTAGTGGGCAGTAAAAAGAAAAAGGACGAATTTGCAGTGGAAGAAACAGACGCCTTTCGTGACAAACAACGCAAAGACAAGGAAGAATTCATTAGTAAACTCAATGCTGACAAAAATGACCCTAAATTAAAAGAGTATCTGGATGTCATGACTTCTCGTACGAAGAGTAAGACTTGGGCAAACGATGAATCTGCTGTTGAGCAAGAAAAGAAAAAGGAAGAAGAAGAGAGCACGACAGTCCAATATGCCGGTTCAGATGATGAGTTGTATGATGATCTTCCAGCAAAGAAAGATTTGTCTGATGAAGAAGAACAAGATGTCGTTATGGAAGAAGCAAAACAAGAAGAAAAAGAAGAAAAAACAGAAGATCAACAAGACAGCAAGCCAATAGAAGAAGAGAAAGTGCCTGAAAAGAAAGAGGAAGATCCAAAAGAAAAGATTCAAGATACAGGCCGTCTCTTTGTCCGTAACTTATCTTATGCTTGTACAGAACAAGATCTTAAAGATCTTTTTGGTCAATACGGTGCATTATCTGAAGTTCATATGCCCATTGCCAAGGATACCAAAAAATCAAAGGGATATGCTTACATCCTCTACTTGCTTCCTGAACAAGCAGTCAAGGCTTATGAAGCTTTAGATATGAAAGATTTCCAAGGTCGTCTTCTTCATGTACTTCCTGCAGATGAAAAGCCACCAAGCAAAGATGAAGAAATCTTAGGTTTAAACGGCACCAAATTGAGTGCTGTCAAAAAAGAAAAAGAAAAGAAACGTAAAAATCTTGCAGGCAATGATTTTAACTGGAATTCCCTTTACATGAGTGTAAGTTTAAACAAAGATGATGATAAGAGGCTTATGTGTGTTTATTTAGTCTGATGCTATTGCTGAATCTATTGCTGACCGTCTTGGTGTTTCCAAGTCTGAAGTCTTAAACCCAGATGCTAATAATGTTGCTGTTCGTTTAGCTTTAGCAGAGACACAGATTGTGAATGAAACCAAAGAGTTTTTTGAAAAACATGGTATTGTACTTGACACATTCGGTAAAAAAGATAGAAGTGAGACTATCATTTTGGTCAAGAACATTCCATTTGGTACTACTGAAGAAGATTTACGTGAATTGTTTGGCAAACATGGTGAACTGGGTCGTGTACTTATTCCCCCTGCCAAGACGATTGCTGTTGTCGAATTTATGGAACCTAGTGAGGCTAGAGTAGCCTTTAAAGCCTTGGCTTACCGTCGTTACAAGGACTCATTGATCTATCTTGAAAAAGCACCCAGTGGTCTATTTAAAGATAAATTTGTGCGTGATAGTACTGCACCTGTCAAAAAAGCAGAAGAAAAACCCACTAGTGCTGCAGCATTATTGGAAACCTCTTCTGATGATACAGACGATATCACTACACTGTTTGTCAAGAACCTGAATTTCAATACAAGCCCTGAATCACTTCAAAAGGCCTTCAAGAGTATCACTGGCTATCGATCTTCTCGTATCAATGTCAAGCCTGATCCTAAACATCCCGGTAAAACCCTTAGTATGGGCTTTGGTTTTATCGAATTTGATACCAAATCCAATGCTCAAAAAGCATTGCATGCCATGCAAGTAAGTAAAGAGAGTAGCTAGAAACAGTGATTGACATGCGTATCCTATTAGGGCTATAAATTAGACGATCATGCATTGGAACTGAAGCTTTCTCACCGTAAAGCAGAACCCAAATCAAAGAAATCCAAGACACCAGATACAACAAAACTGGTTGTACGAAACGTACCATTTGAAGCAACGGACAAAGATTTACGAGAACTCTTTGGGTAAGATACAGAATAGCAATGATTTATGTTTCTAACTCAACGTAGTACTTATGGTCAATTGAAGTCACTCCGTATGCCAAAGAAATTCAATGGAGGTCACCGTGGTTTTGCTTTCCTTGATTTCCTTACAAAGCAAGAAGCAAAGAATGTGTATGATAACATGAGCAATATTCACTTGTATGGCCGTCACCTTGTACTAGAATGGGCTCAAGAAGAAGATAATGTGGATTCACTAAGAGAGAAGACTGGCAAGCACTATTCTAAAGAAGAGAGCATTGGTGGTCGTGTGAATAAAAGACAAAAGGTGGATTTGGATGGTGATAATGATGATGCCATGCTTGAATAAGAATAGATGTACATTTTTATATTAGACAGAATAAAATATATTTGATACTACTTATTTGTTTCAAACATATATGCTACTTTACATTGGTGCAACCTTGTGTTTAAATAAGTCAAAAAGAATGTATATAGATATAGCCTATATGTGCATTGACCTATCCAAGCTTTTTTGTGCTACTTTTTCAGAAGAGGGCTGTCAAAGAGTAAGGCACATTTTTCTGTATCCGAGCTTGTGTACTAGCCCGGAGTTAAGAGCGAGAAGTTCTATCAAATACGGAAGTTTTATTTTTTTTTTTTTATTAATAAATCACACGCAAAAATAGTTTAATTTTAACAATGATATTGATGGATATTTTCAGACTGTGCTCTATTGTTGACCTTGTCTGTACTACATGTAATTAGCGCTATTATAAATCATCAATCGTGATTTCGTGCCTCTATCAATTCGCTGATTAAATTCAGAGTTTTTGATGAATAAGGTATAAATTTTGTGATTTTATCATTTTCTGTTGTGTATCCTTCCTTTTTGAAACGTGTTGCGATCTTCTTCACCTTTTTACTATATTTTCTTTTTCTTTCTCTCTTTCTGTTTTTTTTCAATAGACCTTTTTTCCTCTTTTTCTTCTTCCTCTCCTTTCCCTCCTCATTCTTGAGAAAAAGCTACTACTTTAACAGCTGTTGTCAAGTAAATGAGAACAAGTGCAAAACTCATTGGAAATCTCGTTCATCGAGTTTCTGTTCGAGTAAGTTGACCTGAGAAGAAAAGGTTGTCTCTCACACATATTTTTCTTAGTTGCCTTATAAAAGTGGTCGAAAAATCGAAGCTGTAGAAGAAGACCCCATTGTCAAGCAAACAGGTACATAAAAAATGACTTTATTTTTACTTACAATGGCATTTTAGTTGCTGCTATCATTGAGTTATCCAAATACAGACTAGCTATCGTTGTCAATTCTTTAGGTTATGTTTTAGAAAGCATCTCCAAAGTAAGTTTATTTTCGTGAGACATGTATCACCTTATGTCTTCTTATTATCCAAAATATAGACTCATCAAATTTATGAACAAAATGTACCTGTCGATATTATGCAATCCAAATTGTTTGTGCTTCGACTATTATCAGCATGTACACAACATCATTGGCAACATTGTCGAGAGCTTGAGAAAGAAAAAAATCCTGATGCACCACCCAGTTCATTAAGAGTAATTTTACCACCCTTGGATGCAGCCCTGATTTCCTTTATTCTCGTCTTGATGAGTCGATATGTCACACAATACCACTTGATTGAAGAATCTTCTAATCTCGAACAAAACAACACGCCCCAGCCCTATATCGACTTGAGCGAGAACGAGAATGGATACACATACGAGCAAATCAAGCTTAGTTTGATCACAGATATCTACAAGGCATCCTCCAAGATTCTGTATTACATTAGTGCTAGTAATTGGGATGCTTGTTATGCCAAGATTAAAAATGCTGTGCTCAGTCTGGATTCAATCAATGGTGCTTCGGACGAGATTCCTCCTGAAATTCGCATGTTGGAAAGTAGTTGTTTGACAAGAGATAGATTGTTTACTATCTTTTCAGGTACACAAGCATATTTAAAAATGGAGCGGTTGTTGACACCCATTTCTCAATAGAACTCAGTCCCTATTATTTACATATGAGGCATGAAGGCAAACTCCTGTTTTCAAAGATGATACGCAGAGCCATATGGAAGTGGATTGAGGAATTCCCTTCAGAATTTGCACAAGTCTGCACAAGCAATGGACGCCTTCCTTCAGGTTCTGAAGTCTTGTTTGATATGTGTAACTCAACGGCTGATAACTCGAGAAAGAAGGCAATTCTTTGGCCCCTTCAGACCATCCTACTTGTCTTGTCACCTGAATTGCTGCTTCAGGCATTTTTGGATACATCACCTACGCACAACCGACGTGCCAATTTCCTCAGCTTGCTTAGAAAATCATTACAGACAACAAGAAATGTTGACATTGCTGCTGTGTGTTATGTGGATCTCTGTAAGGCAGCCACATTCGTGCCTCCTGACAATGACAGCATGTTGCGTTCAATTGCAGCTGATGTGGAAGCCGAACTGAAGGAAAAGGTCTGGGACTTTAACAAAACACCCAGTTCTGAGTCTACGTTAGCCATGCTGGGTTACACGATCGATCAGCAGAAACTAACTACCGACTTTTTGCTGGCTCACCTTCGTCTTCATCCTGAAGATATACTGAAGACCATCGTGCCTTCTTGTGTTCCTGAAAATGTACCTATATTATACAAGTTGGCGTTGGTCAAGACATGTTTGATCATTGTACAAGATGAGAATCACCTGCCTTGGAATCCGAAAATCTCAAGCATGTATAATGGTCTATGCACACCATTGCGCAAATTGTTCCTTCAGACCACCAACATTGATTTGAATAGCAGTGCCATTAGTAAAAAGAGAGAGACACATAGTAACCACAATAACCGGGTTGAATTACTATTGGATATGTTGCGATTGTTCCGTATAGATCCACAACTTGCATTGCTTGGTGATGATGAAGATCGAGTAGAACAAAACAGTGCATTTATGTCTGGATTAGCCACATTGGTTCAACATCCTGTTCGACGCATCCGCCAAGAATCTTTAGAATTGCTACTCAAAATGCATCATGTAGAGATTGTGAATAGTTGGGGTCCTACAGAGAATGCATTGGCTAATTTCTGGCAAGTATCTTCACCTGTGTTGTTGAACATTGCCCGACAGATTCTGGATTGCAAGTCTAATGAAGAATACCACAAAACTTTATTACAACTATTGATCAGATTATTCAAGACAAGATATCAATTTCTCAAGACGAAAAAGGTAAATTCTCATAAAGTTAATTTGTATCTCATGTTTATTATATATAGGCATATTTATCCTCAAATCCTTTTAGTATGCGAGAAAGGCTGCAGGCAGCTATTGCAATTGAAATTGCCTTATTAGTCTCTTTATGTTCACCTAACAAAGAAATTTGTGATGAATCTTTAAAGTCAATTGGCCAATTTTGTAGAGAAGCTCGCATTGTCGACCTGAGTGATGAGGAGCAAGCCTATTCTTTATCTATCTATTCTAATTTAAAGGCCTATGAAGACTTATGTGCAGACGATTCTCGATTTGTGGGCCGCAAAGCTCAACAGAAACGAATCCGCAAATACATTCGTATGTTTCCTACACATACACCAGGTAACATGGCTGCTTGGGAAGAAGCATGGATGCGATGGAAACAACTCACTGTGTTGATTAATCGTCTTTCTGATGAAAACGCCGAAGACAATTCATTTGAGACCAACAGTACTTCAATTAGTGGCATAAACAGTTCTGGAACCACTCTTGTCTCTAGTAACAGTACCATCAATAGTAACAGCAGTAACAAAAAGCTGCCTTTGCCTCGAGCTGGAGGTGATAAAATGATGCGCAATGTGAGTGGTACATCAACACTTGTTAGTGTTCCCAAATCACAACAGAGCCTAGATTTTTGTGAAGAGAAAGCGATTGAATGGCAAAACTATACAGGTTTCTTGGCCGCTTTGGGTAGCTGTTGTTTGACAGATTCAGACGGTAGCAAGCCTAATTCTATTGTTGAACAATCACACAGAGCGTCTTCACCAAGCGAGCCTTCCATGATGGTTGACCGATTTATTAGTGATATGACAGACATGTTGATTTCTGATAATGTGCGTATACGTGAAGGTATTAAGGACATTATTGGTAATGATCTTAGTCCTGCACTCTATGTCAGTTTGTTCCGTCATCTTGAGGTACATATGAACCGATTCTTTGATTCCAATGGCGATGCTATCCGTAGTCCTCAAAACAAACTGTTCGTCGAGCAAGCAGTTCTCTCTCTCAAGCTAATTTTGGACCGACTTGTAAATCCTTCTGATTGCTTATTGAACATTGACTTTAGTGTCCTAATCAACAAATTTGCTGACTATTTGAATGGTCTTCCCAATACGTACATTACAATGCGTATCAAGATCAAAATGTGCTTTTTAATTGAAACTATCATGCACAAAAAAGAACAAGTCATCATTCGAGATGAGATGAGACTTCGTAACAAGTTGTTGGAAATCATTGTAGAATGGACAAGCGATTTTGCCATAGTAAGTTGAATCGAGATATATATATATATATATATCAACATGTAACTCATGATGTTGGTAGCAACGAAAGCCTGTTGAAGCAGGCCAACATGTAGATCGTCTACAAAAGGATTTGGACCAAGCTTGTCTCAAAGCTATTGTCAGTCTACTTGAACAGCTTCCACTCCAACCTTCTGAAGCCGTGCGTCCTGCCGAAATCTCTCAGATTAAAAGCAAAATGTTCCTCAAATACTTTGCTTTCTTTCGCAAATTCTTAGACAGATACAAACAGTCAGAGCGTGATGTCAACAAATTATCTGTTAGCACCAGTGCGATGAATGGTCAGCTTATGAGTCCAAGGGATTCTTCGTTCAAACCTCTTGCTTCAGGTAGCACAGGCGGACCCAGTTCTGAACCTTATACTGATGTTGGACAGATGAAGGAGCTTACCGTATTAGCCATGTCACACTTACTTAGCGCCAATGTAGATGCTGGCCTCAAGTATTCTTTATCGATGGGTTATGATGAAGATCAAGAAGCCCGTAAAGCATTTATGCAAGTGTTGACTAATATTCTTGATCATGGCATTGAATTCGAAACATTGGCAGAAAATGTTATGACAGATAGATATGAAAAACTCATCGATGTAAGTCATGTGTTCTAGTTTTGTTCTCTAATTTTAGTTTTAGATTCTTGTCGATGCGGATATGGAGATTGTCATGTCCTTGTGCGAAGTTTGCCCTTCTCAAGACACCACAGATGTTGCCGAAATCTTACTCATTTGCTTTGAATCGCGTGGTAAAGTAATTTCCTTATTGAAGGCTGTTGTACAAAGAGAAATTTCTTTAACAGGTAACTATATATTCAACACAAACATTAGACTCATACGGTAATTTATAGAACAAGAAGCAACTCTGTTCAGAGGCACAACCATGGCCACACGCATCTTGTCTATTTTTGCCAAATTGTCATGTCTAGATTATGTTCGTATCACATTGCAGCCAGCGATGGAAGAAATCAATGCATTGCCAGACGATCAGTTGACTTGGGAACTTGACCCTACTAAAGTGGGTTCAGTAGACGAAATCGCAAGGAATAAGCGAAATGTAGTAAAAGCAACTGAGATTTTTCTGAATGCTATCTGTGGATCAGTAGATAATGCACCCAAGTAAGAGAAGATAGACAATGCTTATAGGCTACATGCTAACAAGATAATAGGGTCTTCCGTGAGGAATTATCATTGATCAGTGAAGCTGTCAACTCCCGTTTCCCTGAAGCCAAGTCGACTGCTGTAGGTGGCTTTGTGTTCCTGAGATTATTTGGTCCTGCTATTTTGACACCTGAACAAGCAGGTTTTGCTAAACAAGCATTGCCCAAAAACACCAATGTTCGCAAGATTCTACTCCAAGCAACCCGTATCATGCAAAATTTGGCAAACAATATTCTGTTTGGTTCTAAAGAAACACACATGATTGTGTTAAACGATTTCTTGACAAGCAATATTTACAAAGTAACGAGTTTCCTGAGAGCCATTTCTACAGTGCCTGCTGGTATGGAAGATGCGTCTTCCGCCACTTTACGTATGGACCAATCTGGTTATGTTCGTCTACACAAGTATCTGTCTGACAATATGGAGCGCATGACACGCGATTTGACAAGCCGAAGGCTACTCAAGGGATCTTCAGATCAATCTCTCCTGGGCTGGAAACGCACACTTGATCGCCTCTCCAACCTTCTTGCTCAATTAGGTACTCCTTCTGAGATCTCAGGCTCTAGTGTCTCTTATGCTCGCAACTACACTGTAGCCAACAGCAATCATATTTACAGCGAATTCATGCGTCGTAATGGTCACCGTGATGTGACACCTATCAATGGTGCCAACATGTTCTATAAAGGTGGTAATTCCAAAGGAGGTCGCCCTGTCTTTTACATGGTGTGTCGTCATTTAGATGTAGATGAAACTGATTTTGAGCTTTTAACATACTACATGTTGCGTGTGAGTTACAGGAATGTACAAAACAAAACTTCTCATTTATTTTATTTGTAGGTAATGGAACCTTATCTTGGCCAGCCATTTGAATTCTTGTTCGATCTTACTGAATTTACCTCGAGTCGTTCTATACCTATCAATTGGTTCACTCAATTCTTCCAGCTTGTGTTTAGTGAGATGAACGATTATCTTGTCACACTTCATTTGTATAACCCAACGGTGTTTATGGCAAAGCGTATTCGACAATTACCTCGCGATGTTGTCAACAAATTGGTCAAAAGAGCTCGTTTCTATACTTCTTTAACCGAACTCTCTGAATTCATTGCTCCTGCTAATATCAAATTACCTAAAGAAACACGTAAGTCAAATGAATATATTACATCCAACTCATGTCAATGAATATAGTTAATATGGAGAGAGAGACTTGTGTCACTGTGTCTCCTGTTTCGAGAATCTCAAACCTTAAATCCTCTGTGCCCATTACAGTCAAAATTGGTCCTGAACACATTCAGCTTATTACAGTAAGAAACCCTAAAAAAAGATCAGCCGATAATTTACTGTGTTCTTTTTTTAGATAAAGAAGCAAGAAATCATTAGTAACTTGAGTACTGTGTATAGAGATGTACTTCACATTTCAGATATTGAAGATGTTGTTTCACTGCCTTCTGTCAAGCCTGAAAATGGAGGTGAGGTTTCTATCAAGTATGACAGAGGTAAATCTATCATGGTTTTATCTTCAACAAAGCGAGATCTTCTAGTGCAGGTAAGCACAACACTGCTTTTGAATACATTGATCTTTATACTATTCATGTATAGCTTTTGCGTCAGAGTAAACAACGTTATGAAACATCTCAACCTGTTACTACCAACGAAAGATCTGTCAGACCTAGTGATGTGCCTGGACGATTACTTAATATGGCATTGCTTAACATTGGCAGTGAAAACCCTGGTCTTCGATTGACAGCTTATAACTTGCTTTACTCACTCAGTTTATCGTTCAGATTTGACATTGGAAATCAATTGTTAAATGCCAGAGGTAAAAAGAAAAAAGAAAGTGAATAGAGGGCCTTGTAAACTGATTCGTTTATAGATTTGTGTATTCCTTCCAATAGCACAGATTTTATTGTCAGTATCAGCGAAAGTTTAGCACAGTCTGAAATCCATTTGACACTTGAATTCTTAAATGAAGCACTTACAGGTTTACTCAAATGTACTGAACCCATGCGTCAACTGTGTCTTGATTATATGGCACCATGGCTTCGTAATTTAGGCGTCTATGCTCGTCATTCACCCGAAGACCATAAAAAGAACCTTTCCAAGACAAAAGATGTGATCAAGCTATTGATTGACTTGACATCGAGACATCCAGAGGTAAATTATTCGGTAAAATTCATGCTTGTCTCAACTGAGTCGTATAGATATACAAGCATGTCCAAGCCAAAATCTGGAAGACAATTGCAGAAGTAGACGATGTTACCAATCTTGTGATTGAATGCTTTGTTCAATACTCTGTAGAAAATGGCGTTGGATCACCACAAGCAGAAATTGTTGCAGACACACTTGTAACCATGTCGAGTGTCTCAATTCGAGGCAAGGTTATTAGCCGTATGAGAAGAGTGATTGAAAACACATCTGTCCAACCTTGTCGTCACTTGGTTGAACATACTTCATGGAATGAAATTGCTGTTCTTCTTCGGTTTATCCTGATGCTTTCTTTCAACAATACAGGCCCTGTTGTGCCTTGTATTCCCGAGATATTCCATATTGTTTCGTTATTGGTTGTGACTGGTCCCACATTCATTCGATCTTCAGTTCATGAATTGGTCGTCAATACTATTCATACACTCTGTACACTTGGAGTGCCACTCATAGACGATAATATCAAGAAGCTTCAATTCGTACTGAATGATGTCTGCGACAGCAAAAATAGAGTTGCATTTGGTCTCACAAAGCAACATGCCAATGCATTTACAATCACCAAAGAAACAATCACTGATTTTGCAGAAGCGATCGATCTTACATCCTTACAGACTATCGTTCGCCTTTTATTAGATGCCTTGAACTTTGGTGCTCCGACAGTTGATATTGCTAACATGTGGAGAGCAAGATGGATGGGCCTGGTGGCAAGTACAGCATTCTATTTTAATCCTGCTATTCAGCCCAGATCATTCGTTACATTAGGCTGTTTGGCTCAGGATGAAGTAGACGACGATCTAATCTATCAAGTCTTGGTGGCTCTTAAAGGTGCTTTGGCCATTTTTAATGAATCAGACTCCAGTTTGATTGTCAGTATTATGATGTGCTTGAGCAATATTATTGATAACCTACCTGCTGATTCTCGATACTTGTTGCAACTATTTTGGTTGGCTATTGCGCTTGTGCAAGTTGGTCATACAGTCATCTTTCAAACAGCAGTTGAATTTCTACAATCAGTGCTTCGTGCTTTGGACGCAAGAAAACTGTTTGTTCATCGCTCAATTGAACAAGTCTTGTTAGAGGCCAGAATTGAATTGGGTGATGTAGCTGACGAATTGGACAGTGTATGTGGTGTTGACTTTACCAGCTATTTCTCATTTGCAGTTGCTGTTATCCTGTTGAAGGGCTTAAAACAATGTGAAAATAAGGATGTTGTCTTCCAATGTTTGACAGCATTCTTAGAAATTGACTGCAAGCGACCTATGGAGCAAAGTTATATTGAGGCAAAAACACTTGGTTATCTTGCTGGTCTATTGCCATTTGCAGCCAAAGACAACACATTACGTGAATTGCTACGTTTAGCTGGTATCAATGATATGGAACTTGATGGAATTGATTTTGGCACATCGCACACAGGCTTGTTTGAATTGCTAGAAATTCCAGATAACAGTACAGCCCTATTGTTGATTTCACTGTTGGTGACATTATTAAATGCATCTGACAATGAATCTGAACGACTTTTCCTGTACTCCTTATTGGCAGACGCTGCTACTTCTGTTCCTGAAGTGTTTGCTCTTGTGTAAGTTTAGTCTTAAGTTTAGGAATTTTTAATTAATTTTTATCTATTTAGATATGAATCTTTGTTACCTAAAATGAATCAAATGGTCGTAAACAGTCAAAATCAAGAAGTGATTGAAGCCGTCAAAAGTATTCTATTGACAGCATGTTCAGAGCCTGCTTTCATTGCTGTAGGACAAGCTTCAACTGCACACAAGCGCACACAGAAATGGGGACTTGACAATCTAAAGTTCTCATCCCTTGGAGATCCTACTTTTGGCGCTATTAAAACAAATATAGGATTTAATGCCAAATTAGCCAGTAAATTACTTGGTGCTATTACAGACCAACGATAGAATCTATTTTAAATCAATCCTTGTTGTATTCCCCCCTTCCTTTTAGAATTATATATGTATTTTTACGAACTATGTATTGCACAAACATGAAGCAAATAAATGACACAACTAAATAAGCTTACAATTCTGTAACACCATGATAAAGAGAGCTTGTAGGGATAAAGATTATCCTGTAACTTTTCCTTTTGAGCCTTGAAGACTGTAGCAAAGCCACTGACTGCTTTTCTTCCATTTCTAAAGCTGTGATTTTACTCTCCAAGGGTTGTATTCTCTTTCACTCTTCGCATAATATGAATACTTCAAAGCTTCCTCAGTTCTCAACCAAGTTACCTTCTGTCAAAAAATGGTCAAAGGATTTTCGATACAGAAGTGGAAGTGCGCCTCGAGCAACTATTGGCTCGCATGATATCGCAGGTAAAAAACAGAAAGAAAAAATATAGGAATTTTGACTTATGGTAGAATAGGACTCGGCATAAAACAGCTAAACCTCCCCAATGCTCATAAAATGACAGCCGTTGAATTATATCCAGGTAAGAAAATAAAGAAAAGAGTGCAAACTGTGCTTGAATTCATCTTTTTGACAGCAATATTATAGGTTTAGGTGCATGGAGCACAGCATTAAAAGATGTTGGATTTAAACGAGTCATTTCTCTTGAACCACAAGCTGTTTATCATCATTGGATGCAGGCATGTTGGCTCTATTAACATAAGCCATCAAATGCTGACTGTATTATAGGGATTAAGTGTGGAATCAAATGGTGTTGTAGAAGTGCTGAAAAAAGATGGTTATGACTGGGAAACCTATCAAGATCTAAAGGACCCCAAGTATTTGGGTAACTTAGAAAACAAAGATTGGTCAGAGGGTAATATAGCATATGCTTGTAGTATACAATACTGATTTTGTATAGTCCATCCTGAAATCTTGTTCACTGGCACTATTCCAAAAGGCAGCCGAGGAGAACAATTGTTAGCCCAATTCACACAATGCATCATTACCAAAATGGCTATGCACTCAATAGGACGTATTCAAATGGCATTTTGGTTACCTGACCAACTCTACAAAGTAAGTAGTCAAAGTAGTTTGGATTTGTATTGATTGTATTAGAAATTTGTTGCTCCTCCCGCAAATCATACTCGTTGTAAGATGAGTGTGCTTGCAGAAGCATCATCAAATGTCAGCTTAGTATGCTCTACTGAACCAAAAGACATGTATCCTAATGTATGTATAATCGCTGTATTCTATAACTCAATGACTATGTATAGGGCGAATATCATCTTGTTCATGTAGTTCCATTCAAAGAAAGCTTGGTGAAATGCAAGTGTAGAATAACTAATAACCATGTTCTCACATTGTTATCTAGCTGAATGGGATGTGTTTGAATACGTATTGAAGCACTTGTTTGTGATGCAAAAGAAATCGCTGACTCATATGGTCAAGTAAAGTATTGCATTCTTTTTTTTTTTATATATATGGTATTTACATGCTCCTTTAGGACACTAGGCCCTGGTGCAGATATTATCCTTGGAAGATTGTCCTTTGATCCCGATTGTTTAATTGGCCAAATGACAGCATCGCAACTAGATGAAGTAGCTCAAAAGTTTGATGAATGGCCATTAAGGCCTAGAGTTCTTTTTGAAGATGCCTCTGTATTACAATAAAGTTTATTTAACGTCTTTTCCCTTTCTTATTGCCCTTGCCTCCTTCTTGTGAAGCGAGAGCATGTCCAGTATCTTTAATATGACTAAACAATTGATTGCGAGTCTCAAATTGTTCAGAACATACATTACAAGTAGTCTATAGCTCATGTATTTAGTACATACATACATATCTATATATTTTACCTCAGAATTTTCCTCTTTCAACTTCTTCTTCTCTTTACGCTTCTCCCGTTTTGTCTTTGCACTTTCTTTTTCTACAGGTGCATCAGTAGCTTCCACAGGTTCAATTTCAGGCGATTGGGCTCTATTGTTTCCTTTTCTTCTTCTTCTTGATTTTTCTTCTTCTAGTGCAGCAGCCAAAGCACTGACTTCATCAATATTCTCAGGCACTGCTTCTTCATCAAATCCCCAATGAGGTGTCATTTTGTTCTTCCTCTTTTTCTTTTTCTTATCTTTTGTAACGGGTATCATTTCTTCTTGTTCTTCTAATTGCAATTCGTCTAATTGTTCTACCATATCTATAGGAATGCCTGCATCCAAATTCTCGTCTACTTCTTTACCAAATTCAAAATTCTCATCCTCTTCCAGCATTTCTTGTCGCAAAAGCTCCAAATTTTCATTGTGTCTTTTACTAAGTTCATGGCTTGTAAACTGTCTTTCACTTTTATATGCTTTATCACAAACAACACAGTAAAATTCGTCAGCTTGCTCTTCTTCTTCTGATAGGTCCTCTTCTTCATCAAGCTCCTCTTCTTCTACTTGAGCCCATTCAGGTACTTGATATTCAGCCACTTTAGCCTGTAATTCTTGCTTCTCTCTTAGTAAACGTGCTTTATTCTCTGCAGCCACTGCTTCTTTCCTCTTTTGTTCTTCTGCTAAATAAGTCTTAACACGAGGATCGCGCTTCCTCAGGAATTCAGCTAAACTCTACTCTTACATCAATATGCATGTCTTTACATTATATCTCACTTACTCTAACTGTATCATTGTATTCTTTACGGCCAACTTCTCTTGCCTTCTTATTTTCTTTTTCCATTTGTCTTCGTACATATCGATTAGGAGCATCAGATAATCTCCACTTGTCCATCCAAGCAAATGATTTCACAGTACTAAAGTTAGACCAGGCACCATAAAAGTCTTTTACACTATATCCTTCATTGGCGTCTATAAAGGATGTTTCTGCGTTACCAAACGAAGGATAATAAGTGGCAGAATGAATATCATCATCGTCTTCTGGTGGGTTATTACGAAACGCTTCTTCTTCTTCATTTGCAAGTCTTTGAAACAGGTTGCGATAGACATTATAAAATCCCTAAAGATGATAAACAAACAGTATATGCTTTGATTTGCTTACTTTAGGTGTATCTTCATAACCCTTGAATTCAGAGACACTAAAGTACCCCATAAGATCTTCTGCGGTAGTTCCTGCGCTACTGTCTCTTTGTCCACTATGATCTTCACCTCGCAAGATAGAATCTCGGTGTCCATCGTACCAGGATCGTTCTTGAGGATCAGACAACACTTCATAAGCTTCCTGGATCATGGCAAATCGTTCAGTTGCTTCTTGAATTCGATCACCATTTTTATCTAAAAAAAATCAGTTTGTTATTGTTGACTTTTGTTTTATTTTACCTGGATGCCATACTAAAGCTTGTTTTCTATAGGCCTTCTTGATATCGAGAGCAGTTGCTTGCTTTTCAATACCAAGTAAGTCATAGTAACAGATACGCATAGTGTTGGAAAAAAGAAAAGAAAAAGAAATCAAGCAGTCACCTTGATGCTGCTCTTTTTTTTCTTCGTAGCATGAATTTCTTGATGTCAATTCTGCATTTCACAAGTGTTCTTACAGAACTCTTTGGAAATCATTTCGACAATTAGATTCTTTTCTAATGGAAATTATCTAGCGATTGCTAATTAGATGTGTGAAAGGATTCTAAAACATTTTCAACTCTCATCACCAGTCCTTTTTTTTTTTTTTTTTTTTTTTTTTTCAATTGTTTCAGTCATTCCAACAGAGTTTGACTACTTTCAGTATTACATAACATGTTTATGCAACAGAGACACTGGACAAATAAATGCTTCAAGATGAAAGAACACAACCATTCCTGTCAGTCTTCTGTTCTTTCTTAGGCATATAAAGGTAGCTTAAAGCCTGTATATGCACGTTCAAGGCTACATAATGGGTACAGAACGGATGAAGCTTCTATGTTGCACTGACGATGCTCTGGTCTTTGTACATAATTCCACTGATCTTGCTCGGTTACAACTGCATATGACTCAAAATTGCGAAGCCTCGAATGCAAAGTTCAACCATGAAAAGGTGGAAGCCTTCTCGGTGTCTGGTAAAAGAAGATTGAGAGTTGTCCAATCGATGATTTTCATGGATAGTACCCTTTGGTCGAAAGGCATATTTTGGCCATTTTTTACATGTCACTTTTTTTTTTGGACCAAATCAACACTAAAGGTGCCATGGATGTTGGTAGACATATTTATAGGTATTTAGAGCATTTATATGTGCATATACAGGCTTTAAGCTACCTTTATATGCCTAAGAAAGAACAGAAGACTGACAGGAATGGTTGTGTTCTTTCATCTTGAAGCATTTATTTGTCCAGTGTCTCTGTTGCATAAACATGTTATGTAATACTAAATTGCTTGTCTATACAAAATAACCTTTTAAAACGACACCTTATCTCCTAATTCCAATAGATGTTTACTCATAAAAATGCTCAAGTGTGGGTGAATCTATCTCAGCTTTAGAATGCATGTTATATCATACAAAATGTCTTTGAGAACACAGAGATTGAAGTCAATTTTTGAAATAGGCAAATGATGATGCAATGTCTGCGTGGGCGATATTGATATAAAGATGTAGCCAAATGGCTCGTTGTTTGAGCCTGGTATTCTGATTTCCCAGAATTGGAATCGCATGTACTTTATCCACGAAGAGAGTATTTGTTTGACTCCAATGTCTTTTTGTTTTTCCCGACAATATTTGGTGTATATTCGTCCATTAGAGCTTTTCCTTTCAGCAAAACTTGATCTCTCATTTAAATAGAGTAACTTGGCAATGGGTTCAGAGGCTCGCTATAAATATTCTGATGATGATGATGCGTAGAACTTGATGGATAACTGTCAATGTTGATTGATGTTACTAAATTGATGACACATTAACGTTCTAGTAGACAAAACTCTAATCATGCTACTTATAGAATTATGTATATGAAATGTACCTAAAATTAACCTACTTCAGAAAACATCTACTTCTGATAGACAAAGTTCTAAAAGAAGTAGACACATTATTATTGTCCTGAATGATACATAAAAGGTCTGTCAGGATACTTAATAAGAGCAGTTCACAAATACTGATTGTGTCTCTCTTTATCAACTTGAATATGCTTTCTGAATTTGTTTTACATACAATAAATGTGCGCATGTTCTATGCTAACAAAACCCCATCAGTGTAATCACCACAATTTTATTATTATTATTGTTGTTATTATTACTATTATGAGCAAGCTCTATCACCATAACTTATTCTAGAGTAGAGGAATAAAAAAGTTGCTTGATCAAAAGTATTGTTTTAAGAGCTTCAATTGTCTTTGAAAATAAGATTGCCTCTGATCCAAGTACTGCATACGTTCTTCTGTGTATAACATGAGATCTCTTTTTCTCTCTTCAATGGATCTAATACATAAGTATGTCAAGTAAGAATAAAAATTTACCTTTTGATTTGTCGGTGTTCTTCCATATACTTTTGAAATTCAGAGGAAAGGCCTTCTTATGACTATATGAGCACTAACATAATGCATATCAACTCTCTATCCATTACCTACGATCATGGCATCAAATTGTTCATTGGTTTGAAAAGTAGGTGTTGACCTGACATCATCTTCTTTTTCCTTGTTCTCCCTTGAAGATTTGACTTGTTGTTGTTGTTGCAGTAACACTTCTTCTTCTACATCCATGGGTTCATCTTGTTCCTTTTCAGAAGACTGTTTGGCTCCATGCTTGTCTTGCATGTCATGACTTGCTTGATGAAGATGAGAGATAGGTGAGTACTTTTGAGTATGTGAGAGTTCCATAGTATCTTTATTGGTATCTGTTGATATTTCAGAGCTTGCATAGTTATAAGAAGGAATATACTGTATCTCATCCGTATCATCAAATGAAATGTGTTTACTGACTGTGTTTTGAGCAGTAAAGATATTAAGACCTGTAGAAGGCTTCTTTTTGTTCACTTTGGGACGTGAAGTCCAATGATTTGAATTGTTAGGAAGAATAAGTGGAGGTGTCTTGGGCATGAATCGTGTTGTCAAACAAAGAAAAAAAGAACCCTTTTTGTACTACTTTCATGCAGTTCGTTTGAACCAGTCACACCTTGGATTGCATAAATCTCCCAGGCTTTGTTTCTTTTTTTTATTTTTTTTTCTTTTTTGTTCATTATGAGTAAACAAAGAAAAAATTCGCTTACTGACCATCGTGCGCTTTATAAACGTACCAGTATTTCGCGCTCACCCGACGAAACGATTCGACGTCGTGTTGCTATCAACGAAACCCTACGTAAAAAACACCGCGAGCAATTGATTACTGCCAAACGGTTTCGAAACCTCACTCGACAAGAAGAATACGAAAGTGCAGGTGAAGATGAACCGATTGATGAGAAATCAGACCATGATCAAGACATCAGTCCTTATTACCGATTGACTGAACTTCAAGTCCAAGGGATTCAAAAGGATTTACATAGCCAAGACAAGACCATTCGTATCACGGCTGCTCAACATATTGCCAAGTTTGTTTTGGAGCCCGCTCAAGCTTTGATGGATTATATCACGCAAGGAGATTGTATTGAAACGTTGTCGGTAAGTATGGCTTAGGGCGTTAGTATAGCGTGTCACTTATCCTATCCAGCGTATGTTGACAGGATCTGATCTGGAAGAACAAATCGAGGCAGCACAAACCATCTCAAGTAGCGTGAAGGAATCTGTATGTATTTTCTTCATGCTAAGTTTATTTCTTTAGATATTGCTGCTGGCCCTTATGATTTATGGATCAAGTCCACTTCCACTGTTCCTTATCTGATTAACTTGTTAAGTTCTGAAAATATGGTATGTTTCTTCTCTAGACCAACATGGCTCATGGCTTATAGAATCTTCGAGAAATTGCTGCTGGTGCCCTGGGCAATATGGCAGCTGAAGATTTAGGCGATATGGACGATCAAGATGACAAGGTTCGCTCCACCATTCGCGAACATGGTGCCATCAAACCTCTTGTTCATATGTTGGATTCCAATGATGTTCGTCTGATCCAATCTGCTTGTTTTGCACTTGCTAACCTGGCTCGAGGACAAGAAGCACAACTCAAGGATTTCTTCCAGACAGGCATCAGTGCCAAACTACTGAAGCATTTGACCAACAATGATACGGCTACTGAGATTTGCTGGGTCATTAGTTATTTGACAGCCATCAGTGACAAGTTTCGTGATGAGATCATGACAATGGGATTTGCTGAGCCATTGGTGATTGAATTGGCCAGTTTGTCAGAACAAGGACCTGTTGTCTTACCAGTCTTGAGAACCTTGGGTAATTTAGTTGCTTCTGAAGATTATTTGAAAGTGTTAAAAGAACAAAAAGCCTTTCTGCCTACAGTAGCTAAATTGATTCATTCTGATCAAAGGTAAACTTGTTGCTTGTGTCATACTTGTCTCTTATCCATGTCTAGTCGAGTCGTCAAGAAAGAAGCACTTTGGGTGTTGTCTAACATTACTTCAAGGTAAATTCTTAAGTGATGTGATACATAAGCTATATCTATCTATGTAGTCAAGATCCAGAGATCATTCAACAATTGGAAGAATTGCATGTTATCAACCACTTGTCTGAATTAGTCAGTCGAGGTGCATTTGATATTCGCAAAGGGGTAAGTAACATAGATGTCTATCTTTATGACGACTAAAGAGATATGCAGGCTGCTTATTGTATCATGAACATGGCTAATCATGGACCAGAACATTTGGATAAGTTAGCTCATCCACAATTACTTCCAGCCTTTTTGGACCTTGTTAAATCTCAAGATGCAGATATGATCAGACTAGGATTAGGATACATTGAATTGCTTCTTACTCAATCCTCCAAGGTAAGAAGCTATAGACAATCCACCTAGACTAACTCGTTTGGGTAGGGTAAAGAAGTGATTGACAATGTACCTGACTGTATGGAAGCATTGGCTGCAGTAGCACCTGCTCCTGACCCAGAATTATTTGCTTTTGCAAACAAATTAGTAGACCAATACTTTGGTGAAATGGAAGAATAAAAGCTCATTTATTTTATCTTTTCACATTTACGAACCCATCTTCTTCTTCTTGTGACATGTTCTTGTTTAGTTGGTTTCCATTCATTGTCTGTATAGACCCAACCACCATTTTCAGGGGAGACAATGACTTCTAGACTAGGTCAATAAACAACCATGAAGAAATAGCTTACCAATGCCCAACATATCATCCATCCAAGGTCCTGTTTCATCCAATGTCCAATTGTCCTGTATCCATTGATACCCTTCAGGTGCTGGTAGTTCCTCTTTAGGCACATAGTCTATTTCCCCAGACATATCTGACCATAAACCACGCTCATCAGGCAACATCTACAAAAAAAAAAAAAAAAGGATGGTTAGTCATCATCCTTCGCGTTATCTGTGTTTACATGGGGAATAAACCCACTACCAGACCACCAACGTTGGTTTTCATACAATGACATTTCTTTTATATGTTCCTGTTCATCCAGTCTGTCTTGTATTTGATGATACCACCTTGAGACCCAACTGATTTGATCTTGAGCCATATGCTGTAACTGAGGCATCAATTCTTTCATGACAAATTTAGCAAAGCGTGTGTTGAGCATAAACACACTCACACCAGCCACTAAGCACAACAGATTCAGAGGTACGCACCAGACAACCAAACTGATAGGCACACACGACACACACACCGCTTGAAAGACAGCCATGGTCTCTCCTTCATTGGACCAGTCAATGAAATGACTTTGAGCAGCCAAGATATCATACACATCACTTAATTGGCCCATCATGTTCTGTAAGTTTTGCATGTTCTTTAGATATTCAGGCGAAGTTTCATCAAATGCAGTAGGGAAGAAAGTGGCTGCAAAATGATTGCGTTTGGTGCTGTTGGGTTGAGAGGACGGAGATGGTGTAGGTACGCTTTGTTTAGTGTTGATATGTCTGGTTTGATAGCCTACAAGAATCATATAACAGAGCACGACATGAGGTAGAAAGACAATCAAGGTAGGATGTAAACAGACAAAACAATAGATCAGTAAAGCAATCCATGTATCTACCGGTTTATCCCAACTCAAGATCATGATCACTTTATCGCGAAATGTAAACATAGGCCCACATCGAGACACAAACCGACTAAAGTTTTTGGCTGTATTCTGTGGATTCAAAGGTGGCAAACTGGCCAAATACGCATGAGAGACACTGGTATCTGAAGAAGCATGAATCGCAGCGGAGACAAGTACATTTTCAATGGCTTCTGTCGATAATTGGTTGGCGGTTTCTTTGGCTGGAATATCCAGTTGTTGTTGAAGCGTACGTAAAGACTTGGTAGCAGGTGTTTCTTCTTTGCGATAAATTACTGGGTTATCTATCAGTTTTTCTTGTTTGCAGTCTGGCATGGCTTTTTCACACTGTTTATGGCATACAGCACCACAACCTAATAACATGAGTTATACGCGTATACGATCTGATCATGCTTTACCTGAACATTGAAGGCCTTGTTTAACAAGACCCCATAATAGACCTTGGCAGTGATCACAATAAGTAAGTCGACTGAAATTTGTTTCTTCAAATGAATGTGGCATAAAGAAAAAGGAAAAAAAAAAAATAAGATACATTACATGTGATTATTATGCTCTCTTTTTTTTTTTAGTTTTATGTCTAAACGCGATCATCATCCTAGTTCAGAACGATTTATACCTGCTTTATGGAAACAAAGACGTAGTTTTATTCTGGACACATTAAGTCGATTCCAAGTTGAATCAGTAAGTAATGCTGTTAATAGATGTTATTGATCCTATAGGTACTTGATTATGGATGTGGTGAAGCAAGTGTACTTTCATTCTTGACGTGTCCAGAACTCAAATTTCGTCGATTAGCAGGGATCGATATTGATCCTGGTGTACTTGAAGAAGCTATTGGAGAATGTATGCCGATTCAATCCGATTATGCTTTTCCTCGATCCGATTCGCTTCATGTTGACATCTATCAAGGCTCAATTGGTGTTGCTGATGATAGATTCACCACTTATGATGCTATCGTGTGTTCTGAAGTGATTGAGCATGTCTATGCTTCTGTGTTGGATTCTTTTTTAGACTTGACACTGGGAACCTATGGACCTGCATTGATGATTGTCACAACACCTAATTCAGAATACAATGTTCATTTTCCTGATCTCAAGTATGGTACATTGCATGCGACATTTCGCCATGATGATCACAAGTTTGAATGGACAAGAAAAGAATTTGAAGCCTGGTAAGTGAATCTAGGACGATACTTTTATTCATCATTGTGAAGGTGCCTTGAAGGTGCCAATAAGTATGGCTACCAAACTGAATTTCATGGCATTGGTCTTTTAGATGATGATACAAGCCATGGTCATTGTACACAAGCCTGTTTGTTTATCAGACCTTATGCTCGACATTCAACTCCATCTTTAGGCCAACGTCATCAGTTATTGAAGCATATTGAATTTCCTTTTGATTGTAGACTTCCTCTCTCTCCTTTAGAACAGATCAAAGAAATCAAACGTTATATCCAGACCTTATGTGATGGTGAAGTCTATTATAGACAACATACAACAACACACAAGAAAAAAGAAAAAGAAGAGATGACCTTTGAACCTATTGAAGATTGGACCACTTTCAAGTTATCCTATATACCCGAATATAAGCACACAGAACCTGCTCAAGATACGGCATGTTCTTTTGACCTTGTTTACTTGTGGAGTATTCCACATATCCAACGCGTTTGTCAAACACAAGACTGTTTAAGGACCGCACTCATCGCCTGCTGTGAAGAAAACAAAGACCTTTTGTTTGAACAAGATGTGTTGTATTGCAAGCTTGTGTTTTATTAAATAAAAGAGGTTTCCATAAGATACGCGGCATGAGGATCACCTACACTGGCTAATTGTTCAATCAATTGCTTTGTATGTTCTCTACACCATCGACGCAATTGAACGCATTCTTCAAGAGCAGTGCGATTGGTTTCTTCTATATGCACAGTGGCTACAAAGATACGCCATGAAGCAATCACACGCTTCAGCATATCATAATTCTTATCAATCAAGGCCATATGGTACCAAGCAAACAAAGGCAGTAACATCAAGACACAGATCAGACTGATAAATCCATAGCCTGTACATTGCGTCAAGGTCCATACAAGACTGCCATAGACAGGAATCGCTAAAAAGAAACTAAAGACCAGTTTATCTTGAGAGACAGATTCAGTATAAGGTTCATACGAATCAATCAAGCGACCCAAGACATAGAATGGCATATTGATCAACATGCCAGGTAAAAAGAGGGGTATTTGAGCAACCAGAGTTGTCCAGGTAGACAGTAAGCGAAGGCTGGCTTTAGTGACCGTGATTTCTTGATTTTCATACATGCTGATGTCCCAAGCATTCAGGCCAAGGGAAGCCAGTGTCTGAGAGAACAACAACAGTCGTTCTTTCAAGACAAGACGATCATGGTAAAAAGGCGCTGTCTTGTCTTGTAGATCCAACAGACTAATAAATGACTGAGAGACATGTACAAATTCTTCAAGCACAATATGTTTACCAAACAAGACAGAACTTGCTTCTTTGGCTGCATTGGTTGTATCCCTTTATGTAAAGTTGTATTAGCTAGGTCATTGATATTTCTCTCTCTTTTTCTTTCTTTCTTTTTTTTTTTTTGTACTTACCAGTCAGGACTATTGATGGTACTCTGTTCTACACCTTTTGCGATACGGTCTGTTAATTGCTTCACACTCTGTTTTGGATCCTGATTAAATGCCTTTAAATCCTCTAATGTCTGTACAATAGGTTCACCATATCTAATCCAATAGGTCAACAAAAGGAAGACTGGAAACAACAAAAGCTTACTCGACAACCATTTCACTTCGCCATCTGTTTTTTGTGGTATATGTGATGCCTACTGGAATAATCGAAATACTGGTTTGTTCAGGATCTTGTCGGTCCGCTAATTGAGTCAAGTATTCAAAACTTGCCCAAGAAATGCCATCTTTAAACGGTAAATGATTGGGTGCCGTATACGATGTGCCTAATACGGGTTGATAAACACACACAGAGAAGATGATGATCTTATGGCTGACTACCTTCTGGGAACAATGCCACCACAGCGCCTTGATCAAGTGACTGTAGTGTATGTTCAAATAATTTGGCGTTACTGTGTGTCTTGGTATCCACAGGCAATACACCTGCTGCCTTCAATATAGACCCCACAAAGGGAATACGAAAAAAACGAGCCAGTGCCCAGAAATGACACGCTCTTGAATGAGGAAACGTGGCAATCAACACAATAGGATCAAGAACCATGTTTGAGTGATTGGCCGCTACTAACAATGGTCCTTCAGCAGGAACAGGTGCTTTACAAATCACTTTTATTTGTCTAAAGTAACCCCATAACGCTAATCGAGATAGATACTGAAGTGTAATATACGTTTTACCTTCACCTTGGACTTGTTTATCGAATGTAGGCATAAAAGAAACGAATAAAAAAATAAAAAAAAAAAAATAAAAAAAAAAAGTGACTCGTAAGTTTATTTATTGTTATGGACAAAGTAAGCAACAGCAGCAATAAACAAAGCCATCAAGATAAAAAGACTGATAGGATACCCACTTGTCTTGACTTGCTTTTCAAGCATAGGTTCAACCTCACGTAACTCTTCAACTTGTTTTTTATATTTATCAAGTTCTTCTTCCATACGCTTCATTTTTTGTTCAACATCTTCTTCTTCATGCTGGGTTGGTTCAACGACTTGCTTGGGTTGTGTTGGTTTCTATCGAATGAGTTCAATTGTATTTCTATGATATAGCTTACTGTAACAGTCACCTGCTCGGCAGGATTGACATAAAGACAACGTAATTTGCGTTGATGAATACTTGACTTTTCCTTTTCTTCCACATGGGACCACTAAAGTGTACGTTTAAATAAAGACTCGATCAATCACACTTACAAGTTCCTGCAAATTCATGTTTTCAGTCACTTCATTTAAAAAGGTACTCAGGATTAGAAATTTATCTCTACATTTTACATCAAGAGGTGGTTCTTCTTTAAAGGCCTGAAGCATAACTAACAAAAAAAAAAAATGAGATGAATTCGATCAATAACGCATATTTACTTACTTTGAACTTGGATAGATCCATGAGGTGGAATAATATCCGAGTTAGGACGGACACAGTATAATTTGGGTGCTGTTGTTTTGACCTTGAAAGCAACAGCTTGTCCATGAGGATTGTCAATACGGACATGTTGTTTCACAATGCGTGTCAAGGGGCCTATCATCTATAAGTAACAGTCTTTTTTTTTTTTTTGTTGAGTACTTACGTTCAAAAGCAATATTGTCTTCTAAATCTAGTTGGATTGACATGGATGAAGTTTATGTAAAAAAGACTAAAAAAAAAAAAAGGAGAGAGAGAGAAAAAAAAACAAAGTCATTTTTATTACCAAGCTTGAATTTTGCAAGTATTTTAGTAATTTTTCCATTTCTGTCTGTCATAGAGAATACATTTCTTTAGTTTTGTGCAAAATACTATTTTATGGAGTCAATGTTCATTTAAATCTATTGTAACAACATGAAAGCAATGGTTATCTATATCTTTCCATTAAAAAGGTCACTCTGATAAGTATATCTCTTTCTGGGTACATTTTCTAAACATTTCCAAATAAAAAGTCTATAAAGACTAGTCTTGATATCAATTTTCCCTTTCTTTTTATTTTTTTACTTTTGTTGCTATGGGAAAAGAAACTTTTAGACTCACTCGATTTAACAGTGTGTTTCTATTGCATGAATTGGATGAGGTTATTTATATTATGTAGTGAAAGAGACTTATGTCTAGTTATATAGATGCTAGTAGACGAAACATTTGTTCAAACAGTGATCAACATTGAAAAAGATCAATTGAGAAGAAGAAAAGAGTTAGACAGAGAAGAAGATACAATCAGAGAGTAGTGTAGATAGCTACTTAAACAATATATAACTCAGATATGGATTAGATGTACACTTCAATACTTGACATTGAATACAGAATATCATGTTATTCCAACTTACACACAGGCAGAACAGGATCAAGCATTCATTTGTACACAAACAAAGCCATGGACTACTTTAGCAGACATTGTGTTTTCAAAGAAAGAAACAATAGCAATCAAAGGTATTTGAGAATGATATGCCTTTTCATTCATACTAGTCTAGGTCGACCTGTATTGCCTATTGCGGATCGCAAAGTAGCTCAAGTCTATAAAAAGTAAAGCATTTGCAGTAAACTATCACTCATACAATAATACCATCTAGAATGGGACAATCACTTGCCCATTTTACTACAGTAGATACACTACCTAAAGCAATCAAGATCATTCCTTCTTTATCCAATTGGGATGCTGTTCTCTTTTTAACTTGTCCATCCAATTGGTCGTCTGAAGCAGTTCTTCAAATCACTCTACTCTTTCTGAATCATATAAAAGCAATACAGACAAAACAGTAAGTAGAGATCAGCCTATGTGCTTTATATGATACTAAACAGAACAAGATATTTTGAATATGTACTTGTTCATGCCATCAAGTCCAATTTGATCCAACATAACTATGTTCGATTAGACAGTGCTCTTTATCAATGCCTTCAAAAAGCTATATCAAGTCATCCTGGTATCTTCTTTAAGGGCTATCTTTTCCCTCAGTCTGAATTAGGCTGCTTAAGTCTAGCTGAAGCAATGATATTACGAGACATGATGACAGGCATTCCTGTTGTTTATACTACCATGGCTCTTTTACAATTCTCTACCTGTTCAATCACATTGCCTGTTTCTCTGTTAATGGATGCTTTAGTGAATCAAAGACAACCATTGCCTTATCGTGTCATTGATGCCCTTGTTTATCATTATTTCAATCAGTCTACAGTTGTACCTTGTATTTGGTATCAAACATTAGATACATTTATATCTGTGTAAGTCTTTCATATATATATATATATATAATACAGGCTATTCAACAACATCATAGATATCATACAGATATGGTGCCTATACATAAGAAAAAGTTACTTGATACCATACATAATCAACAGTGCTTGGATCATATCTCGCATGCATATTTGATTCAAAACATAAAAGATGAATTTATTAACATTTAACCATCCAAAGGTCTATATACAATAAATAAATAAATACATAATGACAATAATAGAACAATTTACCTGTTGAATCCTCCTCTTCTGTTCATGTATTGTCTATATTTCAATGGTTTACGAATCTTGGCTCCTGATACATCTGTACCAGGTACTTTCTTATTCTTGGTCGTATCAAACCCACCAAATCCCATTAAACGCATCATTTTAGTCTCTTCGTCCATCTCTTCTTCATTCTCTTCTTTTTGTTCTTGTTCTTCTTGTGGTAAGGTATCATTTGTAGTTGATTTACGGTGATAGTCGGGTGAATAAGAACGACTTCTATGTCTTGCACGACCTATAGCACAGTTACTCAACTATACACATTGTGTGTTATTTCTACCTCTTGTATCAGGACTACGTCTTCTAGGAGATCGTCTTCTTCCTCGACTATCATCACGTTGTCTTCTCTCACGACTATCATATCGTCTTTCTCGACTGTCATATCGTCTTTCTCGACTGTCATCGCGATGGTCATCACGTCTTCTTTCGCGACTATCATCACGATATCTTCTACGCCCATAATCATGGCGGCGAGGTGGCGACCTTGAACGAGGATTATCCAAGTCTTTATAGTCTCGTTTATATCTATAAGGTGAAGGTGATCGAGGCATAATAATAATAGAAAAAGAAAAGAATCGAAATTTCTGTGACTCCTTTGCTTTCCTTTTTACTCTTTTTTTTTCTAATGACTATTGTCAATATCGCTAAAAACAACAAGACGACACTTTATATAGGTAAAAGAAGAACACCAGAATGCGTT